TCTGAGAGCGAGGTTTATTAGTCTTGGCCTCCTTGTAGAGATGATGAGGCTTGGTATGTGACAAGGTTTGGCGTTCTTTCAGTTCAGTTCATGCCCAGGCTAAGCCTGAGTATAAGGAAAGAGTTGAATGAACACGAGGCTGAGCCCATATTAGGCGGCCACGGTCGTTGGCATTACCAAACCGAATCAACGTGGGCTCAAAAGAATCACTTACGCGTTTTGGAAAATGGTTTCAACCTAACAAAGCCATACAGAGGTGACTGGTGGAGAGGGTACGGAGTCTCAAGTGGCTCAGCTGCCGCCACAGTTCTATTTTCTTAGAAAGCGGGGACTAAAAGGATTCGGAGAGGACAGAGTTCAAAGGAAAACAAATTCTTCTTGTGTTCTTTGCTTGGGCGCAGAGAGAGAGAAAAAATTAAATGCGGTGGAGATCGCAGCAGACCAAGCAAGGGGAGTGCGAGTGCGAAAGTCAACAAAGACAAGCGAGCGACTGCAGAATGAGCGTGGGCGAGTGGGAAAAAGAGTGCGAGAAAAAAAAGAAGAAAATAGAATTCAATGAATGCGAAAGAGGAGAGGATATTCAAGGAGTGTGCAAGATTGCAGGACGAGAGTTCGAGTTGGGGGATTCAATAATTCGCGTGACACAGCCACAATCATCCAGGGGCGATCGCAGTCTTGTGGGGGGGGAAAGAAGCTTGGCATGGAACAGGTGGTTTCGCGAGATTTGGACTTGGTTTGGAATAAAGTGCGAGAAAGCGGGAGGTCTGCATTAATTATTTGATTTGAAAAGAGTCTTGATGTAGATGTTGGCCGGCATCGAAACCATCGACAGCGCTGACGTTGGTGAGGCAGATGCGTTGGCAAGTCGGGAAGAAAAGCCAAGCCAAGCCTGAAGTTGGTCGAAACACTTTACCAAGGAACTTTAACTCCAAGAAATTCCAAGAAAGTCCCAAGACGGGCAACGAATGCTTCGATGAAGCTTGCCGTCTTGATAGTCTTGGCGCCATTCAACGTTCCAACTCTGACATCAGATTCAATTTGACCTCTCTGAGATGGGAAGAGTGTGAGATGGCTGTGCTGAACTGATGATGGTGTGGCACACGGCAGTCTCCGATTGAACCACACTGATTGGCGATCAAATTGCCCTTCATTTCGTGGCCCACTCTTGTTGGCGAATCCAAGGCCGTGCACAGTTCCCCTGCCACTGGGAATGGCTGGAAATTAACAAAGTCCGCGAATGTGAAATTGTTGAAATTGCGATTGCGTGCCACATGAGCAATCACGTGAAGGTATTGTTGTTTGCTGTGCTGAAAGACATCATAATATAGTCATGTCGGGATGAAGCATGCCCTGTCGATGTTAACTTCCAAGAACACTAGTATGCTGTCAGAGGCTCAAGGTATGTCAATGCGGGACCCAATTCACTGGACAGTGAGTGGAGGCTTCTATCGGTCGCGATACGTCGGTGGCTGTTCTTCTTGAAGACGATCGCGATCAAGGAAAATCAAATCGCGCAGACGGGTGCTGGCCTGGACTGAACTGAACTGGGCATCTCAGTCACAGCTGTCACTGTCGGTGAAGGGCCGTTGCAGGCCTGGATGCCCTGGGGTGAGAACCAGCGGTGTCATCGGCTGCAATGCTGTGTTGGTTAGTGCCCATCGGAGCTTGAAAGAGTCCAAACAATATGTTGACAGGACATGCTGGATGGGGTGGAGGGATGGTGATAGGGCTGAGATTTTTATCAAGGAGATAAATCCGGGTGTATCAACCGTCTTTATCCTTTTATCCTGGTGGTGCCCTAGAAATCCTTTGCCTCGTGGTTGTGTAGGGCTGTTATTGCTGCTGCCTACAGCGGAGACGAAACAATGTTGAGAATTGGTCTTTGCGGTTGCTTTTAGAACCCTCCTGGGGACACCCGCTTATTCTTGGCTTTTATTTTGATTGATTCTTAGCTCTAGCCCCCACAATGTTAGACTCATACTCTAAATTTATCCTGGTGTGAGGTTCTAACCTTGCGATCGTAGGATATGATAAACAACCAAGCGGCCAGGCGAATTCCACCCATATCAATAATACCAGGTGTCATGAAAGGTGCAGTGGAGGTTTTTTTAAGGAGTTCCAAGGTTCCCGAGTTGCTTTAGAAAATAAAAATTATTTTTTCTACTCTGTAAGTACTCTGATTAATTGGGGTTGGTGTTCTTGGGGGGTTGGTGTCGGCGGAAAATTCTCTGAAGAACCTGTGGGCGACGGGGAACTTGGGCACCGCATACTACTGTTACTAGCACTCTTTGCTCTTTCGCTCGTTCATGTCTATATAATGCTTGTCGGGGGGTTGTTCGCGCAGGCTTGGTATTGCGATACATCAACACTGTAGGGGTATTGTGCTCGTAGGAATATAGCCTTCAAAGGTTGACATTTCCACATATGAACCAGTGTTAGTTCACGTATTTATCAAGCACCTAGGTATCTTCATTCAAAGGTTCCGACTTTTAGGCCTTGGGGGTTGGAGGTTTATGATCTGCCGCCAGGTACTACTAGTATTACTAGCCCTGGTAGTAGTAATATCCAGGCACTACTGCCGTTTTCAACCTGGAGTTTTACATATTCAAGTTGAGCACAAGGCCCGCAGAACTCATGAACTTCAAGTTGAATAAGACAACCCCATGCCGACCGAGCATCTATCACTGCACTTGTGTATACTAGTATATGATAAGATCCAACGAGTTTTCTAGACTCGCAGACCTTGAGCCTGGCTCCTTCACATCTGGGTAGCCTCAATAGCTGCCAGTGCCAGTATCAACATGACAAATCCGACTGCTCAAATAAAGCTCTCCATCGGAGCAAAGAGGACCGTACCAAACTCTCAGTTTCCACATACGAGAATTATAGTGAATATCTGAATGTTTTAATCGATCATCGAACCAAGCTTCCTTGCCTTTCATCTGACATGAAAGTAGACTATTCGCGCCCGAAGCTGCGGAATGGATGATTTGTTATGTTATCTAGTTTCAGTCTAACATGGTCCTTTCCCGGTAACTATAATCTGCTTTTGATGTAGCTGTTGGATCTGCCGCATGGTGTGTTTGTTGTCTGCATATTGATCGGACTGATGGTCGCTGGCAAACCTTGCGACTACTATTCCACAGTACCAGTTGGACCATGCTGGCAGTCCCATCGAAAGAAATGAACCTCCAACTACGGAGTTAAGAAGCAATGTTCGCCCCCGGGGGTCATCGCAGAGAAACAGCGACGATCGAAATCAAAACAGACACCCCTTACAACAAAAGTGAGGCTACGTCACTTCTAACAGATCAGCCATAAAAACGGATCGCGAGGCAGCACCATTGTTACGCTAAAAAGCTTGGTCGATAGCGAATGGAGTCATTGGGGCCCCCATTTTCGTGGCTATCGAACCGTATTTGAGAAATCGGGCCTGTTTGTTTACGCACGCGGTCTGAATTGTCCTGGTGTTGAGATGCGATGTTTTGTGGCTGGCCCGTTGGGCCCACGATCGTCAGGGGAAGTTGCCACACCCCCATTTATATTTTGCTTCTCGGGCCACGCATACTGAGTCGCTTGAATATCATTGAATGAGCGTTGCGCAATCATATTCCTTCAAGCATCATCGAAATGATCACCCCCGTACGGAGTATGGAAAGATGTTGTTTTGGGCTCAGCCTTCTCTTCTCCCGTCTCTAGGGGAAGCGGGAGACGCGGGACTGGCCCACAAGGGCTCTCCACATTGACTTTCTGTGTGATTTTGCGGGATTTCTTCTGCTCAAGGTATTCAAAGGGTCCAAGATATGGGTGAAAAAAAGTGTCTGCCTAGGAAGGTAAGGTTATGGTATGGAGTACTCTGTAGATGCAGGGACTCCGGAACCTCGGGGAGCAGTTGAAAATTTGGACCACGGGAAGTGCCGTCTGAAATGAAGAGTGGGCGGGGACGTGCGACCGAGACAACCTTCATTCAAGCCTTTCAAGACTTTGCTGGGCAGTCTTGTCTCGTCGAGATTAACTAGAGCACAGACGCTATCCCAAGAGGGGAATGTAAGATTATTCCGCGCTAGGGCGTTAGTGAGTGAGACCTGGATCCTGACGGCGTCGGGGTCTGGTCTTTCCTTCTAATAGGATTCCTTGTGAGCTGGCCCAGATTATATATGCAGTCGTGAGGCATGCGAACGAAAATAACGCTCCGAGCCATGCTTGGTGGATTCCAGTCGACATCATACACGCAGTGATCGCCCTTGGCGAGACAAGCTTCAACACAACCCATGCAAAGGAGCAGGGGTAGATGAGGCCCGAATGGGTATGGCATGATACAATATCGGGCCTAGCGGCATTCCCGATAAAAGTCCAGCTCCTTTTCGAAGGAAACAAAACCAGGCGAAGTGGCCAAACAGCGTCGACAGTGACGGGCGGGTTCTTGCGACCCCAGCCATTCAGGGTTATTCTGTTTCCACTATGACCCTGTTGTAAGACCCTGAATGGTCCCTGGCGCTATCAAGGTGGAGATAAATGTGGATCCTTTGTGTCTCAGGGGCATGTAGATGATTGGAGGAATCAAACCAGGGACCTGGATGAAGATCCACAAGGATCAGAGCGAAAGGATCAATATCATTGTGGAGCATGGATGAGAGTACCCAGTGTACCCACGTTACAGAGACAGGACCGGGAGTCCGACAAGCCTTTTTCATTGGGATTGTTGCAAAGTGATTTGCGGTGCACCCACTGACACAGCCCACTTGATGATGCGTCCAGAAGGATTGACTGATGTAAGTGGAAGAAGTATGAATGGGAGAAGTGTGAATGGGTGAGGAAGTGTGGATGGACCCGTGGTCCTTCCCTTCCGCTCCCTTCCACTCTACTTCCATTCCCTTTTTCTACTCTTCTTCTCCCTTCTCCCCCCAGAAGTCTCTCACGTCTTTCACTTCCGTTGTCTCAAGTCATTCTTTTTTTCTTTCCGTCTCCCTCGACACTCGCTTCGAGTTTGACAATACACAATGAAGTATTCCATTCTCGCCGGCCTGTCCCTTGTGGGCGCTGCCCTGGCCAAGAGCTCTATTCCCTCCATTGAGGTCAAGGGCAAGAAGTTCTTCTACTCCAACAACGGTACTGAGTTCTCCATTCGTGGTGTTGCTTACCAGGCCAACTTCGATGGTACTTCCAAGTCTGGTAGCAGCGATAGCTACGTCGATCCCCTCGTCGATGCCTCCACTTGTGAACGTGATATCCCCTACCTGCTCTCGCTCCGCACCAATGTCGTTCGTACCTACGCCATTAACCCGAACCAGTCCCACGATGACTGCATGAATGCCCTCGCCGACGCCGGAATCTATGTTATCAGTGATTTGTCCGCCCCTGATGAGTCCATCGTCTCATCCGACCCTTCCTGGAACGCCGAGTTGTTCACTCGTTACTCCCAGGTTGTGGACACCCTCGCTCCCTACCCCAACGTCATTGGTTTCTTCGCCGGTAACGAGGTTGCGGATGCGGTCAACAACACTGCTTCCATGGCTTTCGTCAAGGCTGCTGTCCGTGACATGAAGACTTACATCAAGGACAAGAACTACCGTTCTTCCCTGGCTGTCGGTTACGCTACTGATGATAACCAATACGTTCGTGAGGGTATCTCCAACTACCTTGTCTGCGACAAGCCTGAGGACTCCATCGACTTCTTCGGTTACAACATTTACGAGTTCTGCGGTAAGAGCAATTTCGCTGACTCGGGTTACAAGGACCGCACGGAGGAGTTTTCTGACTACCCCGTTCCCGCTTTCTTCTCCGAATACGGCTGCGTTCAGGGCACCAAGCCTCGTCCATTCGACGACGTTCCTCTTCTGTACAGTGACAAGATGAATGATGTCTGGAGCGGTGGTATCGTCTACATGTACTTCGAGGTTGGCAACCACTATGGTCTCGTCTCCACCTCGGGCAGCTCCGTCTCCAAGAAGCAGGACTTCGACAACCTCTCCTCTCAAATGCAGAAGGTCAGCGCCACTGGTGTCAACAGCGCCGACTACAAGGTCACCACCACCGTTGGCCGCTCTTGCCCTACCACCGGCTCCGACTGGATGGCCAACAGCAAGCTTCCTCCCTCGCCCAACTCTGACCTGTGCGAGTGCATGTACGACTCCCTCGAGTGTATTCCCGTGGATGGCCTTTCCGACAAGAAGATCAAGGAAGTCTACGACTACCTTTACGGTCTGAAGGCCAAGGGAACGATCGATGCCGTCAGCGGTGTCTACGCTAACGGTACCGAGGGTGTGTACGGCGCCTATTCCATGTGTAACGCCAAGCAGCGTGTTGCCTGGGCTATGGACCGCTACGCTAAGAAGAACGGCGGTGCCTCTGCCTGTGCCTTCTCAGGCAAGGGTACTTCCAAGGCCACCTCGACCGCTACCGGCTCCTGCGCTACCCAGATGAGTTCCATCGGTGCGGCTGGTACCAACACCATCAACGCCGGCCTGGCTGCCTCCAGCGGTGCTGCCGATGGTGGCTCCAACGGCGGTGGTGCCTCTGCCACCTCTTCCGGTATCGCCGCTGGCATGAACCAGCCCCGGTCTGTGCACGTCGGTGCGTGGCAGCTTGGTGCTTACGCCGTTGCTGCTATCGGCACTGGTGCTTTCATGATCATGCTTTAAGCCTGTTGAAGCTCTTATTTTCTCTTATTTCTTGTTCTATTTTAGCCTTCCTGGCGCCCCCTTTCCAAATGTGTGATATTGAACCGATCACTTGGCGCCCTTTGTACCCATGAAAGTATTCTAGATTTGTTCATACATAATTTTTTTTCCTTTGGTCGATCCAATTCTGCATCTTCTCATGAAACAAGTAAGGCCAGTAATTTATTCACTCTGTCTAATCCAGGTTTGCCCATCTCCAGTTCAACCCACCTTCAAGTTTCTCTCGCAAAGTGGACTCGCCTACAAGAGGCACAGAAATAGATACCTTCGAATAGGACCACTGCCCGAGTTTACCTCCCTGGGGAGGCTACGATAATAATACTGAAAAGCAACAAAACTAAACATCGGGACATTCGTGCCTAAGGTAGTTCCAATTGCTGGTAACCACCCTGGGGCAATCACTCCCCACTGGCACCACAAGTAGCACTACTTTGACATCCACAGCTATCGTTCACCTCTAATATAACCCATCGCTAGTGGGTAAGACTGAAGACTGCTTCGACCTACGAATTTGGTCGGTGATTGTGGCTCTGGTCCGTACGCTATATCTCCTCTCGCCAACTCGTGCTAAACTCACAAATCCGGTATATAGGCACATTGCAACATACACCCTACAGAGAGGAGATCCATCAGCGACGTATCCCCACCCTCGAGGACGACTCCAGCTCCGCTCTCCTCGATTCTTGCGATTCTCGGTCAGCGCCGATCTACCATCATGGCCCCAACCGGTTGTGGCCCAATAGATCTGCACACACGCGTGGCTGCTCAAGACACCATGTCCCCCGAGCGAGTCGCAAACAGGTTGAAGAGCACACGATCTCATCGATACTCTAAATGGGAACCATGAATAGATACATCTTAACAGTCAAGTGGTGTTTTTGTTCTCAATAATAATCGACAAACTCATCAAACGTCTTCAATCGAAGGAAAAACTGCTAGCCGGAATATACAGGAAACTCGCCAGAAGTTTCAACCCTCTCTCTCGACCGATGGAAGTCCCTCCTCTCCCCTTGAATTGTTACTTGAGTTTCTATTTTCCATTCATACTTGACGATGCGGCAAATCTTCGAATCCCCAACTACTTCGGAATGAGGGATATCCACTATCAAATTTTCAACGGCTACAATGTGATTGAGAAACATATCAGTTTTCTATTTCAGAATGTTGAGAATCGGCATTTCTGGACCCATTGATCTCATAGCAATAGCCCATGGGGGTGAGTCTGATGCAACAGAAGTCAGGTGATATCCTTCGGTGACAAACAGCTACCCCTTCTTTCTGAATATCCCCCGCCTTCAAAACATCGTCGTAAGTCTCGATTGATTGTGAGGACACTATTCTTTGTGTCCCGTCAATTTGAAACAGAACCTATCTCGGAGGTCTCAAATAAAATCATCGAAACTGTGCCATCGCCCAAGGTTTGACGGAAAAGTCGAACAAGACCATAGATGGCTGGCGCTATGTGGGAGACAATTTCACTAAGATCGTGGAATCGCTACGCCAATCCATGTAGAAAGAAGTCGAAGCAAAGAAATTCAATGTCCTTTCATCCATCTCCCTTGTAAGCTCACTTGACTGAATGGCTTCGTCCCAGGTGCTCTGCGACTTTTTATCAATACACCTGGGTGTAATTTGAAAGCATCCTTCGCCACCACTGGGTACATAGGTTGCTCGGATAGAAAGGAAACACCAGTCGTCCAGCTTGATTACAACAATGTTAACTCAACCCTCACCTTATTCATTCCGTCCATTTGCGGTCATATCAAATCACTCGCGTTGCAGGTTGTGAGACATGTGCCGATGGGACAACCGGCCGCAACGTGAGGGCTTTGATGGAGTGGGTAATGTGGTTGGGTGTCTGGTTAAGTAAACCGGCTCATGAGGTTATGGCCGCCTACGAAGGAGATTCGATAGAATTCTTGGCCTTAGTGTCTCTCACGATTGGGTCTCCAAGGGGATTGATGTCAACGCTATCGCCCCTGGGCACATCAACACCGACATGAATGTCGCACTTATCAAGGATGCGGACCGCAAAGCCGGTATCATGACGCGTATTCCAGCCGGTCTTTCTTTTGTAGCCAAGAATGAAAACAGTGGCTCGTTGCAGTACTTTCTAACACCATTCGGGCCTGTTCTAGAGGTACTACTAGTACCCCAGGCTCTTTTTGGAGAAATTTCCATGCAAACATATTTCCCCAGACACTTTACACCATTAGTACAAGTGAGCTCATAAATATGCATGAGCTGCATAAATAGAGGCGCTTGAACGATTTAAGAACTGCATAAACTTTGGAAGTGGGTCAAGTAGTACTTTTGCGAGATTGAAGACTCGGAATTTATAATAGGACAGCCGTGATCATCTTGCTCAAAGTCCAACCAAAGATTATACACTGCTCCGATAATTCTTTTAGCGAATAAATCGTGATTCAACATCGATGTGCGCACTATTAATCTTCGCAAATAGTTACTAGTATTTTTCTCATGCAGGGTTCACTAGAGTTATGCACACAGGACAGATAGATCAAATATTACGGAGTAGATTGATCGAGCTGGACAATCAATTCAAATTTTCCAATAATGCAGGAAAATCCATGAGAAATATAAGAAAGAGAGGGTTTATTCTAAAATTCTTTCCGAAGAACCGGGAGATGATTTTAAGTTTGTATGTTCAATTACCTCAGTGCTAGTATTTCAAAGCTCGGGGAAATTAGTACTAGATATGCCATTCACTGGGAGCTGTCAATGGATCTGCCCGATGCACGGACAAAGTTAGTTCGAGAAATATGTGGGCCAATGGTGATGTTCTTCGGTCCGTGCTTTAGGGTCATGATAGTTATTTCCAACGGAGACGAACATGTGCGGCCGTGAAGATTGTGCCCAAGCCATGAATATAATTAGCCTAAAACAGGGCGACGGCATATCTAATAGAATAACTAATTAGTTCACTCCGCAGGGAGTACTTGACTTGTACCACTATAGAACACATACGGCGATTTGAACCCTTGAACCGCAGGAGTGACAACTCAGAAATCGCATCTATCTATATTCTTCCGCAAAGCTAGATGAGGCAAACCATGCTTTATAGCAGTTAATGTTGAACCCTTACTTAAATTCAGATTCTGGTCTAAGTGGGTTCCAAGGTTGGGATTGATCTAAACAACAATATTCTTGCAGGCTAGCTCTAACATGAAATCACAAAAAGTCCGCTGAACGGACCTTGGGATCTCTTTTTTGATTTTTGCCAGTGGTGCTGATGTCGATGCAGCCGTGGTTCACATCTTGGAGATACATCCGGATCATACGGTTAGTACCACTCACATGTTAGGCAAGCGAGATGCCCCATAAATTAATTGCTCAGCAGGAGTTCAGCCACCACTCCACTTCGTACGCACCACGCAATCCGAGCCGACGGAATCATCAAATACTACAGAGTAAAAGATCACGAGTTCAAGATTTCCCCCCTGACTTAGAAAGAAGTTGTCTCATGTGCCGCTTACGCGTTTGTTGTTGGGCCCGCCGACACAAGCGATGTTTGGGACCACCAAATGATTCGAACTGCCCCCTGAACCCCTGAACCCAGCCACAGACTGTCAGCTTTAATTCACTCTTTCACATCGATCTCAAAGAAAATATCCATTGGTGGAGGCATTCTCAGAATGTCAGATGACCAAGCCCCTGAATATAGAAAGATTGGGGAACAAATGAAATACACGGACCGAAAGAAGCAAAGCAGTACTAGTATTCCATAGAAGAATTCGTACGTCAAGCATATTGATCTGATTACTGAAATGCGGCAACCGCGCCCATTTAATAACTCGTTATGCTTATCTAGATGATAACTCAAATCCGATATAGACTCACCTGATCTATGGATTTTTGTAATATCAAATTGTCATCTGGTTGTTCCTCTTTAGATACCAATGTTATTAGGTGGACTTCCACGGAGTACCGCGAAACCGATTAGAGGATATTATGTCTCAATACCGATCTAGAGGGTTTCAGGCCGTGTCCATCCTTTCAAAGGCCGCGAGGGACTAGAATTTAGATCTTAGATTTGCAGACTCAGATGTTGCGGGGAAGATTTGACTACCCCGTGAAAGAGAATAGTATGATGCCCCTCTCAGTGCTTTCTTCTCATATGATCAATGAAATGAAAAAGCCCATTTTGTTTGGTGCGGATGAAGCCCGGGGTCTTTCCGAAGCAGCACTGCGGTACTAACGTGGGGATGAAAGTGATGCATACAACTTCGAATAAACTTATTCACAGTTGGATTTTTTTTTCTATTTCTTTAGTCGATGACGAACAACGCACTTACCCCGCTACTCTGAACATTTTCTTGACCCCAATTGCTAATGCGTTTATTCAATCATTGGATATCAGTAAAGAACACGTAGATATGACAGTCTCGCGGGCGGGGGTTTCTTATCGAGATTGCCACGCAGGGTTTGATGGGCTCAGACGTGGATGTCATATTGTGGATATTCATCCACCTCAGTGTATCCGCTGTATCCACAGTAGCTTCGGAATTACCATGAAAGGAATGTTCTTTGATCGGCATCGAATAACCGACCGATGCGGAGTGAAGTAACGGATTTAAAACAGGGGTCCTTTCGCCTTCGATCTAGGATCAAAACAAGAACTCCTGGGAAGGGTATTTTGTTGTCTTAGCGCTGGTCATGGGATTCAATATTGAACAGTCTAGCCCGGTCTTGTTGTGTGGCGTAGTCGGCCTCGTTCTTCCGGCATCAACAGCTACTTCGTACATTATGCGGGATCTCCGGGATCTCCGTTATAGGTTAGATCGGGCCGATCACCTCCAACTCGCCTCCCATATTTTGCCTTTGGCTTTGCCCCTCCATCGTAAGAAATTTTCTTAGCGCTAAGATTCAAACAGGAATCTAGAACTAAAAGAGAATATTTCAATCGCAGATGACCAGAATTTCTTTTGCCGCTAACATGCATATTTCTCGCTTGCATTCAAAAGTATGTACCTTGAAGCCGGAACCGGGATCCCTTCCCCCCCCTGCCGACTAATATTAGAATTTTAGAAAACTCCGCGTGACGCGACAGATCCGCATGATCCACAATCGTGCGGGTTTCATTGGTTTTTACCCGTGGGCCCCCCACATCTCCGATTTTGCCCAAAGCCGGCGAGTGGCGGTGACTTTTGCATAGTAGGGCTGCTTGCGTTTGGTATTAAATGATAGCTAACCCATCCCACTTTCTTTTCTCTCCCATCATCCATTCTTCTTCTCATTCACCTCAATTCCTCCCAATTATCTCACAATGGGTGCTGTGAAGCTCAACTCCAAGAACCTGGCCCAGATCAAGGCCGCCAACCCTTCCATCGAGATCCCCACATTCAAGCGCGGCGATGCTGTCAAGGAGGGAATCGTCCACGTCGGCGTGGGTGGTTTCCACCGTGCCCATTTAGCTGTTTACATCAACCAATTGATGGAGCACCATGGCTTGACTGACTACGCAATTTGCGGTGTTGGCTTGCAACCGTTCGATGCTGGCATGCGCGATGCCCTCAACTCCCAGGACTGTCTCTACACTGTCGAGGAACGTTCTGCGACTGGCAGCGTTGCCAAGGTTATGGGTGGTATCAACTCATACCTCTATGCTCCTGATGACCGTGAGGCTGTTATTGCCAAGATGGCACACCCTGATACCCACATTGTCTCTCTTACCATCACCGAGAGCGGCTACTTCTACAACGAAAACACACATCAATTGCAGGTCGAGAACCCCGACATCCAACACGATCTTGATACCAAGAACCTCCCCGTTACCACCTTCGGTTTCCTCCATCACGCCATGGCCCGCCGTCGTGAGCAAGGGCTGAACCCATTCACTGTTATGTCTTGCGACAACATGCAGGGCAACGGTGCTATCACTCGCAACATGCTTACTTCCTTCACCCGCATTATCGATCCTTCCCTTGCGGACTGGATCAACACCAAGGGCCACTTCCCCAATGCCATGGTCGACCGTATTACTCCCTCCACAGCCCCCGCCGATAAGGTTTCCCTCGCCGAGCAGTTCGGCATCGAGGATGCATGGCCCATTGTCACCGAGCCCTTCATGCAGTGGGTTATCGAAGATCACTTCTGTGATGGCCGTCCTCCCTTCGAGAAGGTTGGAGTCCAGATCGTCAAGAATGTTCAGAATGTCGAGGAATTCGAGAAGCACAAGCTCCGTTTGCTTAACGGCAGCCACGCCATTATCGCCTACGGTGGTCAATTAGCAGGATACACATACGTTCACGAAGTGATGGAGAACCCTCTGTTCGCCAAGTTCGTTTGGAACCAGATGCAGCAGGAAGTGAAGCACACACTCCCCGACATCGAGGGTCATGACGTCGACCAATACTGCAAGACCCTGATTGAGCGCTTTGCCAACCCCCCAATCCGCGATCAGCTTCCCCGCATCTGTGGTGGCGGTACTGGCAAGATTCCCCAGTTCATCATGCCCACTATTGCTGAGGCTATCTGGGTGACCGGCCCCTTCCGCCGTCTGTGTTTCACCGCTGCCACCTGGTTCCACTACATCCACGGTGTCGATGACAATGGCAACAAGTTCGAGGTTCAGGACGCTATGCTCGATGAGCTCCGCGTTCTTGCTAAGCCCGGTGACCCCACTGGTCTGCTCAGCATCAAGAGCCTGTTCGGTGACGATCTGCGTGGCGACAAGCGCTTTGTGGAAACTCTGACCATCGCCCTGGAGGATATTGCACGCGATGGCGTCATCAAGTCTCTCCCCAAGTACATTGACTAAGTCATAGGCTTTGGGCTATAGATTTGGCGAACATTACCCGTGTGTTTGTTTGGTAGCGATCGCGTTTTTTCCTAATACTTTTTTTGAGCATGTGCCACGGAGGCTTTTAGTTAAAAGGCAGGAAGGATATGGATAGAAAAAAGTGGGCTGCGATAGATTTAATTGGAGCATCGACTCGGATGAAAGTTGATGCTGTGACGAATGAACGTTTGCTGGACTCGGAAGGTCAATTCGAGGAAGGGATTTTCCCACCAGTGTACTTTAGCTCTTGAAGTTTGATTCAAATGCATTTTCATAATAAGCCAAATTTGGCTCTTGCACTTCTGCACAACCTTACGCCCGATTAAAACAGCCATGCTTGTAAAGAATCATATGTTGAACCTCCGCGGACCTTCGGGAAGCTTGTCCGCAAGTTCGCCCGCTTCGAGCCGACCTTGGAAGCCGGACATTCTTTCCTCGGCCAAATATCACCCAGTGATCCTGGGCTGACTATTATTCTGACAGAGATCAGTGGAATAGGTTTTGGGAACCTTGTTTTTGAAACAGCTCATTTGGCTCTCGTCAATTAGTATGATGTTTCCTACGCATGATATATAGTGTGCTTGAAAAGCGAGTTGAATCGCCCGGGCTCGAGTTGCGTATCCTTCAATGGAGTCAATTAACATGGAACGTAGATGAGTATGAACAGGTCAATATCAGAATTTAAATGGAGCCTTGTCTGATTCAGATAGTCCAAAGAATTTTGTATATAAAACGGGTTGCGTGAAATCTCATCCATACCGTGACTACGCCTCCGAGTCCATATTTTAGTACGTCATATATACATATTCGCATGCCAAACACCATTTACATCTTACAAGGCCTCGTTCTAGCTAGGTACCCTTTGAAATTACAGCCCAATTCATCTGCCATGGCAGTAAAACTTCGCACCGATCGTAATTCGCCGTAGTCGGCGCAGGTGTCCCAGGCCGGCGTATTGCCTGCGTCTTCGTGACAGCCGGATACAATGTTCATATCCACGATATCGTGGCCAAGGCGCTCGACGACGCGGTACTATACGTCGAAGCGACAAAGAGGAATTTTCCCTGATGCTAAGGATCAGCAAAGAGAAAGAAAACATCGGCGGCGTGGAAACAGAAGGCGAGACGCAGAGGGAAACCCAAACAGCAATCACCAAGATCGATCTGGAATCCTACTCGCACCTGCTCCATTCGGCCCTTGTAAGACATTTACCGAGCTTGAACCGGCGGTGCGTGATGTTTGGCTCGCTGTGGAAGTTGCGCCGGAGAAAGTGGAGCTCAAGAAATATATATTGGCGGCCCTTGATACTAAGACGCTGTCGGATTGTATTCTTGCGTGGAATAGCTCGTCATTTAAATCTAGTTTGATGAGCTCGAAGGTTTCGTCGGAGCGGAGGAAGAAGGTTCTCAACGTTCATTTCACGATGCCGCCTTCTATTCGGACTGTGGAACTTATGACCAATGGTGAGACTGACCCGAAGATAGTCACTTACCTGGAGGATGTCCAAGGAGAGTGCGGCATGCTGCCAGTAACTGCTCGCCGTGAAACAACCGGGTAAGTTATATCTCCACCAACCGCATTGAGTTCCAAAGTTCGCCATCTCATGTGTCCTGTTCGCAATATATTCGTCTTCAACCGGCTCTGGGCAGCCGTCAAACGTGAAATCGTCCAAATCCTCTCCGAAGGCGTCAGCGACCCCATCGAATCCACAGTCCGCGGCTAAAGACATCTACATTTTAGACGTAGGACTCGGCTCTAACTTAAGAGACGTATGTCAAGTTCATCATAATGGTAAGATACTGCGCTGGAATCTGGCAACGCAGCGATTGGCCCCTGTGATGGTTGGGCAAAACCTGCCTGATGGAATTGACGTCTCCTTCGGCACGCAACGAATCTTCTAGACAAATATGGGCCGCAGCACTGCCGTGAAAGATGGATCTGTCTGGTCGGCGAATCTTGATGGACGCGATGTTTCCTGCCTCGTATCGCAGGGTAAAGTGAATACTCAGGAAGCAGATCGCGGCGCTTGATGCTCGGCAGGAGGTATACTTCTGTGACCGGGAGGGTACCAGCGTGCACCGTTGTAAATTTGACGGAAGCAACCATGAGATTTCGATGCAGAGGCACGTGGATAAAGAAGAATCACTGCTTGAACAGATGCGGTCGTGGTGCGTTCGCATTGCGATAGACTATGAAAACGCCCTCATGTATTGGACACAAAAAGGTCCCAGCAAGGGTGGCCGGGGTCGAATCTTTCGCGCTGGAATTGATATTCCGCCTGGAGAGACAGCAGACAACCGCTCGGATATTGAGATGATGTCGGAAGACCTACCGGAGCCTATCGATATAGAGATCGACAGTGAGACCCCGACTCTATACTGGACAGATCGGGGCTAGCACCTCCTGGGCTGTTCGTTGTACTGTGTTTATGTGGGTGGAGAGAAGATTGATTTTCTCCAAAAGGTGATTGTGGCGCGGCATTTCCATGAGCCGATTGGGTTAAAGCTATATAAAGTGCATGGTATTGTGTATGTTGCGGATCTGGGTGGCAGCTTGTATTCGGTTTCGTCGGACGATGGGTTGAAGGTTGAGCTAATTCGCAATTATGGATGCTACACAGGGATCACCTTGGTTTGAGCTTTCGAATGTATGTAAAAGCATTGTACCGGTAGTTCATTGAATATATTCAAGTTGTTCTGACACTGGGCCTGCTGTTTACCGCTATATGACCTGTCTCCTGGTTGAGAATGAAACCACACTTTGGGACGTTTCAGGATTGGCCTCTTTGCAAGACAATGGATATTGACAGCGATGTATCACAGCAAGAGTCATGATGATTTATTTTTAGGATCATAATCTGCAGGGCTGTACTCCAATGATCCCTGCATGATCTCCACAGCAGCGCTTCCAACCACTTCCAACCATGTCCGGGAATGAAGTCTGATGATTGATAGGTGTTAAGGTATGAAGGAATGTTTCCAAACTTGTATAATCCACCTGGGCACTGACATACTCCTCATCTATTACGGCGTCATAGTCGCATGTTCGAAATAGTAGCATCGTACTCCGTACTACCCTGCCACCAAATTACATCTCCAAATGCAGGGGCAATCAGCGTTTTACCCCAACCAATTAGCCAAAACAAAGTACCTAGGTAAGCTACAAACTGGCAGGGTAAATTAAAACCAGGGTGATCGACAGCAGCACTAAACTGTACAGTACCTGGGTACTCCAGACATATCGGATAAATGCCACACGGTCTCCAAGGTATCATCGTCAGCTTAAGCCCCAACCCCACAATATCCCCGGAAGAAACCTCTTCTTTACGTCTAGCATCATCAATATCGGCAGCATCGGCAGAGAGCCTAACCTATTGAAGAGACATCCCCAGTCGATCCCACCAACCCCTCAACCCAACCCCCACGCCAAAATACAACGCTGCTAAATGCCCCCTTGACTCCCACCCAACCCCCTTCGTCGTCCCCACCAGCTCCACTGCAATGCCAAACAACAAGCAAGACTACCTGTCGATCCATTCCAATTCCCCCGAAACGCGCTCCGTTTTAAGTCACGCATACAATATGAGCGATGTTCCCTCTTCCGAGGGCTGTTGTGATCATCCCACCCGCGTGTCGCGTATATCATACATCTGTTTCCACAACTTCTCTCGGGGTTTTGTTGATGAACTGAGTTGATCATATCCTATACTCCCCTGTTCACACAAGGAGTCCATCCGCAACCATGCGTCTAACAACTCTCCTCCCAACCCTGCTCTCAATATCGCTCCCCATAACGAGCACCGCTGCAAAACCACCAGCACCGTCCCGCCTCTGGGCAACGCACTACAACGGCAATGTTTACACCCTCAGCCTAGACAAAAGCACCAGCAACCTCTCAATAACAGACACGCAAAAGACATGCGGAAAGATGCCCAGCTGGCTGACCTTCGACTCCGAGTCTCGAATCGTCTACTGCTCGGATGAAGACGGTACCGCCGATCTCTCCACGCATGGCTCTCTTACAGCATACCACCCAGACCGACAAGGTAGACTGCATGAGATTACCTCCGTCGAGACAGTCGGCGGTGGTGTCGATAGTGTTATTTATGAGGTTGGCAAGGAGAAGTTCATTGCTATTGCGCATTAGTATGTTCCATTCCCTTCCCGTGATATCAAGAGTAAAGCCATCACCATAGCTATACTATAACTATACCATCACCCCCATCATGAAAAACATTGGAAAACTAACATCCCCCCAGCGAAGGCTCAGCCGTCTCAACCTTCAAACTCCCCCCTAAACCCCTCAAGCACCTCCGCCCAAGAATTCCACTTCAAACTCACCCACCCCGGCGCCGTACCCCAACAAGACTCACCACACCCCCACTCCGTCTTCCTAGACCCAACAGGCTCATTCATCCTAAGCCCCGACCTAGGCGCCGACCTCCTCCGAATCTACAGCATCTCCTCAACCGGAAAACTCACCACCTGCCCCCCCCCCGTAAACGTAACATTCGGCAGCGGCCCCCGCCACGGCCTCTTCTGGACAGATGGAACAGACAACCACACCGCAAGCACGGGAACAGGAATAAGCCATCAGCGCGAAATGGCCGCCGTCGGCAAAACAATGCTCTACCTCGTCAACGAGATCGGCGGCACGATGATGACGTTTGACGTCTCGTACGCGCGAAGCGGCTGTCTGGACCTAAGCCTCAAACAAACGCTCGTGCCTTACCCAGCCGCGGACCAGAAAGATCACAAATTGCCGTCCGGCGCGACGCCGGCGGAAATCCGCCTTGTCGGTGATAAGTTTTACGTGTCGATTCGGAGTGATCAGGGGTTTGCGCCGGGGGATTCGATGGTTACGCTTGATCGGGTGCCGGGGATGGGCGGTAAAGGTTGGTGGCAAGAGTAATGCGTGGGGCAAAGTGCCGCGGACTTTTGCGGTGAATCGGGCGGGGGATCTGGTTGCGATTGGGAATCAGGCTTCGGCTAATGTGGCTATTGTGCGGCGGGATCGGGTTACTGGGGAGCTTGGGGAGAAGGTTGCTGTTTTGCAGGTTGGGGAGCCTGGGACGGTTGGACAGGCGGAGGGGTTGAGTAGTGTCATTTGGGAGGAGTAGGAGGATGAATGATCTGATCCTTGGGAAAGAGAGATGGTGGTGGGAGAGGCAGGTTGGAATAGTTGGAATGAATGTAAATTGAATGTCATTGCGAAGATGGCGCGATGTTCGTGGGATCGGTTGTCCATGTCACGGCCATCCTCTTTCTATAAACGATGTAACCAAATGTAAAAGAACTTATTGCAGTGCAGGGCAGTACAAGCTTGCATTTCGTATCCTCAGAGGCATGTAAGTCAGGAATCAGCGCATAAGTCATGGTCCAGAGAGCATATACACGAAAAGAAAGAATAAAATCAGAAAAAACCCAGCCGCCCAGGATGCCACCAGGGAAATCAACCAAGAAGCAAAATCAATGAAGATTGAAGAATGAAGAATCAATGAATCAGTGACCCAAAAATAAAAGACCAAGACCAAAAAAGACCAGCTTTTTTTTTGTGGATTTTGTTTGTTCGGTAACCTGCACCGACGATAAATTATAAACTGCGTGGCGTGAGAGAAATTGTACTGTTGATTGACGCCGACGCTGTGGCGATCTTGCCGTATTGCAACGTGAATGGTGAATGTAGATTGAAGAGGGGAAAAAAGAACGTGTATCGAGCGTAAGTCATAATATCCGTAGGCCCCTTGGGAGTATAGGCGCCTGCCGACATGGTGCGTGGTATCATTTAATGTCTAGCTGGAAAGCTTTCCACTTCCCGCCAACTGTCCGGCATCGCGGGCATCCCCGAGCAGCACTCGGATTCGGATAGCTCGTTGGGCCAGGCGGCATGTTGAGAGGACCGTTTCCTGGACTTCGGAAGGAAGTCGGTGGAGTTGTGATGAACATGCCAACGCAATCACGGCAGACTCCACAGATACATTCTGTACAGGCGTAGCATTCATTGAGCGCCCAAGGGCGCTTGCACTGGGCGCAATAAATTTGAATCTCCTTGTTGCGGAAAGAGGACGGCGTTGGGTTGGAAAAGCGGTGATGTTGGCGTTGAGAAACTGGCGGAATGAGATTCAAGACTGGACTTGAATCGGAATTGACGGAGTGGGCTGGACCTGATGCGGATGACGGGAAGTTCTTTCCAGATGCTGTGGACATGGAATCAAGTGAAGATTCGATGGATGGAAATGGTTCAAGGTCGCTATCCCGGCCGCGGTGGCTTTCAAATGGTGGCGGGGTAAGTGACTTGTGCAAAGGCGAAGCGGCATAAGAATGAGGCGGGAATTGTCGGTGCGAGCTCAGCGGGGGAAGTCCAGGTCCCGATTGGAAAGCTGGGGGTAGTGAAGACCGATTCTTGGCTCCAGGCGCTGATGTCACATTGGCGAGAAGTGGAGCGATCGTAGGCGATCGACCAGCCTGGGAAGACGAGTTTAGAACCTAGGACCACAGGGGAATATTGCCAGCATAGATGGGCAAAAGCTTACCTCGGAGTATCTCTCATCATCAGCCTCGGTCGCAGAAGTCGCCGCTTCAATCAAATCCTCCCAGCGTTTGCCCTGGGCCCAAGCGGCCGTTTGCGGCTCTGCCGAAAGAGCTTTGCGATCACCGAGACTTGGTCGCCGAGGAAATTCCTTCGATCTGGGTCGTTCATGCTTGGGTTTCCGGGCCGATTGTGAGATGGATGATTTGCGCGACCGGGAAAACTTGTCTTTTCGCTGAATTGGAGGAAGTGTAGATGAGCGACCGGGGGAGAATGGTTGAGAATGGACGGAAGAAGTTCTCGCGGGCGAGGCGCTGAGAATGGTGGGAGGGATTCCTGCTTGAAATGGTCGCGCAGCGATGGGAGTTCAATAGAGGAGCGCATCGGGCCTGGATGGAGTTCGGTGTCGGAGTGGGTATCCTGAGGAGGGGGAAAAAGCGCGGGGTTAATGTCTTGAGCTGTCGGGAGGTGGGAAAAGTGGGACAAACCATGTCTGTATCCCAGTCGGAAGCTAAACGGTGATGGTGTAATTGAGCGAGGGCAACAGCAGCAGTGGCAGCAGCTGGGTGAGGTTCATCAAGAGCTCGAGGAGTAGCCGGGGAACTGGCGTCGGCGACGTAGATGTCTCTATCCGCCACATCTGTGGGTAGCTGTTAGCGATAGTCGCGGGGTAAAAAGCATTCAGCCACCAGAGCACAGAAGGGAAGCCAACCTTGGAATTGACCGTGACCATGGTGACCATGTCGACGACGAGGTGGTGCAGGTTCAGGTGGTGATAGTTGGGTCCGTTGGTCCGGCGGGGTGTTGACCATCAAGAGGAAGCTCTCTTCGGTAGCCGGGAGCTTCGGGATGTAGTGGTTCGGATGCGCACGTCGGATGTGCTCCTGCATGGAGCGATAGCGCTTTTCCTGTGGGGCAGCATTTGGTCAGATTGCGATCAAAGCTGGACTCTGATCGAAGGATCGAAAAAGAGTCATATATCGGCACATCTGTGGGGGAAGTCCTCGATAGAATATGGAATACACTCTGGGGTGGGGCGGAGAGGAGGGGGCGAAGAGAGAGAGAGACAGCTTGTGCTAGCTGTGGGTGCTGGGGATACTCACTCCGAGACATCTCTTGCGACAATTGGAGCCATCGTTATTCTTCAAGGGACACACCACTTCATTGTTGGCGTCGGTGACCGAGAAGGAGCTGGTCAACGAGCTTCTGGGGGGCATGGTGAGGATGAAGGCAGAGGCAAAGGCAAAGGCAAAGGCGAAGACGAAGACGAGATGAAAGATGGAGGGAGGGGAGAAGAGGAAAACAGACGAGGATCAGAGACACTCTCCAGATTAAGAAACGAACTGAAGGCCGGGATTGGCATGCATGCTCTGGGGGAGGAAGAAAGAGTAAGAGTAGAAGAGTAGAAGAAGAGGAAGAGGAAGAAGAGTAGAAGCAGAGCAGAGCAGCGTAGTAGTCTCAGTACTGGTCAGTAAGTGTATTACCGGTATCCCCCAATTTGGTCGAAAGAAAAAAAATAAAAAAGGAGCTCTTCCTCATGGGATTTTCTGGAGTTTATTTCATAGCAATTTACATTTATACATCTCGTGGGCACTGTTCTTCAGCTGAGATACTTTGTACAATATGCAGGGCATCAGCTGGTCGTGAGCTGGGCGTCGTGGTATTGAGTACACTTGGACTTGGTACTAGGTACGGTATTTCGGCAAATCCGGTGCAAAGCTGCCATGGTCGGAATTTTAAAGCGACTAGAATATCAGATACATGGACGCATGGGAGAACAATACTCCATATATGTATGAATATCCTATGAAATGAGCGAGGACCTTCTTGAGGTACTCACCTCAAAGTAAGGTAGGGCAGGGTTATCGATAGTTGGATAGAAGATAGGCGCTATCAGCGGCCCCTCCAAAGCTCTCCCCAGCTCGAAGCTCACCTTGATTCTGGAAGCTTGGGATGTGGCAACTTACCTTACCGTTTCATACAGCAGTATTAGTACCACTAATACTGTATTTTACAATACTCTGCCGATACGAGGCGCACATAATGGTAGCTATTATTAAAGCTATGTATCAGCAGAGCTACAACTATGCTATAGCTAGGGTAGAGTAACAATACTCCACGCACTACTCGTGTACTACTAGTACGGAATACAGGAGAATGCGGAACAAAAAACCAAGTCAACGGCATTCAAGCGGACAAGCTCGGAGTGGCACCGGCCGAGGCTCCCGCTAGCAGCACGGAGAGCAACCGAAGTCATTCTACTCCGTCCACTGAGTCTAGATATCTATAAGTAAGCAGACACCTATAAAGGATACCTAGGTATACCAGTGTTTGTATTCTAGTTATTCTTGAATAGCTATTCAACATTGAATAACTGACTATCTCACCACTCTCAGCTCTCGCTCTCGATTTCCACCACTTACAGGGTTAACTTAGTCAATACCATACAGTATCAGTATCGGCACGGCGCACATGCCGAAGCCATCTGAAAGTAGCCTGATTGGCCATCGCTAAAAGTGGAGGACAAACCTCGCGAATACCTGCACTGCCATTCGCTCGCGTTGACTGCGGCAAGGGCGCCATGCCGCATGGGGATGCCCGTGCAGGAGGGGTTTGTGGAAAAATCTGCACTGAGATGGCGTGGTGATACTGGCGAGACTAGGTACGTTACCCTTTTCTGTACCTGGACTTACGTACAGTGACCTGCTAGTTATTAGTTAGGAACTACTGTAGTAATACTTATCTCCCCATATCTCCAGCTAATATCCCCCGTCCCGCCCCGTGCGAAACCCCGAGTGGAGCTGTACTCCGTGGTCCGTCTTACGTATGGTAATATGTAAATGTACTAGAATAGATTCGGAATACAGTACAGTAACAGCTGACACTGATCCCGCGATCTCTTGCCGTTTCCTAGGTTATGATTAACTGGTTGTAGTTAGGAGTTATTCCGGTGGCTGATCCTGGTCTATTGGGTATGTACCAGGGCAACTACAGCTACTTGACAAGCTATCCCTATGTATAGAGCCTTGGAATAGAGTACGGAGTACCCAACCGGGAATTAAGTTGAAGTCGCCCAATGAGATGCTCAGCTATTTTGATGTCAAATCCCGAAAAAAACATTCTATGTATGTGCAAGTATGAATGTATGATCGTTTCTATCTTCTCTAGTGCATACTGCGTACTTTGGATTTCATGCCTCCTCCAGGACGAACCAGTTCCCTGCGGCATGCGAACACGCACGCTAGGCAACTCGTCGCCACTGCCGAGGGGGCTCTCACCACTTGGTCAGTGCGATTTGTTTCAGTTTGTTCAGCCCCTGTGCTAAAATAGGAACACATTATCTTGATTGAAACCATGTAAGCAAGCAACAAGGGAAAATGGAAAGTTAAAGATGAAAATCAATTAGTACAAGAAATAAGATCTATAATGCCGCTGAGGAAAGAATTAGAGCCCAGACTCAGCTAAAACAAATCACCCGCTCCCCTCCAACGGTGGTGTCAACATCCCATCAACCTCCAAAGTCCCAGCCTTAGCACCAACCTGAACTTGACCTTGACCCCGACCCTTCCCATCCAACCCAGCAAACAAGAAAAGCACCGCCTCAGCCGCAGCCCTAGAATCATCATCATCATCCTGTAACCCAGACCCATCCCCCAAATCGCACCCAGACCCAACTGACCGCTCAATAAACCCAACATACTCCTCAACATCCCCCTGCTCCCACCTAAACCTCTGCCCAAAGTACCGACAAAGCTCCGCATTCAGCCAAGCGTCGAATTCAAAGTGGCCCTGATACGTCAAAATTCGACCGGGCAGGTACAGGCCTTGGATCTGGCAGGATGCGCTGTATCCGATATTCATCCATGGCGCCGGGAGTTGGGGATCTTTTTCGTCCAAGGGGACGACGATGTCGCCGTGAATTAGTTGGATGCGGAATGGACTGGTCGTGTGACGCGCGAGGGGTGGGAAGTAGGCTGTGAATTCCGGATTCAGGGTAATAGGTTGGATGCCCATCTCGAAGCCCCTTGGTGAGTGTTCCACGTGGAAGGATTGGGTTATTGCTTGAGCGGCATCATTTCCAAGGGCAAGGCCGAGTCCTAGTCCGTCTGGGCGAGCGGAGAGAAGAGCTTGCGCAATAATCTGATGTCCAAAGCATGAACCGAAGAATTTAACGAGCGGATAGTCTCTGTGCACGATTTGAATGAATGTTGCCAGAGAGCTAATCCACGGGTACGGGTCATAGGCCGATGCCGAAGAGCCGCTGATTAGGATTGCGTCGATGGCGCTGAAGGCTGGTGGAGTGCGAGGCTCTGCTGCATTTTGCGGCGTGGTGCGTAGACATTCGAGTGGTGGGAGGGTTCCGCCTACTGCGTCGAAGGCTGTGATGTGCACGGATAGTGGGGATGAGGGGTCCCTGATATTCTTGTTGAGCCGTGTTGCGGCGGCTTGGAGAATGTTCTTGAATTGGGAGCTGTAGAGGCCGCGTTTGGCGTAGACGGATTGGCAGGGGATGTCGGCGTCTAGAACGGCGACGTGGATGCGGTGCGGGGCCATATCATGCGGGGTGTCTGTATGCGCAAGGTTGCCTCAGGGTGGTGGTTAATATAGATGGTTGTAGTAGCGATGGTATTAAGATCAAGGAGTGATGGTATGTAGTGAATGAATGAATGGAGGTGCAGCAGTATGCTGCGAAGATCAGGTGAGTGCTACAGTAATAGAATTGTCGAGGTCTCTCGACAATTCCACTTGATGACTCGACTCGGCGTGTCCCCGACAAGGCGTGGGGTGGAGTCGGATCCGAATGCCCGATGTGGGTTTTTGTGAGTAATCTGGTGGAGAGGACAAGCCCGAAGAGGAAGCCGAATCCTGGTCTACATTGTAGTTTTGAAGTTAAGGAATGTTTAGTTTGGGAATATAACTAGATAGCAGATATCCATCTATACAGAAAACAGAACCGCAAGAGTTTCCTAGAGAAGACTTCTCTACACAGCGGATTTCTTTTGACGTGGGCTCATCTGAATTGCCGCCGCTTTTGTGAGAGCACTCAAACTTTGGAGTTCGGGCTCAAGGTGGAACTTTTTTAAATGAATACAGCAGGTTCCATCAGATTCACCCACCTATAGGATATGTGAAAGATAGTTCACTGAAAAGTAACCAAGTTCGTGAATAGAGAAGCACAGTGCCAAATATCTCAATATGAAATGAAAATTTGAATTCTGACATAGTAAGAGGCACATTCAAGTACCTAGGTAAGATATCTAAATACCCTATGGATCTCAAAGGATAGGCTATATGCCGGGAAATCTATTAAGCTGTAAATAGTACTACTAGTAGTACACGCCCAATTATTGCGTCGCCTTGCAGCTGGTGCAGTAATTTCGAGTGATATGACAAGAGTTCGACAGATACGTAGTTCCGCATTTATTGACACTGTCATTTTCCTTCATATACGCGATGCTAGTAAAGTTGTTAGTGCGCGCTCGGAAATTTTCAAAAAGCTCTTGACTTACGCATCCTTGATCTGACGCCCAGTCATGCCAAACCCATAGTCGTCATTGTCACAAGTAAACATGGCCGCACATCCGGCTTTGCCGAACGTAGCAGCCACAATGATGCCGCTTTTGATATTGGCCGTGTAGGATGTGTAAGACGAGTAGACTGTGTCATCTACATACTGCTCGGAAGCTCTATCGCAGGCATCGTCGACACTATGGCATTGGGCTGAACCTTTGTCATTACTGCTTGTCTGGCTTGGTGAGGGAGTCTGCAATGTCACGGGTGTGCCCGCGCCCTGAGTAGCAAAATCGGTAAATATTTGGGACGGGTAAGAGATTATTTCGCCGTTCGCTGAGGTGGTGACAAAAGGAACGGGTGTTGGTGTTGGCGTTGTGGGAGTGAAGGTTGGCGTCAGCGTGATCTTAGATGGAAAGCTTGTGTATTGCCAGCACCCCCCGGAGATAAGGGAGGCTGTGGCCCAATATGTTTGCCCCTCTGTGTATGTTGAGCATTGGCAATGAGGGCTGGTGACGTCCGGGCCGCCTTTATTCAAACACATATAGTAGCTGACCGCTGGTTGTGTCGTTGGGCTAGGAGTAATCGTTGGGCTGGGAGTGGTCGTCTGGTTGGGAGTGGTCGTCGGACTAGAAGTGGATGTTGCTCCAGGGCCTGAGCTATTTGACGGAGATGAGTTTGAGGAAGATGAGTTTGAGGGAGATGAGTTTGAGGGAGGTGAGTTTGAGGGAGATGAGTTTGAGGGAGATGAGTTTGAGGGAGATGAGTTTGAGGGAGATGAGTTTGAGGGAGATGAGTTCGAGGGAGATGAGTTTGAGTTTGAGGGGGAGGGAGATGAGTTTGAGTTTGAGGGGGAGGGTATATTCGAAGAGTTGTTTGCACCGGGAGACGAGGACGGGGACTGAGAGCTTTGCGAAACGCTTGATTCGGTTGTTGCTGAGCTGGCGGGAGCTGTCGAGACGATCACAGAAGATCCAGAGGACGTCGACCCAGCTGAACCCGATGTGGTTGGAACGTACGGAACCGACAAAGGCGCCTTCGTCTTACTAGGTACGATTCTGGTTGTTTTTCTGAGTTGACAGGATCCGTATTCAGTAGTTGTGACGGTCATTGAGGTTGGGGAAGCATTGCAGGCAGTCTCGGTAGTACAAGTGACTGTACTAGACGTGCTAGTTGATGGTGTAGTCGATCCATCTCCTCCAGTAGTGAAAGTTGAAAGCAGAACTGTGGTCGTCGTGCAGTCTGAGAAAGTTGTGCTTGACGTGCAAGTAGAAGATGATGTCGAGGATTCTGATTCCGATGATGAGTTATTGTCCTCATCATCCTTGATCTTGTTCTCCATGTCGGTCACAATGTTACTGATCTCAACCAGGTAGTCAGAACCCTTTTTAATAGTGTTCTCAATGTCGTCCGTCAACTTAGATACATCATCGGGGATCGTCTTGAGCATGCTATCGGCAATTGGCTTGATACAGCTGAGTGCATCTTCTGCAATGTCCTTGGCAGTATCTACTGCACCTTTAGCAACGTTGGCTGCACTAGAGGCAAGGTTTCCAATAGCACCAAAAAGAGATCTCTTTCTCAGAGAACCGGAGCCCGAGCAAGGGGACTTGGTCGAGGGGTATCCAATCTTAGAGAGGTAATCCTGAGACTTATCCTCAACATCTTCGAGCTTCTTTTTATAGTTCTCGGGGTCCGTCTTGAGTTGATCAATATTGTTATAGAGTCCTCTCAAAAAAATTGCAATGTCTGTGGCCTCTGAAATTGCTGCTGTGCCGGTAGTGGCACTCGACGGAACAGAAGTTAGAGTACCCCAGGGCTCCGATGATGGAGGAGCTGTGGGTCCAAACTCAAGAATTGCAGATTCCGTAGCAGAGCTGCTACCGGTTGGTATAAGTGAGACGATATCGGGGGCAGAAGAAAGATCAGCCGCCGACGGTTGAAGAGAAGACCCCGGGGATGGGCTCGAACCACCGGCTGATGATGAAGCTGGAGTCGAGGGTGCTTTGGGTGTGGATAGACTTTGTCCAGATGAAGGTGGTGCAGTAGTCAAAGAGCCACTAGTTGTCTGAGAACCCGTGCTGGGCGAGCCACTCCGTAGAGACGAAGATGACCCGGAAGATGTAGGTGATGAAGCAGGTCTGGTTGTTGGTACCTTTGAGGCAGAGCCGCTCTGGCTCGGTAAAGTAGGGTTGTTAGTTGACAAATGAGAGTGACCACTGCTAGAGCCCGATGTACCCGATTGACCGGGGGCGGAGGATCTTGGTGATTTAACGGGAGAGGATGATGGATTTGATGAACTCGGTCTTCCCGGAGTTATAAGAGGAGTAGAGGAAGAGGTGGGCCGAATTCCAGGCGTCGAGCCCGCAGAAGGTTTACTAGCAGGTTGGGTGCTTCCTGGAGAAGCTGTGTCAGGGGATGGGATAGCGTTGGAAGAGGCACTATGAGTTGAAAGAATAGCGCTGTAGTGAATAACTGGCATCATGCCGTCAGGGACTGTGACAGTTGTAGTAAACTGCTCCCGGTGAGCCTGGCTTCTACTAAAACTGCTCAGAGGAGTCGATGAGAGACTCGGGCTCGATGCAGCCGGCGGATGTGCCGTTGTGAAGTCGATAACGGGAGTAAACCCGTTCGCCACTGTGAGGTTGGCTTTGATAGTTGTTGTCCATTCTGCACTGGCCCCCTCTAGGAGGTGGAAAAGCAGTAGAATCGCGCTTTTAGACACCATATTGAAAGTGTGAAAACTTGAACGTATTAATGGAGTAAGAGGAAGAGCGGAATGAGACTTGGGTAATTATATCTGTTATTTCCTGCTCCACGGAATTCATGCCTGGGGCCAATTCCAGGGGTTAATCTGAATGGTACTAGATTGGGAAACCCGCTCTGAGTAAAGTGGAATGAGTCCCTTTTCGTCAGGGCCCGCAGATTAGCTCGAGGCTGCAGCCGCTGGTGGCTTACAATTAGGGTTTTGAGGAGACCGACGGGACATGTCAAGCTTTCCTATGGTGACAAATAATCGCTGGCTGATCAGGATAGGTCTTCTTTTAAAGGTCCTCACTCAAACTCACCGTCTCATTGAATTTCAACATCATCATGTATTTACTATGAAGAATTGAAGTTGGCTGTGAACTCCGTTCCTGGCAGCTTCATCTTGCCCAGAGTCCATATCCATTGTGATGACATGTACTAGAACACTCTCTAACGCTAACGAGGCTGAGCATTTTGAAAGGTCTCCACGGCGCTTCTTGTCAGATTTTGGATCGTTTCAGCTATGAATAATATGCCGATCAATACCATTGGCAGAGCATGTTTTGGGGGCTAGAAACACAGCCGATCTTTTCGTTACAACGTGTATTTAGTGAATAGGAGAGCGCTCAAAATCTTCACACCCTATTCTGACCCTTTATCACTGTACTAGGGAATCACTATACAGCCGTAGGAAATTGAAAATATCAAACAGACAAGGAGTGGAAGAAGACTAGAGGAGATACTTTGATATGTAGTTAGTAGGCGATTTCAAGAATATTCTGAGGCTCCTCGGCCCCAACCCTGGGCGCACTTTAAGTTTGTGAGTGACATTAGGGATCATCAGTCTCAGGGCTGAAGACTCTAAACCGGCCAATAGCGGAGATCAAATCTTAGGGCCGAAACTTTCTACAGATTACAGTGGCAAGCCCGTCAGCTGAGTGGGGGCGACGATCATAAAGGACTAATTATTCCCTCACCTAGCGTGGGATCTCGACTGGCCTTTCGGGTATATAGGAGATTTTCTAGTTTTGGAGTCTCAATAGAAATCAAATTATATTATGCTTTTGTCATAAAGCATAGCAGTGCCCTGGATCCGATACTTCCACCCCCGACGCCAGATCATTCCCATTTCTCTTTTATAACTTTCAAACTGAGCCTGTACACTAGCGACAATGAATATCTTTAATCGATTTTCTCTCGCTCTTTTAAGCACAAATCTGCTTTTTGCGATGGGCACTGCTGTTCCCTACCATCGACACAAGCTCACCAAACGTTTACCGACAGATTGGAAGTTGTACAACGATTGGAACTACCAACTAGAGAACAACCCTTATTTCTGCGAAGAGTCTGCTGACGGTGATGTGGGAGACTACGTTCGAAGTACAAGGACACTCACTTGGGCAACTGAAAGTTGCGGAGAAATGGTAGCGACTTGGGACAAAACGCCAATCGCCAAAGGCGAGGTCTCTGTTTACAAGGGTACACTTCAGATCAAGAAGAATGGTGAAGTAGAATCTACGCAGGATGTGGCTGTCAAACGAGGACTTGCCGAGTCAACCAGCGCGATTCTCTATGGTGCCTCGTTACAGATTGAGCTTGGCAATAACGAAAACATTCTTGGAGCCCTTGGTGCCGTCGTTTCTAACGATGGTGAGGCTGGCAACGCGATTATGCCTTACATCTCGGGCAGCTCACTTGAACAAAACTTCGGTTCATTCTCGGATCAAAGTTCAGTCAATAGCGCGTTTAAGCAAATCCTCAACGCAGTATCCGCAGTCCAGAGTGCAGGCATCATCCACCGCGATCTCAAGCCCGAGAATTTTCTACTTGATGGTAGCACGCTGAAGCTTATTGATTTTGATACCGCGATCAAGGCCACAAGCTCAAGTGCATTCACTGTCGGTACCCGGACCTATGCTGCGCCAGGTAAGTTATAATTTCTCATTGCATTCATTAAGCCGAAACTAACATTATCGACCTAGAAATTGTCTCTTGGGGAACAAAATCTGGAAGCAACCCCAACGGAGGTCCTTACAACAACAAAGTGGATACATTTTCGATCGGAATGACATTCTTGGTCATGTCAGTGGCAGATCTGCAGAACGAAGACAACCGTTTTGATCTCTGGAGAAACCTTATTCAGCCTAATGGCCAGCTATGGCCTTCTGCCGATGACGTCGCAGGCATTCTGAAGGGGAAGAACTACGGTGTATTCAGCGACAATGATAATCTCCTCAACGTGATCTCAAAGGCGTTTTGTGAGCCGGATACTCGATACGATCCTCAAAGCTTCCAGTCCGCATTTGAGCGGGCAATATAGTGGGTAATCACCCATCGGTGATTACCAAGTGAAGTCTGAGCTCATCAGCCCCTGGCATAGTCTTAATACAGATATTTTCTTCTAAATCACCATCAACTGTTCGTCAATTCGGCTTTTGATATTCTAAAAGTACTTGATATAGCAAGATGTTCATAGATTAGATTTTTCCAAGTTTGATGTCATATAACTTCAATACGCCTGGGCAGGCTTTGATGATAGTATCGACCTAGTCTCCGAGTCCATTTCAGAAATTCCAGAGTTCAAGTGTAACTCATAACTATGAATACTCCCTACGGTCGCATTCCTTGTTTTTTTTCCCTCGATAATTTCAAGTTTCGCACTTGAATCAAGTATAGTTTTATTTCTGTGTACCTACCTAGGTAGGTACGAATGGTATGGTTGTTGCCTTGGTGCCTTGGTCGGATAGATCAAGTCAGTATGGGGCATCCATAGATACCTTACAGTTGACCAACTGTTCAAGAAATTACTAATGGAAAATCGGCCAGCCGGTTATTAATCTTCAAATGTAGAGCATATTATCGGCCGAGTATATTTTGGGTTAAGATAGATCAAGATTCGATTTTCAGATATCTGGAAAGCTCGTGCCGATGGCCCGGAAAACTTCCACAGTTACATTTGGACTATGCGGAACAGCACTCCGTCTTTAATATTCACTTTACTTCACTTTTAGTATTGATCAGTAACTCCTATCTTATCAAGAGTTGCTCTAAATCATAGCTTCTTGAATGCTTTAATACTATCACATCATTGAGAATTTTGAGTAATTTCTCTCAATTTTGTTCAACTTTTGAAGTTGAGTACATCGCGATCGGCCGCGGTTATCACAACATCGACCCCACAAATTGCGCCATCTTCCAAATTCTTCCAATCAGCCATCACCGCCACATCTCAAACTTCCATTTCTCTAACATATGTTCCGCTTCTTGTGATTCGGCCCAGAAATCCCCCCCATCCTATAAGAATGATTCCCCGCCGGGTTCGCACGCCATACAGTCCACTCGATTGCTCAGCGACATAACGACATCGTCGTATATCTCGGCCGGGAGTACCTAGGTAAAAAAGATCAGTATAAATAGTTGCGGGTGGCCTATCCGAACACTTTAATACCCTCTCGTGCATTTTAAGATCTTCAGTACTTCTTTCCCCCGCTCTTTAGCAACAACGGCATTCATCATGGCTCCTGCGCTTACCGACGCTCTACCAACCGCCCCTCACAACCTGGCTGCCCCGCTGGACATTTTCCCTGATGGCCTGAGGACGACTGGTCAACATGCCCCTCTTTATGAGCACATCCGGCCATTCGATCGCTTCCCTCGCGAGATCTCTGGTCCCACTGTCTGGAAGCCCGAAGATTACCGTGAGAATCCGGAGAAGTGGACTCACAGGTTCACGCCCGAGCAGGTTGCCGAGCTCAGCACCGCAGCTGATGCTTTTCTTACCTCGAAGACTCCTTTGACTGGTATCTCAAAGGTAGGCATATGCATGGATTAGGGAAGATTGCCATATTGAGTGCTAATGGCTATGTAGAGCAACTTCCGCCTCCCCAATCTGGCAGATTACCTCGAGACTCTGCGCCTGGATATCATTAATGGCAAGGGCTTCATCCTATTCAAGGGCTTTCCTGTCGAGGAATGGGGCAATCACAAGTCAGCTGTCGCATACATGGGTTTGGGTACCTACCTGGGCTACTTCGTCAGCCAGAACAGCCGTGGCCATGTTCTCGGCCACGTCAAGGATCTGGGCGAGGATTCCACCCAAATCGACAAAGTGCGCATCTACCGTACAAATGCTCGGTAAGCATAGTCTAGCCCATATTTCAGTTTTCTTTGTCATTGGGCAATATCTAACATACCACAGCCAATTCTTCCACGCCGATGATTCAGACATCGTTGGCCTGCTCTGCATCGCCAGAGCCCTCGAGGGCGGCGAGTCTGATATCGTCTCTTCCCACCACGTCTATAACACCCTCGCCGCCGAGCGTCCTGACGTGCTGAAGACACTTACTGAACCTATTTGGTACTTTGACCGCAAGGGTGAGACCAGCAAGGGTGAGGACGAGTACATCCGCACTAGCGTTGTGTACCTGGAGCGCGGCGAGAACGGTCGTGTCTACACTAAGTAAGCTCCTCCTGTCAACTGCATTTATTAGTTATTTAAACCAACTAACCTCTTTCAGGTGGGACCCCTACTACGTCCGATCCTTGACCCGCTTCTCCGACGCAGGCATCATTCCCCCTCTCTCTGCCGAGCAGCAAGAAGCTCTTACCGTGCTGGAGGCAACCTGCAACCGTCTCTCCCTCCACATGATCCTCGAGGTTGGCGACATCCAGTTCCTGGCCAACTCCCACATTCTTCACGCGCGTACCTCTTACACAGACCACGCGCCTCCTCTACTCCTCGCCGCCACCTGATGCGTCTGTGGCTGGCGACGCCTGAGCATGAGGGTGGCTGGAAGTTGCCTTTCTGGGATAGCAATGAGAAGAAGCGTGGTGGAATTCAGGTCGATGACCAGCCACCCGTCGCACCTCTGGATGCAGAGTAAAAAGAGCTTCAAGATGAGTGAGATCTAGGCTGATGATTAATGACGACTCTATGTAGATATTAGGTTTCTTTTATTATTGAGTGATACCTCCATTTTATTTCTATTACATCCAAACCGACAAAATAGTATAACAAGTAAAAACCCCGTACATAGCAGCAAGTTACTAAAAGACCTTAAAGATGAACTCACCAGCTTTCAAAAGAAATAGATCATCAACCCTCCATCTGACTTTCAACCCTTGGCCCCAATTTTCTCCAAATACCCACCGACAGCACTCAAAGCACCCCGAAAAACATCCGACGACCCGGTAAGATGAACCCTCACAAATCCCCTCAACTCCTCGCCAGACCCATCAACCCCAAAGCACTTACTCCCCGGCGCAAGCAAAACACCCGTCTCCTCCTTAAGCCGAATACAAAACTCCACATCATCAACGGGGCCACCATCAAGCACAATCCGCAAAAACGCAGTAGCACCCGCAAAGGGTCTAACCATACTAACAGACGCAACCCTCTCAACAAACTGCTCCAGAATCTCCAAATTCACCCGCGCAATATCCAAATGCTTTCGCAAAATCTGCGGCCGACACCGCGGACTCAACGCTTCAATAGCAACGGCTTCGTCAAGGGTACTTATGGCATTGATGGTGTATAATCGCGTATTAAGCGCTGCGCTCATAAAAGCCTCACTCCGCGTCGCGATCCATCCAACCCGTACACCAGCCAAGCCCCACGCTTTACTCAGGGAGCCGGTGATGATAGCGTTGTCGAAGGCGTCTATTTCGGCGAAGGAAGGCGGGAGTGGGGTAGATGGGGGACCGTGGTATAATGGTCGGAAGATCTCGTCTACGACGACGAATATTCCTTGGGAATGGGCTAGGGAGAGGATTTCTTGTTGGAGATTTGGCGAGAGCATGGTTCCGGTTGGATTGTTTGGGTTGTTTAGGACGATCATCTTTGTGTTTGGCTTTATGAGGGCTTTAAGGGCTGTGATGTCGAGAAGATCTGCTGCTCCTGCGCCAGTTGTTGAATTTTCGTTTTTGCGTTGATGGGTTGAGTCAAGGCTTATTTTCCAGAGCGAGACTTGTGTGCCCGTTATTGCTTCAGGCATGTCTAGGAGCTGTGTGTAGGATGGATACATCGAGATGACGTGGTCTCCCGCTCGAAGCAGAGTCTGGAAAATGAGAGAGTTTGCGCCTGTCGCACCATTTGTTGTGAGGATGTTGGCGGCTGTTATTCTATCGTTAAATAGAGTCGCGATTGTGGTGCGGAGGGCTTCGCTTCCGGTTCCTGAGCCCAAAGCTAGAGGAATATTGTCCAAGGAAAGATTTTTTCTGGTCTGTGATTTATCCGTGGACAGTTCTATCAGGTCCTTGATAGAAAGAGCTGGTGTGGCGCTTCCAGATAGAATTGTTTTTGCGTCCTCATTCTTGGAAAGCCACTGCCAGTGTTTCCTGGTGAGTTTGATATTTTCGGCTGAAACGAGGCTGTATGCTTACCATTGGCAGCTCGAAAGAGGCGATATCATGCATTTTGTTGTACTAGTACTAGTCAACTTGAATTGAACGACGGTGTCTTCAGTTTTGAAAGTAGTAGGAAACAATCTACAGGATGAGAAGATTACAGACTGACTCACATACAAATCTCAAACTTGAAGTGGAGTGCAACTTGAACTTGAATTAGTCATGGCGGTCCAGGGAAGTGACTCATGACCAGGCGTCCGACTTTTGTTTACTTTGAGTTTGGTCACCTCCGAGCTGGCTTCTCTGGATAAAGTGCAAATACCTAAAGAGATGTAAATTCAGAACCCATCCGAGCAATTGAGACGAAAATTGTTGTAAACCTCCAGAGCTTCAAGTTCGCAAGGTTGGACGGGTGCCTACTAGGCGTACTTAACTAGAACCTTGGAACTTGAAGTCATTTTCACGGTACTAGCCTTGGAGTTTATGAAAGTCCTTTCCATCTAGAGCCCCTCTAAGATGAATGAAACCTGAATGAAAGCCATCCAGTCATACACATGCAATCTCGTCATATCTTGGGTAGTAAAATGGTGGGCGGCCGACGGGTGGGGCATATGCCGCCGGTAATATCCGACTTGCAACCTTGGAAATATGTACTGCTTCTCAATGGCTTCAGGAAATTTGATCGAATGGACGAATCCCTCGCTGGTGGAATCATCTACTAGGTCATGATTGAAAATTGGATTTGAAATCAGCTTCTCCTCTACCGTAAAGATACTAGTATAGTAGCAGTGTAGTATAAATGAGCATTCCTATCCGACCGACGGCAACTTCCAGTCTTATCTCCAAGACGTGATTTCTTATGAGTAACTCTTGAAGCTTAACTGTAGGTGCCTCTGGATTTAGCAACTCATTGGGTGGCTAAAGGTTTCTTTAACTGATTGCCTACAGATACGCTTCAATCTAGAAAAAACCTGATGAAGATGCCAGACGAACGTATCCAGATCCTCACAGTCAGCTTGAGTTACTATCTGACCGGCCATCGACTCGAGGACGTGATAAAAAAGGATTGGACCAAATCCCCTGACCAAGCGAAACGTTTTATGAATGTCGCTTTTGATTTTGACGGAGAAAATGTGCCGACCGCTCTGAATGAATTAAAGGAGAAACTGTTGCATCAGCATTGGGATGGCATCCTCGTCGGTTGGTGCATTCGCGGAAAGCCGCAACATACAACCATTTTCGAAGACGTGATTGAACTCTGCAGAAGTCTTCCGCAAGAAACGAAAATCCTCTTTTGTACAGGGCCGGATGACTTGATGCAAACTACTTTGAGGAACTTCCCTTGAAACCAGATTTTCCAAGGAGGCGTCATTTTGAAATCGATATACTGGTATGAATCGAGCTCAGTGGCGAGGGGAATCTGGCAATTTTTCTGTTTCTAGGTTTCCACACAATTAAATTTTGTATGGCCAGCTCGAAAGACAACAAGATCAGTTCGCATCAAGATCAATTCACATAGAGCAAAAAGAACATCAACTAACCAAAAAATTGACCGACGCAGGGGTCGAACCTGCAATCTCTTGATTCGTAGTCAAGCGCCTTGCCATTGGGCCAGCCGGCCTGGTACATATTGACATCGAAGAATTTGTGCGCTCCGAGCGGAGAGGGTACAGGTGGGTCCAAATGGCGGCGTGGGCGACCAGTGGGGCTCTGTGGATTCAGGATCATAAAATAAACCCTCAAGAAAATGTACACCCAAGAGTTTTAATATTGAACATGGCGACTTTGCGGTCTACCATTATTGACGTCCATTTCAACGATAGTATTTTAGTTAATAGCACATGCTCACCATCAACATAGATCAACTTGAATGCTACCAGTTGGATGCAAATGCCTCGGCGAAACAGACGGTTAATTCCGCATGCCAAAAATGGGGAATACAATATGTTCTACTTCCAAGATTGAGATGCCTGAACAGGGCTTTGATTCAGATAGCTCAACATTTATCAATGATGAAACGAAACATTAAATACAAGAGAAGCTGATTAGCTCAGAGTCTTGAGCTTGATATTTTTCTACTAGTATGGGGAATCAATACAAACCTGGTGCTTTGCGGATAACTCGCGGTTTGCCTAGTAGAGCCTGTGTGGATTTACAGGTATGGAAGCTGTCATCATTTGACCAATCGGGTTCTTCGGACTAATTTGTGTATCAATAGCGTCTCGCTTTAGTTTGGGTTCCTCTGAAGCCAAATCCCCGCAAGATGTCCGCATTTCCCCCGTCCGGGGCATCTTTACCCAGAAAATCTTCCCAAAAGCTGACTGCCTTTGCGGGGTTCGGCTGAAAGACTTCCGAGGCATTGATTTTCAAGATTTCAAAATAAGTTGATCGGCTGGGCCTCTCCCAAGAAACCATCATGATCTTTACAGAGTTGTCAAAGTAGCAATTGTGAAGATGAGAGTTCCTTTCGCATTCGCTGTTACGAATGTGGCCACCTGTGTGCTAGCGATCCTGAGCCCCCGGTAACTAAGCTCTCTCGTTTAGCTTGTGAAAGCGTTCTGATTCATGGGTTATCTAGAGAAATATCGCGATCTGCCACGTTATCAAATAACTTCCCGAGAGTTGCGCCCGTGGGATACTCAGTCGGGGGTGAGCCTGCGCGACGGACAACATGCTTGGGAGCCCAAAAGATTCGCTTGACTCAAGAGTCACCAGTACTCACTCTCGACTTTGGAGAGGAAGTCGGCGGATTCGCTTACATTGATGTTGAGCAACTCGACGGCCCGAGCCAGGTTGAGTTCAAGTTTGCAGAGAGTTTTCCTGGGCTTGCCTCGCCAATCGGCGATGGAGCATGGGTTTACGTAAATACTCTCTCGAACACATTCATGACCGAGACGGTTTCCATCACCAAAACCGGTCCAATTCAGACTTATTTCTTGCAGGGTGGTTATCGTTGGCAAACCATCACTCTGCTGTCTGGCAACCCATCAATCACCATCAGGTCCGCGGGCATCAATCTGGCCCGAGTGCGGAGTGATCTAGACACATTACCAGGGCAATTGCACTCATCAAATTCGACTCTCGACGAAGTTTTCAAATTAGGTGCCCGTACCCTTGAAAACTCTTGCTTTGAAGCACGCTCGCAGCCTTCAACATGGATGGTTACTCCTGATGGAGTATACTTGAGGGGACAGACGCCAGCCTTGTCATCCAAAAGCTCTCAGCCCGAGTTCAACGACCTGTATACCCTCAAATTCGATACCAAGATTGAACGTGGTGGTACAGGTTGGGTGGTCGGGACCTTTACGCCGACCTACCTTACAGAGCAAGCATACTTCCTCGTGACGAGTAATTATCCTGAAAGCACTACATTCACCAATACCAATCGAACCCTCCTACCGCCGAATACATTAATCCTGGTTCTCGGCTTTAATTTGATCAACTCGACTGTGACTAGTGGCACCCCGCTCCATTACAAACTCCCCATGGATATTTCTGAGGATAAATGGTATCACATCGAAACTAAGATTAACAGCGCATCATGGACAATCTCGATCGATGGCCAGGTAGCGGTGGAGATCGCCCTGACAGACTATCAAAAGGTTTCCCGGGTCTCTCCCTCCAAAATCCCGACTGGTCCCTTCGGTTTCGGTCCTTTCCGCGACCAAGCGGCATACGTCAAGAATGTCAAAGTTATAGCATCAAACGGTACCACTCTTTACACAAACTCGATGATAGGCGATACCGAGAGCACAGATGGCTTTCTTCACGAATATGGCGTTCATACAAACTCAGAAAGCATTTGTCTGGACGGTGCGAAACGTGATCGTATGCTGTGGACTGGCGATTTTGCCCACACAGTGCGCAGCTTGGGTATGGTCGATACCTCTGTATTGTGATATGCCTTCTGACAACCCCATATAGGCAGTACGACTGGAAGACACGACTTCTCTCGAGGACTTTTTGAGTTTTGCTTCAAACGACAAAGCTCCAATGGCTACGTCCCGATAAACGGGGCCATGGGTTCAACGCCAGCTCCAATTCCCGCAGCGGGAACTATGGCGGACTATGAAATGCTATCTTTGAACTCCTTGTATTCGTGTTATGCGGACACAGGTGATCTCGATTTTATGCGGACCTACTGGTTACCTACCAGAGATGTTGTCGCTGCCCTGCTTTTACTTGTCGACCCCAGCACTGGACTTGTCGACGGTGGCAAAGAAAATACATTTTGGCTTGGGCCGTCCAATGGCACAGCTGTTACTGCAGCTTTGTGTTATGCTCTGAGACAAATGGCCAGTGTCGCAACTGCTCTTGGACACAATTCCACGGCTTCAGAGTATTCTTCGGAGGCGGATAATCTCACCAAGGCAGTCCAACACTTATGGTCTCAAGACATTGGAACGTTTGCACTTTCAACAAGCAGCATGAATGACTACTCGGTGGCAAGCATCGCATTTTCTATTCTCTCCGGTATCGCCACGCCAGATCAAGCAAAGATTTCAATCACTGCCGCACTCCCTTCACTTTTTGAGACTATCGGATACAGAGATCAATTCAGCGTCAAAGCATCCCCAGAAACGTATATCTCCCCCAACACCAACGGATTTTTGCTCGAGGCTGTGATGAAAGTTGCTTCCAGTAACAGATGCGATCAAAATTTGGCATCTAATCTCTCGCACCCCGCGGGTCTGATGTTGAATGGTTTGTGGAATCAGATGGCGCAGCCAAATGAGAATTGTACTGGTGCTGTTTGGGAGTCTATTGGCTTTGACGGCAAGCCGATTAGCATTGCGGCATCATTTAGCCATCCCTGGTCGAGTGCCCCCAGCTACGTGCTACCAGAGTATATGCTTGGGTTAAAGGCTACCGGAGCAGGCTGGAAAACCTGGGCTTTGGAGCCCTCCATCTACGGATTGAATTTGGATCAGATCAGTGCTAAGCGCCAGACGCCCTATGGTGAAATTGCCGCTTCTTGGAAATTCCACGACAACTCCGTCACGGTGGCGGTCCATGCTCCGCTCGGAACAAATGGAATTATATCACTATGCGGGATCAATATCAACGTGAGTGGGGGGGCAACCGTTTCAAAAGACAATTTCGCTACAGTAGATAGTGCTGGTGATTGAAAAATTGCAATGCAATCTACAATAATATCTAACCGTGATGTTTGCCGGAAATCATATGGATTCTTGTAATTTTGATATTTTGGTTTTATCTAGTAGTAGATATGATTACCAGCGTGATAATGACCTGGCTATTGTGAGATAGATGTACTAGCAGTATTTGATGCGTGATACTAAGTATAAAGCGCAGATCATCAGTTTCCTTGCAACGGTCAGCACTATCTGCTGTGCTTTAGCTGGAAACGATTGACTGAACTCAGGAAAACCTTGGAAATTGATTCTAAGTACGATAGTATTCTTGGGGATTTTGAAGTGGCCGTGGATCAGGTGAATATTAAGGAACTTTTTAGCCTTGTGACGGACGAAAATAACGGCGAGATTTTCAATGCGCTTAGCAACAGTAGGCGGATTCGTATTATTAAAGAGCTGCTTGTATCTATAAAACGTTAGCTATGTGTGTAAGGTATCATATATGATAGTATGGGTTCTCTACAGAGTATAGCTCTTACTAAAGTCCTGGATCTCTAGAGCCCTATCAAGTTTGGGAAGAGTGGGGAGTAAAGAAACTATAGTGGTCATTATGACTCAAATTTCGTGTGCTGTCTTGTAACTGAGATGTTTCTAAACGAGGTAAATCAATTGATGAAATAACTACTGCAGCTGGGTGAATTGGAAAGGAAGAAGAAAGACTGAAAATTTGTCTCTATTTATGTGCTCGGAAAAGATTACTTCGCCCCTCTGTCATAACTAATTTTTAAAACAAATGCGAGAGGAAATATCTCGCAAGCGGGGAATAACTCGTGAATCACTAATATCTAAATGATACAAGCGATACATGAAAGCCACTACACAATAAAGGCACTTTGAGAGACATAACGCGAGGACGAGAACTATGAGTCTATGTAGAGTGCCCGGGCATAACTACTACTCCATACGTTGGACGAGAACGTGTAGACGGGACTCCAGTATTCAGTCGAGGTGCCAGAGCCTGCGTCAATTCCATGCCTCGGAGCGGAATAGGGGTGGAGATGGCGTGAGGGGATTTAGATAGAGGGAATTTTGAACCGGGTCCCAGCTATCAGTTTCCGGGAAATAAGAACGAGAGCCATGCGGATTTGGATGGGAACTCTCCTGCCGAGGAGTGGGAGCTTGGTGCTGAGGATCAGGTTTCATGCCGGTAATAGTTCGTAGCCGATACTCAGTTCCAGCGATAGGGACTACTTGGCTGCCCATGGTCACCCGATCGTTAAGCCCGTCAGAATAGTTATCTTCTGCCGGTAGTCTATCTCCTGCATTGCCGGAATATCCTTGAGCGGTGGTAGTCGCAATTTCCGCAAGGGGTGGGGTCGATGACTAGATTAATACTTGAGTTTTCAAGTTGAATGAAAGCCCAGAGAACCCAAGGTGTTTGGAGAAGCGGGCTTTGAGATCAAAGTTTGCAAAAAGTAATAAATCATCATTCAAAGGGTATAAAGATACACCAGCCAACGCCATGGCTAAAAGCAATAATCCAAGCCAGTTCAACGCAATCCACAGAGCTCACTAATGAACAAGCTTATAGCTGCCTCCACTAACAATCTCCAACTTGCCCTTGGAAACCATCCCAGCCAAGAACTCGCGTAGTTCCTCATTGCTAAACGGGAAACCACCAGGCACAACAATCTTCAGCATCATAACAATCTTTTGCAGATTCATCGCGCCCTGATTCGTCAGCATGCCAAGAATAAACTGCCAATAAAGGTTCATCTTTTCCATAGCTGCCGCTTCAGCGGCTTCCTTCGCTGCGGCCGCGGCCGCTGCTTCAGCTGCAGCTGCAGCGTCGCCTGTGTCGGCGGCGATACCACCGACACCACCGTCATTGTTGGCAGAGTCTTCTGCGACTTCTGCTTCCGTGGGGAGGAATTCTAGAACACGGAATGTATCGCGGGATGTTTCGGCGAGAATACGCTTGCTGACCCAGAACAAGCAGGCGCTGCGAACAAGAGCGCTGGCCATCTTTAGGTCGGCGGAGAGGTCAAGGACTGATTTGGAGGTCGTTTCTTGTTCATTTTCGGTCGTTGAGTTGAAGGCGTGGATGACGGTTGCTTGCCAGGTTGTTACTTCGTCCGAGAAGGAGCGGTCGCCGAGCTCTAGTTCCACAGTCACTTGGCCCAAGCCGTTGCGCCAGGTCAGTTTGCGCGATTGCTTGAGTGCCTCGAAGCCTTCTGCGTAACGGTCTTGGAGCGAGGATATCTCTTCCGGAACGATGAACTCCTGGTCTTGGATCTCGGGCCAGAAGAAACGAGATAAGATTTTTGCGTGAAGATCTGGATGACTGGGGCGTGATGTTGGGCGTTTTGAATGCCCACGTGAGGGGGACTTGGAAAGACCTTGGTCGTGGCGGATGGAGTGGTCGACCCGTCGTGAGTCGGAGATATCCCGAAGCATAACTTGGCAGGCCTGCAAGGCTGAATCACCGAAGCGGACTTTAAGTAATTCGAGAACAGAAATCTCTTGGTCGTAGTCTTCGCGCTTCTGGAGAAGCCGGTCGCCGAGTAGTGTTTGTAGTTCCTTGACAAAGGTTTCTTTAGAGTCAAAGAGACTGATTAAACTGTCAATAACATCTGAGCTCTTCGATTTCCGGTAGTCGGGTGCTGCATCGACGGGATCCGGCATCCAGTTCATGTCATCCCAGTCCAGTTCGCTAGTACTACCTTGTAGAGAAAGTTGGTGTGCCTTTGATAGCTCCGTTGACAGCTCAACCAAGGTGTCATGGCTGGAGGGAAGACCCGAAGTGTCGCCAGTCGGGGGCTCAGCCAAGAGACCACTGACGATCACCTTCACAGTGTCTTCACGGTCACGAAGGTATCGTCGAATAGGCCGAGCAATGCGGTCGAGAAGGACACCCTTCGGGTCTAGGAGGTGAAAGGCGCGGATGATGGAGATGTAGAGTTGCAATATCTCCACCGTCGAGGCACCAGGGTGCAGTAGCCGCTGGTTTAGAATCGCAATAAACGATTGCGTGACGTATGCGCGGGCGGCAGGATGAGTAGTGAAATGTTTCAAATCCTCCACGGCTCCAGTGCTGGCAGGCCATTCAACAATAACGTCAAATAGTTCACTGGCCCGTAGTGCGCCTAGGCGAGAGACGGCAATCTCTTGCCATTTTTCCACATCTGCAAAACTGACATCGAGTGTACCAGTTGGTTGACTGCTCGGCTGGGTGTGGATAATATTGAGGACTTGAACGGCAAGACGGGCAAAAACATTCTCAACCCAATGCCTGAGATGCTGCGGTACTGATGTCGGGGATTCCCATTGCGAAGTATAGGCCGCACGTATGAACTCAGTCATCATGATGTTCATCACATTCGCAAATACCTTTTGGGCTTTGTCACCGCCAAGTCCCACGAGCTGCAAGCCGTTGAGGAAAGCTAGCAGACGATCTCGGGCTATCGTGACCTCGTTGTCTTCATGTTCTGTCATAATACCCGCACGAGTCTCCTCATTGGCCTGGTTCCAGTCGCAGTACGAGACCGAGTACTCCCCATCAACTTCCATGTCATCCTGTCCTTCATCGTCCGAGTCCGGGTCTTCAAGCAAAGTGTCGATACCGAGGATGATGAGCGCGTCTTGCGCAAATTCTTGGGTTAATAGAGGTGAGATCTGTAGCCATGGCAATGAATACGAGACAACTGTATGGAAGCCCCGCTGAAGTTGAAGGAATATGCGACTCTGTTCGGGGGCAGGAATCAATGGCAAGAGGTAATGTCGAATAGGGGCCAGGTATATCCGAAAGGCCAATTGGAGGCAGTCGACGATAGTGCGTAACAAGCCTGCCTCATGAGGACTGTGGAGGACCTGCAAATCCATTAACACCTTAACTGCGCAAGCTTTTTCCAAGGCTTCGTACCTGGTATAATCCACCTCGCATGTTCGTCAAGAAGTGTCGCCGTATCTCATCACTATACCAGCTAAACAAATCTCTCGAACCGACTCCGCCTTGTAGAGTGTTGGTTTGTTGTGCCGCGGCCGCTAGATAGGACAGAGAGTCGGCTGTTTCTTTCGATGGTGGGGTGAGTCTGTTCAATTGCCTGAGTATTTCACTCCCATCGGTATCCCTAGCTTCGTAAATTGGAGCGAATCCATGATCTGGAATAGAAAGAAAGGCGGTTGCGGCAGACCATGCTTGATCCCATGTTTCGTGGTCGGAAAGTGGATCGACTGTTTCATGCGCGGACACGAAAGATCCCGTCTGCGAGTCTACTTTCAAAGTTGCGAGCGAGGCGGTCGATTGGAAGGAAACGAGTGCAGCTTGATCGTGATCGAAGCTCGAGGCGAGCGGTGGGCGAGCTTCGAGAGACGCGGGGAGAAAACAGAGCCGAATACGCGTCGGCGGCCCGTATTGAGAGGCATGGTGGATAACATTGTGATCACGGATACGGCATTTTAGCGGAACATCAAGACATTTGGTTGGAAAGGAGAGGAGAAGAGGAGGGGGAGAGGAGGTTGAAGGTTGGAAGTGGTTGCTGTTGCTGTTTGTTGCTTGTTGGATCACGTGGGAGCAGCTCCCCGCAAAAAGTTTTGGGTATGACAAACACATCAGAGGAGGGTATCGAGTAGAATAGATAATAATAATGGTAATGGTAATAGTTATAAGATAGTCATAGATTGCTCCAAGGGTATACAAATAGTCAAAAGTGTGCTCTATGAAATCGCATGATCACATCCCACCCAGAGCGTGGCGCGTTCATGAGATATGAACAACAAACATAGTCGGGGAATAGCAAAATACAAAGTTGCGCTGGCAGCCAAAGTGAGGAAGAGAGAACCCAGTAAGAAGACCTGTCCAGGACTAGTAGCTGCGAACGGTACGAGCTCAAGCGTGGCCCGGCGGAGATCAACTCCCGGACGGCCTCACTTCCACTCACGCCTTATCATCCACCTTCTCCCACTCGCTGTCGGTACTCCCATATCCAGAACTATCTCCACCAGAGCTAACACGCTTTCGAGGGTCCAGTTCAGCAGGCTGGAGTCTGCCCGAGGTGACACTGCCCGTCGCCGTGGAAGATCGACCCGTCTTGCCCCGAGTAATGGACTCGGTTTCTGTTTCACTGTCGGCGTCCGCGCCTGCACCCGGACCGGGGCTACTGGCCTTGTCCCCGGATTCCTTCTTCCCGTCGGCGGTGTCTGACTCGGCCTTCTCCTTCTCGGCGTTCTGGGCGTCCTGGGCTATGCGCACCTCATGGGCGAACCAGTTGATGGAGTACCACAGACCGGCACTAATCAGGGAGAGTGCGACAAAGTGGAGGCTGGAGGTAGCGAGGAGGAGGCCGAAAAAGACGAGTTGGAGGGCAGCAAAGGTCACATTTGTCGCGATCAGGAGGGTTGGGGTGGGGCCTGGAGTGAAGATGCTGGACCACAGCTCTTCCATGAAGGAAGCCATGGTTGTTGTGGTGGTGATTACTACCGTAGAGGACCGGGGAAGGGAAGGTGTAAGAAGTGACGTCGTTCGGAAACTGAAATCCGCAGGTGGGTTCGGAGAATGGACTCCGAGAAGGGGATGCAAGAGTAAGAGCAGATTCAAGGCAAAGCAGAGTGAGAGAAGAGAAATCGGCGGCTCCACTCGGCGGGGTCGGGCAGGAAGAAGCCCCGAGGTGTGGCCCGTTTACCCCGTGGGGGATGTCATCAGATCGGACTGAGAGCACATTGGAGGTGGGTTATAGTGTGATAGTGATACTCAGGTGGTAGGATAGTATATGAATTTATTCTCTAGAGTATACTGTATACCTAGGTAGATTTCATTAGCCATATCTTCTGAGCTTGGCCTGGGCTGCCGGATATTCAAATACCCTTATTATCGTCGGAGTCAGCCCGAGTGGAGAAAGTTTGTTTAGTGAGTGGTTAGTGGTTGGAGATTAGTCTGGGGAGATCAGATGCAGGCAGACGTAAGAAAGTATCAGTGAAAGTGGAGGAGAATGAGAGGTAAAGGGTTGAAGTTGAAGTTGAAGTAGGGAGGGACTTTTATATAAACACAGTCGCAACTAGCTATTACCATTCCTCTGCTTAGCATAGATAATATCTCTACCTGTGTAACCTGTTTAGAAGCATTTCTCGCCGAGTATTACCTTGTCATCTCCAAGTTCCTTGAAATGGCGAAAATCCCCTCCTTTCTTCTCCTTTTCCGGGGATCCCCACATCCACAATATCACCAATGAAACCTGCAGGATTACTCCAACCTCCCCCCACGTCCAACCTTAGCTGCTGATCTCCCTACCAATTCCCTCCTTTGTGTTTCGTGCCCAGGTTGCCGTCACCGAGCTATCGATGCAACGAAACTGGGTCCCCCCCGCAGCCGCGACTCGGAGTCAATCCGGAGTCGGTCTTTGGCTCCAATGCCCTACCTTTGGAAGGAACTTTACTAGTAGTCTTACCAACGGCCTCTGAATGTATAAATATCTTCCGCAATCTCCAGGGCTCTTCATGACCCTCAGATAGGAAAATCCTCTTCCTAATCTGGCATCTTCGGCGGCGACTCTTGCCTTCTTTATTTCTCTGCTCCCAACTTGAAGTCTGATCTCAATATCTCCTCCTCCTTCCAAGGTTGTCACTGCAAATGGCCGACCAAACAGATCTCACAAAGGAACTCACACCTGATGGCTTCACCCATCATGCTGAGGACATAACGGCGGACCGGGAGCCCTATGGGCCTCCTGGTCTGCGTGGTTTGGTGCAGAATCCCTTCGTGTTGCTGTGTGCGGCTTGCTCCACGCTCGGTGGACTGTAAGTATTGGCCTAAGGTCCAATGACAATTAAATTTAAATTTCATGAAGTTCAATTGCTGACAATACCAGTCTATTCGGATATGACCAGGGTGTCGTGTCTATTATCCTGGTGATGGACCAGTTTCTGGAGACTTTCCCTCGCATCGACAGCTCAAGCGGTGCATTCTGGAAGGGTCTCCTGACGGCTATGATTGAACTGGGTGCATTGCTGGGCGCCTTGAATCAGGGCTGGATTGCTGACAAAATCTCTCGCCGTTACTCAATCATCGTCGCTGTTATCATCTTCACAATTGGGTCGGTCCTACAAACTGCTGCTGTCGACTATCCTATGTTGACCGTAGCGCGGCTGATTGGTGGCGTGGGTATCGGTATGCTGTCGATGGTTGCGCCTCTCTACATATCCGAAATTAGTAGGTTATACCAGAGCCCTGCGTGAAGCCGATGTGTTCAGACTAACCCACTTTCAGGTCCGCCTGAATGCCGTGGTACCCTCTTGGTCATGGAAGAGTGGTGCATCGTGCTCGGCATCGTCCTCGCCTATTGGATTACCTATGGAACTCGTTACATGACCGGAGAATGGTCATGGCGCCTACCATTCCTCTTGCAGATGATTCCCGGATTTGTCCTGGTTGCTGGCGTTATCTTCCTGCCATTCTCGCCTCGTTGGCTCGCGTCCAAGGGCCGTGACGAAGAGGCCTTGAATAGTCTTTCCAAGCTTCGCAACCTACCAGCCACAGACCGTCGTATCCGCCAGGAATATCTGGATATTCTGACTGAAGTCAAGTTCCATCAGCGCATGAATGCTGAGAAGCACCCGAATCTGCAGAGCGGTTCTAGCAAGGACTCATTCCTGCTCGAGTTGGCTTCCTGGGCCGACTGCTTCAAGAAAGGATGCTGGCGCCGGACTCACATCGGTGTCGTACTGCCGTTTTTCCAACAGGTATGTACTACAATGACCTTAATTGCAAACAATTAGTACTAATAATCCTGCGCCCTCAGTTTGTGGGTATTAATGCTCTAATTTACTACGCACCCACTCTCTTCGGCACCTTCGGCTTTGACACCAACATGCAGCTCATCATGTCCGGAGTCCTCAACGTATTGCAGTTGGTCGGTGTCACAACTAGCATCTGGACCATGGATACACTAGGCCGACGCAAATTGCTAATGTACGGTGCCGTTATGATGGCAATTTCGCATATTATAATCGCTGCAATGGTCGGTATCTACAGCGACGACTGGGCAAACCACAAAACCCAGGGTTGGGTCAGCGCCGCCTTCCTATTAATCTATATGATTTCCTTCGGTGCATCATGGGGCCCCGTTCCATGGGCTTTGCCTTCTGAGATTTTCCCTTCTTCCCTGCGCGCCAAGGGAGTCGCCCTCTCTACCTGCTCGAACTGGTTCAACAACTTTATTATCGTAAGCATGCCCCCTTTTCACTTGTTATCTTTGAGTATATTCTAACACCTAATGCAGGGCCTCATCACTCCACCTCTCGTTCAAGATACCGGCTACGGGGCGTACGTGTTCTTTGCGGTTTTCTGTATTCTCGCGGGTATCTGGACGTACTTCTTTGTGCCGGAGACAATGGGCCGGACACTCGAGCAGATGGACCATGTTTTCAAGGATAACTCGAATGAAGCCGAACGTGCGATTCGCCGGGCCATAGAGTCGGAGATTATCGGTGCTGAGCGCGATGTTGTATGATTTACTTTTTTTAGCATAGCGATGGAGTCTGTTTCAAGTTCGTGACTAGTTGGCATCATGAATCATGAATATGCTAGTATTACTATTTTCAAGTCCCTAAAACCCACTAAAACCCCTTTTCGCATGAAAGGCATCTGCAATCTGCATAATCTAAAACTCGGTATTCATGCTGCAAGACATTCTAAAATATCGTCCAAGGCTGCAGTTTCTAGATCCGGAATGTAGTCAGACATGTCAACATCCACTGCAAGTGTTCCAATTGACGGCTGCAAAAGTCCGGATTCTTCTTTATCATCCATTTTTACAGGCAAAGAGGACATATCGATCTTTCCATCGAAGCCGAAACTTCTAGAACCAACAAACTGCGAATTCGGCACGTTGTGCTTGCTGCGGTATTGCTGGTGTGACTGGTCGGTTGGTACATTGAGACGAGGCGACTCAGAGGGATAGTTCACTCTAGTAGATATTGCAAGGTCGGCGTAGCCCAGATCCATGCGACGGATGCAGTTATTGCAAAGGTTGAACGCTCTGCGGGCCGATGCGTCTGTTTTGCCTAGGTGAGATAGCCATAGTAACGCTTTCGTGGTGGCCGCCAGAATAGTCTCGGGCTTGATGATTGGTGTGGGGGAGGTTGGAAACTGATCGATTCTTTTATCTTTGGTAGGGCTTGAACCTTGCGAATTTGTGGAATCCAGATAAGAGATATTGATGAGACACACGGTGGTGCTTTGGACGAGGAAATGAAGAATGTTCCACCAAGTGACGCATCGGAACCAGCTCGTGCTCGGCTCTTCTGGAAACATGGAAAGTATTGCCAGAGCGGATTCTAAACATGTCATTTCGATATCTTTTCTCGTGCGGGCGAGGTGTCCTTTGAAGCTCTTTCCACCCTTCTGTCGAGTGACGCATGGCCTGTTGAGAATAATCCGTGCGCTGTGATAATGCAATGCCAAAGAAACCCCATAAGCGTCAGAAACAGGGAGAAATGGAACGGCATCAATCCCATCAAATTTGAGACTGTTTGGCAACCCAGAGAGCCAGTCAAGCATGATTCCGTTGTAAAAATCGATCCGGCTCTGAATTTCGCTCCAGCCTATCTTCAGTGCTTCTCTATTGTACACACTGGCCGATGCAGTGTGTGAGATGAAAGTTATATCTACAAGACAGAAGAAATATAGCTCGGGGCTGGCCTCCATCTGTCTTGTCAGTTCCCGCTGGACTTTCAGATGCTTATGTTCTTGATCCATTGTCCAATTCATCGGTGGACTTTCGGAAGCTGGAATTGTCCTGCCCTTTGGCGTGCTGTTGGTGAAGGGGCACATGTCTTTTGAGGCGAGTGGTGGAGGTGCTGAGCAATAGACACTACTCAGTCCGGAAGCGCGACCTGTCATATCAGAAAGAAGATTCTCCAAGCTGAAAATTGACCAGAAAAGTCTATGTCGGGCTTCGAGCGCTTGTGCGTTCAAATTGTTGTGAGTTGCGCGAAGGTGCAGACCCAAGGAGATACTGGAGCGAGTGGCTATGCCGATCATTTTCCATGCCCTGAATAAAATTAGATAAGAACTACGAATGTTCTGCAATATGACGAGGAAGTTCTAGAGGGAGCTTACCTATTGATATGTGAGGAAATCATGAGATAAAATGCGGCGAGAGTTTCAAGCTGGACCTGCTGTAGATCTTCATGATCTTCTACAATACTTTCAGAAATGTTCAACATTTGCGCCCGTGAAAAGAATTGATGACCCATGTTCTGAGTGTCTTGTCCAGAATGCTGACATAGCTTCGTACTGATGGCAAAAATCAGATTGAGCACGGCGAGCCATTTTCGTCCAGGTTGACTCGAGTTTCCTGAAATGAAGGAATCAAACTGCTCTTTGAAAAGATCTGACCGGATGACTGGTAAGGATGGCTGAACACTGTCCATGTATATTATTAAGAGTCTCTCCGCTGAATATCTCTCTGGGAGAGCATAGACGTTATCGACCTCTTCTGCTGGATAAGCAGCGGGCTCGATATGATAGCTCATCGATGCCGTGGGGGTATTCCGCGAAGGTGACGAGCTGTAACTGCGAGTGGGTTCTAAATTCTGTCCATCGGTAGACAAGCCAGAAGATTTCATCTCTATGCTGCGCAGCCAGGTAACTTCTGAACTTTCCCCAATATACCCTGTTGCTCTGCTGTCTTGACTCCGATTGAGATCTTCGTCAAGGACATCGGCGGCGTCTACAGAGCCAACAGAGGATGGCGAGGACGGAACAGAAGAAAAGCTCGAACTTTTGCGAGATTCTTGACTCAATGATGAAGGTTTCTTAAGGATCTAGAGTCAGCAGGAATGACAATTATGCGGTCAATGGGAACATACCAGTACTCTCTTTATTTTCTTCGAGACAGGAAGATCAACTTCCTCCAAGATTTCGCGAAGTACCTTTTCGAAACTGTCGGCTCTGTCCTTCGCCAATCCTAACTCAGTTTGTTCGCGTTTTCTCTTCGGCTCCGAATAATGACATGTTGTTTTCTGTCGAACACAAAAAGAGCAGGCTGGCTTGACGCCGTCGCATTTTGCTTTTCGTGACCGACACTCGTCGCAGGCTCTCCCGGTACGACCTGGCTTGTGTTGTGTGCGCGTGTTTAGCAAGCGAGGGATGGGGACACGATTGGACATTTTGATCCTGCGTGGCAAAAAAGCCAGGCTTTTTTTTCCGTTTGCGCAGACAAATGTACACAAGCTATCGGTGTTTTGACCCGACGGCTGTCGTGATCGCGATTTAGTTGACAAGCGACTAATCCCTGCTAACTTGGGTTTCACTGATCGGTATTTTCGTTCATGAGTTTATCGCTTTGGTCAATTTACCATAAACCTGGTCTCATATTCATGTTGAAGCTATGTCATGATTCGCCACGCAGCGAACATGATGAACATGTTATCAGGTACGGCTGACTCAACATGACCTTAACCGGATTCCCCGCAAAATTCAATTTTCGGCTACGTCATATCCTTTTTTTTTTCACGTAGCGAAGCGTGACTGAAGAATAAAATGCGGAAATTGATTGCATTCTAATTAACATCAGAGAATCTATTGCCATTGGCCGAGAATATTCAAAGTTATCATAGGGGCTGGCGTAAGGGACCACTGGTAGACCTGAGCATATGGGACCCATGGGACTAAATTATTGCCCAAGTCCGATCTGCCAAGAACCCATGGGACTAATCATTGATTCCATCACATCCTATGGGAGGCTTGGGAGGACCCATGGGTCCCATTAATCTCCCATTTCTATAAAATATTTGACCTAGCCTTATACAGCTAGTGGAATCCCATGGAATCACATTTTGATCACGTCCCATGGGAGTCCCAGTCCCAGTCCTCATGTACAGGTTTAGTTACTGGACACATATCAAAGGAGGGAAAACCCAAAATTCTTTCCAAATCCACGAATTCAAAGAAATTAAACTCCATCAATTCAACAGGATATCATCTACTTGAAATGAGCAATCCGTCTGTCATATGAGTCTGTTGAACTCTGGTCATGTGAATAGCGAGGAAATTTAATAGAATTTTATGAACGTCCTTAAATTATAGCTGCATTGCTGTTAACCATGCGACAGTTCTCAATGCGTCATTTCTCTCTGGCTAGAATTCTGACTCCTGCCAGTGGGCGTCTGTAAAAGAAGAATAACACATTGATGATGAACGATCCATACCAACTGAAACTATTTAAAGTACCCAATTAATAGTGACCGTTGATCTCCCGTTTCTCTGCTATTGTCAAAGGCTCATCGTCACCTTGATAGCATTCATATCTTCGGCCAGCCTGTAAAGGTTTACCTTCCCCTAAACCCACTCGACCAATCGGCACAACTGCATCATCTGCAATATTACTCACATCGCGAACCACACCCGGAATTTCGTCAAGGAACTTGACATGTCGATTTGCGCGTGTAACAAGGACCGTGGAATTTTTCTGGCCAAAAGCGGCACCAAGACGGAACATGGCGAAAGAGTCCAGCCGTAAAGTCCAGCGTGGATAGATACTTCCATACAATGAAAGAGCAAACAAAACGAGGATATAGAGGCCCAGGAACGAGGAGGCGATAGCCACGCCGGCCAAGCTAGAATCCGGAACCATAATTTCAGAGCCAAGGTCCTGGTAAACATTGTAATAGGGCTGCAAGAGTTCGAAATGACGCTTGTTTGCAAGGAACGCTGCACCATCCATAGTGTTGGTCAAGATTTCATGGTCGGAAAACATATCCCTCAGCCACGACGCCATGGTGTTAAAGGCCTCAGAAGCAAAATGATTGCGAGTAGAGGCAGCAAGTTGTAACTCAATGCATGAATCTGATGCGACATAAGATGGATATCCGGTGGACATCATATTTGTAAGGGGAGCAATCCCAACACATATTGTGCCGAGGCTATTAGTCCGGAGGGCATTCGCTGAAAGATCAGCACCAGACAAAGCTGACGTTAGCGAAACATATTCAGCGCTGAATGTGTTGAAAAAAGACCCCGGCCCGAAGATAGCAAGTGCCGTACTCAGCAAGGGTCCCTTGTTTGACGTAAACATGGGGGCCCACGGAACAGCCCCGCTGTATCTGGCGGTCATATTACCGGGTGCAGAGGCTTGACGTTTAACTCGTTTAGAGTGGAAGTAATGATCGGTCTGGCCGATACAGCCATAGCCACCCTTTGCACAATCTACCGTTGGATCACTGTCAAGCAATGGCCCTGCAGTCTGATTGTTCATGTAATTTGGAAGCTCAAAGTAACCGGCAGTTGTAGTAAGTTTGATTTCGAGAAGACCATCAACGGACAATCGGTTTGTATCCGGGACCTCCTTTAAGCCATCTTGAACTGAAATATTAAGATAGAGCAACTCAAAAAACTCTTGGCGATCTCTGGTTTCTTTCCAGGGCGATGTGACGTTTGAGGCGAGCATACAAGCGGAGACCGTCCAGTTCAGGATATTACTGTATTCAAATCCAGGGTTACTCTCGTAGACAGGTGAGTAGTAGGCGAAGAAGTTGTCCGAGTCAAGTTCACAGTCTTTCGGGTATTCATTTTCCTGGATACTACGAACAGCAGTACTTGAATTGAACCGTGGTGCATACTGACGGAGTAGCCCACTATTGAAGCCGTTCGGCAATGGAGAAAAAAAAGGATCGTTCATGGCAGAGAGGTTGACGAGTGTGGAAAATTTCTGACTGCCTCCCTCATCCCAAAGTTGTGGCTGCCATGTGCGCTTATCTGCCTCATTAAGAGCATTGCGGATTTGAACAACGTCGAGCCCAGGGTATGAGTTGTATTGGGTTTTCATATTTGCCAAATCACTTATTTGACCCATCACATTTGGATGAATAGGAGCACGAAGCGCCTTCGTGTTGACCACAATCGATTGGATCGGATAGATGACAAGAGCGAGGAAGTGGGCAAAGATAGCCAATGCCAAAAAAGCACTTCCGTGTTGCTTCCAGCTTCCAGAAATTATATCCCTAACCAAGGATCCATCCATCCAACGTCGGTCGGCCAAGTTCATAACTTGTCGCATAGTCATGCTCGAATTTTCTTTTTGTTTCTGGACAAAAATGACTGCTGCATAAGCACAGACAGCTGAGGTCAATGGTAAAATTAAGACGCTGGCGATGGATTGTATGATTCTCGCCGAGCGATATAAGTTCCCATCCATCGTGTAGTTTGGCATTTTTTCCGGGTAGCGATTGAATTCGTCGGTATGTGCTTCCCAGCTATGAGTGCTCACTGGGTGAAATGACAGAACAGCCAGAATGACCCATGAGTATATGACCATTGCGGCAAAGTAAGTTGTCATCAATAGTACGCATGTAGAGCGATGGAGGGTTGTGCTATGAGCACGTCCAAGTGCCTGACTCTCTGGCAAGGCTCGCGTATACACGGGCAATTCATCCTGTGGCGGTTGAGCTGAATCGAAATCTAGGGGTATTTGATGAGCAGCATGCTCTTGCGTTTCGCCCTGGTTGTGAGGCCTATGCTGGGATTCCGATGTGCGGCTCGAAAGCGGCCGTAAGGCAATTTGGCTGCCGTGCTCTTCCATCGGTGAAAAATGGGTTCCGGTATCTATTGCACTCGCCCGTGGCAGTGAAGAAAAAACAGCATCCGTGAATGCGAGAGCGGCCTCTTAAGGGGGCCTATTTTGCGACCGCTAGGGTTGGCGGTTGAGTTGCTTGGCAATTGGGGCAACTGGGCTGAAAGGAGCCTCATTTTCAGACTAGCCGACAGGAACATGGCTAATCAAGGCAGCCTCCAAGAACCACTAGTGACGCGCCCAGTCAGGCGTTTTAAGCGAAGGGTCTGTTCCGATGAAGGTCATTCATACTCTATCAAGGCATTTGATCAATTCAACCTCAATTGCCGACATAAATCACACTTTCATGAGACGACACGATAGGGCTTTGGGAAACTCAAATTAAGAATCTTAGCAATGGGGAAGTTCTGTGAGCCCGAGGTGGGGCAGGGTCCATTGGGAGCGAAGTAATTTAGTACGACTGAGAATTGAAGGATCAGGGCACCGTCGGGGCTGCCAAGGGCTGCCAAGGACTAGGAACAGCTCGGGAGCCATGGGGGCCAATTGGTAATTATGTAGGGTCACATTGCCAAGCTCGCACTCAATGACTGCATTAATCAAAATCTCTCAATGGATTGATTAGCAGCCCAGAATGGAGTTGGGAGGGACTATGTGGTTAAGTCTTATGACGCATTGAGCAATCTTCCAGTGAATGGGTATTAAGAATCGTGGAGTATCTCCGTGCGAGCCAGCAAAAAGATTCTCTCGGGATCATCAGCCCTGGAGATTATGCGAGCAGGGCAAGAAACTTTGCTCAGGATAGGTGGACAAAACAACTTGGAGGGGCAAGGGAATAGAACTAGCCCGAGTACTAAGACGGACCTTGGGAATGATCGCGGTTGCTTCTCGTAGCTTGGCAAAAATCTTATTCGCATTATGTATTCCAAGGTTTCTATTAGGCAGAATGAAATATCGTGGCTACTACCTAGGCTTAGTGCATGAGGAGACCGACAGATTTCTGTTCTGCTTGAATCTTTGACCTCAGTACCTACTAGGTAGCTACAGCGAGTCGACCTCGAGAAGAAAGGAGAACTTCGCCACTTCCCAGCAAATTTGTGGCTTTAATTACGGTGTTCGTTGTTTGCAAACTCTTTATGACTCCAGGGCTGAATTGATGAGGTCAAGTTTTAATATTCTTCCCTATAATTTCTTCAAGTTCTCACAATATATTTGTACCTTCCTAGGTAGACTCGGGTACCGAGGAACAAAGATATAGTACTTCAAACCCTAGCTACCTGTTACATCAAGCCAAATGAGATTAGTCCTGTAATTTGGGGCTGTCACAGGTTTACACATTGGTTAGATGAAAGTATAGAGCTATACATTCATCACGTTATATACACCGGCTAAAAATAGAAACTTAGTGGGGTATACCTAGGTAAAGAAAGGGGATCCTCCGTAATGCAGAATTTTTATCCACTCATTACCAAGCTTAACATAATATTTGCTTCTAAAGATCACCAGTTCCAACGGAACTTATACATAGGGATCACCTCTTTCTTTGAATTCGAGCTCCATTCCTTATACTAGTCAATCGCCACCATGGGCAGAATGGCTCAGATCCAAGGCCACTGCGAAACCCGGTTTTCTAAGCTACGCGACTTAATGCAAGAGTTCATCGCGTCCGGGCAAGATATCGGTGCCAGTCTATGCATCAATATCAACGGAGATAATGTGGTAGATATATGGGGGGGGGTTACACCGACGCATCGACCAAGAAACCGTGGGAAAAGGATACGGTAGTAAATGTCTTCTCGACCACGAAACTAGTCACCAACCTGGCGGCTCTAATGCTCATCTCGCGTGGTTTGCTTGCCCCCGAGGATAAGGTGGCCAAGCACTGGCCTGAGTTTGCAGCAAATGGGAAGTCGGAGGTTACTGTCGGCCAAATCCTAGCCCACACGGCGGGTCTCAGCGCCTGGAAGGACAATATGAAGCTGGTGGACCTATATGACCTCGAGACGGCAACCAACAAGCTAGCACGTCAGGCACCACTGTGGCCTCCCGGAACCGCCATGGGATACCACGGCCTAACGCAGGGATTCATCGTCGGAGAGCTGGTGCGAAGGAAAACGGGGATGTCGATCGATAAGTTCGTAAAAGAGGAGATTTGCCAGCCCCTGGGCGATGGGACTGACTTCCAGCTTGGGTGTCGCAAGGAGGACTGGAGCCGGGTGGCCCCCGTCATACCTCCACCGGGGCCTTCTATCCAGGAGGTGCTTAGCCAACAGGCGGGATATGAGCAGGACTCGATCGTCATGCGCACGCTTTGCAATCCCGAGCCCAGGGCCGAGGATGCTAACACTGAGCTCTGGCGGTCCAGCACGCTGGGCTCAGTTAACGGCCATACAAACGCTCGGGCATTAGTCAAGATCCTCTCTTGCTTCTCGCTCGGTGGCATATGTGCGGAGGAAGGCCATCGCCTGCTGTCGTCCGAGACAGTGAAATTGGCGCTTACAGAGCATGCGACAGGAATAGACTTGGTGACGGGACGGAGCGGGAGGCGTGGACTTGGAATTTACCTCACCGGGCCTGGGTCGGGAAGCGTCGAAGACAAGCTACCGGAGGGCAATGTTGGATGGGGTAGCGGATGGGGGGGGTTCGATCGTGGTTATGGATAGCGACAGGAGGCTCACAATCGCGTACGCTATGAACAGGATGCTAAGCGCGGAACATCCTTCTCCAGCAGCGTATATCAAGGCGGTTTATGAGATACTTGGAGCTACCCAGGCTACCTAGGATCTGGACGAGCTTGGTTCAGAAACTGCATAATTCTGGATTTGACAGAGGTAGATCATACTAGGCGTGCAGTGTCAAGGTGTAATAGATACTCATTCAGGAAGCTTCAGATCCTGCTTTCTTCAAAAGTTTCCAATAGATCAGACTACGCGTGCTATAATTTCGGTGATAACGATATATTTAAATTCATCATATAAGCCGATAGTCGCAACATAATATATTAAGGCACTATCTTTCTGTCTCGCTCTCCCTCGAGCCTCTCGTCGTTGCTGAACCGGGTTCGTGGTCTGATGTGCCCGCGGGATAACCACCCTGACGATTGGCTCTGGTTCAGACTCGGGCTCGTCACCCGGCGGCTCGAATTCTTCCTCTTCTGAAATATCTGTGGACATCTCGGAATGTTCGGGCGAAGGAGTACCAGCTCCCCCACGAAGCATTGACTGGGGCGATTCAGTATCTTGAAGTGCGACAGACATTTTGCTTTACTAAAACTATGGGGTTTCTGGAATTATTTCCCTCTCGAAGGGCTTTTGGTCCATTTTCATCCCTAGTCTCTTGAAAGACGACTCTTCGTCACGAAGTCTGCTTTGTTTCGACTTTCACTTGAACCCTTTTCGACACATTTACGTCGAATTCCTTTGATGGTTTCCAAATCCTTTCTCGAATCCTGAGTTATTCCGGTTTTTCCCATCACCCATCACTATTCCTTTCAGTCCGATCTATTTTCGGACTCATTTCAGTCATACTTTGCTGGAAGCCCTTTGACGGTTTTCGGGTCTTTTCTCTACCAGAGCTTTCCGGTTTTCCCCCGTCTTGTTATTTTCTGTTGGGGTCTTTTTAGGCTATGGGAATATAACGTGATCACAGGCATGTCCTATTACAATAAGACCGGTTGTGCTTAAAGGTTATTTCCTTCTTTGCCGAATGGGAATCTTCAAGTATTCGCATCGCCTCTTTTGAACTACTCGAGATTATAATCATCCCAACTTCCTTCCGCCCCTATATGTTCTCGATCCGCTACTCAAGGCCCAGTATATGCGTAGGTGCATTTCGAGCAAGAGTGACCGATATCTATTTTGTAAAATTTCAACACTTTATCATTCAATATTGTGTAGCTTGACAAAGAGAGACGACAGATGGCAGGAAATAAGGCTATTGAGAGTAGTGGATCTCTTTCATCTGTTGAACCCCCTTCGTGTCCACGCTAACCCATGATGGAACAACTAATCTAAAAATGGGTTTGTCTCGGATAGAACGGACGGTCATTGGTCATCTTGAGCTTGGGGCTAAAAAGTGGATCCATTAGACCCGAGATATCAAAGCTGATCAAAGCTGCGCAGGGTGGCCTAAAATCACGCTGACACCTCTCTCTTCCGCGACAATGCAATAGACAAAATCTCCACGGAATCACATATGACTGAAGGTTGGAATTATAGGTTGTGACCTATTTTCTAAAGCAGACCATGGAGCGCACAACCTGGCTGGACGGCCTGCGCGGCATCGCAGCCGCGATCGTCGCCTTCGATCACTATTTTATGAGCGACGTCTGGCACCCGTTCGTCTCGTTCTGGACCGAGCCTCCCGAATATAATCGGCACATCGTACAGTTGCCGCCAATTCGCATCCTCTTCTCTGCTCATGGCATGGTGACCCTATTCATGGTGATCTCTGGCTACGCTATCTCCATCAGTCTCCTGAACGCGCGCGACGGGCCCCAATTTCTGCAACGCATGTCATCCGCGATCGTGCGCAGAGTGTTTCGAATATATCTGCCCGTTATCATCACCGCTAGTATCGCACAGATCTTCTATTTCTTTGACCTCTACCATTGGGAATTTGACCAGGGTCTCATCGACGATCTGCCTAAGCCTTGGTCAAACCCCTGGGCCCACTTTACTTGGCTGATGCATTACATGGCGGAGAGTATCAATGTCATCGCCTCTGAGTACCGTGGCGGTCTTAATGGGCAGTTGTGGACTATGCCCCTGGAATTCAGGGGATCAAATGTTGTCTACCTACTGATTATTGGTCTTTCGGGTTGGCGAAGGAGAGTGAGGCTCATTGTTCTTCCCACTTTGGGGGCGTTTTTCTTCTGGTGGGGCAACTGGGATATTTTCGGTTTTATCTGGGGTCTTTGGCTTGCAGAAAAGGCTCATGGTACTGCATCGAGAGAGAACTTCGATCAGGATACGGAGCTTGAAATGGCAGAGTTTGATGACACGCCGAACCCACTCTTTTCTTTGCCTGAGCGCTTCAACATTTGCAGTGGAAAGCGTCGGTATAAAGCGCTGGGTTGGCGACACCCAAGAAGTTGGCTCGTCTTGTCGCGTGTTGGAATCGCCCTCGTCTTTCTCGCTGGGTACTATCTCCTCTGTCTCGGCAATGATGGTCATCTCCCAACAGGATATGGGTTCTTATCCTACATCCAGTCATCGCAATGGAAGGATCGGTGGCATATCTATCACTTTTGCTGGAAAGAGCTCGGATCTGCCATGCTTGTTTTTGGGATCGCAGAATTTAAAATCCTGCAGCGACCGCTAGATACCCGCGTTGTGCAGTATCTGGGGAAAAATCTCATTTGCGCTTTATCTGCTTCATGAGACGATCTATCAGCTGCTCCGAAACCCATTGCGAGATTTCATCTACTCTTCACTCAGCGGTGGGATGGCCTATGAGACTAGCGCTCAGGCGTGGAGTGCAAATCCCTTCTCTTTTCATATCGCGTGGTGGGTTTCGGGCATTTTGTTGGGGTCTTTGGCCGTGTTGTGTGCGCATTGTTATACAAAATATGTAGATGATCGGTGTGTTGCGTTTGCCAAGCGCATCGACCGGTGGCTGAGTGTTTGAACTTATACCTATATAATCTTCCTGTGCATAATATTACCTGTTTCAATTGTTGTTTATGAATGGAAATGACTGCCAGTAGCATCATTGCTCTGTGCGGCACCGGAATCTATCTAGCCTGCCTCGGGAGTCTTTTGCTTTTTCATCCCACCTGGGCAGTTCCCGAGGTCCCTTGAAACCAAACCTTTATCGTTCGAAATTCTGTATACTGAAATACTAGTATACATCTCATCCGCGAGACCTCAGAACTACAATCAATCTCCATGCGCTCCCTAGGTAATCTCCCCCGCCCTGCATCCATACCTGCCGGAGCCGACATCCGCGCCGACATCCAAGCGAAAGCCTATTGAGTTGCGAGAACCTTGAATGGTTGCAACATCAAACCCCATATTTCGTGATTAGATGCGTGATCCGGGGTATAATGGTGCAAATGGGGGTAAATAATATAAATAATGTCGAGTCTGCCGTTGGGGGACTTTATGAGTACGCCTACTACTTGACTTGAGAATCTTGTATTTCTAGCCCACACCATGCGCTCTTGGGCCCCACTCTTACTATGCAGCTCGGTTTCGACTGCTGCGCTTTTGAGAAATGTCGAAATTCGTACGCCTGAAAGAGTGCCCATTGGTGCCTCCAATCCGGTTGAACATGACTTTGCCTCTTTTTCTTTACCTTTCCATTTCTTCCCTGACTATGCTGGTGAGTTACCAGATGGCTATATAAGGGCTGGGAAGGAAGCAAAGCTAATTGAAATAGGCAATAAGAGTCATCCGAACCTGTTCTCTCGTGATATAGTCAATCTTTTCTTCGAGAAGACAGGGGCTCATCCGCATATCCGCGTTGGCGGTACCTCGGGGTGAGTTGACATAAAATCAATTAAATACTGTGGATGGCTTCAGATCAGATCTAACAAAGCAATATTACCAGAGATCGCACCATATACAATGCATCCCAAACGCAATCAATTGTCCTATCGAAAGAATATGATAATGGTATTCCTATTGAAGTTACCGTCGGCGAAGTCTTCTTTGAAGGATTCGATAATTTCCCCGGAACCCCTTGGACTTTCCAAGTCAATCTTGCCAACAATAAGAGCAATGCACTCGATAATGCTCTGACCGAAGCTAAGATTGCGCTCAGTCATATCAAGGAAAATCTTGTTGCTTTTGAAATTGGAAACGAGCCTGATCTCTACCCTGGTGATGTTCGACCGTCAAATTATAACACGGCAGATTACGTCAAAGAGTGGACTCACTATGCGAATGCCATCTCGAGGCATGTTCTACAAGATAACCCTTACGGACTTGATTCGTGGAAGTTATTCCAAGCTTTGACTTTCGTGTTCAAGCCTGACGGCTTTACTACGTATGCTGCTTTACGCCCCAAGGCTGCACCCACATGCTAACTTGGTGTAATCTATAGGGCTGACGCATTCAAGGATGGCATTGACAAGACAGGGCACGTGAAAACAGTATCGCAGCACCAGTATGTAGAATTTCCCCAAGCATTTTGAGACAAAACTAATTCCGTCTCAAGATACGCCGCTGGAAATCAAGGCTGGGTCAGACTTCAAAGTAAGAGCCTTCTCGCAGGAAAATGCACACTTCTAATTTGCTCAATTTTCTCAAGACTCTTTCATGAACCACACCGCCATCGCTGGGAACTTAACGCAGTACATCCCCGATATGGAAGCAACAAAAGCAGCCAATCCCGGCATCGAATTTTTGCTTGGAGAGACAAACAGCGACTATGTCAACCTGGGCATGAACCAGGTGGAAGGTGTTTTTGGAAGCTCCCTTTGGTTGGTTGATTATCTTCTTTACGGAATGAGCCTAGTAATAAAACCCCCCTTCCCTTCGGAGTATTCTGAACATTCAAAGTTTACCTAGGTACTAATTTTCAAAAAGAACATATCTCGCTTCAATCTTATCCAAGGAACAAATTTCGGCTACGCAGGCTGGGTCCCCGTACCCTACAATGGCCAAGACCCGCAAGTCCGCCCGCCACTTTACGGGCAGATCCTTGTCGCGGATGTAATCGGGCATCATCGTGATGTGCAAATCGCACCGGTCGACCTGGGTCGCTGGGATCTTTCAGCATATGGAGTCTACCAGTCCGGAATCCTCAGCAAATATGTAGTCGTCAATTTTGATGAGTGGAATTCGACCACGCACTATCCTCGCCCTTCCCAGAGGTTTGAGTTCCATGTGCCACCCGGTGTTCATGCTGCTGAAGCAAAGAGATTGACTGGACCGGGTGCCAGCTCCACATCTGACATCTCCTGGGGTGGGATCAGCTGGAACTGGACGGCTGATGGTAGGCTTGGACAGCATGGGGCAGAGAATGCTGAACGACTACATATCCAGGGTAAGAAGTTGCTCCTAGAGGTTCCTTCAACTCAGGCCGTTGTCATCGACTTGCTTCGGAAGAAATAGCCTAGAACCTTGGAACATTCAAGTTTTTGGGTTCCGCCATGCCAATGCTATCATGGATAAATTTACATTTAATATGTTGTTTCAGACTGTGAGCGCTCTGATCTAGTGCTAAATGGATTACATTAGTGGAAATCATTCCGTATAAATCCTCAAGATCTGACCAAGAATCCTAGCACATAACAGAAAATAGGGTTTTCTGTAAGATCAATAATCCACCCGGAGCATTGATACATTCAAAAATTGATATACAAGTCCGAATACAGACTTCGATAGCACATCCATAATTTTATACCGAACCAAATACCACCAATTACTTACAGTCCATGGTATACATAACACAAGACCTCACCTTGCGGATTAAGCAATTTCTTGAGAGTAGCATTGGGAGCAAGCTTTCCAATATTAATCTCAAAGTCCAAGGTAACATTCGCACCACTGTAATCAAGTGGAACAACCAGTCCGCCGACTTGATGAAAGCGTCGAGGGATATCCTTCCTCTGCCATTGCCAGAAAACACGATCTAAGTTGCAAATGCGTAGGTAAAAAAGAGGATCTGAATCCCATCAAATTAGCACCCTAGAATAATCTCACATGTATGCGGACTTTTTCAACTTACCACCAGGGCTGAGAGCCGAGTTAGCCAGTGTACTCTTTAAAAAAAGGGAAATATCTATTGGGAGATGGGATTTGTGAATGTGACTATCTTGTACGAATTCATTGTCACTAATAGTATGCCCAGGTGGATAGACACAGCACTGCGACTTGTTCGGTAGATTGGACCTCAACCCTAAGCCCGACTTTGTCAAATGCCTAAAGCTAGGAGGCCCAGGAGCGGGATGATTGCGGTTACGGGGATTCACTGGCATTCAATTCCTCCGGTCTTGAGCGGAGAAGAGCAATGTTAATATAAGCTTCGGCCAATGATATTGGCTACATGCAGTACAACATTAAGACGTTTCGGGATGACCCTAGACAAGTCTTGGCGGTGGCCAAGGTGTACTCTCCTTAAAGTGTATATAAGAGCTGCTTCAAAGTTCAAGTTGCCTGAAAACCGAAAATGTGAAACTAACGAGTCAAAGAAGCAGACATCTTCGAAATTCCAATTGATACGCGAGCGTAGAAAGACAGCAGCCCCTACTGCATAGATCGAAGCGAGACACAAGATGTATAAACTTCAGTAGAATCATACTAATACTAGTACCATACCTACTAGGTAGCCCTGAAAAAGTGAGAGATACTAGTATTACCCAGTTAGTACAGAGATCTAATACAATAAAATCCTCGTCAAGTATTTAGCATGCTAGCAGCAACACCATCCTCCTCCCCACACCAACTTAAATTAAGCCAAAATCTCAACCTCTTTAGCCCGAAAGAAATCCGGCCAAATACAACTCAACTCCTCCAAATGCCGAATCCGATGCTGCGAAGCTTGAGACTCAGGAACCGGCAGCCCACTCTCAACCAAGTGACAAGCCGTCCACCCAAAGCTCTTCGCCCCAACGCAATTCCCAAACGAGTCATCTAAAAACAGAATCATCAGCATCATATAACCCTCAACGGCAAAACACAAAGAATCCCTCCCCTCCATAATCTCGAGACTCGTCCAACCGAACCAAGGAGCGTAAATCACCAACTCACCAACAAAAAAACACCCACCCACATCATCAACCCCAGCCTCCCTCATCGCCTTCTCAAACATACCAACCTGAGGCTTACAAATAAATGGCACGCCCGCATAATCACAAAACGTAACGCCATCAAAAAGATCCTCAACGCCAAGAACCTTCACCACGCGCCTTGCATGCGTGACATACGCATTCGTCAGCAGCCAAAGCCGAACCTTCGATCTATCAATCGACAGCAGAAAGGCCCGCAGCGCGGGGTTGGGCTTGAGAAGGGTTTCTAGTGGTAGTGCGTCGTCGACTTGGCTATTGTAGTGCAGGGCGTTTATGGCGTGGTGTCGGACTAGTCCTTCGACTGTCTGCCCGTATGTTTTGAAATAGTGCGTGTGTAGGGCGATTGCGTCTGAGCGGGGGAGGTCGAGTTCTCGACTTAGGTAGTCGTCTATCAGCTCTGAGAGTGTGTCTTGGACATTACTGCCTGTGGGAGGGGAGGGGGATGTTAGATCATTTTTTGGTTGGGGTTTGGCGTCGCTTTGCTTTGGAACTTTGTGTTTTTTGTGAAGGGTAGAAATTGGTCGAGGTCGTGGGACTTACTCCGTGGATAGAGACAGTTGTCTATGTCACTGAGAGGTTCAAGGTTAGTTCTAGTTCGGATCGAGATTTCGAGATTTCGTGCTATGACTCAACTCAACTCACAAGAAGAGGACTGGTAGACTTGAAGCAGCTGGCACGGCGATGTCGTTCACGGGGCTTGGGACTTCTTGGGCCTCCATTGCTCTAATATGCTGTATATCGCTTTAGGTACTAGAAAGCGAAGTAAAAAGAATGTCAAGATTCTATGCGAGTAAGATGAAAGAAAGTTCGATATCGCGGAGCGGGAGGGTCCCCACTTGGCCGTTGCATCGGGGTACGAAATGGGCATGGATTGAGAGGGAAAATACGAGGCGCTAAGACTAGTTCAAGCGCCACTTTTTTTTTTATCGCTCAAGTGTCGGTCGTTGATAGATGGTCAAGTGAGAGAAATAGAGATGACTCAACTATAGCCAAATACTACTAAGATATCATCAGCTGCTACAATTATGGAGGATGCCATGTAGGTAAAGTGAGAGAAAAGTAATCAATTCGGCAAATCAACTGTTGAGAAATGCCCCTCGCCGGACTGACTGAAGCAAGTCTAGGCGGATAAGGATGAAAAAAATGATTTGCAACCAAGCAAGAGCGCCCATCGCCCATCATCATACGTTGATCATAGATCATAGCTAAAAACAGGCCGAGCGAAAGCTCGGAGCAATGAACAAACAAGCGAAATAACAATATCGGATCGGGGCGAAACGGAAACAAAGTGGGGTTATCCTCAGAATATAAAAGTATATCTGGAGCTCCATTATCTTCGTATGGACAAATGTTGGGAGGGGAAGCTTCATGTTTGGTTGGCATTTCCAATCAAGCAGATGCATTGGCGCTGGGGTTGATATAATCGTACCAGGCCAGCTTGATTGATGGAAGCAGGAAATGCAATTATGAAGCAGAAGATGGTGGAAATAGTAAAAGATGGAATAATAATGGTCGATAAGGGAGGAAAAATCGATAAATTGATAGCGCTGGCGGAAAAGACAACCTAACACCGTGTTTGCATTGCATCTCGGAATGTCGTAGTTAACTGCAGGTTCATGTGCGTCATTCATTTTGGTTCGTCTATGTGGTTCGCATATGTATCGTCATCTGGCACATTCTTTTTGGGGGGACATGAGATCGGTTCGGAAGCGGAAGCGGAAAACGGAAAGGAAGATGGTCCATCCTTCTTCTTTCCTTTCCCTGCAAAGGGAGCCTTGAAAGGGGAGAGGAAAGAGAGAGATGGGTGAGGCCGAAGAGAAAATAGAGGTGTTGAATAGTCGTCGATGTCGTTTCCAAGCTGCCTGAAAATATCGGGAGAGCCAGGAAGGCAAGAAGCGACGGCTATATTGATGGACGCAAAATAACAGAAAAGGAAATTGTAGAGAGTGGATCGCGACTGAGGCGGAGAAGGGTAGTTGTATTTTGTATCGGGTTTATGGCGGTTTGGAGTTTTTTTGTCTTTTTGAAATTTGTTGCTCCTCAGGGTCTGAGTATCTTTGAGGAGATGGTGTGAAGAAAAGGAAAAGTCTGTCGAAGTATTGGTGTAGAGAATGAATTTGCATCATAAATGATCGAATCTGGTTCAGGACCAGCCAGACATTCTGTTGATGCCTACTGATATTCACAGCGATCACAGATTCGATCCGATGCTGAAAGGGGTGGCAAAATAATGAATGTAGTTCCCAAGAAGGGAGTCGACTGATCTTCATAGTTGGTCATGCGAAAACTCAAGATTGACACAGGTAATTCAAGTTTGCAGGATCAATGACATCGAAGATTCACAGGGAATCAACGCAGGTCATGAGAAAATCGTCGACAGCCAAGTCAGGAGGAAAGAGCCCATCACGTTTTCTCTTCGGGTAGAGAGGTTAGGTAGTGTATTGCAATTTTCAGTAATACTCGAAAGTTCGGGATCAGAACTCGAGCTATCTCAAAAGACATATCGTTACAGTCGTCAAAGGCCGTTGCTGTCATAAAAAAAGGGCTGCGAAATCTCGTTCAGGTCATTATGCAGGGAATAAAAGTTTCGCAAATGAATCGGAGCCACAATATAACGGAAAACTCGGGACAGCGGGACAACAAAAAGACGCATTTAATTACGCGTGTAAGGCATGTTCAGGATTTGCCGGCGAATGCGTTCGGCGTCGGAGAGACCCTCCTCAAATGGGTTCTGCAGGGCCTGCACGGCCGGCTTTTCCTCTCGAAAGGGGTCTCGGAGGGGAGTCGAGCCTGGGTGAGTCGCAGGGCCCGTATATGGCGGAATACCACCGCTTGAGAACGGGTCAGAGGTGGAGGGGGCGTGTCGAATGAATCGACCGGGGGCTTCACGGCGCTTGAACCCTCCTTCGAGTTTGAAGGGCGAACCGAGGCGCTTGATATTCTCGCCACCTAGGTTCAAAAACGCATTGACAGGGGGTTTCATGACCGGGGTGGTCTCCTCGGGCTCGGCCTGCGATGAGTTGAGCGACGACGGAGGAGAGAAAAGCTGGCTGACATCTCGGGGGCCCGCAGCACTGGTTGTAGCACCGCGGTTGCGAATCCGGACTCGGCCATGGCCGATATCTTGGAATTTGTTGTCGTGCATATAATCCGACAGTCGACGGTGAACTTCCTCATCGGAAGGATCCTTGGTATACACATCACTGGAAAAGACATCGTCGGTGTCCCTCGGGGTCAGATCGAAGTGAGTGTTACGGCGCATGCGGCGACCAGGTACATGAACAGTCTCGCGTCGAGGTGGCTGGGGAAGATCTGCCACTTGGCGGTTTGAGCCTCCAGGTCCCCAAGTGCTGTACACGAATGGTGATCCAAGACGTGGCGGGATGCTGTAGGGCTGAGGGCGGAGATATTGATTCGAAGGCTGGGGAGCACTGGCTTTGGGGCTCGCATGGGGGCTGGCGGCCTTGGGTTGTTGAATGGGGGTATTGAACCATTCGGAGGGTTGTTCGGGAACAGGTGCTTCGGCCAGCTGGGCCAACGGAGTGGGAGCGGATGCGACCAAAGAGACACCCAGGTCACGAGTGGCATACGTTGTACAACTTCCTTCGGCGAAGTTGTGAACCTGCGACTCGGCATTGCCGAGCATATCGGCAACGGGCTCAGGGCTGCGGGATTGCATCATGCGCTGATAATGGGGTGCAATGCAGAACTTGCGTCGGCACAGATGCTTAAGGCGGCTGCGTGTTTTCGCATCAGACTTAGGCCAGACCGAATTCGAATTGGATGGCTTTCCAGTGGCCTTGGGGGTGGAGCTACCACTGCGGTCGGCAGCCGCCTGACCGGGTAGAGTTGTGATGCGGAGTCGCTTCTTCTCCCAGGTGCGCTTGGCACGGCGCGCAACTCGAGAAGTGACTCCAAGGGGCGGAATGCTGCCTGGTGTCATTTTGAACGGAGTCATGGTGGGATCTTGCAGGTATAACTGATAGGTGTTCCACAGGTGGTTATCCATGTCTTTCGTCCAAGATTTATCCTTCACTTGGATTCGCTGCACCTGCTGCTTCTTGGGTAGAGTGGGAGATGACATCTCGGGTTCTTTGGGGAACTCCAGTGGAAAGTAGGAATCCAAGTCGCTCTCGGCGCTCGTACAGCTGCCACCAACGGACGGTCGCGATGCAAAGGTTTCGATTGATTCAACAGAGGAATCGGAGATGTTTGAGCACGCTGAACCGGGGCGCGTAATCTGGCCCGGGGTCTGGTCCCACGAGGGCCATTCGTGCGACTCATTTTCCAAATCAGAACCTCGAATTTGAGCTTCGGGGGTCTTGAAGCTCATGCGCTGGTGAGGCGGCGCGAGGAAACGGCCGTCATTAGTGTCGGCAGGGTCCTCGAAGAAAGGCGCGTCGAATGATGTACTTTGCTGGGGAACCTCGATGGAGGGAAGCGGCATGTCCTCGGTGCTGGTACTAGTGCTGGGGCCGGAGCCCTGGAATCGGAACAGGTCGAGGTCCATTCGAGCGCAAACGTCGGTACCAGAGCGCACTCTCACGCGAGGAAGACGGCAGCTGGAGAAAGAGTGGCGCGGAGCCTTGGGCACGTCGACATAATGAGACGGGCGTTCGGGGGTTCGCGGTTCGTCAACGCCATCAGCAGCTAAAGACGGGAAGGTGAAATTCTTGGGGAGGGTTCGCGAAAGCTGACGTTGGGCCATGCTGATTGAATCGTGTGACCGTGATCACACTGGAATGTGCGGGGGGAGTAAACTTTGGAGAGAATGTGTCGGCGTCGGCCGAGGTGGTGAATGTGAATGTATGTCGCGGCCTCGAGGGTGAAAGCGCGCGAGTCGCGTATAATCGTGATTCGTGAGGAAAATAGGAAACGAAGAAGAATGAAATAAAAAGAGTCGAACGAAAAGTCGGAGGTGTCAAAGAAATTGAGGGTCGAATAATGATAATTGCGTGTGATCAAAACGTGCTGTACTGGGGGGGGGGGAAGTGTATCTTCCGCGGAATGCGCGAACTGAATACAATATCACCAGACACCGAATCACCACTGCGATCCCATCCCGTCAAATGAGCAGGGAAAGGAGATCATTACCGAACGCCAAAAACGACAAGAAAAAGAGAACTGCGAAACTCTCGCAGGGGGAGTTGGGGGGGGGGGAGGGCAAAAGGGTGGAAGAATATAGGGAAAGAGAAGGTGAAGAGGTGAAGAGTGAGCGGGAGGTTGGGCGCCGAGAGTGAGGCGTTCGGGGGGGGGGAGAGGAGAAGGGTGTGCTGGGTACTGCGTAGTTAACACTAGGTACTCAGTAGGTACTGGTACCTCGGGGCCCTGCGTGTGGTGGCTGCGGGTGTTGGTACCGGGTACTCCTAGGCCCACCGTAACACCAAGTACTAATAACTTGAAAAAGTAAGTAAAAAAATCAGAGGAACTTGGAAACCTCGAAAGACTTGAATATGGATATGGCTATGCCAATGACAATGACTATGCCTATGACTATGAATGGAATGCTCTTGTTTGTTTGTCGAGTAAAGAGTGCGACCTTACATGCTGCATGCGTGATTGCTGTGTACCTAGGTACAGTATACAGTACGGTATTCCTAAGGTACTCTGTAACTTAAGTACCTACTGTAAGTATAGTGAGTACCCTGGTTTAGTTAGTACTCTAGGGCAGGCACACCCATCTCGGTTAAGGTTGACCTCGACTCTGCAAGGGCCGTCCCATGCCCACCGATTCCCACTGATGTCCATTGCGTCCGTTCTGCATTGCACGTTGCATACCTACCTAGGTACATATTAGTTACACACTGCCCATTGCCCAAGGGGTGTCTACATTTATCTGTATAGTGAACTATGTCAACAGTTGATTTTTGTGTTGGAATTTTATTTTTATTTTTGACTTGAATGGGATACAGTTGTAGATCTGCACTTAATTCAGGATTGATATTTTTCCTTCCACCATTTTTCAAATTTCTGATTGTGCGGTGAAGAGTGAGGCAGAGATAACTATAACCCCATCCGGATCGTCGTGTTGCGTCGCGTCGCGTCGCGCGCACTTGCCGCGTCTCGCGTTGCGTTTTATAACCGTATCCAATACAGTCACCTGATATCGCCATCCGGCCTGCTGCTGCACTACATGCAGCAGATGGGGATACTGCACGACATGCATTGCGCGTTAACTTGGTCCGGGTGTGAATCTCGAGTCGAGTCGTCTCGGTGACTCCGAGAATTCGAGAATTCAGAGTCATCTGTGTTTTGTGGAGGAGCTGAAATCCCGAGAACATCACGTCACTGGCACCTATTGCCGTCCGAAATCTCCGTATGCGTACGATAGAATCTACATCTTGTACAGCTACACTTCTGACGTGACATCAATCATCGTTCTGAGTACCGAGTAGTCTCCATGGTGATTCTGATCTCAATTGATTAATTCCAAGTATAACTTCGGGCAGCTCATATAAATCAACCTTGGAATATTCTTTCTCCGTCAAGGGTCTCATTCATTATTGACCTGGTATATCACCATGAACAAACGACTGCTTCTCCCTCCCTCTCACCCCATCCCCATCAAACACTACTTGCAAACAGACACAAGAACCTGCTCATGCATGCACAGCAACAATAAACAACCCCAACCCCACAAGAAAACAAATGCAAACCCGCAGAACAAGGGATAATCACAAAACAAGCCCACCACCCCAACCTGCATCTTCCCACCAAAATGTCTCGCATCAACCGTCGTCAAGCCAATCCCTACTCCCCAAGCGCAGCAAGGTCGATCTCCACCACCCCCCTGGACCGGAAAAGCAACTCAACCCCCGGATCCGTAATGATCTCCGTCCCATGATCGAAATTCGCCGGCCGCCCAGCAGCCACCCCGGGCCCAGCATGACCGTCACCGTCACGGTCCGCACCCTTCAATTTCCACTCATACTTGAGCAACAAGTGCACAAGAAAGATCTTCGACTCATTCGCCGCGAAGAAGCGGCCCGGACAAGCGTGCACGCCGTGCCCGAAGCCGAAACTCTCGCGCGAGGTCGTGACGAATTGGAAGCGCTGCTCGTTGCCGGGTTGTTGGCGCTTCTTGTGGAATCTGTAGCCGTCGTAGAGCTCGGGCGAGGGGTAGATTGTTGGGTCTGTGTTTGTGTGTGTTGATACGCCGATCATTGCGCCCTTTGGTATGATTGTTCCGTCGCTGAGGGGGATTTCTTTTTTGGCGAGGCGGCTTAGGGAGACTTGGAAGTTCAAAAGTTAGTAAACTCAAGTTATACTAGTTCTTCAAGGTAGGTTCCATGAAGAAGCTTGGAGGGGTTCAGGTTCAGGTTCCAAGGTTCGAGTTAGACTCACCCATAGAAACGGGATGAACTCGCTGCGTCTCTTTCATCACACTGTCCATCAATTTCAGCTTCAATAGACTGGACTTTTTCAAACATCCGTCCTCAGCTATCACGGCCAGAATCTCGTCGCGCAGTGGCTGGATATACTCTGGGTACGCAGCGAGATCATACATAACATTCGTCAATAGATTGGACGTGGTATGGATAGCAGCCATTGACAGCGCGATCTGGCCATTCGACACGTTGACAGGTCGACCGGATGATTTAGACAATTGCTCGTACCAGTCCAATGTGTCCTGAAGTCGGGGCTCGTTGTCGCTTTCGCTTTCGCTTTCGGCAGCTAGATGCCGTCTCTTGATCTCTGCATCAATGATCATTTTCCCCTTTGATAGATGGCTTCGGAGTTTCCGCGTTGTTGTGAGGAAGTACTGCGCCACCGGACGCAAAATAGTTAGCCACTGTCGCAGTTCACGGGCGGCGTTGAAGGCGTCGATGGTGTAGTTGACCGAGATGTCAATCCATTCTTTGTTGTTGGCGAGCGTTTCGCCTAAAAAGGCGCGAGTTGAGAGACGCGCGACGACATAGGGGATCTTTGCGGAGAAGTTGTATGGTGTCCATTCTTCAAGTTGTTGTGATAAAAGTTAGAAAGATATTGCCGGCAGTCACCTTTGTTGAGGATTTTGGTTCTTTTTTTCCTGGGCCTGGGTAGTAGGATAGCATACCGGTTGTAGGGGGAAAGATCTCCTTTGCAACTACTGCGCTTTCTTTCGATAGTGGAATCGTCAATGAGCCTAGGTACTTCAGTTAGTATATTCTACTTATTTTCCGGTCCGAGTGCCCAGGTGTGAAAGCCGACATACCGAGTGCTTGGGTCAATTTGGTCCGCACCAAATCGACAGTTACCTGCCCGCCGACGCCAGCATGGAATGGCTCGAATCCGGAGATGCGATTGTCGAAGAAGTTCTATCCATGGATTTATTATCAGCTTCCGAGGTCCATGGCTATATTTATCAAGTGGGAGGGGCCCGGGGAGGAGAATTCCCCAGGTGGAAGCTCCACCTACCCTCTCAACAGCACCCTGGAAATCCAAATGGGGGTGATTCTTGATCTCGTCGATATATTTGGGGTGAAGGATAATCAGTGGTCTCACAGAGATGAGCTGAAAGATATTGGCCCCCTATCTCAATTCGGTCAGTTTGAGGCCGGTGTTTGATTCTGACCTCGAAGGTTTGGGACTCTCATCCTACCTTGGCGAATCCCTCGAGGATCAACTCTCGCGCACTGGATGTAAAGCGCTGCCTGGTCTTCTTATTGAGAGGATCCCATCCATCCTTGCCGATTAGGGGGATTCGACGATGGGGGATTTCGTCTGCCAGATCTTGCCAAAATATGGAGAGGAGCACGGTGACAAGGGAGATGACCAGACCTTGGACTGCATAGGGACTTTGGATCAATTCGGTGAAAACCGCCATGACGGAAACTTGATCATATAGTTACCTACTATGAGTAGGTACTACTAGTACTGGTGATAGTAAATAGTTATAGGGAGTCCAGCCGTGGAAGCAACCTGACCTTGAAGCTAGTATGCACAGGGGGTTATGACAAACTTGAACTTTACCCCAGTTCCAGCGGCAGGGCTAATACTATATACCAAGGTAACTTGAAACAACTTTAAAATCCATCGGGCTCAGCACTACCGACCAGTCACAATAACTCAGTTATAGATTGATCGTTCGGGGCTTGTGTAGCCGACACTCAGGCCCACATGACAGCGATCGGAAGCGGCAGGCGCCGAAACCAAGGCGAGTCGTGAAGAAGTGTGCAAGCGGTCTGAGTACGGCAGTGAAAGGCTCCGAGATTCAGTGTGGGTGGTGCGTGGAGTGGAACGAGAACGAGACTGGGGCTTTTCCCTAAAATGGCATCTTTGGAGAGCATCAATCGATAAAATGTGGGGATATGGGTAATTGGTGAACTTTGATTGACTGGGAGACAAGGGATGCGACGTATAGCGTATAGAATCGCGTATAGAATCCGTATAGAACTGGATTTCTTAGGGAGGTACTACGTAGTTCGATTGGTACGGAGCATTGTCTAAATTCAAAGTGTATCTATCTACTGCTACTCTGCAGTGGTAAAGAGTATCAAATACCACCTCTAGCTCTAGGGCTAGCTAAGGTACAGCTGCTACTAGTAAAGGGCTGTTATGGACAGCGATACAGCAACCTGTAGATGGTGTATATCAGGAATCTTTCGAGAAGGAAGTCTTCAAATCTTCAAGTTCCTAATATTCTAGTATTTGGAGACCTATAATAATCCATTCCGAGTCTATCTCCTATCCCTGTATTTAGATTCTACACTACTAGTAGAGAGTATCAATCCACCGCCCCCGACCACCGCCAAGCCCCCGCATCATTGGCCTCCCCCGCAGCTTCTCCTCTTTCATGTTCACAACTTGAACCAGAAGAACTTGAACTTCATCATGGGAGACTTTGGCCCTGTCGTACAGCCATTACAAACTACACTAACAGGAACCCCTCACCCTGACCCCTCTTCCAGCGAGATATCCGTCCTGGTAACTGGCTTCGGCGTAAGTGATCTACACTCGGATCTCTCATGATCCCGATCCCGAACATCGCTGACCTGATCGTGTAACTCCAGCCCTTCAAATCCAACCTCGTGAATGCTTCCTACCTGATCGCCTCATCGCTTCCTTCCTCCTTCACTTTCCCTTCTAAGGACGGCTCCTTCAACCGCCGTATCTCCCTCCATGTCCACCCCACTCCGATCCTGGTAGCATACGCCAGCGTTCGGGAACAGCTACCAGCAATCCTGAAGGAGTACGCCGGTGCGCACGGCGGCCAGCGTCCAGACCTCATTATCCATATTGGCATCGCCGCGCCACGCCTATACTACTCAGTGGAGGCGCTGGCTCATCGTGATGACTACAACATCACCGATATCAACGGGCGCACGGGCTACGAAGATGGCGAGAAGCGGTGGAGAGAGATGGGGCTCCCATCTATCTTGAAGCCTGGCCCTTCGGGTGGTTCTGCTGCCTCCACTTCGCTCGCGACCCCTTATCCACCGAACGACCAGTTCTTGAAACAGTGGCAGGCTCTTGCGCCACCCGATACTGACATTCGTATCTCCCATGATGCGGGCCACTACCTGTGTGACTTCATTTATTATACTAGCCTGTCCTTGGCGTACCGCGCGAATCAGGACCGGAGCATCCTCTTCTTGCACGTCCCTGGAGCTTCTGAGGATGCCGATATCGAGCGCGGTCGCGCGATCGCCATCGCTTTGATCAAGAGTATGGTGATTTGCTGGATTGACGGGAAGCCACCCGTAACATGATCAGTGCGACGACTGAGCTTCCTTGAATTGATGACCTTCCGCATGCTTTCGTTACATTACGCAGACTCCGACTCTTTTTTTTTTTTCGGTTGATATGTTGTTTTTCGTTCACCCATTCTTTGGGTTTTTTTTTCTCTCGCACATAGTCCTTGCATGGTGTTTATTAGGACCATCTATCTCACAGCATATTCCCCAAATACCAGTTCAATTTTCACAGTGAATCTCGGAATAAATATTATTCAAGCATTAAACATCCTTTTTTTTTCGTATTTATAAAGCTTCTCCATAGGTAATTGTACTTCTTTTTGTCCAAATTCCTACATTTTCCTTCTCATTCCTCAGCGACTAGTCTCGGCAAAGCGACCACTTATCAATCCGCACTTGAACTAGCCGGCTCTTAACAGTTGTTTACTCATGCCAATTCCAAAACACATACTCCGTAGCTTTCGTCCTCTCTCTTCATCCTCCCTTTCAACAATTCCGTTCCTTCAATACACCCTGCAAATGAGAAACCAACAAGGCTCATTACCACAATGGTATATTCAATAACCACCCCTGTGATCCTAGGACTCATCCTACTCGTCCCATATCTATTTTTCTCCAAACCGAAACTACCAAAGGGATGGAATACAACACCACTAAACTCAACCCTCCCCCGTCTCCGCCTACTGCACCCCTGGCGCACCCGCACCAAACAATCCTGCGAAATCGTCTCACTACGAATATACCCAATAAAGTCCTGCCGCGGCTTCGAAGTCCAAAGCACAACGCTAAAAGAGCACGGCCTCGACCTCGACAGAAAATGGATGCTAGTCGACGCATCAACAAACGAATTCCTCACAATCCGCCAAATCCCATCCATGACACGTATCATTACAGCGCTAAGCTCCGACCCCGATCCAGACCTGTTAATATCCATCCCGACAACGAAATCCAGAAGCAAAACGATTCGCATCCCCGCCCACCCCTCAAAGGACTGGCTAGCGAAAAATACATCCATCGCCCCGGTTAAAATCTGGGATAATGACACGGACGGATACATCTATCGCGAGAAAATTAACGCGCCCTTTTCGGCGTTTCTGGGCCGGCCTGTCTCGCTTGTGTATAAGGGTCCCACCCCTCGCGTGTTGAAAGGGAATGGGGCGCCGGAATTACTAGGTCGGGTGCAGAGCACGGGGTTTCCGGACGTTTTCCCCATCTTGATTGCGTCGGAGGCTTCGCTTGCGGAGTTGAATGCGCGGTTACGGAAGATTGACGCTGATCCTGTTACTGTTGAGCGATTTAGGCCTAACATTGTTGTTCGGGGTCAAATGCCCTGGGTGGAGGATTCGTGGAAAACGGTGCGGATAGTAAGAAGTGCTGCTGGGAATGATGTTTCTTCAGCCTTAATGCCGCTTGATTTGGATGTCGTTGCGAGGTGTGCGAGGTGCCAGGTTCCGAACGTTGATCCTGAGACTGCGGACAAGCATAAGAAGCAGCCGTGGGATACGCTTATTTCGTATAGGAGGGTGGATGAGGGGATTAGGTGGAAGCCTTGTTTTGGGATGTTAGGTGCGCCGAGAGATGAGGGGCTTATTGAGGTTGGGATGAAATTGGAGGTTTTGGAGGAGACGAATGAACATCGGTATATCACGGGCTTCAATGCTTAAGGAGGGGATCTATAGCCAGTCCTCGAGGTCCTTTTTAATCGTCGCTGTCTGAGACCCTTATCTTTGCTATGTATTGTAATGCAAGAGTGATGACCTTTTTCAGAGGGCTCATTGCTTACATACAATGACACTGGCATGAATCTTGGATGATATAGTGTTTGAAGGAAGCTATGGATAGGACTTTTGTCTCTAGTGTCTACTTAGTAGGTATCAAATAATCGCGGGCACCGAAATGAATTATTTAGAAAAATATAGAAGACTTCGCACTGGGGTGATTAAATTCCCCTGTTAAATGCAACCAATTCTTCTTCTCGGCCATTTTCATAAAACCTCTCTTCTAGAGACCCTTTCTTAACGGTTTGCTTCTGAGGAAATATTGCGAGAGCGAACGGAAGAGCGACACTCGTGGTTATGAAAACAAGACCTGATTGGTCGATTAGCAGTCATCCATCTCGCCAGGACTAGATCAAGTCTTACCTATATTTGCCGGCATAAGGAGCGAAGGTCGCTTCTTTAGCCACTCCGTTTTCTGTATCTTCAATAGGAGCAGAGATGGCACCACCATGACAGGAATGGCATTGAGCACTCGGCTAGTAGCTGTTTCGCCCACGGCAATGAATGCTGCTTTCGAGCTCTTCCCGAGGCTCTTGTCAGAAACTTCCGTCGTTTCCTGGCCGTCTTCTCCTGTGACTGAAGATACAGGGAACACGTCAATTCCACGACGAATTTCCTCGCCACGCATTAGAAAAACATTCAGTGCTCCAGCACTAGCGACAGCAGCGAATGGGACAAGGCGAGCTAGGATTGTCTTTGTTTGGTGGCTCAGAAACGAAATCCGCGGCACCATGCTATTAAGACCCAGTGCGACGGAGCAAGATGCAGATACAGCCATGAAGTAGGATTTGATCATTGCCTCGGTTGAAAGTGGTGCGGATTGATTGGCATTTGCACTGTTGATAGCAACATTGAGAGACTGGTTTGCAATCTGCCATCCTAGAATTCCCCTCCACTACGCGAGAGCAATTTAGACTGTTAAGAATCTCGCATCTTATAAGCTATAATGATAAACTGACCTTCATTCCAGGAATCAACATTCCGGCTGTGACAATGAGGTTTGAAAACACGTAACATGACATGCGGAAAGGCAGAAGCACTGGTTTGCCAGTATCGGGGTGCAGCGTAGAATCGACGATCTTTTTGGCTTGCCAGAGTTCGGTTCGCATCACTTTGGCGTGGTCGTTTTTATAAATGGTCAGTAGGTTGATCGCATGTTTCAATTCGGCATCGGAAGTGAAGAGAGTCCTTTGAATACACATATCAGCAATTAACGGTCATTTCACAGCTCGTAGGAGCCTTTGCAGCTAACCTTGGATCTGCTAGGTCGGCACATTGGCGGACTCGGCCCCAGTAGGTAGACAAATCATATTGAGAGTCGGGAAGTTGACGAGGTCCCGGAAGTGACGATGCCATTCTCATAGAGCAAAATTGATTATAAGCAAATGGTAGAGGACGCAGCAAGGTATAGGGGATATTTGACACGTAAAAGCGAACCTTTGAAGAAATTTATTCCTCTCTGCATGGATTTTGTTGTGGCGGAGCGGGCCAAAGGTGGATTGCTGCGAAATGCTCTTGGAAGGAGCATTTTCTTCTCCACATCGCTCTCACGGTATGTCCGATCGGGAAATCTTCGATTTTTCGAAGGAAAAACGATGACACAATCGATCAAGCGGTATAGTAATGTAAATCCGATCAATGGTTTGGTACTGGTTTCTGACTTGGGGTTTTAGCGAAGATTGAACCATCTCTGAAGGTCATCCGCCAGTGGATATCTTGATAGCGATCTCCTTTTCCCGGCTTCAGAAGAATGATCAAAATCTCCATTTCTCACGATTTGACAGATTTTTTAACCATGATATCACCCCCGACGCTCAATGTTTCCAGTTCTAGCATATGCAAGTTGAAATTGGTAATTGGGATGAATTAGGATGCCCATCAAGCGGGGTGGCGACTAAGCTAGTCTTGATAACGACGGCGTATGATGCGCCGACAAAGCAATTTGAAGATACGTACTCAGGGCTTGTATTATGATATTATAAGTAACAAAATATATCTACATACTGTATATGATTGCATGAGCTACACTTATCCCTTAGTACCAAATGTCAATATGTGGCCATGAAGCCTTTTGAAATAAGCGCCTTCCAATGACACATACGCCTATGATGACTATTACTGCCCCATCCATCTAACTAGTAAAAGACGGAATACCTAATGGAAGTAAAATTCGATCAGGGTGACACAAGCAACATCACTTAGTTGGTAGCGCATAGAATTTAAGTACGGGGGCATAGCATAAAAAGCAAGACGAAAGGAGCACTGGAGGGCACAATGGCCACGAGAACGGAGAACGGTTGATCGTGCCCAAGTGCGCAGCCTCCAGGGCTCCTCCGACCGGCTTGAAAATATATATAATGAAATGTTTGTAATGACAGATAGGGGAGGCAATATAAATAGCAAGTAATCACTAATTCTCACTTCTTGCTGTTCGTCACTTGTACTACTGTTAGTAGTTACCAGTACCGTACTATCCCTCCGCGGATGTTAAAACATCTTTGCTGGATAAAGTGAATAGCTTTCAAGTCAAGTAATATTCAATTATTCCAATTTATTAGCAAACAAAGAGATTAAGTTCACTTTTTCATGCCTAAAACTCTAGACAGCACCTAGACAATATCCTACGTTTCATTAACAGGGTCCTGTTAAACTGATTTCGACTTCCGCCGTTCAATTAAGCGTGGTGAGTGTAGCAAAAGACGGTGCCGAAAGGGCCAGTCTGTTCAATTTCATGATGGTTAGCTTTTGAAAGAAAATAAGAAGATGGAATGGGCATCATGTACTTGAGTATCAGTAGCTGTGCAGCATATTCCATGAGGTTGAGATGATGCCGGGTTGCAGCTGTCGCCATCAGAGATTTCCTCTGCGAGGCTGGAGTCAGCAACTAGCATCCTGGTTAGTAACCAAGGAGATTTTATAACTTACTACAACCGAGACCATACACAAAAAGATACAGGTTAGGCAAAATTTCTTTATCCGGGACTTCTTCCACAGCACAGCAGAATTGTCTGCCATAAGATGCACAGGTTTTCTTCTGCAACACGCCCGCAGATGTCTCGCTTGCCATACTACTTGCAAGAGCGAGAAATGTTAGCAGATTTTTGTATTGCATGTTAACGGTCGATTTCAAAAGTCTTTGATCAAGATGTTACAGTATTAGAATAGGGTTGAGAACGGGATCTAGATGCGCAATATAAGCTACTGAAGAATGAATTAAGATTTAAGCAATTCAGTTCACGAGGTCATAGACTAAATAATCTCGAGCTCAATAGGAAGGGAAAATAAATCCACATCTAGGGATTAGGTTCATATTGTGTTCGGCAGGCCAGGCCAGGCCATGCCGGATCAAGTCAGATCGATCGCATTCCGCATCTGGACGGCTTCTCTCCTCTCTTCTCTGTTCTCCACTCTCATCCGATCGCCACTTTTCGTTTGTCTCTTTCTTCCACGTAATTTTAAGCGAGTTCTAAGGCAATTCTAGAACCGGCCGAACGAGAATGAGAATGATTCCTTCAGTTTATTAAATATCGCTCTTCGTGTTGGCTCCAGGGCTTCAATCAATATTAGATAAGATGACTATGTCCTTTAACGCTAGGGTACGTATTTATCAGAGAAATTCGGATTCAGTTTATACCTAGGTACTACTAATATTAGGTTTCTTTAAACATTGATTGCAAGTAGCCTTTACTACAAAGCTAAGCATTTTATCATATGATGCGATCAGGGCATGGAAGGCGATGCCAAGCTGTACCGGAACTTTGGGATCTGAGATTAGAACTTGAAGGTTTCCATCCCTTCAAATATAGAAACGCTAGAGGCCCTCCTGCATGCTTGGTATCTTGAGGGGGTTGTATCTCTTGGAGCCCGCATAAGTAACTCTATGACTGGGATGATCTTTCTTTAAACCGTTGACCTGGTTGACACTCCTTACCAGTAGTATTCATAGAATAGAATAGATTGTTGATTCTTAATTTCTTCCACTTCAAATTCCTCATCCTCAGTAGATACCACGCAAGAAGAGATAATACACCATCAGATGGCCCTTCACATGTAATCTGTCACTCAGAACACAGTGCTTACGAGATTGAGACTCGTTCATCGTATACCGACGGAACTTGAACCGACACCGAAAGTTGAACTTTGGGATATTCAATTTACTCCAGAATAGATAGTAGTATGGAAATTTCAAGGCCGCCCAGGTTAATGGAATAATAAACGATTTATTAAAGAGGCGTCTACTCTGTAGGGCTCACGTCAGCCCCTTTCTATTCAGCTTCCGAGAAGGGAAATTGAATTGGAGGCAAAATACCACCCCCACGCCAAAATAGTCCCAGACTAAAATATTACTCAGCTTTTTCAGCTACCCAGAGTAATTCGCGTGTATTTGCGAAAATTAATTGACTATAAATTGCCAGTGGCTCTTTTGTTCAAAGGTTAAGCAGAAACTCAGTAAAAACACTGAAACCTTGGAATACTCATCTCTATAACCTGAAATCATGGCCGAAACTACTAGTATCCACAAGAAAGAAACCATGCGTTCCGTCATTTTCGACGGGCAGCCGTACGAAGTTAATGTGCGCAGCATTCCAAAGGCAAGCATCGTCAAGGAAACAGACGCTGTGGTACGCGTTACAACGGCGGCAATCTGTGGCTCCGATCTCCACAACTACCACGGCGTTTTCGGCAGTAACAAGGTTCCTTACTCTCTTGGGCATGAGGCTATGGGAATTGTGGAGCGAGTCGGATCTGCTGTGGAGATCGTGAAGGTTGGGGATCGAGTCCTCATTCCAGACTGTCCCGATACTGGCTTGCTGGATGTCGAGCCAGAGATAATACCCCCAATAAGTGTTTATGGACAGGGCGAGGATTTTGGGGTTTTGGGAGGTTGTCAGTGTAAGTTCGAGTTCCATCGAGCCATCTAATTATTGCTTGGAAATGTCATGAATGTCTTCACATTCCAAGGATGATGAGCTCTCTAAACGAACCTGAATCTGACTGATTCCCTTCATAGCCGAATTTGTTCGAGTCCCCGTCGCAGATAAATCTTTGATTATCCTTGGCGAAGAGCATGAAAATATAGAAGATAAAGACTTCCTAGTTCTCACCGATATTTTCCCCACTGCCTGGGTCGGAGTGACCTGGTCCGGCTTTGAGGCAGGGGATACGGTGGCTATCTTCGGCGCCGGCCCTGTCGGCCTTCTCGCCGCGTATTCTGCCCTTCTCCGGGGTGCATCTCGCGTCTATGTCGTCGATCATGTTGAAGAGCGCCTCGAAGCCGCAGCCTCTATCGGGGCTATTCCGATCAACTTTACCAAAGGCGAACCATCGGCACAGATCCTTGCCCGGGAACCGGACGGTGTCCAACGCACGGTGGACTGTGTTGGAGAGGAATGCCTCAACAGCAAACTCAAACATGAACAAGCATTCGTCGTGACACAGGCAATCAAGTGTACGAGTGTGGGTGGTGGTGTCGGCGTGATTGGAGTGCACTTCGCCCTACCGACATCCAACGGCGTGAAGCGGGGAAACACCATTTCACCCACGATGGATTTCCCCATGACAGTTTTCTGGGAGAAGAACTTGACGCTGCGCGGGGGTACGGTGGACAGCAAACTATTCGTTGAGCCGTTGCTTGAACTCGTGAAAAATGGCCGAGCCAAGCCTGGCTTTGTTTTCTCTTCCACGATTGATATTGAACAGGCACCCGCGGCATACCGTCGCTTTGATGATAAATTGGAGACTAAGGTTATGATTAAATTCCCTCGCCCCGGAAAAGAAAATGGCCATGTTGCAGCAGAGACTCCGGAGAATGGAGAGACTGAAAACGGGGCGAATTTACACGGGTAAGTGCATTCTGCAAACAAAATATTCAGCTTGCCTTCACATCAGGGCTGACAAGTATTAATAGTGGCCAATGGCGTGGTAAGACCAAGCGCCGTTCGACTTCTTCGCAAGCTGCTCATAAAAGAGTGAAGCATTGAGCCTGCCCAGTGATCTTGGGAGAATGTATCTAGCACAAAGACGCCTGGAACTCACGCGGAGCTGTATTTTATGGAACAAATCGGGTTGAGAGAGACTCTGTATTACTGTTGAAGTGTGTTCAGATATTACTACCTCAGAAAATGACTTTTGTGGGTGGACTCACTTGAATATGACGCGAACCATTGTAGATAGTATTTATCAAGCTCGAAAAGCCTGAATGCGCAGAGGGTTTGTCATAGGTAGGGTCGGTACGGGACGATCGACCACGTTGGATACTTACTCTAGCTTGTTGTAGCACTTTTAAATTACGTGATATGCATATTTCCAATAATTGATGAGAAGTTGCATAAGTATCTCATACAATCTTATCCACGCAATATTTTTCAGGTTAGCGCCACATCTCGATGCTTCCTTCAGCTACCCCGGAATATGCGGCTTGGCCCACTAAAAGTCTTAGTCGACACTATTGATTGTCGCGTGATGCAGGAAATGACGACAAAATTAGCCTTGAAGAGCCCCGGGCCTGTGTATGTACTCCATTTCTAGCACGCGTTGTGACCCACGCGGCACTCTAGCGATGGCTTTGCTGGGGTGCATGACTAGTCTAGGGGAGTGGAAAGGAGCAGATAATATGATTGGCAGAGAAAGGTGAAAGGATCAAGCGATATAAGCTAGCTATTGACTAATAATTCCATCAATCGACTACTTCAAATTTGAAGGCAAACAGGTATACCCTGTACAGGTTCTATGAGAAACCTAGGAGATTCGTTTTCCCATACTTCCGGGAGTAATACGGCACCGGCAGAGAGTAGTCCGGCATCCGAAAAGAATACGGGAATGATCAGTCCAAGTCCAAGTTCACGTCCAAGCGCTGAATCTAAGTTTGCCAGGGGATCCATTTAATTTCACGTGATTGTCAAGTTGTATCTAATGCGATGACAGGAGGCTACGATAAGGCCAGACCCCCCCCCCGCGGCACAGCGGACCCAGCCCCACGGGTGTGGATCGATGACCATTACTGCCTGTCCAACTGGACTCTTAGTATATCCTAGTATAACTAATTAAAAGACTACAGGGTACGGTACAGTAGGTCTTACCTAGGTATTATTGCAGCTCTGCTAGTTAAAGAAGTCGGGCTTTGGGCAGACCCAAATACTACAGAGACCACTACTAGCAGAAGCTACTCAAACAATTCGGACAGTTTCGGGGACACCGAACAGGGCCCGATACTCGGCCTCCGAAGGCAAAAGGCAATGGAAATGGAGCCTGAGACGGAGTTGGGACGGAGAGAGAAGAAAGAGGAACAACCCGAGCCGGGAGAATTCGGAAAGGCGGACGGCGACCGACTGTGTTGCTTATCTGGAGCCAATCAGAGCGCGCATGAATATCAAACTGTATCGTTGAGCTAAACCTAATCCGGATATATTCCTGGACTCTCTGAAGGTCCACCAGTGGCGAGGTTTATCTGTGGCGAATTAGCGATCAAAGATTGTCTGCAAATGATAGAGTCAAGATAAGCTGAGAATCCCCCAGGGAGGATTGCATCCTATCCCCTCAAAGGACAATGGGGAAGAATTACACAGAGATCGGTTAGGATACAGTCTAAGTATCTTCTTGGGGTACTGATGATAGCTTATCTTCAATTGGAGATGGGACATCCCGTGTGGAAGAGGAATCCTCCAGTATAAAATATAGCGAAACCGCCACTGCAGAAGAATGGAGCGATCCCATCTCCAGTTTGATCCAGTCCCAGTCCCAGTTTCAGTCCCAGTCCCAGTCCCAGTTCCTCCAGATCCCCGGACCAATCCTGGGGCCCGTGGATTCACATTAACAAATCGCGTTGAGTACAAGCCAAGCCTGTCGATAGGACGTGGGACCCGGCCCCATCCCCGTTGCCACGGCTGTGCCATCACTGTCGCGATTCATCATGAAGTATTGTGTACTAGCTGATAGCAGGATGGAATAGTCTACATTTTTTGTGGCCTGTATTTTAGGACAATTGAGCATATTTACATCTTGCTATTCTAATCTATACTTGAATTCTCCCTCTGTCTCTCTCTCTCTCTCTAGGCTCTTTCTGTTTAAATACTAATAATACCTTCCCATTGGTCCTCGTCAGCTATCACTACCGCTACTCTAATCGATCACTCTTGGCTTATCCCATTACTGTTGTCATACTCATTTCTCACCCCCATCAGCAAAACCTGACCACAGGCACTGGACTTCAATTCTGAATAACCGCCGCTTCCCCCCGGAATTTTTAAATCCTTGCTTTTGAAGCTAGGGAAAAACTAATCAAGACTAAGGGTAATTTCTTTTTTCCTTATCTGTCCTTGGTTCCCAGTCAGCCCCGTCAACCACCAGTTGGAAGGCTGAGCAGCTCCGATTTCAGGCCGGTGGAGCCCCCGTCGATCCGACTTATCTCTGCATTTTGGGCCCTCCGCAACACTTCCAGAATTCTTTCTTATACCTGGCCTCCCCGTGGCGAACTCGCTTTCCTTCTCCACATTTACTTCTTCAATTCCTCCGACTCGACTCGTCTCTGGAATTTTCCATCTCCAACACCCTTTCAACTTCTCCCGACCCGCCATCGACTCACACCCCATCCACGCGCTCTACAATTTGTACACCAACACTCACGCCCACGCCTTGATTACACCTTAATAGAAGCTAGCTAGCTCATCATGTCGGCGTTCAACGGGAAAGCCCCGTACGCCCCCGACTATGCCTCCTACAACTGGATTGGTGCTCCCGCCGACTATAGCCTTTCCACCAACGCCGACTTGGGCGGTGATTCCCGTGCGTGAGAGCCAGAATGAAGCCTCGCAGCTCCAATTCTCGCCCTACTGCATCGCAACAATTTACTGACAAATCTCCAAAGGCACCGAAAATGTCAACAAATGGTTCCAGTCTGGCGACCAGGCCTATATCATCGTCTCTTCTGCCATGGTCATGGTCATGATCCCCGGTCTCGGTTTCCTGTACTCTGGTCTCGCTCGTCGCAAGTCCGCTCTCAGTATGATCTGGGCCTGTATGGCTTCGTTCTCGGTCGTCACTTTCCAATGGTATTTCTGGGGTTACTCGCTTGCTTTTTCCACCACCGCGACAAACGGCTACATCGGCAATCTACGCAACTTCGGTCTTATGAAAACCCTTGCTGATCCCAGTCCCGGCTCACCCTTGATTCCTGGCCTCCTGTTCGCCTTTTACGAAGTACGAACCTGATTTTCCGATCGAATGATGTACCTCCTTGCTAATCCTCTACCACTAGATGCAATTCTTAGGTGTAACTGCTGCTATCGTCATGGGTGCCGTCGCTGAGCGCGGTCGCCTTCTTCCCGCCATGGTCTTCACCTTCATCTGGGCCACGATCGTCTATTGTCCGCTCGCCTGCTGGGCTTGGAACTCCAACGGCTGGGCCTACAAATACGGCGTTATGGATTATGCCGGCGGCGGGCCCGTCGAAATTGGATCCGGTTTCACTGCTCTCGCCTACTCGATGGTCCTGGGCCGTCGTCAAGAACGCATGATGCTTAATTTTCGCCCACACAACGTCTCTCTCATCCTCCTCGGTACCGTCTTCCTCTGGTTCGGCTGGCTGGGCTTCAACGGTGGTTCTGCCTTTGGTGCCAACCTTCGCGCTACAATGGCTTCCTGGAACACGAATTTGACTGCCGCCTTCGCCGCTATTACTTGGGTTCTGCTTGATTGGCGCCTCGCCAGAAAGTGGTCGATGGTCGGCTGGTGTTCCGGCACTATCTCGGGTCTTGTTGCTGCCACTCCTGCGTCTGGGTTCATCTCCCCTTGGGCTAGTGTTATTTTGGGTGTCGTCACCGGCATCGTGTGCAATTACGCAACCAAGATCAAGTACTGGATTCGCATCGATGACTCTATGGATGTTCTCGCTGAGCACGGTATCGCCGGTATTGTCGGACTCATCTTCAACGGTTTCTTCGGTGACGACGCTATTGTCGGCTTGGATGGTGTCAACACTGGCAGCGGTACCGGTGGCTGGGTCATCCACAACTATAAACAACTCTATATCCAAATCGCCTATATTGTCGCAACAGCCGCCTATTCCTTCATCATGTCTGCCATCATCGCTTATACCATCAACGCCATCCCCGGCCTTAACCTGCGTGCTTCGGAAGAGGCTGAGCTTCTCGGTATGGACGATGACCAGCTCGGCGAGTTCGCCTACGACTACGTTGAGGTTCGCCGCGACTACCTTGCCTGGACCCCCCAGGCCAAGGATCAATACGAAGATGGTCACCACATCCCCGCCAACGAGCGCTACGGTATTGGCGAGCATTCGGAGATGATGCTTGAGGGCCAACCGCCCATTATGGGCATGAACATGGCAATGGGCGAGATCAGCCAAAGCTCTCGCGGAGGCAGCGAGGGTGACATGGCGATCCAAGAAGTCAAGATGGCGCCAGCTCCTAGACAGGTCGCCGAGTCGCACCCCCCCTGACACGCAAATTCGTGCGCCCAGTCCGACCGCGGCACCCATCTTGCGACCTGTCGATGAAAAGGATGTCTAATATATCCCTTTTCCCTTGCCCCTCGACATCTTCTCCTTCCATCCTCCCGCATCTTCAGCCTTCCTCTTCACCTTTTTTTCGCTTTCGCATTTTGTTCGATATCCCTGAGCGTGTTTCTGTTCTTGTCTCTACTTTTGCTCGGAAAGCCTGGGGCTTTTCTTTATTTTCCTGTATACCTACCTACCTGCCTACCTACCTATCTACCTCCGACCTATCTATACCTACGTTACCTACCTTGCCATCCACCTATCATCCGCTCCAATCTACACAACACCCTTTCTCTGCCATCATGCTCCTCATCGCACCGCACCATCTTCGCTTTCTGTCCCTGGTCTTCGCTTCTATAGCGAAACCAATAAGCAAAAGCAATCTCAACCTTTCAAGCAAGGCGTTTTCTTCAAAAATTTGGACCAAACCTTTATGAATCGGGGTGTCAATATGCTTTTTGTATTTTTGGAGTTGGATCATCCCTGTTCTCGCAGTATAGAATATTGATTTTTTTTTTCCTACTTTACTCAAGTTTGTCCTTTCATTGATCGCAACGTATGGTACCAACAATGTAGTCGATTGGTCCATATTGAGATATACCAAAGTAGTATTACCTACTAGACCGAATTAAATTTCTGCATCGTCCAGTCTCCATTGTCATTGTTAATTAATCACAGCCCCTTTGTAGCGACTGTCCAGGTCCAAATTTACTACGGAAATAAGAAAACAGCTCCCAACGCCATCGCCGCAACGGAAATACCAAGCATGGAGCCAAGCCCGCCCCAAGAAGATGAGCCTGGAGATAGTCTCGCCGCATGGTTCGTACTAGTAGGGCTGGCAGCTAATAAATGACAATGTCAATGGTTAGATACCAGGTTTTCACGATCAAGAACAAACCAAAGCAGTCTTTAGAAAGAGCCGACAAGGTCTCAACAAGGTGACCAGCTAGACCAGCAAGGAACTTGAAATGTACCACATACCATCAAAATCAGCCTTCTTATGGACGAGAGTTATCATCGGGTTAACAGCCATGCCGACCAATGTCTTCTTCTCTTCAGCATCAAAGGTTGTCGTAGTCGGTCCAAGGAAGGGTGACGTCGCAGCGAGTGTTTGGAGATATCTCGTCGTAGACGTGCCGTTAATGATTGTCTTTACCGTCGAAATGCCTAGATGATCCGCTTTGGGAACTATCCAGTTGCAGCCCGAGGAGGGTTTGTAATCTGATACCGTGGACCAGCATCCGTATTCTATATCTGCTGAATAGGATCTGAAGGCGGGGGATTGAGTAGTTCAAGTTAGAAATTATTATTATTTGCTCCAACTCTCAATTTCCCTGCCTTCCATGCTCCTGTTTCTTTCTTTCTTTCTCGGCTGAAGAGATCATGCGTAATAAGCAAATGAACAGTAAGTACTTACCTCGGACAACAAGCAACAGCCGTCTCACTCGTTCCCAAAATCCCCAGAAACGCCTCCCCCGCGGAACAATCTCCGCGGTCGTCGTCGGAACAAAAATCCCCGACGTAACCAACGATGTACTATCCGCATCCCCATCCCACGAAGCAAGACCAACAGTCACCCAATCATGCGGACAATAAAGACCCGGCGAATAATAATTCGCCCTGAAGAACTGTGTCGGATTTGTATCAGGCGTTGTACTCGCTTCGACCGTGGCGGAGGGGTAACATTCCCAGCCTCCGATCGTTTCGCATTGGAGGTTGTATGCGTAGATGGGCTTGTTCGGCCCACTGTGTGTTGCGCTGGGACGTGGACCGACCTCGATTTTGTTCGAGGCTGTGATGCAGCTGCTTGGTGGTGTAAATGTTGTTGTTACTGGGCCCCAGTTTTCAAAGGTAAACCCAGATAGCGTGGAAGCGATGGGCATACTTGTGGTGTTGGAGGTTATGATATCCATGATTGCGGTTTGTTTGGGTTCAAGTTGGTGCGGGGTAGAAGTAAGGCTGGTTGAATAATTCTCGAGGCTTCGCGACCTCCGGTTGGCTAGATATTTCTGGGAAACGCTTCTTGCCAAGAAAGAGTTGTATCCTCAATTCCACATATAATTTACTTTTGAGCTCCACACTAAGCATGTTTCCTGGAAGATGAGTATATCGACACACCCACCCCGAAACCATAATTTGTTGCGAAAGCATATAAAGGGCCTCAGGTCAATACGGACCTACTTTCAACATATTAAGGAGTAATTCACAAAGCTCGCACCAACACACACATTCGATCAAATTGGCGGTTTCGCTTATTGAAACCTGAATGGGACTAGGTCAGCTTGGCGCACTAAAACTTCGAAAGGAGCAAAGAGACCACATTCGAACCTTTCAAACATGTACAGAAATCCATCTCATGCCTGTCAAGATGACTGAGACTTACAAGAATGAAAGTTGCGAAATCACCGAAACCATTTTCGTCGCGGCTCAAACAGGTCGCCTGGATCTTGTAACGGCGCTTCTAGAGAATGGAGAAGATCCGAACACCGTGGACGAAAACGGAACCTCGGCTCTTCATAATGCAGCGAAAGGGGGCTATTGGGATGTCGCCCGTCTCTTGCTTGAGAAGAATGCAATCCCCGGGCTCCTGGATGGCAACAACAGAACTCCTCTCCAACTCGCCGTACACAAAGGTCACAGTCAGATTGTCAAATTGCTCCTGGAAAGTGATCCATCTACGGAAGAAACGAAAGATCGGGCAAGAGAAACAGACCTACACAGTTCTCTTCGCATTGCTGCTTTCTTGGGTCACTTGGAAATCAGCAAGCTTCTCTTAATTCATGGTGCGCCTACTCTTTCTGATACAGGAAGCGATACAGCTCTACTTCTTGCTGCTAAGGAGGGTCACTATGAAATATGTGAAACTTTGCTGAAGCATGACATGGCGTTGAATCGATCTCTATGGAGCCGAATTATCGGCCCGAGCTTGGCAGTTAACGGGAAGGATTATAGCGGGAACTCCCCGCTGGCCTATGCAGTGAAGAACGGGTTCGAAAAAATAGTGGATATGTTTTTACGCTACTATCCAAACCTGTGTCAGGCTTGCGATGGTGAGAAAGAGTTGCTTTTTCACGCCGCAGTCCGAGCTAGAAATATAGAGATTACTCGAACATTCTTAAACCACGGAGCAGACGTTGAGATGAAAGGTAGCTGTGGAAATCGAGCCCTTCATGTGGCAGTTCAAGCTGGATATGCCTACAACTGGTCCTCAGAGGAGACGTCTCAAATGATAAGGCTTTTGATCGAACATGGTGCTTCAGCAAACTCGCAAAATGCAAATGGCAGAATCCCCGAAGATAGCACCATCGATCCAAAGCTCAGGACATTATTACGCAACTATACGAAGACACAATCAAAGAGCAATCCAGTACGCTCTAATATAGTCCCGAAGACCATGAACCCACCACCTGAGTACAGTATGAAGGCATAATATCATGTATCCTAGACAAAAATTCATCAATTCTTGAGAAAATGAAAAGTAATGTCTCGAAATAACGAGTAGATATTGAACGGGTTCGCAGATGGCCTTGTTGGTGCAGGTCTATCTAAACTTCTACCAAAATACCCGAGGCCCTTAGATACACCATCCTATCACGGCAGAGTTCAATCAAATTTAGTACTTCTCAAACAATACCGAACGGTCTTGGAGGCCGCGTTCCCAAATAAACAGGTCCAATATGCAGCTGCAGCGGTCTTGTTCCATTTTGATCTACATAAACGAAACGTCTTTGTGTCAGACGATGATTCCTTAATAATAACCGGTATCATTGACTGGCAGTCGTCTAGCATAGAACTAGCCTTCTGGTACGTAGATGAATTTGCGACTTCGCGACTTGTTTATCTTTGTCTCAATCGCCTGCCCCATGGTGTAGATGATGACGATTTATGCGCACAAGCCTACGAAGTTTGTACTGAATTGCTATACAACATGGAAAGATAAGTCTGTCACTTTTCGACATGAGGTAATCCAGACTTCAAAAAATTTGGGATGCATTCGGATATTCCGGCTCGGGTCTATTCTCTCTGCCAATTGCGGAAGGACCGGATCTACACCAGAAGGAGTCGGAAGCGGGCTATCTGTGCCTGGTTTTGGAGGTTGATATCCAGTGTGGGGCTTTTCCAGCAGGAGCTATAATATATTATAGGATGAGTACTTACGAGCCCTTATCACCGGGGTCTTCTCTCGAAAAAATGTGTTGACGTCTACCTTATGTTGCACAAGTCTTTTGGTGAGGTTAATATTATTGTTTATAGTAGTGAGACTAAGTAAATTACTATTTTAATATTCAATGTTAATTGTAAATATAGCTAGGTCTAGTCTGGCTCTGAGATTTTGATATAATCTTGTAAGATTAAATATCTTACTACTCTTAAGATATACTATAACTCTGTATAAGATTAGAATCGTTAGACTTTGTAAACTGCGGACCTGTGAATTACTGTATCCGGTTAGCTTTCCCTCTTGGCGAGATGCTTGGAAAGGTCTAGCATGGCTGTCAGCGGGGAGTATGATTAGTATGATTAGGTTAGAAGCTGAGGGTTCCGAGTCTCGTATTTAGGAGCTGGATTTGTATTGGGCTTTGAGACCGGGCACTGAGACCGGGCACCAATCGGATGAATCTCGTATAAAGTAAGGTAGAGACAGTGACTGGAGAAGAGTAGATGTAGGTGATATAGAAAATCAGGCTTGGTTGAAGTAACCTGGCTTCAAACGAGTGAACTCGAGCAAGCAGGGAAGAGCAAAAATGGTAGACTGATCGCATAAATGGATAAGTATATGCAATAGGACAATGCAAGAAAAGAAAAGTGAAATGCTAAGAAAATATGCTTTATACAATAGACCAAATCACCAAGTCAACAGCTTAAATCTACCCCCGTCTAACCATCCCCCTAACACGAATCCTCTCCTCCCGACTCAATTTATCAACAACATCCGCCGCCTCCCCACCATGAAGCACCTCATCCCACTCATCCTCATCCATACTCATAACAAGCGTCATCTGCACACACCTGACAAACGCCTCACGATGCCTATACCGTCCCGTAGCCCCACCAGCTCCAAAACCAACATCCACAGCCGCACTAACAAGACCCGAAATATCGCGCTCCAATCTCGCCGCGCCGAGCGGGTTCACTCGACCCTGGTAAGACCAGAGTCTCTTCTCCAACAGGCGGGCCATGTATGCGATTGTCACTGTGAGCAGGCGGGCGAAGGCTTGCTGGGTGAGGATTCGCGCAATGGGCAGGAGAAGGTCGGACCAGCCTGTTGCAAAGCGGGGGCGGACAATTTCCTTGGTGCTGCGGTTTTCGTCGTATTCTGTTTCTTCGGTGGTGGTAGGTTGGTACTCTATATCTCTAAATGCGTCGGCGAGGATCGGTCGGAGACGTTGTTTGATCACGTTGTTGAAGACGACTTGGATGCCGTCCGAGAGAAGCTCGTTGACCTTTGCTTCAAAGGATGTGGCCAATGTTTGCAAGGTTTGCGCGACGCGTCGGGCGGAGCTGGGGACTGGGAAGAGCGAGCGTAGGTGTTCAGAGACTGGCTCGGTAGATTTGTCGCCACTGCTTTGCGTTGGTTGTTGTTGTTGCTGTGTGCCTGTGTTGTTGGCTACGATGCGACGGATATAGTCGATGGCGATATCGAGGTTGTTCATTTGTACGAGGAAGGCGATCACGATTTGTTCGGGCGGTTGGCCGCCTTGGACTGCGGCGCGTGGGTAGCATTCGTCGCGCATCTTGCGCTGCGTCATGCCGATGAAGTCGGAGCCTAACACGCGGGAGAGGGTCGGGACGACGTTGGTTACTACACCCTCTTGCGAGGTTGCGAGAGACTGTTGGATGACCTTGTTGACGATGTACATGATGTCGTCGACGGCGGATGTAATGTGAGGAGGTTCTGACTTCAATGGTTGACGCATGTTCAAGCTCAATCCTGATGGCGACTCGTCAAGCTGGAAGGCCTTCTCTACGGATCGGCGGAAGAAAAAGGTTGTCATAGCATTGAACGGCCCGACCAGCTTGTCACCGACTTTCTGTGCAAGCGACGATTCTGATAGGAAGGCAGGAGGAGCGAAATGCGCATCATCTTCAGATCCCTCATTTTCAGCAGGGGACTAAAAGTCACTCGGTTAGTTCATTCTCTATTGAGGATGGGATGTGGAAGCATTTCTCTTACATTGCATGTATCCGCCAAGAAGCGGCAGTACAGCGACCACCGACCCAACATGATTGCCATCTCGCTGAGAAGGCCATCGATTTCCTTCATATCAACGCCCTCATCTTCGGGAGTCGGATCCGCCCCAGGCGCCGGCGAATTAGAGTGCTGTTGACCCGGGCGCTGCGCGGGGAGGAAGCTCTGAACCAGGAAAGTGAAAGCGTAGGATTTGATATCCATGAGTTTGCGATCAACATGGCGCTCATCGCTCCACGTATCCAAGATAATGCCACCCTGGACATCAGCCTCGATCTGCAACCGCTCGATAACCCTTCCCATCTTCCTCGGGCCATAGTGGCGTTCGACCAGCCCACCATGCCCATCAATGATCTGGGCAATATGCTCGAACAGCTTTGTCAATGTATTGGCATAGAAGAACCCCTCATTAGCCGTACCCGCGCTCGCGTTGAGAATGCCCCGAGCACGAGCCGCCACGCCTTGACAAACATAACGACCATAAACATCTAATCCGACCTCCGACCGTCCAATAAGCGGAAATAGCTTGAAGAAGCGAGTGATCTTTGCCCCATCACTCTCCTTGACCGCCTTGTCGAATTCGCGCAGGAATAGGCCGCAGAGGGATTCCGCCGCATTGTCCAGTGTCACGCTTGGGGGGGTCCGGCACCTCGGCCGTAGGAACCATCTCTGCAGCAAATGGCCCATTGACGACGCTTGCAGGAACTTGAGACGCCCGATTTAGGTAGCCGGCTGCTGTCTCCCAGTCCTGGGAAGCACCCATTGACCCCGCAACACCTAATGCGCAAGCCTTCAGCTCGGCGACCTGCTCCACCACTTCCAGTGTTGCCTTCACGCGGGCCTGTTCGAGGTCGAGGCGACGGACGGCGCTGGATATGCGATCTGCAGTGCCGGCGGCTTCAGAAAGCATACCATGACTGACGGATCGGGTGGTGCTGGTTTGTGTGCCGATGTGGGCGCGCATCAGATCGAGTCGGCCCAATTCACGGGAGAGGTCCTTTTGGGAGGTGACCAGAGCATCGAGGCGAGCTGTCACAGATGCTTCTTGAGTATGTAGGCGGGATAGAGCAGCTTTGATCTCGGTGACGGAACTGGCATTGAAGACGTCGGATTGCGGGGAGACATCGGAAGGCAATTGCTCGAGTGGAGGTGAGGGGGAGGAGTGCCCATTGGTGGGGATGGTGGTGGCAGTGGCCATCCTGGCTATAGACAAGCCCCCCCTACTCAGAAGAATAAAAGGAAGGATGAAGAAAGAAGGACGAGAAGTTAGAAGAAAGGAGGAAGAAAGGAAAGTCGGGGATGTTTTGATGCCAAATGGCCTGGCCCTTTTGGTGGGCGGTGAAGATGGAGCCTCCTCAATAAAAGAGAAGAAAAAAGACCAAACTCAATGGGAATGGATTATATACAAAGAACTTGGACTGAATTTGTTTGTTGAGAAACATTAGATTGTTGTTATTTTCGTATAAAAGGGAGCTCGCGATTTAGAAGAAAAGGGGATTTGTGTTCGAGCTTTTAGAAGAAATTTGTGGATTTAAAAAGGCAGTTGTGCTCGTCGAGATTGCAACCAAACGTCATTTTCTCCCCATCACGCAAAGTCTCTCTCAACGTGAAATCACCTCGTCTCAGTTCAAACACTCATCCTTTAGCTTTTGTGGCTGCTACACTCCGTCAGAATAGGACACCGCCGCAGACCCCGCCATCGACAGCCTAGGCGCCCTCGTGCCATGGGGAACGAAGAGTCAACTGTATCGGACCAGTCCACTCGGCCTTCTGTGCTGGAGGCGCGCAGCATGGAGGCGGTGGCCAAATACATCAAGCAGAATGATGTGAAACGAATCGTTTTAATGGTATGTCAGATATCCCCCCCCACTCCGAATTGGATGTCTGTCTCATGCAATGCTGACTGTTAATACAGGTGGGAGCCGGAATCAGCACATCAGCAGGAATCCCCGATTTCCGATCTCCAGATACAGGTCTCTACGCCAATTTGGCATTTTTGGACCTGGAGGAGCCGGAGGATGTATTCGACATTGAATTCTTCCGCGAGAACCCCAAGCCGTTCTACGCGTTGGCACATGAGCTGTACCCCGGCAAATTTCGACCCACCATCGCCCATTCATTCATCAAATTGCTCTACGACAAGGGCATGCTGTTGAAGCATTTTACGCAGAATATCGACTGCCTCGAGCGACAAGCCGGGGTTCCTGGGGAGATGATCGTCGAGGCCCATGGCAGTTTTGCCTCGCAGCGCTGTATTGAGTGCAAGACGCCGTATCCAGACGAGGAGATGCACCAGATGGTGGAAAAGGGAGAAGTCCCTCGTTGCGGATGTGGTGGTTACGTCAAGCCTGATATTGTCTTCTTCGGTGAGGCTCTTCCGTCATCATTCTTTGACAATCGCTCGCTGCCGGCAGCGGCGGATTTGTGCATCGTGATGGGGACGAGTTTATCGGTCCAACCGTTTGCCAGCCTCCCCTCGCTGGTTAGTGAGGGGGTGCCTCGTGTTTTGATTAATATGCAACGAGTGGGTGGAATTGGATCGCGACCTGACGATGTTCTTCTACTGGGCGATTGTGATGCTGGAGTGCGCAAGTTTGCCAAGGCGATGGGATGGGAGCAAGAATTGGAAGCGCTTTGGGGGGGAACTGAGCCCGAGGCTAAGATCCAGACCCAGTCGGAGGAGAATGCGCCGCAGGACCGGGACGAACGTCTGCGGGAGGAAGTGGATCGCCTGACATCAGAAGTTGACCGCTCGCTACATTTGACAGATGCTTACGAGCAGCGTGTTCGAGAGAAGCTAGACAAAAGCAATGGCAATAGTGGCAGCAGGAGCAGCCACCAAAGTAACCAACATGGCGGAGAGACAGAATGCGAGACTGTGAGTGGTCTCAGTCATGTATTTCCACACTTGGCGCACCAGGCGCGTTAGTGTTGAGTTGACAGGTAGATTATCATGAAAGAATAGCATAATAAGTTCACCGCTGTCAGCAGAAGTACGTTCAATTGGAGAGCACGGAGTAGAGAGTAAAATAGATGCCATAATATTGACATAATATCCCAAGGGTATCCCAGAATTGTCTCAGAGTTTCTTTCACCTTGCCCACCGCAGCCAAAACAAGCTAAGTCGATCGCTGCCCCACGTCCATCGTCATCCCCACCCTCTCATCCCACTTTATTTCTTTTTCCCTTCCACATTCCCTCTCATCTCATCTCATCTCATCTATCTAATTACTTTCAATATGGTTGGAATTGGTCCTAAGCAGCCTCCTTCCCGCAAGGGTGAGCTTCTCCTTCTCTGCGAGACCCCCCCCTGGCCTACCTATGTCCTTCGCGATTGCTGATGATTCTTATTGTTGCTAGGTTCCATGCACGATCTGCCTCAGAATCTGTTGCAGCAGATCAAGGATTTCGAAGATGCCTTTACCGTGGACCGTGCTAAGCTGAAGGAGATTGTTAACCACTTCGTCAAGGAGTTGGAGAAGGGTACGTTCCTGAATTCTGTGATACATCGAGGTCCGCTGTCTAACAAGGGTTGTTTTCCATAGGTCTGACCGTTGAGGGCGGCAACATTGTGAGAACCCCGCGCATCCACACACATTAGCGACTTAAGATTCAACTTACTGACACCACCATAGCCGATGAACGTTACCTGGGTCCTTGGCTTCCCCGATGGAGACGAGCAAGGTACCTTCCTGGCCCTCGACATGGGTGGCACCAACCTGCGTGTTTGCGAGATCACCTTGACCGATAAGAAGGGCGCTTTCGACATCACCCAATCCAAGTATAAGATGCCCGAGGAGCTCCGCACTGGTACCGCCGAGGAGCTGTGGGAATACATTGCCGATTGTCTGCAGCAATTCATCGAGCACCATCACGAGAACGAGGATCTCGCCAAGTTGCCCCTGGGCTTCACCTTCTCCTACCCTGCCACTCAAGAGTATATCGACCACGGTATTCTGCAGCGCTGGACCAAGGGCTTCGACATTGACGGTGTCGAGGGCCAGGACGTCGTTCCTCCTCTGGAGAACATCCTGAAGAAGCGCGTATGTCGCATCTATACCTCCCCCTCCCCCTTCTCTTATCACACGACTAATATCACCCACAGGGCCTCCCCATTAAAGTCGCAGCCCTGATCAACGACACCACCGGCACAATGATCGCCTCCGCATACACGGACCCCGAAATGAAGATCGGCTGTATTTTCGGAACCGGCGTAAACGCCGCCTACATGGAAGACGTCGGCTCCGTCCCCAAGCTCGCCCACATGAACCTACCCCCCGACATGCCCGTCGCCATCAACTGCGAATACGGTGCCTTTGACAACGAGCGCGTCGTCCTCCCCCTATCCAAATACGACGAGATCATCGACCGCGACTCCCCCCCGACCTGGCCAACAAGCCTTCGAAAAGATGACCGCAGGCCTCTACCTCGGCGAAATCTTCCGCCTGGCCCTAATCGACCTCATCGACTCGCACAAAGACCTCATCTTCAAGGGCCAGGATACTTCCAAGCTCCGCAAGCCCTACCTCCTTGACGCCTCCTTCCTCGCCGCCATCGAAGAAGACCCCTACGAGAACCTCTCCGAGACAGCAGACATCTTCGACCGCGAACTCGGCATCCGTCCTACCGACTGTGAACTCGAGATGCTCCGCCGTCTGGCCGAGTTGATCGGTACCCGCGCCGCGCGTCTCTCCGCCTGCGGTGTCGCCGCCATCTGCACAAAGAAGAACATCGAGTCCTGCCACGTTGGTGCCGACGGCTCAGTGTTCACCAAGTACCCCCACTTCAAGGCTCGCGGTGCGCAGGCCCTACGTGAAATCCTGGACTGGGCGCCTAATGAGAAGGACAAGGTGTCTATCATGGCCGCTGAGGATGGATCGGGTGTTGGTGCGGCTTTGATTGCGGCTCTGACGCTCAAGCGCGTTAAGGCGGGTAACTTGGCTGGTATTCGTAACATGGATGATATGAGGACTTTGCTTTGAGGGAAGGACCCTTTGTTCCATTAGTCCATGGGAAAATACATGATACATGATAGCAAAACATTGAATTTGGTTGTTCGGCGCGATTGAGCGCATTGTTGATCTTGATCCCTTTGGCTTTGTAGATACGGCAATGAAATGCCCTGGACCTACCAATATCACTTCGGTCAAAGGATTGACCAGAGTCAACTGATTTGGTGTTGCTTTAATTAGGCTGTATCTTTGCATCACCTCGATGGACTATCCAGTCGCTCGGTTCAAGACTGTATTCTAGGAAGTGGAGGTAGGAAGTGGAGAGACATGCTGACTTGCCATACTAGTAGTCTTTCCCTTTTCGCGACGCACCTTCCAACTTTGATAATAACATTGAATAATTATTGTCTCGGTAGAATCATTGAGAGGTAATGCCTTCTTGTGGAACGGAATATTTCCGCTCACTCTGATCAATCAGCAGAATGACTGGCGCCATCTCACGTCACTCCAATGGCTCCGTAGCTCCATCCCCCGCCAATGTTTCCTTGGATTGAAGTTCAAGTTGTTATATCTGCATATTCGCATTTGTCTCCAGTCTGTTTCTGTTCAGAAGACTCACTCAACTCGAGATATCAACATGTCCACGAGTACCAAGCAAATTCACGAGCCCGGCACCACCGACGGGTGGCATGGCGTCATACCAAGCACTGAATTCCCCGTCGAAAAAGATCGCTATCATCTTTACATCGGCTACTTTTGTCCATTCGCACATAGAGCAAACTTCGTGCGCCACCTAAAGGGCCTTACCGACTTCATTGGCCTCAGTATCGTGATGCCGTACCCGAAAGGCGATTCCAAAGGCTGGCCCGGATGGCGATTCCCTGCATCTGAAGACGAGTATCCCGGTGCAACAGTCGATCACCTTTTCGGAGAGGACTATCTGCACAAAATCTATTTCCGCGCCGATCCGGACTACAAAGGACGGTATTCGGTACCTTTGTTGTGGGACAAGAAAAGCGGCACAATTGTGTGCAATGTAAGCGCTCTTCCACGCATCGTTTTCTGCAAATGGGCGGTCGGGTTTTTGACTGCTTCTAGGAAAGTGCGGAGCTTCTACGCTGGCTGCCAAAGGCATTTGATCAGTTCCTTGAGCCATCGGTCGCGTCAATCGATCTGTACCCGGTTCATCTACGAGCACAAATCGACGAAATCACACCATGGATGCAGTCCGACGTGAACGCCGGTGTCTACAAAGCCGGATTTGCGAACACGCAGGAAGACTATGACAAGAACGTCGTTACTGTCTTTGCTGCGTTGAATAAACTCGAGCGCCTCGTCGTTCAGAATGGCGGTCCGTTTGTACTCGGGAAAGAAATCACCGAACTGGATATTCGACTGTATGCCACACTGATTCGCTTTGATACGGTCTATGTTCAACACTTTAAATGCAATCTCGGCACTATCCGGCATGATTATCCTGTCTTGAATAATTGGTTGAAGGGGATGTATTGGAATGTCGATGCAGCCAAGGCATCGACGGATTTCAAGCATATCAAGGAAAATGTTAGTCTTGCCAACTTTGTTCAATTCTGTTTTCTCACTCTGATCTTTCTTAGTATACCAAAAGTCATTATGATATCAACCCCAAGGCTATTACGCCAATGGGCCCTTTCCCCGATGTTGAAGAGGGTTTCGAGGATGATTGGGCTAAGTTGAAAAGTGGAGGAGTCCTGCACCCAGCAGTTGTGAAATCTCGAATTTGATTCTTAGGTTGGTAGCTACCTATTTGAAATATAACATGGTACGCTTGCTCCCATATTTTGTGAAAATTTGTTGATGTATGTAGCGGACCTCGGAAGCTACTAGACGTCAATCAGGAAAAAGACTTTTCGTAGTCGCAGCCTTCGTTAGCGTGATGCAGTGATCAGCACACTCAATCCCTACCTTGCTTGCCTATGAGTATTAGAATACAGTTTGGTTGAAATGAATCCAGCCATACAATTATTTCAAATGGAACTATGCCGGTTGAGCGTTTGAGGCATAAAGTACTGGACCGTGATTGGCCAGATGGGCGGGCATCGGAGAATCCACCCACCACGGCCGACTTCTACCTTCCAAATGTTCTCCAGCTCCAACGTCTGGAGCAAGTGTAGTGGTTATGCCTGACGAATTATACCATAATGGTATCCCTAGGACAGATCTCACTACACAGGCTTGTGATATGTGCCGTAAACGCAAGGTCAAATGCCATCTTCTCCCGTCACAATCCTCCCCGACTCCATCACCCTGCCAGCGCTGCAAGAGGCTGAACCTGCAATGTACATTCGTTTCTCCATCAAAAACACGCGGTCCGAAGAAAAGGTATGATCTTATTGGGTGAAATAGAGAATAAAGACTAATAACGCCCGACATGGCTACTAGGATGAACCCACAGGAGCTACATTCCCCAAAGCTCCAAGATGTGACCGATGATCTCTACAGTCGAGAATTATTCAAGCTTTTAATGCAAGACTACCTGGATTATCTATATCCATTGGTGCCAATCATTCATCGCCCCTCTTTTCGTGATGCCCTGCTAGCTGATCAAGACTGCGAGGATGAAGGCTTTTGCGCCGTCACGCTTGCCATCGCCGCGCTGGTCGTGGCGACTTTGGCCAGCAGATTCCCGGTTTATAAAAGCCATACACAACCACTGAAATTTTCTTCTCGAAAGGAATTTGTTCATTCCTGCTACAAGAAAGTCTTGGCCTTACGGAGCTCCTCCTATTTTGACCAACTCAATTTTCAAAAGTTTTCCATACCATACCTCTTCTTTGCCGCTTTCTTACAGCTTGGCGACCACAATTGGTCACGAATGTTGAGCGTCGAGGCCATGCAGATCGCGCGGCTACTCAATCTCCATCGCATCTCCGATTATGAAGGTCTAAACTGCATTGAGACCCAGCTCCGCAAAAAGGGTTTCTGGCTAGTATTCTACTGCTATGTGTGAGTTATGGATACCTCCTTCACATCTTTGATCGAATTGTAGCTGATAGGACCGCTTAGCCATGCCAGCTTACAAAATCTTCAAGGGGAGCGACTCACATACTTGGACCCGGTCGTATTACAATCAGTGAAGGCGGAGGATCTCATCCCCCTGGAGGTTGACGATGAGTTTATCTTTGAGCACGAGGTCGTCTTTCCACCCAATGCGGCCCCCTCTCTCGCCTCCGGATTTATTCTACATTCTCGCATCTTTTGGGCCTCGATCCGAAGTCTTGATTCAAATACGACTGAGCATGAACCTTGTCCGTGCCTGCGAGTGAAAGATTTCGACGCTCAAATAACATATTACCAAACCCGTCTCCATGACTTGAAGCACCTTCTAGAAGATGTTCCGTCCATTTTCCAGTCCTGGGAGCACACAGATGAGGCCTCGACTACCGGGGAACTAGACGACCCAGACGCAGTGCGATACTCGCAGTTTTCGTCAATGAGAGTGAATATACACGTTACTCATCTGTGGCTACAGAGCCTCGTCATGGATCTATTGGAAGCGGCACAATCTCACTGCCAGGCTTCTTTCGACATACGATCTTTGTGGGCTGATCGGGAAGCGTTGTCTCGTCGGCTTCTTCTTATCATCTTCAACTCCCCGCCCCCGGCTCTGGAAGCGAATGGGCTGCACCTTGCGAATAAAGTCCGAGATATTGCAGCAAGTCTGCTGTCTTGCCCATTACATCCAGATGATCCGATATCCAAGCAGGTTGCCGACTACGTCCGGCAATCTACGGACATATTATCTCGACTGGATAGCAGTGAGGGAATTAATATAATGCATCTGCCAACCTGGGTGGATACAGATCGCATTCCTGCCAATGCAGGTGGGAGATAGATGTGAACCTTGGAAGGCACAACCGAGGTAGACAATGAAATTTGTATTTTATTTCGCTTTCCTCAAACTATGAGGAAGAATTTCAAACAGACTCATGATGAGCAATGTTTGATTTATCGACCTTGATATCGCCATTCCCAGTAGCCATTTCGGCAACATCACTGGGCAATCCCTCGGGTCCATCGAAGATGACCGCAATCTCCTCAAGCGAATAGCCCTTGGTCTCCGGGTAAAAGAAGAACGCAGTAACAGCGAATACCACAAGCACCACAATAAATACAATATAGTATCGCCACGCAATCGCAGCCAAAGCGATTGGGTTGACGAAGGTGTTGAAGAACATGCCGCAGATGGTCGAAACCCAGGTCACGGTGAGACCGCGTGATCGGAGACGGTAGGGCCAGATTTCGCAGGGGTATGAGGTCAAAAATGGTGTTCTAGCAAGCGAGGGGTGGTCAGAAAAATGAGAGAAGAGAGGGAGACGTTCTTTTGGGCGAAGACTGGACATTGAACTTACAGTGCGATACAGTATCCAGCGAAGAAAATGAAGAGGAATGGGATCACGGCACCGCCAGTTGCAGTGTTATTCGTCACTGCAAAAGAGCCCGACAGTGCGGTTACAAGCACATAACTGATGAACATGATAGCGGCGGAGGCGAGGAATAGAGGTCGACGGCCGAGTCGGTCAATCAAGAACGCGCCGAGGATGGCGAAGCATAGATCCCACATTTGCAGACAAGCCGAGATCAGAGTTTGGTCGCGAACCTCGGTGACACCGACCGATGTCAGAATCAGGGATAAATAGTAGGAGATAACACCATTGCCAACCCATTGTCCGAACATGCCCAGACTAATCGAGATCATCAGACGGTGACGGTTACCCGGTGTCTTGAGCATCTCGGCATAGCTTCCGTTGCTATTGGCCTCCTTCTCCGCGCGAATGGTGGAGATGATTTCTTGGAATTCATAGTTGACCAAAGGGGAGTTGACATCGCCACCGGCATGGTAGCGAACGAGGATTGCGCGAGCCTCTTCTTCTCGGTCCATGGAGACTAACCAACGCGGGCTCTCTGGTGCCATGAGGAAACCTGGAAGACCGACGAGAGGAACCAAGACTTGCAAGAGAGATGGAAGTCTCCATGCCCAGGAGGATGTGTATGTTCGTGAAGCGAAGACGACCCAAGCGGCAATTGTGCCGCCAACGTACCAACCCGACATGAAGAGGGAGTTGAGAACGCCTCGTTGGGTGGGATACGCAATCTCGTTGATGAGGAGAGGAACGGAGTTTCCGAAAAGGGCAGAGGCAAATCCCAAGAATAGACGTGCAAGCAGAAAGGTTGTGTCGTTTTGACAAGCGGTTTGCGGGGCGACTCCCAGGGCAAGGAAGATATAGCCAACATAGACGCCTGGTTTGCGGCCGTAGCGGTTGGCAATCCATGATGCGGTGGGATATCCAACACCACATCCGAGCCAGTAGATGGCATTGATCCAGCCAAGCCATGACCCTGCGGGATAATCCATGAATTCTTTCCATTGGGTCAAGGCCTCAAGACCATTCATCAATGATCCATCGTAACCGTTAGCCGATGAGTACATCACCAGAGATATGATGATGAAATTGAGTTGTATAAGATGCCCCTGTTTCCACCATGGTGTTAGGTTAGGTGGAAGAACAGCAGCAAGACGATCTTCCTCAGCAGGCTTGCTGCTGGCATCAGCGCCTTTTGCCCCCATTGTATAGATTAAGAAGAAGTGAAGATCAACGAAAAACAGGGAGAGAACCGAGAGGATAATCAGGAAAGACGAGAACCTTTTAACTAGAAAAATGAGATGCCTCAAGTGCCGCTATTTTCCGATGGTACCATCATCGTTCCTCTAGGGGCGTTTTTCCGGGGAGCGTCTACGCCCTGACTCGGAACGAATCCAAGAAATTCAAACGAGAAACAGAAAGAACTGGCCAATCAGCCACTTTCGCAATTGACTATCTCCGTTTCAAGTTAGAAAATTTCGGCCACATGGTCACCCGATGGCATCGCTCCAGCCGGTCGGGAACGTAAATGCGGGATGATTGTGTGGAGGACTGGGGACGCCGGGGTCGGTATTCGATAATTTACCAGCCGACGCGGAGGCGGAGAAACGGAGAAAAGGAGAAACGGAGAATAAGCCAACAAATCGCAGTTGGTCAAGTTTGGGTCTCGGGCGTTGTGGTTCAATCAGCTTGCGTAGGGATATACTCGGTGGAGACAGTGACCCGCCAACAAAGTGTACACACACCCGATGGGTTAAACTCATTGCGTAGTAGGGCCCCCCTGCGCGATGAGAGCTCTGCACGCGAAATCTTGATCCATTTGAACGCGTTGATGGATTATTATGGGTACATGTACCAATTCTTGGTTTCCCGGGGGTACTTAGACAGCCCACGCTCACCGGGTCTCTTGCTCGATGTAATAATTTATTCCTCCTTTCCTCTCCTGCAAGTCGATTCGTCGCGAGAGGAATTAGCACAATGTCGACAATTGAAACATCGCCCACGAAAGTGGACGAGTCATTTTCTCGGATCGCAGAGGCCGACATCGAAACAATCTTGAAGCAGCTCACCCAGGATGAAAAAGTCGCGCTTCTAACAGGTCCGCCTATCCCCATCACATGCATATGTGCAAATTAAAGCAAGAAGAAAAAGAGTGACTGACATTCCCTTTTCCTCTAAAAGGAGACGATTTTTGGCACACCGTACCAATCCCCAGACTTGGAGTCCCGTCGATTCGAGTCTCGGACGGCCCGAACGGAGTACGAGGTACTCATTTCTTTAGCAGTGTCCCGGCAGCATGTCTTCCCTGTGGAACTGCGATCGGCGCAACCTTTGATAGGGATCTGGTCTTGGAAATCGGCCATCTTCTCGCTGCTGAGGCGAAAGCCAAGGGCGCTCATGTCATTCTGGGACCGACCATCAACATCGCACGAGGCCCACTTGGTGGCAGAGGCTTCGAGTCCTACTCTGAAGATCCGATGCTGTCCGGTATCCTCGCAGGCCATTACTGCAAAGGTCTTCAGGAAAAGAATATCAGTGCGACCTTGAAGCACTTTGTTTGCAATGATCAAGAACATGAGCGCATGGCGGTGAACTCAATTGTGACCGATCGCGCCTTGAGAGAGATCTATTTGCTTCCATTCCAGGTTGCGATTGCCCTGGGTAAACCAGATGCGATCATGACTGCGTATAACAAAGTGAATGGGTTGCACGCCGCAGAGAATCCTACCTTTCTTCGTGACATTCTTCGTGGCGAGTGGAGCTGGGACGGTTTGGTGATGAGTGATTGGTGAGTAGCCGTATGAAAAACAAACAAGTACGGCCATGTCGCTAACGGTCTGACGTCCATAATTAGGTTCGGAACATACAGCACCACCGAAGCTATCGATGCAGGCCTAGATTTAGAAATGCCCGGTCCGCCGAGATGGCGCGGTGCAGCCCTAAACCATGCGATCACATCCAACAAAATCACAGCAGCGACATTAAATGACCGTGTCCGCGCTGTCCTCAAGCTCGTTCAAAAGGCAGCTAAATCAGGCGTGCCGGACCATGCACCCGAGACACAGTTGGATCGCCCCGAAGATAGGAAACTACTGCGGAGAATTGCATCGGAGGCGGTTGTGTTGATGAAAAACGAGGATAATATTCTTCCTTTGGACAAGCAGAAGAAAATCGCGGTGATTGGGCCCAACTCGAGGATCGCCACCTATTGTGGTGGAGGAAGCGCAGCACTGAACCCGTATCGTGCTGTGACACCCTATGACGGCCTCGTGGAAGCCGCCCAGGGCGGCGTTGAGTTCGCTCAGGGCGTTTATGGGCATCAGATGCTGCCGCTTCTCGGCAAGCATCTTCGCACCGAGGAAGGCGCCACTGGATTCTCGTTGAAAATCTTCAACGAGCCTCCCACGGTTGCGTCACGAAAGCCCCTCGAGACCCGGCAAGAAACTGATTCCATGGTCATCTTCATGGACTATAGCCACCCAGAGCTACAGCCGACCTGGTATGCGGATGCAGAGGGAACTTTCGTTCCTGAATCCTCCGGTACATATGATTTTGGTCTCACCGTGCACGGGACTGGACGACTATACGTGGATGGGGAGCTTCTGATCAACAATGCCGACGTCCAGAGGGCGGGAACTAGTTTCTTTGGAAGTGGAACTAAGGAAGAGATTGTGTCTATTGAATTGGAAGCTGGCAGGAAATATAAGATCCTTACACAATGGGGATGCGGCAAGACGAGCACCTTCAAAGTCCCTGGCGTTGTTGATTTTGGACACGGAGGTTTCCGATTTGGTGCTTGCAAACAGCTTGCGCCTCAAGAAGGCATTGCTGAAGCAGTCAAAGTGGCTTCTACAGTTGACCAAGTGGTCCTGTTTGCTGGGTTGAGCTCTGAATGGGAGTCAGAGGGTGAAGATCGAACCACCATGAAGCTGCCACCTAACACGGATGAGTTGATCTCGAAGGTTCTCGAGGCCAATCCGAATACAGTCGTTGTGATCCAAAGTGGAACACCGGTTGAGATGCCCTGGATTGATAATTCGAAGGCCGTGCTCCATGCTTGGTATGGTGGAAACGAAACGGGCCATGCTATTTCGGATGTCATTATCGGTGATGTCAACCCGGTAAGAAAATATCCAGTGAGCCATATGATAACCTCAGCTAACAAAGTTGCCATTAGTCTGGAAAGCTTCCTCTCACATTCCCACGACGACTCAAGGATAACCCCACATTCTTCAACTATCGTTCAGAAGGCGGCCGCGTGCTGTACGGTGAAGATGTGTACGTGGGATACCGCTACTATGACAGTCTGGAACTTGACCCGCTCTTCCACTTCGGCCACGGCCTTTCATATACCACATTCGACATCTCAGACCTCCAGATGACGAGGGACACCGAAGCTACATTGCAAGTGCAGTGCAAGGTGCAAAACACGGGCCAGAGGGACGGGACTGAAGTTGTACAAGTGTATATCGCTCCCTTGTCATCTCCCATCAGGCGACCAGTCAAAGAACTGAAGGAGTTCAAAAAGGTGCGAGTACAAGCTGGTTCAGAGGAGGTAGTGACCATTCCACTGGACCTTGTTCGTTCAACCAGCTTCTGGGACGAGAAGAGCAGCAGCTGGTGTAGCCATAGTGGCTCCTATAAGATCATGGTCGGAACAAGTAGCCGTGGTGAGTTCTTGGAGGAGGTGCTGGAGGTGGCTGAAACCACGTTCTGGTCTGGCAGTTGGGATTCACCAATCTGAGTTTATGATAAATCTTTACTAGTAGAATAAGATATTCCATATTCTGGTATTTCGGATTACAAGCTACATCTCTCCTTGACACTACTCATAGTACTTAACTACGAGTTAACTAGTAGTTGCCCAGTCCTGCCAGTGTCCACGGTACTAGTAGTAACTGAATACTAGCTGGTCAGAACTTGAACTGAGGACGTCGCAGGTTCAATTTGATGCTGGGTCTTTCCTTTTACAGTATTGCTCACTTCCAGTTCATTCTCAACTCCAACCCCAAGTTCCAAAGTTCCACTCCTTCCCCTGTACTCCTATTTTCATTATTTCCTTCGCCTCTATGGCTGTCGCTGCTTATGCCTTAGCCTTCGCTCTTGGCCTTGGATTTGGCTTCCTCTTCGGTGTTGGCTTTATCTTTGGCTTCGGCGACGCTTCTATCTTTGGTTGCTATGTCATTACTATTATCTTCGATCTCGAATGAACATATCCATGTCGATCTTTTAACAGGACGATGCATTCGTCTAAATATCACGCCAACCCTCTCAGTCGGTTCTCGATGCAATCTTTCATCAATACCCCCATCTAATTCATCTCCCAGGCTGGGAATTCCGAGTACGCATCCTCCGATATATTATCAATACGGGAAGTCCTTCGGTTGGCATCAACATTTTTACCATTACCTACCTAGGTAAGTACTACCATGACACCTGGGCATAAATATGGATGGATCATTCTATGTTAATTCTTGTTGTGATCTTTATTGTTCAACTGGTTGAACATTTTTGGATTAAATACTAGTATCAGATTCTACAAGACATCGGAAAATGCTACTAGTAGTTCTTACTGGGATTTTCTTGATATCCAATTTCCCTCCCGAATAGGATTATGACTTTTTGCCATGGCATAATTGTGTCTCATACTATAGTGATCGTAAAGGTACTAGTAATTTTCCAGTCCCTCTGGTTGACCTCTGAGTTGGGAAAGTGCTGCCCAGAAAGGTATGCGGCGATGATGGAACCATGGGATGGGATGTGCCGCCATACTTCATCAGTGGCTCCAACAGCAACAACACCTCCCTTCTTATCTGCATCCTGCACATTTGTTTCAAAATCATTTGACATATAACATCAGAAAGTACTCTTGTCACATACAGTTTACTGCAAAATTCCCTATAACTGTGACCCGAACGACACCCAAACTTGAAGCGGCCATCATGGAAACTCCGAGTCCGCAGGTGTCACCAGGTGAGTACTACTATCACGGCACCTTTTACTCAACCAGAGCTCATATTTTACAGTTATCATCAAGACACTAATAGATGCTATACTAGCTTTCTACGGACCCGAGGCCTCAACCTCAACCTCAATAAATCAGCCAAAGCCCCGGGCCAACTTGCCAACTCCTACGCCTCCCAACTTGAACAACACCGCCAGACCCCGACCAAATATATACAACTACGAAAACCCCACCAAATGGGCCGAATTCAAACGCATGTGGAAGGGTGATTTCGAAAGCGACAAAGAAGAGTACCGTTGGAAGAAAAAATGGGGGATATCTCTTTCCATCTTCATCCTGCTACTCTTCATCCTCCTTATTGCAGTGATCGGCATCTACTACCACCCTCCGGCGGAGCGCATCAATCGCTCATCAATCACGAACGCAACAAAGATCCATGAAGTGACTATGACCACTACCATTACGGCACTAATCCCAATTTCTTCCGACAATGGCGAGAATACCCATGTCACAATGGTGCGATCAACTGACGCCTCGCTTCCCACGCCCGCTCCTATTCAGGATCAAGAAGCCGAGCACGGTAATCAAGTTAAGCACATGCAACAAAAGGACGACGCTTCGATTTTCAAGACTCGAGCCTTCAGCAGCGTATCAGCCCCTCCTTACCTGGACGCTTGCCAAACGAATCTCGAGTGTGACTGGGGATACCGGTGTATTGAAGAAACCTGCTACCCTGGCTGTGATTCCGACAGTGACTGTCGCGACGCACACAAGTGCGAGCATTGGAAACATGATGGGCCAAGTTATAAATACTGTATGGTTGCGCGGCACAAGGAGTGCCGCGCTCACCTCGAATTCTGCCGCAATGACAATGAGTGCTGTTCTGGTCGGTGCGAGTCGAAGGGGAAGTGGAAGCTTTGCCAGCCCAGTACAGGTCGATCGCAACCATCTGATTCGAATGATCTTCGACCTTGAGCTCGTGTTGATTGATTTGTGAATGATCGTTTTGATTTTGGTCTTCGCTTTCTGTTCTGTTGAGTGTGTTAGCAGGGTGGGATTGGGTTTTTATTAGGTTGCTCTCTGAGATTATAAATGGTTTCAAGGTTCCAATTAGCTCCATCGCGGCGTTTTCATGTGGTCGCGGTATTAGTGTTGACAGGAATGCTTTGTGGTTGGACGTTTTGGTCAAGTTGATGATGTGTTCTTTATATCTGTTGAAAGACAAATGCCTCGAGTTCGTTCCAACTCCTCTGCTCACACTAGCTGGTAGCCAGTCCTTGCTCTAATATCTGAATCAAAACTTGAACGAGCTGACTTCAATCTGCCTTTCCATTGCATCCATAAATGGATCTGTCGCATTCAATACATACTCCAGTAATCATTCAAGTTGCTCGGTTCGGTATTAAAAGTTTATTAAGTTAAGCGATGTAAATGGAGTTGTACCAGTGGTGCGCGGTGGATGGTGCGAGCATGTCGGTTTGGTTGACGGGTTGGGAGAGTGAGTGGATCCAGTCATTCATGTCGACGCCGAGGTATTTTCCTATTACACAGCTTATGTCGAGGTCGAGGTCTCCTTCAAAAAGGCTTGGTTTGAGGGTTAATAGGGAGCGGGGAATTTTTTTCATCTCTTCTTTGGGGCTGGGGCTTGTTGGATGTGAGAACGTACGCCAGCCCCGGCGACCCATTTTGGTGGTTGTTCGGGGTTCCTTTTGTAGTGAGATAGAGGTATGTCGACTATGAAAATGAGATGTTGTGAAATATGCTTTAAGTAGAGAGATACCAGTGGGGTTGTGGAGTGGTGAAAGGTAAAAGCAAGTCCACCCTTTTACCCGTTGGCAGGAGATTTCACAGGGGTTTTACGGGATTTGGACATTGAAACCTAGGCCAGTGGCATTCTAGATCATCAATCTAAAGATTTTCCAGTATCATTAGCAAATAACTGCCGAGACAAAGAACCCTACATTGACGAAAAAGATACGTTGGGGATAATAATCTCGTTCTGAATGGATGTAATGTGCACGTTGGTATCATATAAGAAAAGTAAACACCTGAAGTTCATCTGGACACCAGAATATGGAGGCAGAACACCCTGGAATGAAAGGGGAAACGCAGGAGGTGGGAGGAAGTGCGCAAAGCACTGAACAAAAAAGGGTTTAAAGCAAGGGCAAATGAGAAAGAGAGAAGAAAAAAACGCCATTCAAAGCACACCATGCCGTGCCTTGAAGATGGATATCTTATCGTCATAAAAGAGAATTTCTTGCAGCCGAAACTGGACGCGCTCAGCGCTGTCATCATCCGCTTCGTCGTCGTCATCATCATCGTCCAGATCACTAGAGAGAAGGTCTGACCCGCCATCTGTATAAGGGGCAATATCAGGTTCGTCATCCGGCATTGACATGGCGTCGACCTCGGAAAGATCGTCGTCTCCTGTCATAACGGTTTCATTGACGGTTTGGTCGTCAAAGTCCAAGTCTTTCCCGTCACCGGCTCCTTCTTGAATCTGGTAGCATTTCAATTGGAGGCCAATGTATGTCATATTGAGCTCTGGGCGAATGCTGACTATATCGAGGACTTGGAGAGCGAGTTCCTTCAGGTCAACCTTGGCGCTGTGACTGATGTGGGGAAGGTACAGCGCGCGGAGCTGGGGCATGTTCGGGAGCCTTTGGAGGAAGTAGTGCTGAAGACTTGGTTAGTTCAGGGATTCAAATCGGCAGGGAAAAGTTATTTCCACTCACCCAGTCTCGGTAATTCATTGCCATTGCCAACTCTCTCAATTGCGGAATCTTCCCACTTGTGACAAACGAAATGATCTCGTGGTTGAACACCCACTTATGCCATTTGTGGCTCAAGTTGTCTGTGCCATCATGACGGTCCGATGCATCGATTAAAACCTTGCGCAGGCTCAGTCGATGTTTTCGCAAGATATGTCGGTAAATGGCATCGATTTGAACGTTCGAGTCGTGCCCGGGTGATTCGTGCAGGAAAACGCTTTCCAGGGTATTCGGGGCGAGAGCATCCTTAATGAAAAGCATCAAGAACGATGAAACATTGTCGGTTCGCAAATTTTTGATGTTGAGCGAATAGTCAACCGCGCTGACGCTTCCCCGGCCCCAGCTCCCATTCGCCAGACGTTTCGCTGGTGTTGCTGGTGGTGCATATTTACGACGAAGAGCTCTCCATAGATGCTCATGGTCATCGCATCGCATTAGAGTGAGCGTTGTGAGACGAGTCCAATCGATAGTTGGGAGGAGGGTTGAAATTGAAAGAGGTATTCGTTCTAGCTCAAGCAATTCCAGGTGTAGCTGATCTCCACTGGCGTGGAGAGCCGACATGAGCGGATGTGGCTTGGTGGGAGCGGCATGAGAGGCTGTCAGTTGTGGGTCTTTGATTTCTTTGTTAGCTACCGTAGTGCCTTTCTCGGATTCTCGAGGGGTGGTTTCATCATGTTGAGATAATTCTTTCTCATTCTTCTCCGTCAGTTTACTGGGGAGCTCCGACGCGACCTGCAGTTCGGAGGCCGACGAAAGGGCCACCCGATCCTCACGCAGCCTCGACTTATCTTTGGAAAGAATGCTCAACAGTCCACCGTGTCTCGGCCAGCTGAGTACAGCATCGGCGGCATCGGAGTCTTTGGCACAGACGAGCCAGTCAGAAAGATGTGCCTTCAGAGAGACTCCAATTCTCAACTCAACAAGACGGTGACGGGACCGCTCAATCAAGACCGCTAATTCCTCCACATAGGCCGGTTCATCGATATCCAGCACGGCCACGCTCTTCAAAGCCGGCAAGACGGATAGCGAGGGGTGTTCAACGTGCTTGTATCTCTTGAACATATGGGAAGCAGCCTCGGAAGCCGGCGCAATCCTAAGAACATTTTCCGAATTATCATGCCATCGCACCCAAACCTTGTCCAAGCGACAATCATGGCCTAACCTATCCGCCAGCGAAGCAAGCGCCAACCAAATCTCACGAACTACACCGGTAGGCATATCCCAGATGAATGTCTCGAGGTTGACCATTCGGGCGACGGCCAGGGCTACCAGCGTCCCCAGCATCTTCCCCACCTCCCTGTTGACCGAATACTCCTGCACCCAGCTCAGCGGGCCATTGCCGATCGAAAACGTGCGCGTGTACTGCGCGTAATAATTTCCCCGACGCGAGCGAGGCCCCTTGCTTGTCTCTCGCTCTTGGTGGTCACGGTCGGAACAGCCGCAGCTCGAACAAGTGTGTGTCAATCTGTCGAGCCGAGATGGGAGTTGGTTGAAGACATCTTCACCCATAACCAAAGTGGAGAGGCCGTAAGATAGGGCGTCCACGCCTGAATAATCTTCGCTTGAAGGGTTTAACGACTCCGGCCAGACGATGTCGAAGCGCGAGTACATATGCGGGATGGTGAGACCATGCAGGGCAGAGCATGTCAGAGCGAGGGAAGTGAGGTCATTCGTGTGCGTGATCTATGGAGGGGGAAGAAACCAAGCGATGTTAGACATGCGTCGACATAAGATTGGACTAGAAACAAGGCGTGTACTGTTGACATACCTCTTTCACGACATCCTTGAGGATATCAAGGGGAAGATCTAGCAGTTGCATCGATTTGGCTTTCCATTTCTGGTCACTTGCGACAGCAGGCATCGAGGCTGCTGTCAAGGGAGTCGAGGTTCGAGTGGTAGCTGACTCCTCGGAGCTATGATTCGACTCAGCCTGGTGCAAATGGACCTTGCTCAAAGTATTGGAAAGATGATTTTTCTCAAAGCTATCATCCGGATCGAGTGAGGCGGTGCTGTGACTTGAGACGAAGTCCTCTTCCCCCTCTTCATCTGAGGATAATGCCCGATCGGAGGCTGGCCGATCGGCCCAATTCGAGCAAGCGCCCGCCATGAGGGGAAACAGTGATGGGGCTAGGTATGTGGGAAGGGCTTGAAGGGTGAGGATCGACTTGGATGTTCTGAGCTCGGATCAACTCTGAAGAACATAACAGAAACCGAGAGACTCAGCAGGTTTCCGTATGTCGCTTCAAAGAGGCCCAGGAGGTGTGCAAGGTGGTCTGGGGAAGCAATAAGCTAGTGGAGTGACCGGCGGATCGCGACCCGCGCGGATCATCATGCGTTACGTAATCATGAGTCGATCACCTGCCCAGCACTAAAAGTAGAGTATGGGTGTATTCGAAGAATATCTAGAGTATATAGCTGGGTAGGATAACAAGTAGTATATACTATTATGTCTGGTCCTTTAACACTGCCAAGCTATCCACAAGAACGCTAACTTGAAGTCGATTGCGGCTCCTACCTAGGTAGTCCACCTGGGCAGTGGAGCTAAAATAGTCCTACTAGTACTAGTATACTAGGTTCACCCCGAAATCGAAAAGGAAACCATTTCCTAGAACCTTGGAAGGTCAAAGATCAAAGGCAAGTAAATTCATAATTAATACCATCTACTAAGCTAGTAAGAGAATAAAGAACTTGAAATTTTTGAGACGCAACGCAGCACTGTTCGCGTCTAAACACCTGACCGAGCCAATTTCTCCAAGTTGATAGCCGCGCTTATACAAGCCAGATGACTGAAAGCCTGAGGTGTATTTCCCATCTGCTCACCTGAAATAGCGACCTCTTCAGAGAACATTCCCAGGTGATTAGAGTATGACAAAATATTGTCAAAGTGCGAGAGTGCGAGTTTCCAGATGTTCGGAATGGGGACATCGAAAGCGGCAGCCTAGATATTTCACGACACGCATCAGGGTGCCCGAGTTAGCAATAGCACTTCAAGTTAAGTCACCAGGGTTGCACAGCAAGGAGATAATTTACCCGGGCCATGGCCTCGACGAGCCAGAAAGTAACCATGATAAAGGCGCCCTCGCCTCCACCCACACCTGTACGACGTGAACGTTTAGTAACCACCCAGGCGTCCAGATCGGGGGAAGATAGGGATCTCGAGCTAGAACATACCGCCATTTGCCCTCACATGGTCGTATCGGAAAACCATTTTGGCGCTGGAGAGCCCCTCTTTCTCGGGACTCTTTAGGATCATCTTCAGAGTGCTGATGAAGCGGGGATCATTTGGTGCGACAAAGAATACCAGGGGAGCAATCAGAATCGACGCATCTAGAACTTCAGGGCTCTCATAGCTTTGACAAAAGTGACCACGTTCCTTGTTGTACCCCTTTTCCATAATCTCATCGTAAAGCTCGTCGCGTACTTGAATCCACCTGAAGCGATCAGGGCAAGGTAGACTGGCTCGTTTCTCTGCAAGGCGAATGCCACGGTCCATAGCCACCCACAACATCACTTTGGAATAGATGAAGTTTTGGATCTGGCCACGAGACTCCCAGATGGACATGTCCTTCTGGTTGCGCACGCCAACGACATAATTCACCAGGCGACGGATCGAAGACCACTGGTCATAGGTTATAGGATTGCCATGTTTGTTATAGAGGTAGATGCTGTCGAGCAGTTCACCATAGATGTCCAGCTGTGTGTGGAAAACGGCTGCGTTTCCGATTCGCACAGGCTTGCTACCCTTGTAGCCATCGAGATGATCCAGCTCCACCTCGGGAATGTCACACTCGCCACGGATGGTAAACATCAACGGGAGCAAAGGCCGCTTGGAACCTGCCTCCATTTCTTTGGCAGCATGCGGGAAGATCCGGTCAAAGATAAAGTTGACGTAGGCTTCCGCCTCGCGGCTGTATCCCATTTTGAGGAAGACGTAGAGCGTGAAAGCCGTATCGCGCACCCAGGAGTAACGATAATCCCAATTTCGTGAGCCGCCCACGTTTTCGGGAAGCGAGAAGGTGGGCGCCGCGACAATTGCTCCGGTGGGCTTGTAGGTAAGCAGCTTCAAAATCAGCAGGCTGCGCTCAACGGTTTCCCGGTAGTGTCCTCGAAAGGCGCATTTGCGCGTCCAGTCCGTCCAGTAATCGGAGGTCTCCACTTCCATTCTAGCAAAGTAGGCAGCCATTGTTGCAGAGCTTGGAACAGCCTTCTCGGGACTGTGCAGCACAAGGTGTACCGTTTGTCCCTCAGACAGACGAATCCAGGCAACCAGACCCTTGCCTTTCATTCCCGGACGTTCTTCCAATGTGAACCTAGCCTCGGAAAATCCAATTTTCTCGGGTTCTCTTGAGTCGGCGAAGATCTCGAATTGCAGTCGCTCTGTGTCACTCTCAAAGTGGACAGTCTGAAGCCGATGCTTGGACATATCGTTCTCCAATTTTGCACGGGCATTGTGATTGTCCTTGGCATAGTTGAAAGCGGGGAACAGCTCGACTTTCACTTCCATGGAGCCGCGACTGCATTCTAATTTCCTAATGAGACCCGAATGCTGCAGCCCAGATTTGAAGCGATTAGCCCCGGGTTCGTTACATGGACAGTAACCGGAGAGCAGACGGCTCGACTGGGCGCTCTTCTTGGGCGAGACAGGGAAATAGTCCAGCATTATGACAACGCCATCTTCATTGCTCCAACGAGTTTCGAGCAAATTTGAATATGGCAAATATCGCTGTTTGCTATGAGGGTCGATGACGGTTTTGTAAGGCTGCACCGACCAATATCCACCGATCTTGTCATCTAACAGGCGACAGAATACCGAGGGGGAATCGAAGACCGGCCAACACATATAATCCAAGCTACCAGCCTTGCTAATGAGGGCACATGTATGCATATCTCCAATCAGACCATAATCCTCAATGGCGTTATACTGAGTTTCTGCCATGATGCCGATTGAGAATGGACTTGAAGGAGACAATACCCTCCAAGAATCAACAAAAGAAAGATAAAAGGAGGTAAAGATCGAGTCGTGTATTTCTGTCGATGGAACGTCCTGAGGATCACGATCTCCGACGTAGGGGTGTGAGAAGAGGGAAATATCCGATCAAGGCTCCTCGCCTACGCTGCGAGGCATATATGAGCCTAGCCGCCGGCCGGGAACAATGGAAACCACGACATGATGATGCCGCAGTGATCAAAAAATTGCACTGAGGTCATTACTATGCTTGAGTATATTGCCCAATCACCAGCCTTGGAAGCTTCAAGTTGGTCGGTAGGAAGTGAGGTAGCGGGGTTTGGCACCAGGTTAGCGAGCACATCATCATTATGGAAGTAGGTCTACACCATGGCCTCGGGTTAATCATTTCCCAAGCTCCGTAAATCTCGGTGGAAATGACCAGTATGTGCTAGCGGATGCAGATTCTTTCATCGTGGGACCGCGGAAAAGACAGCGGTTTCAAGAAGGACCACCGGTCGATCCAGTGCAATTTCGCAGGTTGACCCATGCCACGATGCGGTCAGTTACAGTTGATATAAGATCGGTATCCCATTTTTCCGCACATAATATGCTGACCCCTTATCGGGCATAGGTCACCGGAAGTCACAGCCCACCAATAAACCACACTGGTAAGGACAAGCTGAAATCCCCTGGGACCCCGGATCGACCGGATTGTGGATCTTGGTGAAAGCCCAAGTGGATCGAGTGGCGACCAGTCATAAGAGAGGAGAGGTTGGAGGGGGAAAAGAGGAAGGGAAAAGGGAAAAGGGAAAAGAGAAAACAGGGCCAATACCACAAGGGCACCATCAGGGAAAGGTAAGCGTGACTGGCATCCACCGCCCAAAATTCCCATGCGGCAGCAACTCGCACCCCGTGACCGCCTCTCCTTTACTCTTTCCTCTTTCCGACTTCACTCCATGCTTTTTCGATCTGATCTGATCTGATCACTTGACCCAACACTTCGGAGAGGGGGGGTCTTAATTTACACTTCTCCACCACCGAAATTCCTCTCCTTTAGTCGCACCCTCCATGGGGCAAACACAAACACCTCCCGCCCCCGTTCCTTTCCTTCCGATCCGCGTCTACTAGGTAAACCCTGGATTTCACCACATACTACCTTACACGCAATGGGGTTATCGGCCGCAACCCATCATCGACGGCGGAGCTCGGTGCTCACGGGAAATACCAATGTCCGACCACAGCCGAGTGCATCGGAGCGAAGGGATGACAGTCTTCGACCGCTCGGAGATAGATGGGATGAACAGGAGCCTTTGACCGCAGAAGATACCGATGCATCAGATCTCTCATCTTCCGCAATCGAGACGCGTGAACTGACTGAGATGAGCTCGGATGATGATCAATACGATGAGGAGACTGGTCTTACCACATCTCAGAAGCGCCAGCGCCGGCGCCGGCGCAGACAACGCCGTAAGCTCGATGCCCGCATCGCAGACACCAAATCATCGCGATATGCCATCTTCCAGCTGGGTCTGGCCGATCGCAATGTTCTCCGCAAGCTCCTTGTGAACGCTGGCCTGATTCTGATGTGGTATTTCTTCTCATTGTCCATCTCCATAGTAAGTGTACCTTGCGCGTCACATGCCGACTGCCGGCTCATGGCTATGACGATAAATATCAAAACTAACCAACTTATTCGCTTCGCAGTATAACAAATGGATGTTTTCCGAAAGCGACGTCGTCTTTCCCTTCCCTCTTTTTACAACCAGCTTACACATGGCTGTCCAATTCACATTGGCAGCTATCTTGCTTTGGATTTTTCCGTCCTTACGACCTCAACATCCTCCCGAGTCCCTCGCCAACTCCCCCGTCGAAGGACTGAAGGAATCTGAACCCATAATGACAAAGTTCTTCTACTTCACACGCCTCGTGCCCTGTGGTGCCGCCACATCCCTTGACATCGGACTCGGCAACATGTCTCTCAAATTCATCTCCCTCACCTTCCTCACCATGTGTAAATCTTCCGCGCTCGCTTTCGTTCTGATCTTTGCTTTCCTCTTCCGCCTCGAGTCGCCTTCCTTCAAGTTGATAATAGTCATTGCCACAATGACGATTGGTGTGGTGATGATGGTCGCTGGTGAAACTGCGTTCAACGCACTCGGCTTCAGCCTCGTCATTGCTTCGGCCTTCTTTTCTGGCTTCCGGTGGGGTCTAACACAAATTCTTCTTCTGCGTCATCCGGCCACTTCGAATCCATTTTCTACACTCTTTCTTCTCACGCCCGTGATGTTCGTCTCTCTTATTACTATTGCCCTTACTGTTGAGGGCCCAGTGGAAATCCACAAAGGCTACCTCGCCCTCGCCGAGAAGCACGGCAACTTGCTTGGGGCCGCCCTCCTGGTATTCCCAGGTCTTCTTGCTTTCTGCATGATTTCATCCGAATTTGCATTGTTGAAGCGCTCTTCCGTTGTCACTTTGAGCATTTGCGGCATATTCAAGGAAGTGGTGACCATTAGTGCCGCGGGAGTCATCTTCCACGATCAGCTTACACCCGTCAACATGGCTGGTCTCGGCATCACGATCGGTAGCATCGCGACTTATAATTATATGAAAATTTCCCGGATGCGCAGTGAGGCTGCAAGGGATTCTTGGAGCCGGGACGGAACTCCCGAGTCTGATACCGATGATGGCGACCTCACCGGCCCGGAGAATGGGGATTACCGTCAAGTCGCGGATGAAGAGACCGATATTATCGCTTCTTCCCCGGCTGGCCAGTTCAACGATGATCTGCAAGCTTCTTCAGCTGGTGATAAGCGGCGCTCGTTCCGCGTTCGCGCTAACGGTGCCATGCACGGGCTTAGCGTCTCCACCACCATCCCTGAAGATGATGGACCTCCAGAGCCTCTCAAATCCGCTCCCCCTACAATTTCTACGATGGCCGAGGCTGGGTTCAACTCGCAGCTTCCCCTGCCCAGCCGGGAGGCTTCACCCGGGGTTCACTCCGCTTCATCCGTCTCGCCAGTTCGGAGCCAAACTCCACATCATTAAAACATTTTTCTTCTCATGATACCAACTTACTTTACTTCATTCATCTAAATACCATACTATAATGGTACCTTTACTTCTCTTTCCTTTTGCGACGGTAGCTACCAGCACCATATTCTCCCTGTCCGTGTTTCTTTTCTTTTTTTTGTGGACAGGGAGTCAACGATTCTTTTTTTGATGAAGAAGGTCGCATTGTTTTGCTGACCGCTGCATGCTGTTGATATCTCATGTAAACGCTGACTTGGGTCTTACGGAGCAATGAGTGTCTTTTGGGGGACGGTTGTTAGAAGGCAGGCAGGCTTTTTGGTGTCTTCTTTGCATGGAGGCTGGCGGAATGGAATCATATATCTGAGCGGCGGTTTAATTGATACCAATTTAAATTCCCTTTTCTCGGGAGGGCTATATGCCCCTACGTTCATCTTGACTTCATTCAATTCTATTGTACTCGCGGCACCTTCATTGTACTAGTAGAAATTAAGTATCGTATTGCAAGTATCCGAAAATTTTGCTTCGCGATCTGCACTGATAATTCAATTCAATCCTTCTTCCCCCCCACCCTTTATCATATCGGTTAAACTCTTCTGCTTCCCTTTCCCCTTCGCCTCCTTCTTCTTCTCAGTCTCCAACTTCCTCTCATACTGCTCCAGCTGGGCCTTCCTCATCTCCGCCCCCTCCTCCGCCAACTTCCTCTCCAACTCCCGGAACTTCTCTCCTTCAGCATCCATCCCAATAAGCGACTCAAGCAGCTTGATCTCGCGCGCCCAAACACCAGGATCAGGCACCGTAGCCGCAGACGCACCAGCCGGCCTCTTGGAATTCTTCTTCTTCGCACCACCTTCATCCTCATCGCCCCCTTCAGCCCGGTCAATAGGCGTTTCCAAAACCATAGGCATATCCTGAAACCTCTCCTCATTCATAACATTATGAAAAGCGCGCAGACCAAGGAATCCAGTCCCGATATTCGCGTGCAAATCACGCCTACTCCCCTTCGGTGCTTTAGAATCATTCAGATGCAAAGCGCGCAGAAACCGGATCCCGATCAACTCGTCAAATTCGGCAAGGAAGGCCTTGAATCCTTCCGGGGTGACGAGGTCATAGCCTGCGGCGAAGCTGTGACATGTGTCGATGCAGATTCCAATGCGGGAATGGTGCTCCTCAGGAATCAGAGCAAGGAGATCTTTGAATTCGGAGAGGAAGCCGCCGATTGTGTTGCCGTGGCCGCACATCGTTTCTAGAACCGGGATTACGGTGCTTGTTTCTTTGATTGCGGATATTAGGGCGCCTGCGAGTCGGGATAGGGCTTCTGGGAGGGGTTCTCCGTTTGTGCTTCCCGGGCTGGAGAGAGCGGTGTTAGATTGACGGTACTACTTTGGGGAGGTATTGGTGGAAGGGCATACTGGAAGTTGTATAGTTTGATACCGAGAGCTTCGCAGCGGCGGAGATCGTCGACGAAAGAGGTATAGGCCTGTTTGGCTTTGGTTTCGTCGGATTGGGCTAGATTCACGAGGTAAGATCCGTGAGGCAGAACGTATCTGGTAGATGTGTTAGTCTAGGGCTTTGATCGAGTCTGGAGTTTATTGGATTTAGAGCTTACTTGGCAGCGTCATAGTTCTTCTCGGCGCAAAGCTTGTGGAACTGATCCCGGTGCTCATCTTGGAGAGGTGGATTGTCCCATTTTCGCTGGGATTTCAAAAATAGGGCAAATGCGTTGCCACTGGTTTGGTAATTAGCATTGGCACTCTGTATAATTTAGTGAAAACATGAATGACTTACCCAATCTGTTCGCTGTTATGGATTGAGTTGAAAACGCCTGTTCGAGAATATGATTAATTTCTTGGGCTTGGGCTTTTAAAGCGAGGACTAAATGTATAGAGCGTACCCTTTGCAGCACTGACATGAGCACCAACGAACATTCGTAGACCGGGTGTTCGGGGAGCCAGAGGCATGGCTTCGGCGTCCTTTTCTTCTTTGGTCTTCTTTCCGCGTTTGGCAGGCGCTGCTTTCTTTGCGGAGGTAGTCACAGCCTTGGCCTTTGGTTTGCTGATAGGCTTTTCTTCTTCTTCTGCCTTTGGAGCCTGCTCTTCGTCGTTCTTGATGGCAGGCGAGGATTCTGTATCATCAGCCTCTTCCTTTTTGACGGAAGACTTGGCCGGTAGTCTCTTCGCTCGTGATGCCTTTGGTTTGACCTCGGGCTCTGATTCTTCTTCTTCGGAAGATGCCTCCTTTAGACTGACTCGCGACTTTTGGCGCTTTGTTCGTCTCAATGGGGAATTTTCTGGGGTCCCATTGCTCAGATTCCTCTTGTGACCCCCCTTGGGTGCCGCGATGGGTTCTTCCTCGTCTGGATGAGAGACACACATTGCACAACACTGCTCTGAAGTTCAATCGGTTGTAGCGATGACAATGGCGATGACAAAAGGAATGATGGTAGCTTTTGTACCTTTCAAATGATGTCGATTCCAGTTGGCTGTCAGAAAGCCGGTGGATCTCTAAGCTGATTGGAGGTTCAGCGGGAGGGGCAATTCGTCAGGCCTGGGCTCGATTGTATTGAAACACAATTTCCAAGGTTGACGAGGGTGATTGAAGTGTATACCGAATTGAAGATGGGATGGTATGCACTTGATATATCAAAAATTGAAATCACCTGACAGTCTTTCCACCGGTTGCTCCTTCCCTATGAACACTCCCGTGCCTGCCTTGTGTGTTATAGTCACGTGTTGATCACCGGGGTAACTTTCACGTGATGTTTATCGATACCCCAAACGGTCCAGCTTGTCCACATTGGGAAGGCACAATTGCAGCCCCTCCGACCTCGAATCGACGACAAATTATCACTCGACCCAAAACATTCAAGGGAGCTCCTGCAGGTCTCGGAATTATGGCTGCCTCCGACGACCTAATCGACTTCGACATCATCGAGGCTCAGAAGGAAAACGTCCAATCACTGCCTGGTGGTCGATCAGCCCGACAGCTTGCCCAAATATTTTCGGCGGGCAGCAACAGTGACAAACTCGCAGCTCCGTCACCAAACGATACACGGACGATAAATGGCGCAATCCGTCAAGAATACGAGGCCGAACTCGAAGTTATTGGAGAATCGGACGATCCTCTCGACGTTTACGACCGCTACGTGAAATGGACCCTGAACGCATACCCCTCGGCCCAAGCCACCCCCGAGTCCGGCCTCCTCCCTCTACTTGAACGGGCCACCAAGTCATTCCTCTCATCTTCACACTACAAGAACGACCCTCGGTATCTCCGATTGTGGCTACACTATATCCGATTGTTTTCCGATGCCCCGCGCGAGACCTTTGCTTTCCTAGCACGGCATCATATTGGTGAAGGCCTGGCTCTGTTCTACGAGGAGTTCGCTGCATGGCTCGAGGGCGCTGGACGCTGGAACCAGGCGGATGAAGTTTATAGACTCGGCATGGACCGCGAAGCCCGACCTGCTGAACGGTTACTCCGCAAATACAGCGAATTTCAACAACGATACGAAGCTCGCCCTCAAGATGCCGGCCCTTCCTCTCCCGCTCTTCCGGCTGTTCGTCCGGCTCTCGCCGCCAAAACAGACCCTTTTGCCCTGTCAGATGCCTCTGATGCGCAATCCTCACGACCATCACCCACAGCTGCCGCCCCGAAGACGAAATCCGGGAAGACCAAAATGGCTATCTTCTCAGATGCCGACGCTGGGGAATCCAGCCAACCAGCCACCAGTGGTGGTCCGACGAAGGGATGGGATAGTATTGGGTCAATTCGGGAGCGCAAGAAGGAAAACGAGGTGGAGGCAAAGCCATGGGTTGGAGAAACATTGAAGGCTGGAGGAAAGAAATCAGGGCCAAGCCAAAAGATGGCCATTTTCAGAGACGAGGTGAGTTTGCAATTTCGCGTTGCCTATTCCTTTTCAGACCTTCCATATATTTACGATCACAGGACTAATTGCTGGCTTAACCCTATGTGCTTCGATTGTGTATTCAGTCCAATCCAATTTCACCTCCTAAAGAAGAGAAAGCTCCCAAACAAATTCCGGAACATCATGTAAGGGAAGCGGTAAACCCACGAACCGGTCGACGCGAACGTGTCTTTGTCGACCTGGAAGCAGTATACCCAGATTACAGGAATCCGGTGCATGAAATGAGCTTTGAAGAACTTAGGGCGATCCAGCGCGGTTGGATGGATATGGATTGGCGGCGCCTAAAGGAGCCCTTGCAGCAAATCTCGGGCAATTCTGTAGGAGCTGAGTGCCAGACCATTAACTTCAGAGAGGCAAGATCTGAGGAGGGCTTACCAGAGCAATCAGATGAAAAATTGACAATTTATGGACAGCAATCCCACTCTCAAGAACGAGATGGGCGGGCTGAGCACAAATCTGGGAAACCCAAGAAGTTCAAGGAGCAAGGGAATACTCAGACCGGTGAGAAAATAGAACTGATATTCATTTCCAATGTTTCGTGAATTCATGACTGACAATCACATAGTCAAAATGAAATTTGACTCGCCCTCGAATTCCAAGGTCCGACGGAAGAGTACCCGAGAGCCCACTATGACCATGCATACTCGTGCTGCGACCGATGAAATCTATGACATGTTCAGTCAACCCCTGAAGGCCGAAGAAGAAGATGCAGCGGATAGTTTGTACGGTAGTGACTATGACGACGATGACTGTGATAGCACTGGTACTGGTCGCATCTCAGCAGCCTCGAGTGACTTTGGGGGCGAAGAAACACAAACCTTCCACAGGTCGCTTGATGATACCGGATATGCCGACACCACACGGGCTGAGAGTGTTTTGGGGGATGATTGGACGGAGTTCACTGCCAGGGATGTCCCTGGTATCGAAGGGGCCGATGCCACTTCTCACTCCGTTCTCAGCGAGGAAGATGTGTATGAATCTCAGCATGGCACTCCGGAAAAAGAACGCTTTGTACCACGAATGCCTTCTGATTATAACGCGCCGTACGGAACATATCGGGATCCTGCAATCATGGCACAGAACCGACTGCCGTTCATGACTCCGATTGTTGAGCGCACGGAAAGCTCCATTTCTATGACGGCTGCTCGGAACACTATATACAACGCAAAGACCCCCTCGAAAGCACGAACACCATCTGGGGTTCCTCAGATGGGAAACTTATTGCTCTCCAGCCCCGTTGGAGCCCCAACACCATACCATGGCGACAACACTGTTACCTCCATGGCCGATGCACCCTTTAGCCCCACTGCTTTCAAGGCACTCGGTCCCAGACCTCATCGAAGGGAAGCGATTATCCGCGACGTGCAATGCAATCCAACTGACAAGGGAATTCGAAACACCATTCTGAATGCATTGGAACCCCAACTTGCAACATACGCAGGCTACCATGGACATACGAAAGACAGTAACTACGCGTCCATGATACAGAAATTTCTCAGAGCCCATAGCCGGAAATCAAGAGCTGCTGACGATGATGGCATTGATGCACCGGCTCTAGAATTCCCAGGTGCAGAGCGAAGCTACCTCATTCGGCGGGAGCTGGGAGCTGGCGCTTATGCTCCGGTTTATTTGGCAGAGAGTGTCGAGAGTGAAGAGCCATACAACTCTGATGAAGAAGACACAAACCCGAGCAGCTTAGCAAGCAAAGTGAGCCCATATGACAAGCCGCGACACGCATTTGAGGCCGTCAAGGTTGAGAATGGACCCTCGAGCGCTTGGGAATTTTACATGATCCGCACCGCATACGAACGCCTGCGTCAATCACCCGGCCATGTCCGTGCAACGGATAGCGTTGTCCGCGCTCACGAACTTCACGTGCACCAACGTGAAAGCTTCTTAGTAGAAGACTACCGGGGTCAAGGAACAATCCTTGACCTGGTCAACATAGTCCGCAACGACCACAGCTCTGACGGTGGTCTCGAAGAATCACTCGCCATGTTTTTCTCAATTGAACTATTCCGCACTATCGAAGGCCTCCATGCGAACGGGATCTTACATGGCGACATTAAAGCAGACAATTGTCTCGTTCGTCTCGATGAAGCTAACCCAGACTTGCCCCCGAGCAAATCACTTTCCCTTCTCGATCTCGATGCTGCTACCGACGAGGACGACGATGATGACGATGAGTCGAGACCCAAACGCCGAGACACCATCCACTACTCACCCAATGGTCTGCACGGCTGGGCAAGCAAGGGTCTCTCACTCATCGACTTCGGCCGCGGAATAGACATGCACGCATTCCAACCGAACGTCCAATTTATCGCAGACTGGGAAGTCGGCACACACGAGTGCAACGAAATCCGCGAGACGCGGCCCTGGACCCATCAGATCGATCTATACGGTATCGCGGGTACAATCCACGTGCTCCTTTTCGGTAAATACATCGAGTCCGCTCGCGTTCGCACTAGTAGTGGGACCGCTGGCGGGCCAGAGCCACCAACCTACCGAATCCGCGAGTCTTTGAAGCGATACTGGGACCGGGAGCTGTGGTCCGATGTTTTCGATTTACTTCTCAACCCTGCCTCCGAGCGTTGGGTCGCGATGGAGCGCGAAGACCAGGGTGGTCTTGCTGAGGATGAGCACGCTGCTGTCTTGCCGGTGCTAGCTTCTATGCGTTTTGTCAGACGTAAGATGGAGGATTGGTTGGTTGCGAATGCGGAGAAGAAGGGTCTTGTTTTGCAGTTGAGGAAGATTGAGGCTATTCTTGCTAATCACAAGAAGAAGCTTGAGCGTTCTTGATTTGTCTTGTTTTCTGTCGTGTTAGATTCCTGTCATGCTTGATGAACCTCTATACCCATACCCCCCGCCTCGATATCCTTTTCGGAGCTAGACCCTCGTTGAGTCGGTCGGCCCTATTTCTCTGTCTATACTCTTTTTAATAGTGGATATCTTTCTTCATATAATTGTTCCTACTTTTCACCCATTCACCTGAGGCGACATTTACTCTATCCAAGAATATCATCATAAACCGGATCCAATCGAGCAGTCGACGTCTCAAACAATCTTGGAAGGCCCGTTTCGCTGAAAGGAATCGACTTCACTGCCATCTCCGCAGCAGCCTTACCGGATAGGAAAACGACCGGCATACCATGCCCATTAAACCCAGCCGCAATCAGCTGTCCAGGTTTACCCGGAACCTCTCCAACATGAGGCAAGGAATCGGCACTGTATCCCATCACTATTCAAGTCCAATTCATTAGCCTCGAGTTTGATTTCACCAGCCCACCTATCACCAAGAAAGGGGGAAGGGGAGATAGTAGAAACACACCACCAGTCCAAATATGCCTAACCTCCGCCTGACTATCCTCCCACCCAAAAAAAGTCCGCTGCATATACCCATCAAAATACCTATCCGCCTTCCCAATCAACTCCCCATCATCAGAATTCCCATACCACCCTGCCAAATCATCTTTAAAGATCCACGAAGCCCCACCGACAATAATCGACCCATCATTCCGGGAAATCTGATAAATAAACGCCCCCGGCCCGTGTCGAATAGCATACGTCTCGGGTAGACGCCGATATGGCGCCCCGGGACCAGGCTGGATTGCAGTGCAGAGGCCCTTGCAGGGAATGATGGCTTTCGAGTACTGCGGTGCTACGCCGCTGGTAAATGCGTTTGTGGCGAGGATGATTTTTCGCGCATGGATTGTGCCTCGGGGGGTTTGGACGGGCCAGAATCCGTTGATTGTTTGTGTTTCTCCTATTGATAGCACGGGTGTGTGAGTTTGCAGGTTTAGACCTCTTGATACGGCGAGGCTTATTAGGTGGGTTATTAATTTGTAGGGCCAGAGGTGGCCGGCGGAGAAGCTGAAGCCGCCTTTTGCGTCTCGAACGTGTGCTTTCTTTTTGTGTGTCAGTTTATTTCTTTTTTTTTCGAGAGGGGTCGATATGAGTTGATAGATCAATTGGGAAAAGATCGCTTACTTCCTGTGCCTCTGTCTCGGATAGGTCCTCTACATCATCCATGAAATCGAGATTCTGGGCTCGGAGATAATCCACAAATTCCCTTTTCCGCTGCAACTCCCCTTTATCGAGATAAATATCCAGAGATCTGGTGAGGGTGAGATCGCAGTCGATTCCTTCTCTGGCGACTAGATCGGCTATCTCCTTGACATGAGATATCTCGAATCGAACAACTTCCACCGCAGCTTCAAGTCCATACCGCTCGATATATTTGGACGTAATGGAATACAGATCCGGTCTGAGATGACCCCCATTGCGACCCGTGGCTCCGGAGCATAGTTCTCGGGCCTCGAGGAGAACAACGCTTGGCGGGGTTGCAGTTGGATGTTCCGGGAAAAGATGGTATGCGGCTGATGCACCGGCGTAACCACCGCCGATTATTAGGATGTCTGTCTCGGATGGGAGATTGGGTGTTGTTTGGTGGGTGTCTAGTGGGTGGAGCGATGTTCGCCAGAATGGTTTTGTGGAGCCGGTTGTTGGTTGGGGGAATGCCTTTTTGCTTTCTGCCATTTTTGGATATTAAGAATCGGTTGGTGGGTTGGTTCCTGGAGAATGTTGGGGAACGAGATGGTTCTCAGGGTGGTGTTGATAAGAAAAGGTCGGGGTGGTTCGAGTCGGGCTTTTATCTACCGCGGCCGAGCGGGCTCAGTGCGGGGCGATCTCGGGGAACGCAAATGGTCAATTTGCCTGATATAGTATGAGGGGTATCTCGGGTGGGAGTTTACGGATCTGTTTATGAGGTTTGTGAATGTATCCTTTGGTTTGTATGTTCCGATTTATTCTACACTGGAGCAGGTGATGATAAAATCTTTTTGAATTGAAGTGGATAATCATCGGGGCCTTGGACTTTCAGCATATCTCAGTTGCGGGACCAGATTACTCGAAGGTTATTGAGTATCAATATGAGCATTATGTCAATCGAAAAAACCATCCAGCGAGGAACTAGCGTCACAGAATTAGCTTATGTATAGATAATGGGCTACATTTTATGGAGTGTCACATACCGCACATAAAACACTTGGGAGATATTTGGTCCCGCAACTCGCGGTCCTGTAACTCGCGATTACAGTCTTCTAACTGCTGGGGACTCTCAAACACCATGGTACTGGTAAGGCAGAAGGGCGGCAGGAGGATGGTGATTGTGGTGGTGAATGTGGTGGTGAATGTGGTGGTGCTGTCTAATTCCGCAAAAGTGAGCGGAACACAGAACCATACATAAATCATCGAATTAGCAATGACTCCCGTATCGAAGTGCGTGGTGGATGGAATGAAATGAATTACTTACGACGGTGAGGAGTAGGAGGATAAACAATACTAGTAGGCGGCGAGGAGGAGCCGTCACTAGGAAGTGGCTGGTTTGAATTGTTGCGAAGAGAACAAGTGAGGCGGGGATGAGACGGTGGGATGAAGAGATGAGAAGAGGAAGAGAAGAGCCTTGGGAGAGAAGAAATAGAATGTTTTTGTGGGCCTCACTGCAGGGTCGCTCCTTCCTTCTGTTCCATTTCACCCAGCAACAGCACCTTCCTCATTCGGTGCTAGAAGCCTACGCCTTGGCTTAGTAATAGTTGAAGTATAATAGGTAGAGCCGAGACTATTCAATGTGAATTAACAAGCTACATGATATGTGAAAGATGAGGATTTGATAACCGGCTAGAGTTGTTTTGGCTGGTCTTACTTTGCCAAAGACTCTAAAATCCCATTAACATTCACAAAACTGAGCTCTTCCAGGGTTTCCTGCCAGAGTCTTTCCTTAATATTCTCCCCCTCGACGGTGTACAGCAAAGGAGGATATCTGTCTCTTGAATTAGCACATCAAATTCCATGTGTCTCGATCTTGTGTCTCGATCTTGTAAATGCTCGGTTCACTCACGGTGCAATCCCCCAATTCATCAATAGGCATCCATGTGACTCCTTCCCCTTGGTAATAGCCGCATCAAGATATGTGGTAGCTCCAAGCTTCATGCTTCGACCAGTTGTCACCTTCAGTAGATAGAGCAAGAATTTGATAGGTGCGGGCGCTTCACGCTGCAGAGATGTGCCCTTGACGAATCCCGGTTCCACATAATTAATCACCACATCATTGGCAGATACCAAGTCCGTAAGCTTCCAAAGAAACAGCTGACCCAGATACTTCGATGTAGGGTAGATGTCAACACCATCAAAGGTCTTCTCGTCATCGAATGCTTTCAATAGCGGGATCTCGCTTTTTTGCGCAAACTTTGCGGTCAGAGATAGCATGCTCGTGACAATGGTCAACCGGCCCGGTGTACCAGCGGGTGACTTGATCTTTAGAAGCGGGAGGAGCAGGATCGACAATAGCATCGTGGAGAGATAGTTCACTTGCATAGTCTCCTCGTGCCCGGTACTCGCGAACCTGAAAGTCGAATTGGATAACCCGGCATTCAAAATGGCGATATCAAGTCGAGGCAGTTTTGCTTTGACCTGCGATGCAAATGCTTGGATCGAGTCATAGGAGGACATATCAAGTAGCCAGACCTCAATATCAGCATCGGGGTATTGTTTTCTCAGGTCAGCGGCTGCATCTTCGCCTTTTCTCAGCGAGCGAACTGCGACGATGAGCTGCGATAGCTTGTAGGACAGAAGTTGTCTTGCACATTCTAGACCGAGGCCCGTGTTGGCTCCTGTCACAATTGCAACTTTCCCTGAGAGATCGGTGTCACTGGAAACATATTGAGCTTTTGAATAGAACTGGTTCGTGATGAATTGGTTTGGAAAAAATGGCGTGGTAGAGGGGGGCAATTCTTTTGAGGAAGACATGCTATTCGGGTGCTGCAATGAGATGGTTTGTGTATTTCTAACTCAGTCCGATGGGGTAGAATTTATAAGATCATGGCCTGGCGGAGTTAAGGATACGTCCGTGGCTGCTCATATTCTGTTGTTTACCCATTCCAAGTTGACCCTTTTGACGGCTTTCGGGTCTCGACATTTGAAGGGGATCTTCATTCTACTCTATCCACTACTCGCATTCGAGCCAATCATATGCTCTATTTGCACGCCAATCCGAAATAGGAATACAATATCGTGCATTAGCGTGGCTATATTTGGCCTAGCTCCCTGGAACCCATCTCAGTCGCCCCGTCGCGAACCATCATGTCGTCAAGATTCCCTTCCTACAACCAGTCATGTAAAATAAGCCTTGAAGGATCGCATGATTACCTCCCTGAAGATTCAAGACTTTCGGGCTCGGAATTAACGGAGACATTGCCTATGGATCCATGGTCGTTATGGGCACTGCCAAAGAAAAGAAGTGGTTAGCCGCTCCCAGTGGTGATGAGAGACTGCTCGGGTTACAAGTCACGATTTGATGAATCTTTACATAGCAGGCTCGAAACGGATGGAGGGACATGGCTTTCACAATCGCTAAGTATCCTGTAAACTCTTAGAGTCAAGGCGTATATTCGTTCGGAAAGATAATTACCACCTGGACGGGCGGGAGTCGGCCAAAACTTACTCGGCCGAAATATTTTATGTCAATAACTACTACAGACGAAAATAGCCCTGGAGAGTTGCAGAACAAGATGCAAAAACAAAACATACAACAGCAGGGATTCTCAGGTGGTCAGGTCACCCACCATACTACTAACCTGCCGGCGTGTGGCTTGAATGCGACCAGTAGCTGGGTGGGCGCCGCCCGGGTGAGAAATGGGTGACCGCTGCAAGCCTTCGGAGTTGATTATATCAGTCTTTTGGCCCAGCTGATTATAGCTAGGCTAAAATGGCGAAAATCTCGGGTAACCCTTACAAAATTTTAATAAGATTAATTTAGACTCTATTACAATAGATTAAAGATAAAAGTACAATACTAATAAATAAGTTCTACTCTTTCTTGTCAGATATAACAATAATTGTTTAGACTAGGAATAGCCCATGGTGCATTTTCGGTCTAGCGGTATTTTGCCCCCATTTCTGAGTCGAAATCTCTTTAACAAGAATAAGCTAGATCAGCAACTTTATAGTATAATCTCTTTAGCTATCTAAACCCTATTAAGTACTCATTATATCCTAGCACATGTTTCTAAGTTAAGGATACCCCGTACACAATAAACAGGAATAAGATCAAAAATCTTGTCAGAGATATTACCGAAAGGCGACTAAGCACGGTTAGGGTCATGGTAATCAACGGGTAGTGCTTGGATGAGTATAAACGATACTTTGGACTGTCTGTGAAGACAAGGTCAAATTTGTATTTAGTAAGAGCCACACGGTCGAACTTTGAAATCGCTCTTCAATGTTGTCGTACCCTTGATTGCCAGTGAATGAAATGCTGTACCATCACGGGTCTTGGGGCCTAGTTGCCTGTATTCCGAATTGGGAAGGTACGTTGGAGACACGGTTGCCCAGGTGAGCTTCCTTCTAGTGGAAGTGGGCAGATGGCACGACGCGTAGTGAGTTGAATTGCACGGGGAGGAAACTACGAGAGGCACGCTTCCTAGGCTAGTTCGAATATACTTTCAAACTACCCTCCTCGATAACTCTCTCGCCTCAACACCACGCTCAGCCTTACAACATTCCCCCCACAACAGTCGACCGAAACCCCCAATCTCGATTTTCTCTTCGTCTTTTTTCTCTCGCTCTCATCCAAGCACGAGCTACGATGAGCAATCTGGACCTCCCGGCGCATCGAGATGAGTGGAAGTCTCAAGTCGCGACCGCTTTTTCGAGAGAAGGATGCCCTCCCGTTCCAAGTAGAGTCAATTGGCATGGTGGATCAAATATGAGCCATGTGCAGTTCCTCTCGCTGAGAAGCATCTGGCCCACTCCCCTGACCGGCAGTGAACTCGCAAGGGAGTTTGAGACAGAGCTTCGCAGAGAGTTGGATACTGCTAGAAATTGGTTAGATTTGTTACCACCATTCCGGGCCTATCTGGAATGTGTCAGGAATCATCAATCAACAACGTTCTGGAGTCCCGAGGCACCAGAAACCTTCGAGACAGCCCTCAGTCTGGGCATTATGCAGCTAGCTCGATCACAACAGAGCCGGCTGTTGAAAGCCATATCAGATGGAGTCGCAGATGAGGAGATGGTTATATCATCCCTCATCTCTTTCTTGGATGGAATCACGGTCCTCTGTCCCCATGTCCGTTGCGGATGGTCAGCGAAACGGCGATCCATCACGGGGGGATTTCGGCGCCCAGAAGCTTAAGGTATTTGTCGATGGGCTACTTGTAGCCCGGGATGGCACGCTGGTTAAAATTAGACCATCCCAGGACGACCCTGGCTAAATAATGTCCGAAAAGAGTCAAGTCGGCACCCCGGTCGACGACCCTGTTCAAGCATCATTCGTCGTGACATGTCATCTACGCCGACGACTGGAAGTGGGACCCGAACCAGAAGTGTTTCGCAATTATCATCCGGGAAGAACCTGTAGATATGTCGTTGTCGGGCCTAAGATAGTTTTGGATTATCATTGAATGTGTCATCCACCTGGGCATCCGGGTATCCTTAGGTATCACGGATGAGTCATTATTATGCCAATGGATAGTAAAAAATAAAAAAAAAAATCTATGAAAATCAGTTTAATTGTCTTTTCACTCGACTATCCCATTGGAAAATTCCAATCATGTCTATTTAGTTAGAGTCAGCATCCAGAGTCACGCCACAGAATAGCGACCCGGAGCGCTTCAGATTGGAAGTGATGAAAACCAGACGGAGCTCTCAGCTAGCCAAGATGATGACATACTTCAGAAATCTTAAAAGAAGTTCCTACTCGCACGAAGATCTTATGCATCTTGGTATAACAGTCGTTTGCCTCCCAGAAGCAGATATGCTGTTGACCAATGAAGGCACATTTCGACCTCATAATTCTTTTGGGCCGGGTTTCATCAAAGAATTCAAAAAGTGGAGGCACGTGTGCTACATGCGCGCACAGATTCATGGACAGTTCGTGGATTATCTTAAAATAATGGGGTTTACTGGTCTTGGCTGCATATTTCCCTGGCATCAAACTTAGTAAGTTGGAACCTCCGAGAGGATATTTAAACAAATCTATCACATAGGTCATGTACTAAGATATCTTTATTAGTGCCTTGGACCCTTTTTTCGGTGTGACAGAAGGATTGCTCTCTGTTGGGGTGCTGACGAGGTGTACAACCATCATAGACACATGGGATACCCCGCCGGGAGAAATACAATGGCTTGATCCGGAGACACTTGAGACCCTAAAAGAACAACCGCCTCATGTTCAAATCGTGTTATCACACAGGACTACCGTTCTGGCTGGTGAAAAATCTCCAATATGCGTGACCCAGACCGATTATATATTGCCAAGGGATACTTTAACGGCTATTGTGACTGCAATTCACAATCGTGTGTATCAGGCAGAAATTGAAAATGAGACAATATTCCCGGTAAGTGAGGAACAACTCCTGTCTCATTTTTAATGAGATCCCTATAGTGCTTATTTGCAGGTGTTATTATTCTCTCAATATTACCCTGACCGCATGCGTATCATTGAAGCAGTCTTCGACATCACCTATGAGAAGCTTACCCTTAGAACCACTCCTACGTATACGTTTGGCGATCCGGAAACGGCGCCATGGGACATCCTCATGCGTATGCATGCAAGTACACCTAGAGTATCCTCATCCTCTGGCCAGTACTCGAAGTAGGTTGTTTCTTCATTTTGTTTTACTGTGCTTTGTTGCTATTTGATTGTGCCAGGAAGCTTTTGTGGACTTTAATGATAACTAATCTTCATAATTGCTCAAACAGCCTTAAGGAGTAATATGCGGTCTCCAGATAGCGCAATCTGAGAAAATTCGATTAAATTTTAACAGAAAGAAATACCGTGGACTCAAAAAGTAAACCTTGAAAAGGTTGAGAGATGCAAATCAACCTATAGTATACATGGACCTCTGGTATAAGCTTCTTCCAAATTTCTATCTAGCCACATGCAAGCACTACCTATAAATCAACCTTAAAATCTTTGTCCTACTTGTGAAGAAAAAATTTTTTACAAGGCAATGTAACCTTTGAATATGTAACTTGACTCAATGTGATGAATTACTAGCTACAGTCGACGTTAAGAAGCCCCTCAATAAGACAACGGGAGCCAATATAATCATAGGTCTTTCTAACCACACCCCTTTGGCAAACGTCTTTTGAAAACCTATATATTTCTTGACACGCTCTCTAGAGTGAACCACTATGTACCACAAGTTGTGCCTGTGAAGATCTCTTTATTTTTGACCTCACCCCTATTGCTAAAAAGATTTTTGCCCCTTTTTTACCTCATCCTTCCCCGTAACTCACCCAGTATAGCTGTTTCTTCTTGATTTAGAATATCCTCTATGTATAAGATATTCTATAATCGAACTAGGCCTATCGCACGGTCTAAGGAAGGGAGCCAGTATATTATTTTGAAGATTTATCGCTATTCTGAGTCTTACATCCTCGGATACTAGTTACTAGACGTGTGCAAAAGGGGTCCCATAGGCTATGGTAAATGCAAAGGGAAGTTATTTGATTGGTCCGTTGGATACAGCCCACGCGGTCGTTACAGGATATAACTTCACTCCTATGAGGACTTCAAATATAACTTTTTACACTCTCTTCGCCATCTTGGCCTCTGTTTTCCCCTAGGCCCAGGGCTTCAGTCACTCTCTATGGTGTGTGTGTGTGTGTGTGTGTGTGTGTGTGTGTGTTGGTTTGTGGATATTGTAAGGACTCAGGTGCATTGAAAGATAGCAGTAGTATTGAACGAAGGTATTAAGCTGAGAGAGAGAAGAAGAGAAAGAGAGAAGCTCCCATCGCAACTATCTACACATGAGCGGCTGCCGGGGTCACGTGCCACAGGCACCGAAGGCTTCGATCGTTAGAGATATCGTCTCATTCTGCCTACCCTATCAGGCTTACCTACGCGCGCCCTGCTTCAGTATTTAACTAGTTTTGAATCAGGTGAGTATATAGGCTATTTTTATATCTAAATTCTATAGGTTCTAAACTATATTTTCGTCACTTTAGTAAGACAGCACTTACGTTCCACTCACCAAGCTTCTTTTACATATTTTTTGGGAGCACCCCCCCGTGGGCTCAATAGGTAGTGAGAAATTAGGAATAGCAGATCTGGGCTAACGCCCTCGAGCTGCTATTTATTAGTTACCTAAACTGGGAATGAAGGCGACGTATCGGGGTGGGTCCTATTCTCACCCTGTTCTCACCCCGTTCTCACCTTTATCACCCCCAGTCTCCAATATTCTCACCCTTATCACCCGCACTCACCCTAGTAGAAAATTTCACGCTGTTTCAAAGGCCAGGGCTCTCTGAGGATTGACCAAGTTTAGTATTTGGCTAAAACACGGTCAGTAGTGCGGTGCCGCCCGGGTGAGAATGGGGTGAGCGCCGCTTTAGCGCCGCGCGACTCGGGTGATTAGGGTGATTGCGCAATAGACAGGGTAAGAACGGGGTAACACCGGTACTTATACTTAATGGCGTAATATTAGACAAAAAGTAATAAACCTGGACATGTGAGAGAAGCTCGCGTAGTATAATACATGTAAAATGGGGTGCACATGAGCTAGTCCGGTGTAGGCCAGGTTTGTTAAACTGAGGGATAAATGTTAGATATTTAAGTAAAGCACATGTCACAGGAAGTCATGAGGATATTGCAATATACCAAACTGACACAATGTATCGAGATTCTGAAGATCTTACACTACATCAGACCGCCATACGTATCTCCTTCTTCCTCCTCTTCTTCTTCCTTGTGATACCAGTTCAGATATTTATCTTTCTCACTTTCCGTGTGCGTCTTATTCGGTTTTGGTTCTGTCGGCAATTCCTGCTTCTTCTCATCACCATGTTGGTGATGTTGACCATGATGTTCAAAAATCTTTTCCATAATGCCTTCGTGGTGCGGCTGGCTGGATTGAGATTCTGCAATCATTTAGTGAAGGAAACCAAGGAGTTTAACTGACTATCAACTTGCTTTGAGACTGAGCCATATTGCTTCTATAATTTCAGTGTTCAGTTGCCAATGAGAATCGAAATTTTATTCGTTTAAACACAATTTAGCTTCATCGAAGGTTATATATGTATAAATTTGAGTGAAAAAGAACGAAGCATCGAAAATATGATGTCAAGCTCCAGCATTACATCACGAGTATAAGGCGCCAGTAAAAAAACTTGCTTTTACATCATTCCTTTGGTACGAAGTTCATGGCCCTGCCGGCTTGAATTGAGTTGAGTGAACTTTGATTTTTCTTCTCCTTCGCATTTTTCTCTTCCTCTTTGTAGTACTCTTCCAAATTCTCTTCGTCTTTTTTCAAGTATTCTTCATATTTTTTGGGTTCTGCTGGAATGCTATGCGAGTCACTGTCTTTAGGAGACCGAGAAGGATGACTTTGAGAAAAATGACTCAAAAGCCTTTCGATCTTAGATTTTTCCGATTTGGATTCTCATGGAAGTCTGGGTTATCGTTAATTTTGGATTATACGGACGGACTTTCAGACATAGCAAAAAGTTGACAGTCTACGGTATTTCCTTTTTATGTTTCTGTTATTAGAAAACGAAGAGTTTCGTGACTAAAAGACTGGATAAAAGGTTGATGTCTAGAACTATTTGCTTTCTTCTTGCTAGTGTACGCACCTCCTTATATTTTGAGGCCGGGTGGATATGGGCTGACAACGATACAATGACGTCGACGAAATTTTTGACATCTATAATGAAAATCCAATTTAGCTTTTTGATCAATAAGATTAACTCTATCCACAGTACTATACCGCCTCGAACCGAGCGAACTTATAATTTTCAAAGCCAGTATCACCAGTTTACCCCCAAGAATTATTTTTCATATATCTGTGTAAAGAATTTTGACCAGTCACTTCAAGGATACTTTCGAAATAAATCCACGAAATCAAGGTGAGGAGCAAATACATAGTCGTCAGAGAAAAGAGACGCTTGTCTTCTTGGGAATGCACTGAACAGCAATGACGAAATCTTAGATGTAGAAGCTGAAATGTGCGAAAAATCGTCGAAGGATACCAAGTATTACAACGAAATCTTACCTCATGCGGCAGAGAGATTGAATACAAGAAAAAAACCTTTATCATGAAAAGAGCTTTTCTAGACAACCGACTCCACAAGTTGCAAGATTTGAGGTTGAATAAGAATTAGAATTTCTGTTTGGAAATAGTATTTGCCTAATGATCTTAGTTTATACATATCATATATAAATTTTGTTCTCTGGACTTCCTTCTATCCCGGTGTCTTTGATTTGCCGATAATGCAGGCTTGCAACATCAAAGAGAAGGCTAACAATTCATGACGAGCGTGGTGCTGAACTGGGATAAGCAGCTTTCCACTAGAATCATGTATCCCAAACCACGGTATGGATGCCAGGTAATATCCGAAAGAACGCCTATCTATCTTGGGCTTTGTTTGGAATCGGGTATGTGGAGACACTCTCATCACGGCCATGGAACATTGAGCTAAAATTCGAATCCAAGGCCTAGATTTGAGGATGCAAAAGGAACCAATTCCCGCCGGGTTTTGAGCAAAGGCTAATGAATCGAATTTAATTTCCAATTATCCGCTCTGGGTGGCCTTTGTGTATGCGAACGGTAAATGACGTAATGCATCTAACAAATGGAGTGATTATGGTAACCACTCAGCTAAATCACCAGCAGCTGATATTTAGGAGGAAAGACTAAATAGCTGTGTGATTATGACGCCTATAACTTTTAAATGAGAGCCCACGTTTGATGTTCAAGTTTCATGGATCTTCAATTGCAGAAGCTTTATCATCTCACATCTTGTCATGTCCGCAGACAAATATTATACCCTTGCTGAAGGTGAGTGAAACAACTATCAAAAGAGTTGCCTAATTGCCTTCGTTTTCCTAGCTTACCAAGACAAAAGGATGCCCCTTTGCAAGCAGTAGCACTGCTGTGCTTATGCGAAACAGAGATGGAGGGAGTCTCGGACTCCTCCAAGATACGCAGCTCATCGAGACATTGGCGCATTTCTCGCGGGAGAGGATCCCGGAGCGGTAAATCGCCAATATAATAAAACTCGTGTTCTAGCTGACACTGTAGTGGATTAAAAGAGTTGTTCATGCCAAAGCCGTTGGGTAAGGCTCAAAGTGATTTCTTTGCAGATCAAGTCCTAATCAACATTCCCATTCAAAGCGCGTACGGAGAATTCGAAGCCACCGCCAATTGCTCTGACCTGACATGTGCCAGCTTTCTCAGTGAAGTTGGCAAGAAAACCCCTTGTTTACTTCGTGTCTCTACTGTTGGTCCCGAAGCAGGCTCGGCTGATACTTCTCGAGATGTTCATGGATGGGGCATGAAACTCTATACCGATGAAGGAAACCTTGATTGGGTTTTCAATAACACAGTGAGATTACTCAAACCCATCGATCAATTTCCTACTTATACCAGATTCAGCCTGTTTTCTTTATTCGTGACCCTATTAAGTTCCCCTCCATGAATCGCTCTCACAAGAGACACCCACAGACCCACCTTCCCGATGCGAACATGGTAAGTTCAAGTGATCCAGCTCAAGTGATATAGCAAAACTAATATGACCTTAGTTCTGGGAGTAGGTCCAGATAGCTTTATTTACCTCTTCATCGCTTACATGATATAGCTTCCATGTGGGAAATCCTGAAGGAATCCACCAGCTCTTGGTTCTTTTCAGTGACCGTGGAACTCCCCAATCTATCCGCTTCCTGAACTCCTATAGTGGTCACACATACAAGTTTACTCAAAAGGTTCGACTTCCAGCATATGACTTCTCACGTTAGCTAAGCCTATGAAACTAGGATGGCTCTTTCAAATATATCAAAATTCACATGAAAACCCGACAAGGAGTCAAGAACTTCAGCCGAGAAGAAGCTACCAAAATTGCTGGTGAAGACCCAGATTACATGATTCGAGACATGTTTGAAGCTATTGAGAGACAAGACTACCCTGTTTGGGATGTATTTGTACAGGTTATGGAACCCTCAGAGGCGGAAAACTATCGTTGGAATATCTTCGATATGACCAAAGTTTGGCCACATGAAGACTTTCCGTTGAGAAAAATCGGCAAGCTTACCCTGAACCGGAACGTACGTTACCAATTTCCCCTTGTGATATATCGATATGTTGATTTTTGACTTTTTTACAGCCTGGTAATTATTTCGCCGATATTGAACAAGCTGCATTCTCCCCGTCTAACATGGTGCCTGGGTTTGCTGCTTCTGCCGATCCTGGTTAGTTGCCCACTGAGGGTTGGAAAAGAAAGAACTGAATCTTACTTCTATCCTCTCTAGTCCTTCAAGCACGACTGTTTGCTTATCCGGATGCGGCTCGTTACCGTCTTGGTGTCAACTACCAGCAACTTCCAACCAACGCAGCCAAGGCACCTGTTTATTGCCCATTTGAGAGAGATGGTAAAATGAGGTTTGATGGAAATTATGGAGGTGATCCAAATTATGTGAATTCTTCTCTTCAGCCAACAAGGTTCTATCCCGAAGTCAAGGGAGTAAGCCCAAATTCGTTGAGATTACATACTGAACACGAGAAGTGGGTAGGTGAGGTCACCACCTACACCAGTCACATGAAGGAAGATGATTTTGTTCAGCCTGCTGCTTTGTGGGAAGTCATTGGCCGTGAACCTGGACATCAGGACCGAACTATCGAAAATATTGCTCGGAGTGTTAAAGAGGTCAAATCCCCCGAGTTGCGAGATGGAGTATACGGTTTGTTCCCACCCTTTAAGTAGTGCGTGATGGAAACTGACCCTTCATAGATCTCTTTAGTCGAGTCAGCCTGGAACTCGGAACTAGAGTCAAGCGTGCGACTGAGGCCTTGAACAAAAATTGAGTAGATGTTCAAAAACTTCATCATCTATATTTATCTCTCAAAAGTAGTTTGACTTTTGACATGTAAAGTGGAAAATGGTTTTCATTAATTCGAGGCATTTTTGTTCCAGTAAATGTTAACACTAAAGTGTCCTCAGGCCCACATTCATCCTCTTGTAATCTAGTGTATCAAATACTCGTACGGCAAACTTGCTCCTAAATTTGCAATGTTTTACCACGCGAAAAATGTCAATATGCTAAGCAACTGATAAAAGATGGCCTTCTAACCCGTATTTTGCCCTACCCAGAATAGCAAGTATAAATATCTGTCAGAATTATGTAAAGCGAGAAGTGCAGTGCCACTACAGAAAATAAAGTCAAATTCAACATCCTTTATAAGTAGCCGCCATCATGATTTGTTGTATAGCATATGCAATTGATACAAGGAGATTGATTAGATGTAGTTTTTGAATGATCCCGACCTTATTTGAGAACTGAAAGTATCTTTCTGCCAATTCAGGCTATATATCCCTTTAATGATACCGGGAAATTTGGTCCAGTGATTTCAATATTTCGGTATTGGTAAAAGACTCTTCATAAGCGTCTCGATATGACTCCCATGGAAACCCAATAATGGCGCGTTTAATCCATACGTGCATATGGTGCATGGGTTGTTGAAAAGAAGAATTATAGGATCATAAATTGAATAAGGTTAAAAAACTTTATTAGATTGTGTGAAAACTATGTAGTTATTAACTGGCGCTGTGCTGTGGGCTTGTAAGACTAAGCTAGGCGGTCTTCGGTAGCGGCTCTCGGAGACTTCGCATTGAACACCTGAGGCTCTAGGTATTATACCGCCACCATGAGTGCTCTACTGTGCCATGTGAATGTTCGAATTTAACTTATAGAAAGATCCCAAATCGTGAAATTGTAGGGGAATGAAGTCGAAGTAGCTGTCCCCGTATTAGGCAATCAAGTCATCTGAGCAAGTCAAAGTATGATGTTTCCCAATGGCAGCGGCGTACTATTAACTAACTCTCAACAGCTCGGATATTTTAATGATGAATGCCTACGCTCCACCCAAGCACCACACTCTTTATGTGAGCCCGTTGGCGAAAGGCTCGTCCCGAGTGATTGCCGGCAAGCAGCCCCTCTCCCCTAGAGCCCTCAGTATCCACAACAAGGCCGAACAGGTCCCATTCTCACTCATCCTGCCCAGCCAGATGGAGCAACATATGATACGCTATCAGTTTTCTTCACGCAAGGCCAAGTTCTGGTCTACCTTTTCCACTGGCATGGAACGGGGTCGACCGCGTCATGCCGCCCGCCAGTGGAAATTTGCGATGAGAAACTTTATATGATTGTGGAGTGAATTTGGAAGCAAACAATGCAACTAGTAATAAAAACGACACAGTGAGAAAAAAAAAGACTCTGAAAGTAATGCTCATCATGTTCTTGATCATTCCTTACCACTGGGGCTTTCTACGCCGCAATCGTCTTCATCACGGGAACTGTGGAAGCGTCCGACCCTCGATGGATACCAGCGACCGCACTCTTGGGTACAAATCGTAGGCCGAAGACAATCATGCTCAAGATGAATAACCCAAAAATAACACCTAAAGTTATCATTGCCCCGATAACACCTGCCACACCCAGACTCATTTCTCTGCCCGAGCGAGAACCAGCAGAGGAAGTAGACGACGAATCATCACCGGCACCAGAACTCGATGCGCAGATCCCAGTGCTATTTCCACACGTTTGACACCAGTCTTCCTGTGATTGAATGGCAATTCTCTTCGTCTCGTCCACAAATTGCGCCCACGGGAGCTCGACCATCGATTGGCCAAAAAGCGGATAAGCTTGCAGCTGCGTCGAACCCTCGATGCTAGTCCCATTGTGGAACACGAAACGGACTCTGATGTCTGAAGTGGCAGGTATCTCAGTTCCCTCGTCATCTGTCACAAGCTCCCACGCCATGGATGAAGCATAGTTAGGAATGCCAGTGAAATTGACAGTGGTGGCTGGGAGCTCAGCCAGACCGAAATATGACAGAAAAGAGGCGTACGCACCAAACTGGACGTTTAGCTTGGATTTACCGCCAGATGTAATTGTTTCGTTAAGGGCTGTCAGAACTTCGCCTGCCAGATTCATACCCGCAATGGCACGGATAGTGTCAGAGCTATTGTACGCCAGGTTGAACTCGTGCTCGTTCGCGAGAACAAGCAGCTCTTGCATTACTGTGTCGTTGAGAATGGTCGATGGAGGGAAACTTGCGGTAGAGTTGTGTATGAGAGCCACGAAGAGTAAATCCCATATAGTGTATGCATTCTTGTAGCTCAGCTCGCTGGCACTGAACGTCTCATTCACCAACGGCTCAAGAGATTGGTAGAGCCTGCGAGTGCCTGAAAGTAGGCTCACATAGGAGTTCGAGTTGAAGTAATTATTACTGCTGACTATGGCCTTGCCACAAGAAGAGGTGCTTTGCAGCCACGTGTTGTCCTCACTCCCGCTGCCAGATTTCACATCTGACATTGGGATTAGCTGATATCCATTCAGCGGCACCTCGACGGTTGATCCATTGCGCAGAGTCTCCGTAGCAATCGAACCTATAGGAGGGTAAAGACCTTGGAGGAATCCCACTCCGGAGTTGTCAATCACATCATCTTGCGGCGCACTAGCAGTGATTTGAGCCAAGTTTACGATGTCGGTACTGATCCCATCAATCTTATGGGAAGAATTGGCCGAGATATAGCGATCATGGAAGAAACTCCCAGTCATATACTCCTGGCTGTACCCTAGGCTGGTCAACTTGGTCGGTGGCCAGGATTTTGCAGTGCGATCTCCATGGCGCTGGAAAACATATGCCCCCAGGACCCGTTCTGCGTCGGCCGGGTCTGCAAGGAGCAGGGATGCCACAACAGTGAGTGTGATGAGCGGAGACATATCTAACAATATTCGCCCTCGTTGGTCACTGTTAAAATAAGTATATTATACTCATGCTGCTACTGAGGGTGTCCCGACTTTATGAATCGCCGTCCTCGTGCGGGGAATGCTAGCACCCGCCGCTTGATGCAGCGAGAAGTAAGTTTCGCTACTAGCTAGTCGGATAGCGGCGGAAAATCTCGCTTTAATGTCAAAGTTCTAGCCAACGCACTGGGTTTCTATTCGAGGAGACTATCCTATCACATTTGGCTTAGACGTAGTTCTGAATGACATGGTATCACCGTCCAGTTCAGAGGCAGGGTTTGTAGCGTGGGTGAAAACAAAAAGGGCTTTCTGAAGCGAGCTAGATCCATGTGTTTTCTCAATCTATCCACGATCTAGGTATGGAGGTTCCCTGGATAGGGTCCCGCGCTCCACACAAGATGAAATATACTCAATCCAATAAGATGCAGGGATCAGAGAAATTTATCCCGCTTTTGCTCGGGCCTACCAAAACTTAATCACTGGTCTTAGCTGCAGGGAAGGTAGCATTCAGGTATGATTGACCAATGTAAGCCGTAATTTTCCAGTGGTAATCGGATTTCTCCCGCCAGAACCGCCATTATCTGCTCCTCTCAACTTGGATCTCTTGCGGTCAGAGGTTTTTTTTTTTTACACTAGACATGATTCGTTCAATAGTTCTACGCGAATGGGCACAAACGTCCAGCGTGAGTGCTTGGTCATCCATGATGCAGGAAGGGTGATAAATTGGCATGTAGCCCAAGGTTGGAAACAGAGAATGATGCATCTCTGGCCTCATTAGGTCATCGTTTCTCATTAATATGGCACCGACTAGGAAAAATAGCTCTGCTAGGATAGCCTTACAAGCACGGAAATCTGCAATCGGCACAGGTGTTGCAGAACACCACCACACATTACGTTCGAAACGGGGTTTGATCAAATTTAGAACACATTTTCTCGCGAATTGAGATTGGTGGTTTCCATCCAGATTCATGAGAAATACAGAGGACGTGACTCATTCATTTCACAACATAAATTCCCATATCTATCCACCAATAAGAATCATGGGGCGGTTCTTCATATGCTTCAGCTCATCCATGCCGGCGTGTTTCGCCTTTTTGCGCTTCACAGCCATACCGATGATATTTAAAATCTCGCGTTCCCTTTCATGGACCGGTACCCTATTGCCATCAAGACGAGACGTGCTCTCTAGAAAGGTAAATTTTTTCAAGGCCTCGTTGTCGATGGGTAGCCCGTCATTTTCCTTGCGTATGATATCCCGTAGTGACACTTCTGAGTTGCCGAAAAGACAAACCTTTAAGTTCCCGTCACTGGTGATGCGGAGTCGATTGCAGGTGCCGCAGAAATTGTGCGTCATGCTCGTAATGAAGCCAATACGACCTACAAATTCTGGGATCTTATATGTCTTGCTAGTATCATTTTCATGATCAGCGATCTTCATCATTCCCGGATATTCACTTCTGATAACCGCGAGCATCTCTTCGTATGAGAACATCCTCCCTCGGTTCCACTTATTCCCATCAAATGGCATATATTCGATAAAGCGGACCTCAATAGGCAGCTCACGACCCATTTCGACGAATGGGATGATCTCACGGTCGTTTAATCCGCGCATTACGACGCAATTTATCTTGAGCTTGATGCCGGCACCAAGTCGGTTGATTTCCAGTATGCGATCGATACTCTTCATCACAGCCTCAAACCCGCTCCGGCGGGTCATGATCTGGAACTGAAAGGGATCCAGGGTATCCAAGCTCAAATTCACACCAGTGAGACCTGCTTCTACCATCTGGTCTAGCTTCCGGTGTAGTGAGATACCATTTGTAGTCAAACAAAGCTCGCGGAGCCCGTTTCGCCGTAGCTGACCAATTCCTTGCATCAACGGTACAATATCCTTCCGGACGGTGGGCTCCCCACCAGTTAGACGAATCTTTTTGACGCCCTGGGAGACAAAAAGTGATGATAGGTATAGTATTTCTGGAGTGGTCAACAGCTGGGGCGGTGGTGACAGCTCGATGCCTTCCTCGGGCATACAGTATAAACATCGCAAATTGCAGCGTTCTGTGACGCTGATCCGGAGGTAATCATGCTGGCGATGAAATCGGTCTGTGAGAAAGGCTGAGAACGGCTTGACCGTCGATCCGTTAAACAATTGCGGACGCCGAGATGTCTATTAAGAGAACCTGGTCAGATAATTCGACTGGCAGATTGTCTATATGGACGAGACGCACAGGAGGTGCCCCACTTGATGTCTGTAAGCATCGTCGCCCTTCCTCCACGACTCGGACAGTGCGTTGGATACGAAGATCCGAGGAGAATAGACGGGCATATGCTGTCCACTTTTTGAATCTTTGCTGGGCCATGATACACACTATCAAGTTCTAGGGAGAGAACTTACTAGGCGAAGCGGCAATCATTTCAGGTGGCCTCGGGCGAGGTCTGAGCACAGCACCAACACATGATACACGAGTTCTTTTTATCGGACCTCTAGCTGATATCATATTTCTATGAAAGAGGAGAAGGCCGAAGCAAATTACCCGAGTAGGTTACGGGATATTGGCCACATCACACCGCTTATCAGAACCGGTACTAAGGTATCAGTGGCTGATCGGTCGGCCTTTGCATCTTTCGGCTGTACGACAGTAGTTCAAAGTTTTAGCGTGATGCATTGCATTGATTTTATTTTTCTTCGACGATGACTCTATCGGATATTCCAACAGAAGAAACCTACTCTGGAGAGGGCAAGAGGTCTCAGAGATAGTTTTCAGATAAAATCGAAGTCGATTGATTGGGTACCATGAGAAACAAAATATGAGCCAGTATTGAGGTATTTTTGATGTATTTTGCACAAGCAGAGGGTTTGGGGGGGGGGGGGGCGATAAAGCTCACATAGTACCGCCGATTGCCATTTTTCATTAAGTCATGCCTGGCTGGCCATTCCACAGTAACAATTGTATACAATTATAGTTCATCCGAAGATCAAAGAAACCGGCTTCCAGCTTTTCATGAAAGCGGGAACTCAGAGGCGTGGGAATACGAGGTCCTTGCAGGGCCAAAAAAAAAACCAGAGACTTTGTTAATAAGGCTTTCAGAATGTGGAAAAGATAATCGGTTGTCTAGATTACGCTCAGTCTGACCTCGGCCTCCTTACTATCAGTGGCTGATGCATGCAATGTTTAGCGTCGAACCACGAAAGTTGCAAAGTGCCAAGTCGGAACTGGGCACAATGGACTTGATGTTTTCCTGAGTCATGACTGCAAAAAATCAGTTAGGGATTGAACGGTCGTGCCCGATACCAGATGCAGATGATTCGGTAAGGGGTATTCATGGGTATCCCCACCCTTTGCTTAGCAGTTGACTACTTCCTCTATTTCATTCTGATTTGAGGGGTTCTGACAGCGTAAATAACATTCACCACAGTCCACTAGCTTGTACTTGTTTAGGGAATGTGTCAATTCACACTACACTAATCCGACATCTTTACCTACCTACTCATGTGATGATTTCGCCCAACAATATCTACAAGCTGTTCTGCTCTTATGACAAGACTGTGGTCAATGTCCGGATTCTCCATGACAAATTATACATCGGTGACTGTTGAATTGAAGAGGTGAACGAAGGCGTCTTACATGGGCAGACCCATGCCCTATGACTATTCGGGTGAATGTTCGACTAGATGCCCCACCACATGGTGTATACGCCAACTACGAGGGATTGAAAAAATTAACAGAATCTAGACCGCCTGTTGTATGCTATATCTTTATTTACTCGACTGCCTACCGTAAATCATGAATATTTGTCTCTTCTGAGACAGCCGAACGCCGCGCAGCTTGATAGTGCCGCAATGATTCAGCATCTCCTTTATTGATTAGAAATTAAACGTCTATTATCGAATTGACTTCTTCCTATTTGGAATATCTTGAATTTATCTCCAGTTCCCCCGAGCCATCATTTTGTAATAGATGCCAGGCGGTTGTGGACGGCGTTCCAGACAATTCCTTTTTACGAAATGACTACTAATACCATCTAAAACAAGTCGCAAGAAGTAAAGTCATTATACTGGTCATTAACAGGATTGGCGGCGCGGTGTCTCTGTTGGAAGGTTACCGGGTACGCTTCAGAAGTCATGATGTCAATCACTCGATTGGGGCCCTCTAGTCTTTCATTATATTTTCTATGCTGCTAGCCCGGATCGAGTGGGCATTTAAAGAAGAGAGTAATTAATTAACTTCATTCAAAAATGGATCTGTCTCGTATTTCTTGTGTGAAATAGCAACATGGTTCTGTAACATTCCCAATCCCATAGAGAAAGTATTATCACCTATTTTCAGTTATCTTCTCGCTTCTGTGGCATAAAACAAATACATTATCAGTCATATGACGCTATACAGAAACTCTGATTTTCATGCCCAAGACAAGGATTCAATGAGATCCATGTATGGCAGTTACGAGAAATGGTTTAGACTTTACCCAGGTTTACATGGCAAGCAAGGGCTGAAATGTCGGTCTGTAGGTCCCATAATCAGCCAAGTATATAACTTGGTACAGAATACTTGTGTTGAAATAATTTGCTTCAAGCATTCCCCATTCTCTATTTCCATATTTCCACCCCACATCGTTCCACTATGGAGACTCGAACCAAGTATACAAAACCGATCAATAACCGCCCTGATGAGTGGAAGGTTGAGCAAGGCCTTGCTGCTTACAAACTTCCCATCATTGATCAAAGCGGAAAATCAGTCTTCTTCGTTGCTCCGCCCGCGGAACAACCGGTCACAAAAAATGAAAAGACCCTCCGCGCTATTGGTGACCGAAGTAAACTTTTTGCCCGTGAAAAGCCGGGCTGGACAGGGTACAGTCTTCTATGAGATTACAATGTATGGCTAGATTTACCTCGACTAATCAATCACGGGATTATTCAGATACGTTGAGTGGGAGGCTTACCCCGAAAAGAAAGCCAAAGCACATGAAGTTTTGACATCGCAAACTTTTGCCCCTTGTCCAGACTTTCAATGGGGACCTATACCTCCTACCAACCCTGTGTTACCCGGCGATGATTTTAAGTCATGGCATACCGCGCTAGGGGGGGGAGTTAACTAAAGTACCCGATGATTCCTGGAAGACGGTTCTGAAAGAGAAACACCCTGAAATGCTGCACCTGCTGCAATTCCCGTACAACGGAGAGCCGCCCAAAAGATTGGTTACAAACAAGGCTATTACTCCAAACTCACTTCATTTCGTGCGTAACCACGGTGGTATCCCTCTTATTGACGAGAAAAAATTTGAGTTACAACTCGATGGTCTTGTCAAGTCCCCGAAAACATATACTATGAAAGATTTGATGGACGAGTCAGTCTTTCCACAGATGGAGAAGACTATTACTATGCAATGCTCAGGAACCCGTCGGATTGAGCAGATCTCTATGTACGCTGGTCAAGGCGACGAAGTTCCCCAGGCACCGTGGGCCGAAGGTGCCATAGGTACTGCGAGATACAAAGGCATAAGTCTCAAAAAGCTGATCAAAGATTGTGGAGGGCTGGTCAGCAACGCCAAGCACCTTGAATTCTATGGCGTTGACACCTATGTGAAAGACCTTAATGTCGGAAACTACGTTGTCAGTGTCCCATGGTCCAAGGTCAAGAGCAATGAAGTTATCCTTGCCTGGGAGATGAATGGTGAACCACTCCCTAAGATTCACGGATTCCCATTACGAGTGATCGTGATGGGATACATTGGAGCCCGCAGTGTGAAATGGCTGTATCGAATTAAGGCCATTAAGAGTCCATCCCTGGCGCCTGTTCAAAGCAGAGAGTATCTGTACTTTAACCAACAGATGGGTAAGTATAACCAACGCCCCATGGATGGAATCCAGATCCAGGAAATGCCTGTAAGCTCTGCTATCATGTCTCCATGGCAGAATCAAGTGATTATGCATAGTGGTAATATATTTTGCAAGGGCTGGGCTTATTCTGGTGGTGGCCGGTGGCCTGAACGTGTGGAGTTATCAGCCGATGGAGGCTTCAGTTGGTACGCTGTTCCAGAAGAGAATCTATCGAAGAAGGGGAAATGGGCTTGGAGATCATGGGAAATCGACCTTCCTTGCGATGTAGAAGGTTGGATCGAGATTGTGTGCAGATGTTGGGACAATTCTTTGAATACCCAACCACTTAACGTGCGAGCAGCCTGGAACTGGGGTCTACATGTCACGTCCTCAGCACACCGCATCAAGATCTACAGCGTGAACAAAACCCATAAGCTCACACAGCAAAAGTTGGCGCAATTCAAAGAGCATGACATTCCACTTGCTCCTCTGACCAGATACGACCCTGTTCCGGGCATTACCGACCGGGAAATTGCGAAGTACCAGGACTCCCACCCTCGCGATGTCGACGAATGATATTGACTTACTCTTTTGAATCCGACAAGTCTTGCTGAAAAAAGTCTTAAACTTAAAATACACAGAAAATAAATTTCGCACCAAAATATCGAATTCTGGCCAAACTATCCTTGTACTTTGTGTTTGTGTTCGATGCCTCTTTCGTTACGCACTCACCCTTCTCACTCGGGTCGCGCGATGGAAAAGCGGCGATCAGCTTCTTCCCCACTAGGCTAGACCTGGCGATTGGCTAGCCCCGCCGTCAGACGTATGGCTTAAGTACGAATGAGCGGACGGGAAGCCCTGTTCTCCACACCCTATGGTCGTATGTATCAGAGTGGGCTGGAAAGGGGAATATAGATACGAAGACATCAGCATATCGAATTTATCCTCACTATGATTCTCGCTGCCATCCGCGTCATTTTTCGAGATTCGGAAAGTTCCTCGCTTTCGAGCTTTGTAGGTATGGCCTTGCGTCGAGGCAGTTTTCGACCCCTCATCATCCAAGAAAAAAGGCCCCCCAGGCTGCCACACCAGAGCTCATAGATTTCCACTCAGATCTTCTTTCAATGAGAAAATTGCAAGTGCGAATCTCGGTTGTGCTTTCGATTGAATGACTTATTGCAGCCAGGATGAGAACATTTGAAGGCCCCCGGACAAATGTGCTGGGTTCTTACATGGTGCAAGAGAGCACCATTACTAGAGAATGGGCCGGGCTGCTTGCAGTCTGTCCACTTGCAATGTAAATGAGGGGGATTCGGGCTGTAGTCAATCATAGTTAGTATCTGATTCATGGGATATTCCGCACAGAGTTCAGTATTTACTTAGCGTTACTTGAAATTTGCTGGTTCGGAGTGGTCATCTGCCCAGCTAGAGATCGCTCCTCTTTAACAATTCCTAAAGACCAAATTGTGTTAACCATTGCTGGTGAATTGAATACTAGATTTGAACGCAAACAAAAGGAAGAAAATGTAGCCTTTAGGATGAGCTTACTTATATCCGGCGTGTCCGATGTTGGTAAATTTGAGGCGTTATAAGTAGCGTCTAGGTCTGTCTCTGGCTCTTCCGTCTTTTCGGGGACGGGCCACATATGCATGGTGATTATCATGTCAGGCTCGATGACATTTTCCCAGACTTCTGGGAGAATTATATCACCATTTGGGCCCACTAAATCATAGTGGCCCTCAGCAACATGTGGCTCGATGACCTCAATATGCAAAAAACATTGCTTTATCAAATCCTCCATGCCCTGTATGCGATCATTAATTTTTTTTTTCATGCAGCACCAAAAGGGATGGGGCAGACATACTCGCCATGTTTGGACTAGCTCGAAAGGAAAGGTGAATTTCCTTCCTACAGCGTCCTTGAATTTAATGTCTTTCTTCCCTTTCGATAAAGCTTCATCCTGTGCCACCGCCTCGGCTGCTTCGGCTGCTTCAGCTGAGTGGCTCTCGGAATTCACTCGGGCGTAGTTGACATTTTGATGGTTAAGGTTAAGTTGATATGCAGTCAATATCTCGTCTTGGTCTTCTCGGGTCAACTTCCCCGATTCTGCCATAGCTTCTTTGTCGTCTCGGGTCAAACTCATGAATAGCGCTTTGGACTCTTCTTCCATTTTTGTCTTGTCGATATTTTTGCTGTCAAAACCAGGATAAAAGGCTTGATCCAAGTCTCGATCATACAGCGTGTGTGATATTTCCTCCGAATTTGTATGCTCCTCTAAGTTTTTCTGTAATAGACGACGAGCATTGAGCAATTCAAGTATTGGCAAACCGCTTCCGCTTAAGTCACTAATTTCCTTCGTCTGCTGATTGACATCTCTCAATGTAAATGCCGTAGCGTCATTTGAACTGATATTTTCAGCTTCAGGGGCAGATCCAGTTTCACCCACTGAGCTTTCGTAATTTGTTTGAGAAATCATGGTATCCTCCGATCTAACTTCACCTTTGTTAGACATCTCACTATCTCCGGCGGATACATCGTCCTCTCCAATAAACCTTGGAAGAGAGAAACATGCCACCCTTCGGAGATGTGTTGCTATGTGATGGGTATCGGCATCTTTGAAACAAAATGGACATTTGCGGGATCCTGGGCTACTCAAATCTTCCTTTCTGCCACCAGTCATGTCAGACTTATTCCGATGCATCACGGTTTCATGGTTGATCCAGTCACGAAGACTGTCGTACTGCTGATCTGCATCTCTGCAGTTCTCGTATGTGCAAATATATGGGCGCAAATCACGCAAAATGTGGGTTCTTCCAACAGTCAGTCATCTCGCCTCCCGACTCAATCCTTTGGCTCTACTTACTGCCAGTTTGTTTGGTTCAACAACCTGCGCGGGCACAAAGTAAAGCAATAAGGGCATTCAAACTCATCTTTCTTCCAAAGATCTTGTGGAGGAGGTGGAATGAAGAAACAATCGCCTTTTTCTTCATCTTTGGTAATCGCAATTGTTGAGCTCGATAAAATCGACAGGCTGTCGTCTAGATTGACCTTGGATTCATCAAGAAAGGTTGCTGTTGAAGGGCGGGAGGGAGGTTTTAAAACAGCGATATTAGGTTGCTTTTCATCTGTTTTGGACATGGTTTCGAATTGAGACTTCCTCTTTTGCCAGTACTTAAATTGCTGTCGCCGTCGAGTGTTGGCTCTCGCTAGACGTTGTACCAGGAAGTCATTCTCAACCTTCTCTGGGGAAGTCGAACGATATAGCGCAATCAATTGTTCGACGTGGCGTCGATCGTTATCTCGCAGCTGGTCTATAAGATCTACCCCAGTTTCGGGGTCAATCTCATGGTACTTCAAGGATCTGGAAAACCCAAGCCGCATGGCAGGGTTCCTTATTTTGAAGGACAAGCGGTACAGCTTATCTATGGTACCAGCTATACTTCCCAGCAACAGATCGATAACAGACTCATCATCTTCATCATCAGAAGATTCAAAGTCATCCTCTTCTGAATCATCACTAGCGCCTTCGCTGGAAATGGGCGTGTTATTGATCGCAGCTCTTGCATTAATGCTGGATGTAGCTTCAGGTATCATCATAGTCACAACTATAGAGATCTGTTGGTATTTTACGCAGCTTGTATTCCGAAGAGAATATCACTCACTTTGATCCAAGAGCCTTCCGAGATCCTGGAGCAGACCAAAGGTATATTCAGAAATAGAGGGAGCATCACGAAATCGATAGTCAAGTGAGCTATGACCTAAATGGTAAAGACCCAAATTCTTTGCCCATAAATCAAATCGCTGTGTTTGGTTGACGAGCTCAAAGTTGAACTGCTGACCTTTTTCATCTTGCTGTTGAGAAGCTGCCAGTGCGAACGATTTGCTGATATTCTGGGCTAAGGATGCCAGACTTTCTGGGTTCGAGTGTGTATCCATTTGTACAACCTTCTTCGCAGATGAGACTACTTTCCAAGGTTTGTTTCATATTCTCAGTACATTCTCTGTTGAAAGAGGACCTGCGGGGTAGAAGGGAATAAGCAAACATAATTCAACGAGCCCCGCCCAATGACAAACGATTACTACCCCGCCTCATTTGATCATGACAGGCCCCAGGATGACTCTCTTGAGGAAACTTGACTTCTCTCGTCCTATTCAAATCCATCGCTACACGCCGGGGACTGTCCAAAATGTCAGGCTTTGAGATTGTTGGAGTCGTGCTCGGTGCCATCCCACTGATCATCTCAGCCATCGATTGCTACAAGACCACCAGTCAAAAGATTAAATTCATGACCAAGAAAGAGCTCCTTTTAGATCGATTAATTCAATCTCTGGAAGAGCAGAAGTTTCTCCTGGATAACGAAATTCGCTTGGCCCTCCAGGGTACCCATCTTGATGAAGAGGAAATCATCGCATTGATTGCTCGGCAGGGCTTGAATCCCTTCCAAGATCCAGAGATTGCAGATTCTTTGAAGGATCATCTCGGAGATGCCTTCCCGTTGTACAAAAAAGCCGTCTCTAGATGTGAGGATAATCTCAAAGCAATCATCGCGAATATCAGTGGCCTTAGTTCGGCCTCTCAAGTAAGCATATCGATCTCTCTTATGAAGCCACTGGTATGAGGGTCCTAGCCATATATACAAATCTGAAATTTCCATCTTAGGAGAGTAATGGCGAAATTTCACCAATCCTCTACGCCCAGAAAAGAAATAGTGATAAATTCGAATTTACCAAGCGAATCAAGTTCAGCATCCGGAAAGAGGACTTACAGAAGCAAATCGCGGAGCTTAACGATTGCAATGAAGCATTAAGCCGACTTAGGATCAGAAGTGCCGAAGTGAAAAGCTTCGCAGCCCAGCCCATGTCAAGAACCATTGCAAAATTTGCCTCAGTACTTAATGGCGTCCAAAACTACGCCCAGCGCTTGTATTCTGCCATATCGTCAGGCTGCACGGATGAATGTCATTTGGAACATGAGACAAGGCTATTTCTGCAGACAAGATCATCAGAAATGAATACGAAGCACCAAAAGCCCCAAATATTGAAGCAAACACCTCTCAGCTTTTCGATTACATTTTCCCCACGCCCAGTTTCTTCGCACCCGGAATTTCTAGGCAACAAATATCAAGTGAGGGTACTAGAAGAGGATTTGGACCAATTCGATGAAAGGTAAGTCGATAGCATGTACCCTGTTTTATATTATCTAAAACAAGCTGATCCCAAAAAACAGCGCAGAGAGACAGCGAGTGGTGCAGATAAGTCTACCTAGTCCACCGAAGGGACCTAGTGCCTCGCCACGGCAGATTAAAGACATTTGCCAGTACATACAACTCGCACACGAGAATAAACAGCCATTCGACCTCTACTTGTCACGAAGTGCTAAGCTCTGCTCTTGCAGTGGCTCGGTAGGCCCGGATTTAGAAATGGGTATGGATGATAAGGGATTTCATGATGTCCTCACACTCAGAGATGTATTGCTCTCAATGCAGGATACCAAGACTATTACACCCCAATGGACTATGAACCAACGAATGGCTCTTTCTTTCAACATCGCGTCTTCTATACTACAGCTTCATTCTACACCCTGGTTGAAATCGCCTCTTATCAGCTCCTCTATACGCTTCATGCCGAACTCTTTGAACTTCAAAAATGCCCCTCGGCCATTTATCCTGAGCGCCTTTCCTATCCAGAACGAACCGGCATCTCCATGTACGGCAAAGACTTCCCTGCTCGAATTAGGAATCTTGCTCCTCGAGATCTGGCACATCAAAACCATTGATAGCTACGCATGTGAGAAAAGTTTACAAGATAGCAATTGTTATGGTCACCGCTACGAAGTAGCCAGACATTGGCTCGATATTAGCGATGATAGTATGCTTCCCTTTCATCTGGAGTTGGTAACGAGATGTATTGAGTGTACATTTGCCACTTCCTCTGCAACACCGGACTGGAGTGATATCACTTTTCGAAAATCTGTCTGTGAATATGTGCTGAAACCGCTGTGGGATAACTGCCCACAGAAATTGTGGTAGCTAAATATTGTTTAAGCCACGCTTCTACTACTTGTATTCAAGTATTTGATATTGACCAGGCGTTCGAAATAAAATGCATGCTATCTATAAGAAAGTATCTGAAGTAGTATAGGGAATAACCTGCGATTAACTTAGCGTCGGAAGACAACCTTGGAGATTGAAATGAAAAAAAAACCCCTTACTTTACTTCTGATCTTGCGATGTAAAATTTCGTGACCATTGCTGAACCGAGTGGGTATGGCAAGAATAATTTCTTGATCGGGTGGATGTGCTCAGAAAAGGCGTAGGAGTGAGCAAGTGAAAGAGCGTGAGGGGCGTTGGAAAGAAGGAAGAAGATATTAAACATGCATGACATGCCGGCGTTCCGGCCTAAATGCCGAGGCGTCAAAATGACTCAGCACATTTCATTCACTGCCTCCGGCAACGTCAGGCTTTTTTGTCCCCTCTGTGGATGAAGAACCAGGAGTTCTATCGTCTTTGACATTCTGCTGAATTAAACGACGTCGTGGGTACTTCTGCCCCACGGCAGCTTTTGGAAGTGGATTGAACGGACCGCACGGTCGCCCGTATGCGACATGGCTGCACCCAAAGGAAACGGTAAGCTACTTCGGACAATCGCCATAGGATGATCTTTTGAACATCTCATGACACCGAATTAGTCGATATGCCATTTATTTTTACAGATGGCCTTCACAAGGCCGGGTCAGATAAACGTAAGCTCATCAGACAGCATGTCATGGTGGGCAAAAACCGCGGCAAGTCCCGGAAAGGGAATACAAAAACATCACGCCAGGATCTAGGATCTTCGATGCCATATTCAGATGGACCATCAGCCATTGTATTCAAAATGCGCTATCCATCAATACCCAACAAAGTCGGCAATGAGCTTTCCTTCTCCAAGTTTGCCGCCCCGGTCGAACCAGTTTTGTTGCAGGAGATGCTGAGTTGTAAGTTTTGAACATTTATATCCTAACAGGGTGATTATATTGACTAACTTGAGCATTGAAATTCGTGAACAGTCTGCTTCATGGCAAAAAGAATCATGTACCCCTTGGCAGATTACATCGACTTTCATAAGAACGATAAGATTGACACTTTATGGTTCGATCTCTTGACATACGACGCGGCATACTTGCATTCAGTTGTCTTTCTCTGTCAGTCCTACTCGTCTCTTGTATCAGGCAGTCAAACTTCATCATCCGCATGCCGAGAGATGGTACATTACTCCGAAGCTCTTCGGCTACTTCGCGAGAGAATATCAGGTCAAACTCAAGAACGAGAAACATGGGACTCTACGATTCTCGTGGTTCTTTACCTGGCCACGCATGCTCATCTCGTGGGCGACATTACCTCCGCCAAACATCATATTCAAGGGCTGCGGAAAATGGTCGATTTGAAGGGCGGCATATACGCTCTCGGGTATAATCCAAAGCTTATCATAGAATTGATGAAGTAAGCTACCCTGAGCAATACTATCTTGTCGTCTCGTGCTTACATGTCCATTTCGGGTAGATGCGACCTCGCAATGGCTGTCAACTACGGAATTGAACCCGTCTTCTTTGGAGACCCATCGCTGGAGCCCCTGATACCATATGATCTAGCACCGCCGATCTCAGAGACGTCATCAGGGATAGGAGCTTCGCCGCAGCCGGTCGGGTCAAGCATCTGCTGCACGGACCTGCAACAAGCCTGGACGGTAATGATAAGATTTTGCTCGGCGATCAATTATGCAGTAAAGCGCGGGCGTCGACTTCCAAAGGAAGTACTTTTGAGCAATATGGGGTCTGTGATGTATCGGGTGGTTCGCATCAAGCATGAACTTAATCCTGTCGATGGGATCATCCGCCTTGGGCTGCTGGCTTTTTTTTCGCACGTCCTTTTACGTGTGCGAAATGTGCCATCTCCACACACATACCTTCCTAACCTTTATCGGGATCGTCTTCTCGACCTTCCACCCGGGCAAATCCCGTTGCTCAGCCTTGTTTGGCTCCTCATGGTAGGCCACATTTCTCTATTCACCCCAGCAGATGACCACTGGCTATTGTCTTGGTTGCGAGGTTGCCTTACGAGATTGGAGGTGAATAATTGGGATGAACTTCGAGACAAATTGAAAGGGCTGTTATGGATAGACGCCTTGCATGACAAGCCTGGAAAAGCAATTTTCGACACCGTGTACCGGGTGTCTGGGCCCAGGGTCTTCAATTCGAGGCTACGAAATGGATAAATTCTCTTCTGCTTGCCGAATTGAGATTCTGTCGGGTGTTCCTTTCTTTTTCATTGCGCTGCTGGTCGGTCTAGATTTAAATAGTCTATTACGACCCAAGTTATGTGAGTGCGAGCTAGTCGGATTAGTGAAGCCTTCAGGGGGTTTGGTGATTCGGGGAAGGGTTACCCAATTTTAGGCAAAACACCAGTTTGTACAGAGGACCACGCACGAGTCATTCGGGCTATGTGGCGGGGATACTCGGTATATGATCCTGTTTTAAAATTCAACGCGACTGGGCGTGTTTCTTTGGGATATTGAAGTTAATTTGACATAGTTCCACTGGGCCGTGAAGTTGCACTGCAGAATAACCTAGCATCGAGCTACTGCACTCGAACTACTGCACTCCAATTGCTTTTGCAGTCCCAAGTCACTGTGATCCCACCGGTAATCTCACTGTGATCAACACTGTCTGTGTTGCTTGCTTGAATCCACAATTCTGCAAGTTGGCTTCCGCATTGGCCAGGCGCAATGTCCAAACAGAGATCGCTATACCAGGCTTTCGGGTCACGATCAGAACGGTAGGGCCGACACGCCCCCTTTTGCTGCATACAGCCCCTCTATTACGTCCCATAATTTCTATTCAAAGAATCCGGGGGTAGCTTTTGCCGAAAGATGTGGGACTTTTTCCTCTCTCCACACACACCCCCTCATCTCTTTTGAAGGTGCCAAGTGGGAATGTCAATAGTACGATTCCTTCATAGCCTCGTGTTAAAATCCAGCCACTCAAAACGGCGCAGGCAAACGCGAGCAAGCACGCGATAAGACGGACTCTTGGAGCGACCGACGCGAGGATTACTTCACCAATCAGCAAGATCCACCCATGTAAGTGAGGCAGGGGATCTTCGGTGGCGCGGTCCACTTTCCAGAGGGTCCTTGGAGCCCTGCCACTGCCTCAAATAAGATATCATCCACTCGTGGTGGAGCTTTGCTTGTCAATAGTCGTGGGCTCGGTGAAGAACCGGATGTGCTTAATTTGAGCAATGGGCGCATAGCTGGGGTTGCGGCGTTCCAGGTACCAGGTTTGATTTCCCCTGCCTTGATTTAATGACTCCAACGCCAAGTGAGAACTAATCTATGATTGGTATGGTGAGAGACACGCTATTACTTTAGCGACCCACATGCGGACGGGACGGGATCTCCCTCGTGCGCGCCCGCGTTCGTTCCAGCGTATCGTGTTCCAACGCACCGTGGCTCGCGTCGTGGCCCCCGAGGCTTCCGGATTCCGTAGGAATTAATATAATGGAAGGATTTGACATGATACTACTCTGTACTTCTGCATAGTACAAAGGATGGCAGATAATTTTGGGTGCATATTACTAGTATAGACTGTAATATGTGCGCAAACCTCGGGAACAGCGGTTAAGTTTGCAAATGAACCCCGATGTACTACTAGTAGATAGTACATAGAAGAAGAAAGTAAAGATAGTCAGATGTTAGACACAATTGGTAAATGCTTAATAGCAGTTGGAGATCTACTTTAATCAATGAGAATAGAAAGTCAATCGCGAGTAAAGCCGAATGTTATTTGTATCATCACGATCGGAGAATAGTATCCAGTGCCGCGGCTTGGAGGATTGAAAGTGTTCCCCATGTGGACATTTGTGGGAAATCCATGACGACGGTTTGAAATTCGAACTAACTTCGATAGTTTGGGAGTACCTCGATCGATCGATAGCGCCATGCATCGAGATTAGTGGTTTGTTCCTGCAGACGACCTCGCACAAATTCCAAATCTCTACTCCACTATCTACTCTGTTAGGCTTAACCGGCCCACTTTGTGACCTCCTCAACTCGGTACGATCTACAGGGGACAATTTCGCATCGACGAAACGCTGTACTGAGCTAAGAGTTTTAACTCGGCGCCGGCCGCACGCAAACCTCCACACGGCCGGCGCCCACTTTACTCTTGTTTTGTTGATATATTAACGCGCCCCCACGATTCCGCCGCGCTGGATTTGATGTTAGTTAAGCTATCCAACTTCACCACATTCCTTCAGCTTCGTTAAGCAAACCCCCCCTCGCCATGGGATCGGAACTCAATGTCTCCGCCGATTCAAAGGCGGAGCTCCTCATTTCCCCAGTCACCATTTGGTGGGCTGTCTGGACTGTTGTCTGGACAATCCCCGTGGTGCTGGGCATGTGGTATCTCATCCATAATCGTAACTCGCCTATCCTCCGAATCCGTGGCCTCGGGCTGTCACTCTCTGCAATCGCATTTTTACACGTTTATTGGATCCTTGTCCAGGTTGGTCTCATGTACGGTGCTCTCGCACCCGGTGATACTGAATTCTGGATCATGGGTCTCTGGTTGCCATGCGGCATTTCTCTTTTCCACGCTTCCAACAGTCGATTCCTCCACGTCGCCAAACTCCAGAAGAAATACGTCGATGGCGGCAAGGCCCTTCTCAACTCCAACCCCAGCCCAAGAGCCAGAAAGGCCTGATGAACCGTTTCCTTAACCTCGCCTACAACACCCGGATCCTCATCCTCGTCGGCGCCGGTATGCTTCTTCAGATCTTTCTCACGGTTCTTATGTGGGTTATCTCCCGCAAGTATCATAGCTCCTGGGGTATTCCCGGTACCCAAACTCACGGTACTGAGATGCAACAGAAGTCTGAGATGGGCAGGGGATGGGAATGGTGGCCCAGTGTGGCCCTGCAATTCTTCTGGGCCTGGGTCGTCGCCCCGATTATCTTGTGGAAGTCCCGCAACATCAAAGATACTCAGGGCTGGAGAATTCAAACTATTGGTTGCTGTCTGTCTAATCTACACGCCACTCCGATGTGGCTTATCGGTCTTTACGTCCCTGGCATGGAGGTCATCAACCAGTACTGGCTCCCTCCTCAGTGGATCTGTCTTTCTATTATCTCTATTGAAATCTTCACTGTCTTCCTTCCCTGCTGGGAGGTCATGCGCCACCAGTCTCTTCGCCAGGAAACCCTTGATGCGATCTCCAACTGGGAGAAAAAGGTCAAGGGTGAAACCTCCGATGGAAAGTCCATGAACTCCACCTCCACTATGGTGGACTCCATGCTCTCCGTCGGTTGGTCTTCTAAGGGCTCTGTCAAGAGTGACAACAGCTCTTCCCGCGACAGTATCTTGACAATGGGTGCCCTGGAATATGTTCTCGATCGTAACCCGGACCCTCTTCAGAAGTTCTCTGCCCTCAACGACTTTTCCGGTGAGAACATCGCTTTCCTCACCAGCGTCGCCGAGTGGAAGAACTCCCTGCCCCAGGCTATCTTGGATGGGCCTGGCGCTAAGGACGAAAATCTCCGTGATCTCCTCCGCGAGCATTTCAACCGCGCCCTGCACATCTACGCCGAGTTCATCAGTGTCCACCACGCCGAGTTCCCCTTGAACATCTCATCCAACGATCTCAAGCACCTCGAGTCTGTTTTCGAGAAGCCCACTTGCATCCTCTATGGTGAGGAGCGCGAGGTCGACCCCGTCAGCCCCTTCGACAAGTTTACCTTCGACATCCCGTCGCCCAGCAAGTCTGAGTTTTCCGAGAAAGGCACTGGTAGCGGTAGCTCGATTTCTTCGATCAAGGACCGGGTTATGTTCTGGGGTGATATTCCTACGGATTTCTGCGCGACAATCTTTGACGAGGCTGAGCAGAGCATCAAGTACTTGGTGCTCACCAACACTTGGCCCAAGTTTGTCCGGAACCACCGCCGTCTCTCGGCCAGCTCAGAGGCTACTCTGAACGAGCAGTCCGGCAACATGGTCTAGATCTAGCCATAGCCACCTGGTTAACGGGATATGAGACAAGTCAAGACCTGTTACATACTAATTTGACAATAATGTGACTGGACTTTTATACCCATTGATGTATCTATAAGCTTTAATTGATAATGACCCCCCCATATACCCTTCTGTTGAGAATTGAATACCAGCCATTTTTGTTTGACCATCGCACTGCAATCATAAGCTTAGATTTCTTTTACCTCGGGAGCAGCCTACCGAAATAACAGTAGTACCCATCTTTCAGCTTTTCCCAATTTTTATTGCCCCACCTTGACGTTATTTTCTGATTTCTGGGTCCCTTCTCCCGTTGCTGGCCCACGACAAAGTTTGGTACCAGGGGTAAGCGGGTACAAAGATGCGGATCCGGCACGGCGAAGAAAAGGCAAGATCAACACATTGCAGAATAAAATATGACCTAGCCTATCCCTATGCCAAAACGAGCTAAAAACCTAGCGCACATGCCGACGTTATCCCGAAAGCCGATTTACCACGGGTATGTGCCGTTAGCACTTAAGAATTGCCCAGCTTCAGAGTCACGTTTGCCTTCAATTATATCGAAAAGCCCCCTTGCAGAGCTCATAGGGTCTCCAGCAGCCCCGCCAGCGCTAACCGCTTCCTCGGATTCCCCCCGCAGGTTGCTCCTAACCAAGCCTGGGCAGTATGCGAAAACTCGAACGTTCTGGCTATGGAGTTGCTTGTGCTGTTGGAGCGTTGCCATGTTTAGCGCAGCTTTACTCATTCGATAGCCTTCCCAGGGCGCATTATAGTGTGGATCGGATGGGTTGGCAGCCAGTCCAAGTGAGCCCAGGCCGCTGGACACTTGAATCAAGCAAGGGTTTTCGGATTTGAGTAATAGGGGCAGGAATGACTGTGATGTGAGAAATGCCCCCATGACATTCGTAGCGAAGATTTTGGTCAGTTGCTCCCGAGCGCTGTGCCCAAAAGCGGTGATTCCGGCGTTGCTGAGAAATGCATCAACGCGGCCAAACTCTCGCTCAACTTGCGAAACGGCTGCGGCGATGGAGGAGTCGTCGGTCACATCGATCTGAAGGATGGAAAGAGTTCCTTTAATATCGTTGCTGCTTTTGATCTCATCTAGAGCGGCTTGTCCCTTCTCCGTGTCGCGGCAACCCATTATCACATGATATCCAGGATAGGAGGCAATGAATTTTGTAGTAGCGTAGCCAATGCCGGAGTTGGCACCTCCGTCAAGTTAGCTTCGTTTCTCACATTGTAAATTATTGCTATAGAGTGTTCTTAAGGCCTTTAGGCAGTCTTACCAGTGATGACGATAATCTTGGAAGCTGCCATTTTATACTGTGAAGAACCTTTCTAGTCGCTGATTATGTTACTGTAGTAAGTTGTTTTTCTAATGCGAAATTCTCAACTCTTGAGTAGTTTCAAATGGCTCGTCATCTAGGGACGCTAGGCAAGAGATGTGGCGGGTAGAATTCTTGAATCCGTTCTCGGAGATACTACTCCCGACGTCAGAACCGAGGTTTCGCTAGTACATGGTTAAATTCATATATTATGGAGAGACGTCTAGCTTGACGTAGATTAAAACGCACCAGATAGATGTGGCGGAAATAATGCTTAAGTCCGGCCCCGGATATAGCACTCAAGCCCGAGGTCTCAATACGAACTTTGGAAGTAGAAGAGTATACTAAGATTGGGTACTTCAAGTTCCCTCGGTGATGGAGATAAATCTAGTAGCCCGATGCTCGAGTATCTGACTGCGCTGAGAGACTTGCCGAGAAAGGCTTTCCATCCTGATATCTAAGCATGGTTTTCTATGAGAAGCACTAAGAAATCATGACCCCGCCACAGCATCGACAAAAATTCGTCCTGGGTTCAATTCATATTTCCAGTCATTCATTCTCTTTGTCATGGGATGCCTAAAGCCTCCCATATTATGGAGATGGAAAAGATGTCGATGCCTAGACTTTCTCTATTTCTGACGTACATTGTGCACGGTGATAAAAATCCACGAAAAACAGCTCCAGGTTTGTAATCCAAAGCGAGCGATTAACCCCGAATTAAGCACGCGTGACTGATTTACCACCTCTCATGCCTTGAATAATTCTGCCACTATGATCAGTAACTTTCAAGGTTGCGTCCCAGTCAAAAATTCTTGATAGATCTGGCGACAACATTTGGATCAATGAACAGGGTAGCTCCACGTGCTATACGACCAAAGCATCAATCTCTGAAATTATATTCTACCGAGAAAACTAATAGATTTGTTGGGTGGGTCAAAAAAAAAAGAAAAAAGAAACGATGATTTGGGACGATTCGTGTGGGATTTGAGTCGCTTTTCTAGCCATTTACTGGATTTCATGTAGTATCCGGCCCCGAGAGGGTTTCATATATAATCAAATAGGTAGGAAATTCATTCTCTCAATAGTATAGGATGTAGGTTCAATATGACAGACGCACAGATGATTCATCAGCTCCAGGGCTCTTCCGAGTCTCACTTCTTATTAACTTTGACATCCCCCTCATTGGCATAATTGATCTGGGCATATAGACTGCCCTGTTCATCAGCCTCCAGGCCTGCGAAGGAAAAGACATCGCCCGCAGGCATAATAATCGTGGTACCCAGCCCACTGAACAAGCTCTTTAGCTTGTCCTGCACCGTAGAGGCGGTAGTGTCTCCCCATCCTGTGAGAGACTGCTCGAACCTGGTGTTCAAGCTCTTATTTCCAAAATCCTTGAACGTGTGGTGCGTCTCAAATTGGGAAAAGTTGCCATATACTTGGGTTCCATCAAACTTGCCCCACTTCACCCCTTGACCCGGACGCATGAGGTTCTTGCTGGCGTTTTCATCCACGGACACGTCAAATTGACCGACGCTTCCTGGGTGAACCACGACACGGATCAGCGACTTCATCACGCATGACACGGTCCGTGCATTTAGCCATGCATTGAGTTTCCCAGCTAAGCATCAAAGTTAGTATCTATACCAGAGAAGAAAACCAGGGCAAAATTGATTGCAACATACCACCAGGACTGTATAACTCGCTAGCTTCGTAGCCACGCTTGCGTTGGTCGGTCCACCAATTCTCAGTTCCAGCTGTATAGAATCCAGACTTTAGCACATGTCGGCTCTAAATGGAGGGTATAAGCAGCCATGTAAGATCTTACCGGTGCTTTCCAAAATACTATTTATTCCTTTTGTTTGGTACACATATGTGACAGTGTGCTGGATGTCAATATCGATATAGAGACGGCGAGCCTGGGTAATACCTTCTCGAACTGTGGCAACCTTGTCACTCGAAAACTTCACCTCAATAGTACAGTCACCTAAGAAATTTGTGAGCAATCGAGTATCACTTTTGAGACTGTGCTCGGAGGCAAGGGTCCGGGCACAACTTACCTAGAGCAAATTGACGTCTATCGTATGGATCAATGCCGATGCCGTTGACATCCACGGCATCCATCTTCCATACTTGTGTACTGCGCCAACCATTCGACAGCTTTTCTTCAGAGTCCGGTCTGACACTGATGTGAATCCTGTCCTCCGGGGTTGAATCTCCGAAAGAGGCCTTGGCGAGAACTGGTCGATAGACCTGGGCGGGGTCAAATTTCAAGTCTCCCAGTAAATCCCGCAGCCACATATTATGGAACAACTCCTTGGAAAAGGCCATGATTCCGTCATGTCCCTGGACAAATCCTCGAGTGTCGGTTGTTTTCCCCATACTCTTGGTGATGTCGAAGAAGTTGCGTTTGATAACTCCGGCATTGAAGTCCGTTTCGTCAATTTCGACTCTCTTGTCCCCATCGAGCCCAGGTCGCTGTGTGAGCATGCAAAAGTTCAGGGTACCCGAGGTGGTAATGAACTGCTGTGCCGTGCCATCGCCCGGGGTGACCGACATGTTGAACTGTTTCGGTTTGAAGTAGACCGGGGTCTTGTCTTGAGTGGCTGTTGAGTCCTTCTCGGCCGTCGTTGGAATTTTCTGGGAAATAGAATAACCCAGAATAAAAGGATTCTCGGGAGTTGGGGCACCCTTTCTGCTCAATGACTCTTGAACCTCCTGGAAATACGCGGTGATGTCTTTCATCAATTCACGCGCCCTCTCACCCATCACAACATTCCGCTCCGCATCCAACAGCCGGAAGGTCTCGACCATGGTCTGCTCCTCAAAGAGACAGAAGATGGAAGACACAGTGAAAACTTGAGGATCCACATATTTCTCCAGTTGCGACTGGGCGCGAGGGGCTGCCTGAGCTGGGTTTTCGGAGGAACGGGACGCAAGAATAATATCTAGAAAAGGGTGAGTTAGATCGGAAAGCCTGATTGTAAGGGATAAAAATCATAAAATCAAGGGTTGATACCATTCATCACGTCTTGGACGTCGCGGCGGGCAATTTTGACGGTCCACGCAATTGTATATCCGTTGATGACCATGTTCTTGTACGCTGGGGGATCCTCTTCACTATCCAGGTAGACAAGCACACTGTCCTTCTCGGTTCCGGCCGGTGCGTTTTCATTGCGCTCGAAGGTGATTTCGACGTGCGCCTTTTTGTACATTGCCGCCGGGTCATCGGAGATCTTTGCTTCCAGGCTTGGCCGAAAGCGTAGTTTAGGGCATTTTATATGACCATCAATGCCCTTCTTCTGATACACCGGCTTGCCTGGTGAGGACTTCAATGCGTTGAGCATATGAAGACTCAGCCGACGGTTGATCAGATGCTCCGACGCTGGAAGAGGTTTGAACTTGGCCAACTGTCGAGGAGGCGGCAAAGAAGCAGAGGCAATGGGCGTATCGTACAGCTTTTGGAGCTGTGCATTCACCGACTCCTCTGAGACGCCGACGACAATGTCATATCCCGCGATGGTATCGGGATGTTCACTGATCTTCACCGGCATCTTGCAAGTACGAGAAATTGGAGCAATAATTCAAAGATTGAAATGGAAGTGAACTAAGCAAGACAGGAGCTGGGTTTTTCCGATGAGAACTGGAAGGAATTATTTCATGAGCGAGAGAGCCGATTCCTTTATAAAAGTTGCTTTTGATCGCTTCTTCGAGATGTCGGTATCTTCTTCCTCGGTTGAGGCATACACGGCCAGAAAATGACATCGGAGTCGCCGTATAGTGTCAGTAGCCGAACACATTTCCTCAAACGAGAAGCTTAAGCTGGCAGGAAACCCACATCCATGTTCCAGATTTGGAATCTGGCAAACAAAACCACCAGACCCAGCTGAGTGTCGCCAAAAAACACCCTTGGTCCATCTCCCGCGGGAGATCAGCGACTCTATGATACTTGTCACAGCTGACTCCATAATTTCATCGCATCAAAAATCAAGGCAGAAGAACTCCACTCGGGAACGCCGAGTTGAGAAATGCACAAACAAGAAAGAGCGCGTGGACAGCCAAGTCCAGATGTTAGGCACAGCCCGGGGGAAATGGCAAGCCATGCCGAGACTAAGCCCTAGAAGGTTAGGGGCCGACATCTGGAGCTCGGCAATGTTCACTCTGACGGAGATCCCCCGCCCATGGGATGCTTTAACCCAAAGGTGCATGAACCACAACATTTTAACCTCGCATCAATTGACCATATCACCCTTGGTCGGATGATAGCGTGGTGACTAGATATGATTTATATATCAATATTCAACGATCCTTCTGTCATCCATCTCATTGTTCTTCTTAACTCCAAACAGTCAACTGGTTGACTCGGAAATTCACTCACACCATGGCGAACAAGTCCTTTCTCTCTAATGACGAACTGTTCACGCCTTCATCTTGCATCCATACCAATTCCCCATTTCCCAACAGTTCAGGCTCTGAAAAAGATTTGAAGCAGTCCACGATTGTGGTCGATGTTTGCTCCGAGTTAACAGAATATCGAGCCGCCGTGAGCTACCTGCGACGCAGTGGTCAGCTTCGTCTCATCCACGATGCCGAATCCCGTCCAGTGATATTCACCATCGATGAGGACAAGGTACGGCCTTCTCCTTGGTTTTCTTTTACCTAGATAGCAAATGGAGCCATGAAATTGATTTCAGATACAGCAACTATGTGTCCTCGAACATGGTATTCAAGCCTGTGAAGGCTGGTCCACCCTCGTCATTTCCCCGCCTGGGGCTTCGGTGTCATCATTTGATGTCGTTCAGTCTGGGAACATGGTTTTTTTGGCTGTGGTTTGCGCGTCAAACTCAAATAGTGGGTCATTTCACAATGTGTATCACTGCACCGTGGATCTGTCCAAAGAAGGATTTTCCTTTACGAACCCACTGGAAATCGATGATAACAAACCAACAAGTAAGCTGCTCTGCATTAAACTACATGTATTTAGTCTGAATCTTTTAACTCAAACATTCTTCCAGGCCTCGAATGGGTTTTGGTTCCAGACAACACTCTGGACCCCGTCGGAGATCTGACCCTCTCGTCGATCATCTGCAAGTCCATTGCCACTGCCGATGGGGACCCTGCTACTCAGATTATCGTGGGCACGGCGGCACATGGAGTCAAGGCAGCCACCCAATATATCATTAATCCCACTGGGAGTGAGAATGAAGTTTGGTTCCCTCTGACGTTCCCGGCGGATGCGTCCATTCTTCAACAGACTGAGCCGATGGTTCTCGGTAGCGTTGAGTCCGACAAGATAGAAGATGGAATGGTTTCACTCTTTAAGGATTTCTCAACCGGCGAACGAGGAAGATGCGTGGGCCAAGTGTCGGCTCCTCGCGGAGGCTATTCCCGTAGTTTTGAATTTAAGGCCTCAAAGCTCGGCGACCTGCGGGGAGTTTTCTCCTTGCTCAATCCCTGGGGGTGAGTTCAAACCCGATTTCATAGGGGATACGAGATAACTAATTAATCATAGCTTGACCGACGTCTTCATTGCTGGCCAACATGGTATCGGCTTCTATGGCTTTGAGAACATCGACAACATGGCGACAGAGCCCATTCTTCCTGAAGTAGGGTTCCGCCAACTAGTGGCGTCGGAGGATCTGGATCCTCAGGCTCCGGAAGAACAGTCCAGGATTGCCATCTTCGCCGTTTCGGATGATAACTGTCTCTATTTCGTTGAAGGAACTCGCCACTTTGCCGACCGCAGGATCTCCTTCTCGGCATCGGGGCTTCCCATCCGAACAGGGGTCACCCATCTCTCTGCAAGATATAACGCATCCCACGGCACCAGTGAACTGCTGTATGGAACCGAGGACGAGAATGCCCTGTATTTCATCCGCCGTGACCCTGCAGGCCGATTTTGGAACGAGGACCGCATCACTCGGAGGGCCTCGAAGTTTATCAAATACGACGCGTTTGTGACGGCTATGACATTCACGGACGGCAATGGGCAAGCACTGCCTCTGGATTATCCTATCACTCTTACTGCAGAGTCAGTCAACATGGTGGCAAACGGAATTAGTCACTCTCTCACACCATCTCCCACTGTGGTATACCCTGACGCCACGGGGTCTATTCTGATGGCCATCCCTTCGCAAGATCGCTTGGGTACTACGCCTGTAACGGTCTCTCTCGGACCGGAGAATGCCCGCTACCAGTTCACGGTGAACCCGGATGAACGAGTGCGGCGTTTACTAGGAAAGTTCGGCTCTACTGACACATTGTTGAACGCGACAACGACGACGGGAGAGAAGGTTTTCGAGGGGTATCAGACGAAGGATCTCGAGCAGGCAGCCTCGGTCCTGGGAAATTTCCCCGAGATGAAGGAATCAGTCGAAAAACTGTCAGAGGCTCCAGTACCAGTCGCTGAATATCCGCCAATGAGCGAAGATGAGCCGAGCTGGCTTGAGAAAGTTGGTCACAGCGTCGAATCGTTCTTCTGCGATATCGTCGAGTTCGTCAAAAAGGTCGTCAAAACCACAGTCAAGGTCTTCATCCGTGTCGTTGGTCCCATCGTCAAAATTGCATTCAAAGTGCTGGGTAAGGTATTCTCCTTTGCAGTGAAGGCAGTTTATGGCCTTCTCGAAGGAATTGCCACGGTACTGGATGTCATATTTCCATCACTCGGAATGAAAAAATTCCTGAAGCTACTCAAGCTTTCCGTGGATCCTGAATGCATCAAAGAGACACAGAAGGTATGTTTGAATTATATCCCCTCTAAAGTCTCCGATGGCTAATCTTTGTAAAATAGTACCTACATTCTACTTTCATGGGTTCATTAGGATATGTGGATCGCTTCCTAACAGTCAATCGAAAGAGCATGACTGATCTTCTCGATGATGTGGCCGCGCTTGTGCGACCATTTATCGATGATCCTCGGGGGCTTCCAAAGGAAGACCAAGAAAAGAAGCCAAGCCTTTCATCCACGATTATGAAAAACCCGGTCATTCGACTATTGTCGAGTATAAACCCCATTTCATGGATCATGGAGGCCATTGAGGAGGAGATTGGGGAGTTTCACGTTCCCTCACTGGCTCCTTTGCTTCAAGAAATGCAGCAGGTCATTGGAAAGTCCATGGACCATGAAAGTCAGATAATCAGTCAATTACTGGATACGCTGATTGAGCAGTTTGAGATGGCGAGAAACGGTAAGAAAGGCGTGTTGGAGGCCTTCATGGCTAGCCTTCAGGGTACCTTTTGGACACTTTTCGATACCCTTCGAACCATGATGGAAGGGCTCTACGACTGCATGTTGGTTCTCATACGTGGTATTGGGCCAATTCTTACCGAAGTGTGGAAGATCCCGGGCTTGACCGATCTTTGGGAAGACATTACGGGCACCGAGTTTACTCTACTCGGATTCGCGACTTTTCTTCCAGCCGCAGTGACCAATTTCCAATGTTTGATGGCCTATGAGCAGCTCCCTGTCAAATTACTTCCTACTGTCGACTTTGCAACCCTTCCAGTGCATCGTCTCTATCGTTCTCATCAGACTCAGCCCAATTTCTCTATCCTGACAGCAGTCGCGGCGCCGGAGCAGTTCGAGTATCTCGCCCCAACATTTCATCACAAATCTATAGGCGAAGTAGCGCTGCAGAGCACGAAGATCAACAGCATCAAGCCAAAGAGCCTGGGCGTCAGCAACTCTGTCCGAGTCTTGTCTGAAGCTGAAAGCTCCACCGAAACAAAGACACATGAGAGCCTTCATTGGCTGGGCGTGGTTTTCGAAAACGTGGGGCGAATGTTGAACGCAACTGTTGCGGCATATGAGTCTTTCCATGAATACGGACAAGCGAAGGCGGCACAACAGGTACGACCAGCACCGGGTGTGCAAATGGTTCAACTACCTCCTGCTCCTCCTGCCCAACAGCCGGGCCCCCAGTTCCGACCCATCAATCAGGGGCGGAATGTACCTGCTCAAGGGGGAAACGCGCCTGCTCATCGTGGCCCAGGAGGGGGAATCAAGTGCATCGCTGCTGTGGGAAGAGTCTGCCAGGTGGGTGGCTTGATCACCTCTGGGGTCACTGGAGAAACCGCGCCGACGATGGAACACCCTTTTCGGGCTATTCCTGCGGCACTCGGGATTCTGGAGTTACTTTGTGTGGCGAATGCCCATCTCAGTGAGGGTACCTACAAAGCGGGCAATCGCGCGGCTGAGGTATTGGGTGCTTTCGGGTCCATTTCTCGTGCATGGATGCTAGATAGCGATCAGAACGGCGGTGTCGCAACGGCGAACAGAGTTGTCCATACGGCAGGACCTGTTGTTGGCCTCGTTGGAATGGGTCTTGACTTCTCCAAGGATCCCCGGGCCAAACTTGCTGCAGCGGGCTGTCATGCGACGGATGGGGTCTGCGGCCTAGTGGGTTTCGGAACGGCTATAGCTGCAGCTATTGATTCGTAGGCGTAGTCTACGAACCAAGGTCTTTTTTGGTCCGTGCCTTAATATTCATTATACCCTACCACAAGGTTGTCAAATGCAGTCAGCGGTCCATTTTCATTCTCTCCATCTCCACTGGTCCCTCGTCCGTTGCCCGCGGCGCATTGGCAATGTTGGCAGAAATAAGAAGAAAGATAGAACTCGAAGCCCACTAACCTGGTAGGTTAGGTACTTCAAATTTTATTAGATCTATAATTTATAACGTTCCAAGTTTACTATAGATCTATATTATGACCGACCCTTCCGACGAGATGTGGCGGAAATAAACCTAACTCCGGGCCCGGATACAGTACTCAAGCTCGATATCTCGATACGATGCCCTGGAGTAGAAAAGTATAAGGTCAGGTCCGATTGATAATGGAGAAAGATTTAGTACGATGGTCAGGTACTACCGGACTACCCTAGGAGTCTTGCCGAGGAAACCTTTCCATCTTGATATATGCCTAGGTAAGCATGGCTTTCTACGAGAAACGTGTAGAACTCATGACCCCGTGAAAGGCCACGGCACCGGCAAGAATCCTTCCTGTACTTAATTCATATTGCCAGTCATTTATTTCCTTTAGCATGAGATTTGTATATCTTCTTTCTTATGGGGACGGGGAAAGATGTCGATGCCTAGACTTTCTCTATTCCTCACTTAGCTTACACGGTGATGAAAGCCCATAAGAACAGCTCTAGTTCTGGACTCTGAAGCGAAAGAGTGACCCCAAATCAGGCACGAGGAATAGTTTCCAAGGTTGTCACCTCTCATACTTTGAATAACTCTGCTACTGCTACTATGATCAATAACTTCCAAGGTTGCGTCTCGGTCAAGAATTCTTGATAGATCTGGCGACATCATCTGAATTAAAGAACAGCTCCACGTGCTATACGGATTAAATTTTCAGAGCCAGAATACGGATTAATTATATTCTACCCAGGAAATGACGGTTGGGCGGGAGTGAAAAAAAAAAATTGGAAAAAAAAAGAAACGAGCGACGCAGGGATCGAACCTACAATCTTTGGTAATTGATAGAGAAACCGAAAACCAACGCCTTTCCATTAGGCCAGCCGCCCAGTTATATTACTCAGCTGGCACTTTCATTATACATGACAGCCACTATTTTTAACTACCATACTTTGCAAAAATGGATGCTCGACCACCTCCCAAACAATATTGCGATCTTTAATTTTATGTCTATTTTAATGACGGGGTATCCCGTATCTAACTTCCAGGTCGCATTTTAATGCAGAAAACATTCATTTCTAAACAGGGCGACAGTTGCTTTACATAAAACAAATCAAGACTAAAGCATTCCTTAGGCTCACTCAAGCAATGCCTTCGGCGCTGGGGCCCATCTCACTTTTGCCAGATTGATCAATCTCAACCTTTCTCCTCCGGCTCCCACATCGCCTCGCGCATGAAAGTACTGCGCGCTCGGGTTTGCGGACCCTTAAGCACTAGGACAACAGGAACAACAGACAATGCGATCCCAATAAATCCAAGAAGAGTACCTGCCCAGCCAAATCCCAGATTGCTAAACAATTAAGGCGAGGCCAAGGGCAAGAAAGCACCGAAATAATTCCGGCCCAGTGAGGCAGCGGAAAGAGCGGATGCAGCATACCGCTCGTAAGCATCGGTGGGATAATTGATAACGGCCATATAAATGGAGTAGATTCCGATGCTGGCGGCTGTGATACCAATCGTGGGGGCAATCCAGTGCACATCGGACATGTTAGCCCATCCATACCAAAATTGGACATTATCTCTCGCGTGTCGATTGGTTGATTGGGTACAGGTCTACTTGTGGACAACGTCTGGGTCAGTTTTCCAGTCTCGACATCTTAATTTTGGGATCACCTTTCTACAAGTCAGTTTCAAACCCCCTCCAACTCCCGCTTCTAGTTCAATTACCAGTCTCCGGAATTAAATGATTCTCCGAGAGATCTAGATGTTGATTGACTTATGATTAGTCCCCAGTTTGACCGACGTATATCTTCAACCACCCTTTAGATCAGACAAGACGACGATATTATGTCTTTCTTAAATATTCAATGGGTATAAATAGCCAATCGCGTTGAGCCTGCATAAGGATCAGTCGCCGCTTAGTATAAGACGGTCAGCATAGAGTATCTTTATCATTCATTGACTATCTTGTGGCCGCCTGTAGCTTAATTCGCTATATTTCAATTAACCTCAGGCCCGCAAGTCAACCACGCAGTTACAAGACACGCCAAGAAGAAAAAACATCCAACACAAACACCGTCTCCTCTTGAGGGCGGTTTTCCGCGGAACTGAAGACCTAGGTTCAAGCACGACAGGTCCGCTCGGCAGAGTGGCAACTCGGACCTATTGCCGACAAGATTGGCGAGCGGAATTGCTCCATTGGCTGAAGCCGCCAGCCCATCGGCAAATTCCAAGCCACCCTGAACAATCCATCAATCATTGATTGCGGATGTATCGCGGTTTTCCTATCATAGGCCAGACAATAGGTAGCTGATCGCTTAATATCCCAATTATGTTTTGTTTGGCCATGCATTAGACTTGGTATGTATGCATAAAACCTCATTTCTTTGCTTACCCCACACTGGGGTTGTATCGCGATAAGGCTCGTTCCTTCGTAATTGATATCGAGAGAGGGGCTGTGGGGTAGTATTTAATGAAGTGAATTTCCCTTCGCAACTTTGTGTTCGAGTTTGGATTCGAATTGCTCTTTTACTTATACGGCAAATAATCAACATCAAAACAATATGGCAATTAATCCAGTCTGTATCCCTCCAGAGGAGGTACGCAAGGCCATTGACGGTGCATTAGAAAAGGTTGCCAAAGGTCTACGCGGGCTTAACCAATTTGTAAGTTCTCTCGATGGAAATAGCTCACAGCGTTCTTGTAAGGGATTCTTACAAAGCCCAGATCTGGTCCAATCCCGAACTCGCCTATGAAGAACACAAAGCCCACGATGCAATTTGCAACTTTCTTGAAGAGCAGGGCTTCACTGTTACCCGTCACGCCTACGGCCTCGATACCTCCTTCGAATGTATCAGCGGAACCGAGGGACGACTTGTCAACTTCAATGCAGAATATGACGCGCTCCCAGGTATCGGGCACGCATGTGGCCATAACCTTATCGCAACAGCCAGTATAACTGCGTTTTTGGCACTGGCTCATCTGCAGAAGGAATATAATATCGGTTGTCGGGTTCAGCTGCTTGGAACGCCGGCCGAAGAGAATGGCGGTGGGAAGGCGAAATTGCTCGATGCGGGCGCATATAAGGAAGTCGATGTTTCTCTCATGGCGTATGATCACCCCTCACTTTCTTTGGCTGAATATATTCCTTCCTTTAGCTAATTTTATTCAGGCACGGCGGTCCAAAGAACATCATCGGGAGACCCAGCGATGGTGTCGCGGGTATTCTCATGAACGCACGCAAGGAGCTGTACGTGGAGTATTTCGGCAAGAATGCGCATGCCGGTGGGAATCCTTGGGAGGGCGTGAACGCACTCGATGCGTTAGTAATGGCCTACAATGGCATTTCTGGTCTGAGACAACAGATTATGCCGGATGAGCGGATTCATGGTGCCTTTTTGGATGTGCCGAAGGTTGCAAATATCATTCCCGCGTACACGAAGTCGTACTGGCAGATTCGAAGCCCAAGTCTGGGGGGTCTGGATAAGCTTATTGCGCGGGTGAGAAAATGTGCCGAGGGTGCTGCTGTTACGACTGGGTGTGAGGTTAAGATTGAAGAGTAAGCTGTCTCTCGTCCTTCCAGTGGGAGACTGAACTTGCATGACTGATTTTTCTCCTCTTTCAGGAAGGAATTATATACCGATATTGTGCTAAACGATACCCTTTGCGAGCGGTATGCCTTACACATGGAGGAGCTCGGCCGGACATGTGTGAAGAAATATGAGAAGGTCTTGACTGGCTCCACTGATGCCGGTATGATTTGTCCCTTCAAGTTTGCTTTTCCTTTGACTAGGAATATTGACCTTTATTTCTAGGAAATGTGAGCTATGCTGTTCCTACCCTTCACTCGATGTTTGGTATCCCGACTCCTGAAGGTTCTTACCCCCATCACCCGTCTTTCACTGCGAGTGCAGGAACCGACGATGCGCATGAGGAGGCTGTTGTCACTGGTAAAGGCTTAGCCTTGCTTGGCTGGGATATGCTGACCAATGACGAACTTTTCACTGCTGCGAAATCTCAGTGGGAGGGGCAGGTACCAGTTGCTGAGAAGTAGTTTCTATCTGGTGGAATGAATAACCCACTGCAGTGTCAGTTTCGGATAATCAATTGGAAGTTACTATTGGAAGAGATTTCGTGCTAGTTGGATAATAGTACAGTACTCTTTTCCAGTCCGTTACCTGCTCCGGCGCCTAGCGATAGCCTTAGTTTGAAATTTCACTTCCAGGGCTCCAAGTTTAAAAGTTCTAACCTTCCAAGGTTGGAAGGCTTCCAATTGTAATTTTTTCGAGGTTCCTCGACCACCCCGAGCCCCTGTTGATTCGGCCTCGGAGGTCTTAAGTAGATCCATTGTCTTCAAGTTGGGATTTCAATTTGCCATGCATGGTACTATATTCGATTAAGGCTAGGTTGGTGTACAACCTCGAGAGCTCCCAAATTTGCACGGGCCTTCTTCGACTTGTTGAACTCCGGGTGAACTTCCCATCATACATTTTGCGGCCTAGAGATATGGGGTTACTACCTCCTGATAACTCTGTGCAGATATATATCTCAAACCTGAACCCATAAACTCCTAATCCCCCCAAACTCACCCTCTTCCCGGGCAATTTCACAATCTGACAATCACCAATTAGCAGAAATCCAAGTCCGAACCCTAGATGCACCCCCAGACGTAAAAAAGCAAGCCTATCCAACCTTCTTACATTATCATACTTGGTCTCTGGTTCCGCACCATAAGCATTAAAGAATTATCATTGGCCACAGACTAGCCGAAGTGGGGCAGTTGGTGGACCAAAAGTTTGAGCTCGATAGCGCACATTTTTCTAGCCTGTTACATCTACCAGGCCGGCTGGCCCAATGGCAAGGCGCTTGACTACGAATCAAGAGATTGCAGGTTCGACCCCTGCGTCGGTCAATTTTTTTTTGGTTATTTTTGCCTGTATGTGTGGTGGGCGAGGAGGGAGTTGGGAGAATGGGGATTGCTCGACTGCTTGTGGTGGCGAGGTGACCTTCCTCTCCTTTCTAGAAATTCGGGAGGCTTTCTTTCTTTTTTACCGTCTTCAATTTGGTTTTTTCTACAGGATTTACCTCGCAAATCCGGGGATGAGGTGTATTGATTAGATTATCTCTTTCATTTTTACAAGTAGGGATTTGATTCAAGAACAGAATTAATATTGACTTCATTTACGGTCATGTAGATCTCACAATCGTGGACACAACAGCTCTATTATGTATAAGGGGACATTCACCCTTCCAATCCAATAGGTTACACATCCACAAAGAGGAGGTGAGACAAATATCCCTCCTAAACGAACAAGGGCATCGAATCACCACACCTCCAAAAAAGAAGAGAAACATCAGACATTCGCACTATATCCGCCACCCAGCCCTCGCTGACGGCGGAGATAATGCATATACTTGCGTCCCTCGTCGACCCAGAATACAGAGCTGGCAAGACAAAACAGTTTGAACAGCGAGCCAAAGCTCAGCGGCTCGGTTTGGAAAACGCGTTGCAGGAAGGGGAGGTAGATGACGCATGCTTGGCCGGCTAGAGAGCCTAGGACAGCGTAGTTGAACATCTTGTTGCTGAAGAGGGCGATTTCGCCGCGGAGGACGGATTTGCCTTCACTTCGGCAGGTGAGTGCGTTGAACATGTCGAAGAGCACGAAGCAGGTGAATGTCATGGTAGTGTCGTGGGCTGTGACGACGCGGGACCGCTTGCCGAGGGGTTGTCCATCGTCGATGTCACCCATTTCGTGAATGTAGATTGCGAGCGTACCGAGCATGATTACCATGGCGGATGTGAGGACTCGCTGGATGAGGGGTTTTGTGAGGACCCGCGCTGTTTTGGGGCGTGGGGGTCGGTTCATGATTGACGGGTCGACGGGTTCGACACCGAGGGATTGGGCGGGGGGTCCGTCCATGAGAATGTCTGCATAGGAATTAGAATGCGAAGGAAGGCGTTGGTAGGTAAGGCTGAGGTGGGGGAAACTTACTGATCCACAGGATTTGCATGGCATTCAGTGGATTCTTGAAGCCGAGGGTAGTGCTAAGGAGTACGAGACTGAGTGCAGCCACGCTGGTGCTCAGCTGGAAGGTGATGAAGTTTTGAATATTATAAAAGATGCCCTTGCCCTGTTCAATGGCTCGCAAGATCGTTGAGAAGTCGTCATCGGTGAGAATCATGTCTGCGGCCTCCTTGGCAACATCTGTGCCAAGCTTGCCCATCGAAATTCCAATGTCGGCCTTCTTCAGAGCAGGTGCATCGTTGACACCGTCACCGGTCATGGCGACCACATCGCCTCGAGACTGAAGCGCAGTTACAATCTTCATCTTGTGGTCCGGGCTTGTTCGGGCGAAAATAGAAGTTGTCGCGATCGCCTGTGTGAGTTCGGCCATGGTCATGCGGTCAAGCTCATCACCACGGATGACTGAACGTGCGCCGGCGCCTTCATTGACAGGCATTCCAAGCTTCTTCGCAATGGCCACCGCGGTGGTCTCCGCATCACCCGTTATCATGATCACTCGTACGCCACCATGCATAAGACGACGGATTGATTTATGCACATCTCGACGAGGAGGGTCGTTCATACCGACCAGACCAGCAAAAACGAGTCCATTGTAGCGGTCGTCATCATCGGAAGGGCTGCCCTTGGGTGTGTTGGAACGACTGTTAAACCCTTTCATGCCTCTCGACGAGCTTCGCACTGCACCGCTGGAAAATGCAAGGACTCTGAGGCCCTCACTGGCCATATGCTCTGCAGCTTGGCGAATGATATTACGACGGGGCTCATCAAGAATAACCTCCCGGCCATCCTTGGTCAGGTATGTATCTGAGCGAGCAAGGACCTGTTCCAGAGCACCCTTAATGTAGGCAACATCAGAATCACCGGGGCTGCCGCTGCCAATGATAACACCCATCCACTTGCGTTCGGAGCTGAAGGGGGGTCTCAGATACACGGGCACTGATACGCTCACGGACATCATCTTCTCCCAGAGTGTCCAATAAATCCAGAATGGCAACATCGGTTGGCTGTCCTACCCAGCGGCTTTTTATGGCAGTAGAATTTCGGTCTAAGGTGGAAGACAGCACTGCTGCGGACGATGCACTAGCTGGAGAATTGGCGTGGGTACGGGAAAGGCGAGCGTTGTTTGCAATATTGCCGACCCGGAGAATGGTACGGGCAGCTGGGCCGGGGGAGAGGACTGAAGTTATATCGCGCTGAACCTCAAAGGGCTCGGTCGAGTCGAAATGCCACATTTTGGTAACCGTCATGTGGTTGAGAGTGAGAGTACCTGTTTTGTCACTGCAGACAACATTGACAGAGCCGAGGGTCTCGACACTAGGAAGCCTGCGCATAATAGCTCCCCGCTTGGCCATGCGCAGCACGCCAAGAGCAAGGGTCACAGTGACAATAATTGGCAGACCCTCAGGAATGGCCGCCACTGCGAGCGAGACGCCGATAGTAAACATTTCAAGGAGCTTACGGCCCTGGATCAGGCCAATCACAACAATCAAAGCAATGACACCGAACGAGACATAACTTAGTTCTTGGCCAAGTCGATCCATGGAAAGTTGCAGAGGGGTTCGCGGACTCTCGATTTCCTGCAGAGAGATCGAGATACTTCCGAACTCGGTCTTCGCCCCGGTCGAGATAACAATACCTTGACCATGACCCGACCGCACCAGTGTACCCATAAACGCAATGTTGTGTTGTTCATTGAGACGAATGTCGGCCCCAACGGCGCCAGAGGCGGGGGCATCATAGAACGGCGATCGAGGAGGCTTGATGACGTTGGGAGCTGCGAGGGTCCCACCATGGGCATGGGAGCGGAGTGCCGCGCTGAACTTCGTTACCGGCTCGTTTTCGCCGGTAAGATTTGATTCGTCGATTGTAAGATCTGTTGCGTTGGTAATGCGAATATCCGCGGGGATACGGTCTCCCGTAGAGAACAGCACCAGGTCACCCGGCACCAAATCGGCGGCGGGTACCGTGGTGGATGCCTTGAGCGCAGATGATGTCGTGCCTGGGCTCTTACTCCGGAGTTCCTCCATCTCTTCACCGGATTCCGATGTGTTGGCATGATCAGCCGTGGCAGTTTTCGAAGGCAAATCACGGATGAGGTGTGCGAAATGCGGGACGAGTCGACCGAGTGCTTCCAGTGATTTCTCCGACCTATATTCCTGAACAAAGCCGACGGTCACGACGATGGTGACCGCAAGAGTAATACTAATAGCATCGTCGTAGTTGCCCATAACAAATGAGATACCAGCGGAGCCAAGGAGGAGAAGGATCAGGGTTTCCTTGAATTGCTTGAGAAACCGTAACCACAGTGGCTCGGGTTCCTCGTGGGGAAGCTCGTTAGGGCCATCACGAGAGAGGCGAATCTCAGCCTCTGCGGGGGTTAAGCCATGGTGTAGAGATGTCTGGAGTCGTTCGGCGGTTTCGTAGGGCTCGAGCCAAGAGTATGTGGAGGTTGAAGCCTAATCCGCAGATTCGGGGATGAGCATAGTGTTCAAAGGGCAGGTTCATTAATCTCAGAACTTACCGACGAAGGAGCATCTGGCCGACTGCCTAGAATGTCGGTCGATGAAGGTCGCGGTGTTTCGATCTTGGGTGCATTATGCAGAGGCAGCGCAGGTGTTGTCGACCTTGACATCTCTCATGCTTCGGGGGAGCGAAACGGGAGAAGGGGGAGGGGATAAACGTAGAGGGGAAGAAAACACAGGTCCGTTTTAGCGTAGGGTGATTCTCATCCCGCCTGGATGGGAGGCAGTGTCGATGGGGGCCACGTTCTTCAGAATGCAATGTGGCAGCAAGGTCCGGCGGTGGAGAGTAGGGCGTGGGGTTGATCGGAGTCGATTCGGGGGTGGTAAGGGGAACTTGAAAATCCAATTGTGAAGTAAATCGACAATCGACTCAAGGACAAACCCAAGGAGAAAAAAAAGCAAAGGAAATGAGGCCTGTAACAGGGGGAACAGTCGAGGCGCGCGGACTGCAGTCGAATGCGTCCTGCGCGGTGATGATGCTTAACCCGATGTGGTTAGCGGGTGTTATGTCAGCTAGCTGACATAACTGGCTGACATAAACACACTGACATAACGCTGCTGAGTCACCATTTTTGGCGGTTGCCCCAGCCCCCTCCAATCCACAAGGCACCTGACTTGCACCTGTCGATGCCTAAAGGAAACTTGAAGGTCCCCCTCGACGCGCGCATATCCTCCCTATCCGCCTGACTTGGACGTGTCTCTCAACGCGTCTACCTCCAATATTCTTTAACCCTGACAATATTTCACATAAACCCTTCATACTCACTGTCTTCTCTCGCCTCGCCTCGCCTCGCGTCATTGACACCGCTTTGAAAGTCTGTTATTATCCCGGCTCCAGCGCGTCAAACCCTTGTTACGCCTCACCCCGCGCCGGGCGGGTTTCGACTTGTACAATTGTCTGAACATATCTGGTCGTCGCATACAGTAATCACTTAGTACCATTACGCGCCATGTTCTATTCCGAGACTCTCCTGTCCAAGACCGGGCCACTGGCCCGCGTCTGGCTGTCCGCCAACATTGAGCGCAAATTGTCCAAGTCGCATATTCTGCAGTCCGATATTGAGGGCAGTGTCAGCGCCATTGTTGATCAGGGTCAGGCCCCTATGGCTCTACGACTGAGTGGTCAACTGCTGCTGGGCGTCGTTCGCATTTACAGCCGTAAAGCGCGTTATCTCCTGGACGATTGTAACGAAGCTTTGATGAAGATTAAAATGGTTCGTCTCTAAATCCACTTTCTCTTTATTATCTGATTTATTTTACACATTGATGCTAACTTGATCAACCCCCAGGCATTCCGTCTTACAAACAATAATGATTTGACAACAACTGTGGTCGCGCCGGGCGGTATTACGCTTCCCGATGTGCTGACCGAGTCTGATCTTTTTACCAACCTTGACACCTCACTTCTTTTCCCGCAAAACCTCAACTTGGAGTCCGATGGAAAGCATGCTGCTGGTAAGGATTTTGCAAGCAGCCAGATCGTCCCTGACAGCAGCTACCGTCGCTCCGTCTCCCAAGAACCTGCCCGCCTTGAAGACCACACCCTCGTTGACTTGGACCTGGGTGAGGATGAGCTGCCCCTCGGAATGGATAGATCTATGGAAATCGGTCGAGACGCTCCCCCGGCCCGCCCAATGGAAGACGATTACATCAACGACTCTGGAAAGCTTATTGATAACGACCTGGATCTCGACTTTGGCGATGACGATGCCCCGCTCGATAAGATGGATATGGGCGTCGATGCTCACGACAACCTCGACAACCTTCTGCATGACGATGGAATGGACCTAGGTGGCGATGATTTCGGTGGTCAAACCCCACCTCCTGTCGAGAACCGCCTCCGCTCAGAAAGCCCTCTCTCAGATGCTGGCTCCGACCAGATGCACCAGCTCGAGGAAGAGTTCAACCACCACGATACCACTGCCGAGCCCGAAGCTGGCAAACAGACCCAGCGGGCCAAGCGCCAAAAGGTTCTCGAACCTATGAAGATGGACAAGAGCATTACCTACTCGACTCATACAGCTCGTGCGCTGCAAGACGACCGCTCTGCCATTACCAACCCCCCCTGCCTATCTGCCCCGTGACCCTGTCTTCCTCACCCTTATCAACCGCCAGCAGAACGGCGAGTTTGTCTCAAGCATTTTCGGCGGCGAGAGCAACCGTGGCTGGGCCCCTGAAATCCGCGGTCTGCTGTCACTCGACTCCGTTAAGAAGGCCGGTGAGCTCAAGCGCAAGCGTGATAGCGGCATCTCCGACATGGACCTGGCGGGTGCTGAAGTTCCCACCCTGGAACTCGGTGATGACGAGGCTATTGTTGCCGACGATGAAGGCATCGCTCTCGACACAACCCTGAACCAGCACGCAGAGATTGACTTCCCCGGTGACGCCAGCAACTCGGAGCTGCAATTCAACGACGATGATGGCATGAGTCACACCGTCGATGATCTCGAGGACACCATTCGTCCCGTCGACAACGAGCCCGTCTCCATGGGCACCAAGCATGCCGTTCACATTCTCCGCGAGCGTCTCGGCGACTCCGAACAGAAGAAGAGCGTTCTCTTCCAGGACATGCTTCCCGAGCAGCGATCTAGCAAGGCCGACGCCACCAAGATGTTCTTCGAGGTCCTGGTGCTGGCCACTAAGGATGCTGTCAAGGTGGAACAGGGTTCCAAGACCATTGGCTCCGCGCTGAAGATCGGCGGTAAGCAGAACCTGTGGGGTTCGTGGGCCGAGGAGAATGCCGCGGCTAGCCAGCTGGCGCAAGTCCTGTAAGAGCGCTCCATATCTTATTCTGTCTTTACAAAGTATCAATGGCCGTCAAGATCCTCGACGGAAAAAGGGATATTACTGGCGCAAAATTCCATTCATGTACAGTTGAGTTTGGGATGGTCGATGGGTTTCTGGAAGATCCGATAATTGAATTGTTTGATGGTAGCGGTCGCCTTTGTTGCTTTGCGATCAGGAGTTTTTCTGGCGGGGTATGGAGAAATGGGGTTTATTTCGTTCCTTCTTTATTTTTATGATGGGCTCTTTTTGCTGGACAGTTTCGATATTTTTCCGGAGTGATTCGATACATGGGTTTCCTTTTTCGTAGTTCTAGCTGTTTAGTTAATTGAACATATCAATGAACTCGCTCACCTCATGCCTTTACTTCAGTTGATGTACAACGAACAACATTTTTATTTGGAAAGAGTCCCTCACTTAAATTACAAGTAGCACAGAACAATGCCGCCCTTTTGTTGCCTTTTTTGTTGCCTGAACATTCCCACCTCGGTCACCCCACAAGGCTGGATTTTCTGTTGGCAAGTAGAGATTCAAGTTGTGTCAAGACCGAATGAACAAAGATGTACGCAGTACAGAGCCCCGGAGGGAGTACTCTATACAGATCCACCACGTACTTGGATGGTTACTATATAGGTAACGAGCTACATGATAGCACATCGGCAACCCCTAATGTAAGAAAGAAAAGGCTATCTGTAGAATATCAATTGCATAATTACCGTTCGGTCTGGTGTCTTTCAACAATCACTGATCCAAAACAACTAAGTCACATACTTGCGGTGGTTGGAGTTCCCGGTAAATCCAAGAGTGGCTAAAGCTTCACCATTCAAGTACGCCACAAAACCTAAAACAGGCACACTCATCAGTATGGCCGAGTGGTCTAAGGCGCTAGACTGTTCGTATTATCTTAACTCAAATGGCCATATTCAAATACTAACTTCCACCCAGTGAATTTCCATATCTTGATATCTAGTCCCTTCGGGGACCTGGGTTCGAACCCCAGTGCTGATGAATAATTTTTTGTTCCTTTCCTTTTTTATCTAACTGCTCTTTCATGGTTTCTGAAGTGCCCGAGAGAATTTCGTAGCTAGTAAGTAGAACTAAGTGTCAGAGGCCGGAGAACCTTGGAATTCTTGTTTCAAACCTAGAGCACCCGTGGACAGGGTTTACCTTTTTTGCTGTATCCGAATCTCGGTAGGTCCACCTCGCAGAAATTTATATTGTAGATAGCACGGCAGGGGAAGCAACTAGAATGATAATTGACCAAAAAGGGTACTCGTTAGAAGTAAGGAGAAACCTCGACCTAGTGAATTAAGTCCTATAGAAATGGATCGGGGAACGTGGCCTGGTGGTTCTTAGAGGAGAGAGATTGCTTTAGCGAACCATACTCTCTACGTAATAAACATTAATATAAATTAATAATTACAGCAGAAAAAACGTTCAGAATCGAGAACCCTGGAAGATGGCCTAACTTTCATTAGGAGGTGGGGGGACGGAGAAAGAGGCAGGCTGAGCGCGATCATACTAGCACCACGGCCAGAGATGCTTAAATATTATTCAAATATGAGGCCAGAGATCAATCTGCAATGAATAGCGGGTGCAACTCGAATGATGCAATCAGATCAGCTAGTCCAGTTCTGTAAAGAAGTAAAGTTCAACTTGAAGCAAGTGCGGAAGTTGATATCTGTTATGTCCGTTCGGCCCGAATCAACCCCAGAGAAGAGGTGGAGATGGCCCGAATGGACCGTACACATGAAATGTCCGATCGGAGGGAGAAAAGGGGAAAAAGTGGATAACCTTGATGCGAGCCTTCTAGCCTTCTAGCCTATAATCTTCTCCCAAGAGCGAAAGAGCGAACCTTAGGAGTGGGGATTAATCATTATTAAGCTCGGGGTAGAACTAAGCCGATGAGAATAACAGATTAATTAAGCCATGTCTCCGAAGTGCCACTTAGGCCCGAATCATGTTTCGAGGCTAATTACTTTATCCCACTCTTATCCCACTTTTGATTTGACTTTTTGACTTTACTCCGTATTCTAATTAATTGACTTTGCCCCGTTATTTGATATAACCGCCACGGCTACGACTGCTCTACCTACAAGCTTCAACTTGTTCACTATCGCGATACTCGTGTTGATCGCAGACTACACTCCTAGATCACTGACTGGATCAGGATCGGGATTTGATTTGATTTCGAGACTAGCGCCGTGGTCGAGCTCTACCTACCTCTTCGCCACCTCGGAAACCAAGCTCCTTGCCACTTCGGACATCGAGCCGAGTCGATTAGCGAGCCAACAAACGAGTGCGCGAATCATACAAAGAACACTCAAATACCTGCATTAAAGGGACAGCAAAATAATAAATTGCGAGCGGGACAAAACAAAGGGGAAAGAAAGCGTCAAAATGACGTCGCCACCCCAGGCCGACGAGAAACGGCTATCTTCTAGCTCCGAATTCGAGCCGGGGCCGGAGCCCGAACGCGAAGAAAGCATCGATTCAAAGTCCGAAGAAGCGGCATTTGCGCCGATCACAAATCCTTTTCCACGCGATAACGATGTTACTATTCAAACAACGAATCCGAGGTCCGACACGAATCCCAATACCCAAGTTACTACATCGCGGTCTTTGGAACGATCCTGGTCTTTAAATGATGGGACAAGTCTTGCTGGCGAGGAGGGAAGGGCCGAAAGGATCTCACCAGATGAAGAGAGCGCTGATGAGAGTTTCATGGTTGGGTGGGATGACGACGATGTGCTGAATCCGAGGAATATGAGTAAAGCGCGGAAGTGGATGGTTGTTATTATTGTTTCGATGGGGTCGCTTTGTGTGTGAGTATTCCTCTTCTGATTACTTTTCTGATTCGGATTCTGGTACTGACTATCTTATCATTAATGTGTAGGACTTGTACTTCCTCCATGTATACTGTTACATACGATCAGTTGATGAAGGAGTTTAACTGTTCCAAGGAAGTTGCCACGCTGGGATTATCCTTCTTCATTTGGGGTCTTGGTTTGTTATGCCCTCCATTCAAATCGTTTAGTGTGTTTTATATGGCCATATCTGACGATTTGTTTTCCAGGAATTGGCCCGCTTTTTCTAAGCCCGCTCTCAGAGGTAGGCGGCATGATAGCCTCGGAGTCACCTACGCAACATTCTAACTTTCCATAGTTCTACGGCCGAAGGAACATCTACATAATTTCCTTCTCCCTCTTCCTCATCTGGCTTATTCCATGTGCTGTCGCCAAAAATATCCAGACAATGCTCATATGCCGTTTCTTCAATGGTTTATCTGGTGCCGCGTTCCTCAGTGTCGCGGGCGGCACCGTTGGTGACATGTTTGATCGGCATGAACTCGCCTTGCCGATGATGCTTTACACCGCGAGTCCTTTCATTGGACCTGAAGTTGGACCTCTGTAAGATTTTTGAAATTTGGTATGGTTTGGGGATGGCCAGGGCTAATTTTCCATTTAGTGTTGGCGGATTCATTAACGCGTTTACTACATGGTATGTGCCCTTGTCTATCTTTAACTTCATTATATCTAACGCGTTCACAGGCGCTGGACCTTTTACGTGCTACTTATCTGGTCAGGCGTGCAACTGATATCACTGGTATTCCTGGTGCCAGAAACCTATCATCCAGTGTACGTACCCGCGCTTGACAGTCCCCATTTTGGCCCTTCTAATACCAACCTTTGCCAGTCTCCTTCGACGCAAAGCGCAGAAACTCCGACAAGAAACCAGCGATGACCGATGGAAAGCCCCAATCGAGAAATTGGAGCGATCGGTCCCGCAAACCGTCCTACGCTCCATGTACCGCCCAATCCTCCTTCTAGCCCTCGAGCCAATGTGTCTGAATCTGTGCATATTCTCAGCCATCCTGCTGGGCATCTTGTACCTGTTCTTCGGAGCCTTCCAGCTAGTTTTCTTAGAAGTGTATGGTTTCTCGCTTTGGCAACGCGGCCTGTGCTTCCTGGGTCTATTCGTCGGCATGGTCATGGCAATCCTGTCCGATCCGCTCTGGCGCCGCAATTACGTCCGCCTCGAACGCCAGTACCAACAAGGGAACCACGTCGAGGAATTCCAGCCCGAGTGGCGTCTCCCGCCAGGTATGTAAAGCGTCAGCTTGAGGGATTGACGTACAATGAGTGAGATCTGACATGCTTCCTATACGATAGCTATCCTGGGCGGACCGTTGGTTACGATCGGTATCTTTATTTTTGCGTGGACTATCTACCCAGACGTTCACTGGATCGCGCCAATTATCGGGAGCGCTCTATTTGGAGCAGGGTACGTTTCATCTTAAACCCTTTTCTTTCTTCCCCTGCCTTTCCCTTCTCTCCTGACGGTCCGGTCCTGCAATCCAAGCTGAATCGAATCGAATCGAGCCGCGGCGTGTATGGTATTTTGGTATCGTGTTGAACTCACTCTCTCGTGTCACTTCTAGGACTATCCTGGTCTTTTCGGGAATCTTTACTTTCCTGGTCGATGCGTATCCCACTTATGCGGCCAGTGCCCTCGCGGCCAATTCGTTCATGCGCTCTAGTTTTGGAGGCATCTTCCCTCTCTTTGGTATCCAGAGTGAGTTTTCCCTGTCCCCCCTGCCCCTGCATCAAGAACTTGCCATCTGTGTGTTTTCAATCCTCGATTGAACAGGGCCATGGATGGCTTCGGGGTCTGTGCTTTGCATGTGCATAGGAGAAACAGAAGCACCGTGTTCCCAGCAAACCGTTGCCAGTTCCTCCCTTCCCTCTGTCGCAAAGTACGAGCAGGCGCAAATTTACATGAGATCTGCGGGGGTCCAGGGTAGATTTTAGCTGGGAGGGTGGTTGCATGTGTATGATGGGCTAGAACTATGAATTGAACGCTAACGGCCGCGCAGTGTATAATAATCTCGGATATCATTGGGCGACATCGTTGCTGGCGTTCCTGACCCTGGCCATGTTGCCTTTCCCGTAAGTGATTGACTTTCCCCCGCTCTTTGCTATTTTCTGCGATTTACTTTTGTGGTTGCGTGGGTTGTTTCTTGCGCTATGGCCTTCGCCTCCTTTCCCCTGCATCTGTGTCTTGTCTGCGGCTGCCGTGTCCGCATTTACAACCACATCTCACAAAGTCGATCAGATCAGACCAGACCAGACCGGAGAAGAGCAGGGGGCGAAGTGCATGTGAAAGAACATGATTTTGCTTCATTTACATCTGCTGTTTGGATCTGAGTATATACTGACTTGAACGTGAACAGATACATTTTCTACCGATACGGGAGTCGCATCCGCAAGCATAGTCGCTTCGCTACCTCACAGATGTGATGAGATGCCGAGAGACGGTCGATGTCTCAAGTGATTCCCTTAAACTCCAGTGCTCCAGTTGAGGTCATTAGTACCACTGGAACTGACCTAAGCCATCTCGCTTAACACTCTGTTGTATGGCTATACACCAGTGACCCCGGCTCGGTCGACTGCACATCTCATATGGTCACGTTGTCCAGCATAGATGCGGTTCTAATCCGATTCAGTTGAACATTCGCCCGCTTCAAGCTGCAAGTTCGTTTGGATGTTTGCAGCTACAATGCTTTGTTCGCGGGTTTCCTGTCAGCTCCTGTGTGTGTAGTGATAGGATAGCTCTCCAGGACTAAGACTTCTCCGAGTCTAGAAACTTAACCTGAAGGCCCAACGAGCCAGGACCGTCCTACGTATACCAGTACCTACTATGTAAGTAGTGGTAGCCGGGATGTGAATGCGGATGACATAGAAATCGAATCAGAAAGAATCGAATACACTTTGTGCTAAGGTTTCACAGTATTGGCAAAGTAAGCCTCAGCCGTACATACTCTGTACTAGTAGTAATGATCTTCTAGTCTCGGATATGAGAAAATACCGCATTCATACCTAACTTCTAGGTACTTTGCATTCCAAGGATACTTCAAAGTATCTCTCGTTTTCTCTTTTCCCTCTAATGCTCGGGTATATGATTTCCAGAGCCAGTCTCTACTAGTCCTTAGCTCGGCTTAACATTCACGCGAGAGCGCGACGAACAGGGTAGACCCACTGGCAGCGGGAGAGTTCAGCCCAACCAAGCCAGGCCAGGCCAGGATGGAATGGAATGGATGCAATGGAATTGAATATTATTCTCCGATGACTACATACGTGTGTACTTACATAGTTACTGGTAGTGAATATGTCAGTACTGTACTAAGACTAAGTTGGGCCAGATACCAAGGATACGAAGGTGTATGCATGTAGACCAAGACCAGGCATCGAGCATTCGGTAGTGGATCAGGCGATCAGTTTTGTTAAAATTCAAGAATTCAGCAGTAACAGAAAAGACATTACTCAGTAGACGCGTCCAGCTCCAGCCCTGGCCCTCACTCTCCAGGGCTGACCTCGTCTCCCACTAACCGAGGCCTGATGGGCCGCCAGTTACCTCGGGAGAAGTCGGGACCGGAGAGTCTTTCCGGGAGTTGAGTGAGTCGGCTTAACATTCCAGGGTTAGTGCGGGGACATGAGGAAATGAGCCATTGAAAGTAAGAAAAAAAAATAAGCGCAAAAAGAATGGGGGATTACTTCAATTGTTTGCGTGCGTTCTTTCTGTCTAAGAATAGGTGAATAATACGTTCTTGATGATTATGTTATGTTGTTGATGGTATATACATACCGGTACAGGCCCGGAACCCGTGCGGGGATGCAGTGTATTGTCACAATACCGATGGAATACCTAGTACACGCAACTGCCGTGGCGGGCCCAAACGTCAGCATGTGAAGTCGGTACTAGAAGTAGTCAGTGTACAATACAGAGTAGGATTGATAGACTGGAATACCGGTGTTTATATTGACATTTATCTATCGAGATCAGTATAGACAGAATTGACAGTCTGTAGATATCCCTGTAAACTCTCGCAATGACCTGCCTAACTCGTGTTCGTTTTAATTAGGTAAAAGAAAGGCCAACCGGCGTCTGACGAAGTATATCCAATGGGTGACAGAATGTACTTCGAACCACTCAACACGGTACTAATACTCGGAGTACCTAGGTACTAATAGTAGGAAAATACCAGAAATCCAATAAAAGAAACCCCTCCAATACAATCAATCTATCATCACGAGCCATTCTGGGCCACACTAGAATCGGCCCAGTTGGAGGGAATTGCTTAGGCCTCACAGGCAAATCGCAGTCACGGGAACATTCCGATCGCAACTTGAACTTCTTTGGAACTGGAGAACCTTAGCTTTAGTACAACCCAGGTAGACCTCCTGCGGCTCTCGATTCTTTTGAACTCTCTCCTCTCCACATCCTTCTCGTTCTGTTCTATTCTCTACCACTTTCCATTTTCTCCTCCGATTTTTCTCACCTCCCACTTCCCCGCAGCGCAGCCTGTTCATCTCTCCACTCTCCGAATTCAGCTGCGCCCGAAACCGTTGCGGCATTTTCCCGCCTGGCTTCTGTCGCAATCCTCTCTCCTTCGGCGCTATCCCGACTTCCTTCAATGTGTCACTTGTTCGCTCGTCCTCATACTCGCTCTCGCCCTGTGGACTCGACTCGATTGTCCCCCGTTACACCTGTCGCAGACACACCAACCTACAACCTTTGTCTTCCGCTCCCCCGCCGGCAATAGTCGCGCCCGCGCGGCTATAGCTCTCCTTCCCCTCCAGAGTCATACCTTTCGAACAGACGGTGGAAACGACGAAATACAAGTTGCGATCTCGCCGCATAATAGATTGGTTCACCTCGCGATCTTCAGGTTCCGCAGATCTTGTGCGGCAAACACGTGGATACATACCCGTTACGCCGAGTGAAAAGCCCTCCGCGCGGATGCCCGTCGCCACCTCCGGATTTCGAGATCGAAGCTAGAAGGCCTTATCCTGCAGGTCCTTTTTCTTACCTGGGTACACCCTGGAAAGAACCAATTGAATTTCTGTAGTAATATTCGTGGCTGCTGAGGTTGCGCGATTTTTGGCCTGCATTTTCCTTTTTCTATTTTTTTCCCTCTTCTTTTTACCGCCCCTCTCGCTCTCGGCCTCTTTCGCACGCTCACCTCTTGTGTGAGATACATGACGAAATGAATATGGACATCAAGATCGGTTCGCCGGTCGCGGATTCCGAAGATCGCGATTCTGCCGATATCACAGAGCATTCGGAAACCATGGACTCTGGCAGGACAAATGGTGATGCCAAAGAGAACCGGAAATCCACCAACGCCAAGGACCCCTCGCGACCGCGTCGGAAAAAAGCCCGACGAGCTTGCTTTGCCTGCCAGCGAGCCCATTTGACTTGTGGTATGCATTGTCATTCATTACCTTTTCTTTTTCTTGGCTCCCCCTGCCTCTCTTTTTTTTGCTTGGTCACGCTGCAGCTGCAAGCAAACCCGTAAAATTCAGACTAATCCTTCCATCCAGGGGACGAACGACCTTGCCAACGCTGTATCAAGCGTGGCCTGCAGGATGCATGCCACGATGGGGTTCGGAAAAAGGCTAAGTACCTCCACGATGCCCCAGACGGAGCACTGATGCCCGGCGTGGGTGGGAACTTTCCCACTTATAACAATGGCATGCGCAATTCCCTCCCGGTGTCCAGAAATGGCCCCAACGCGGGAGCGAACACGCCGCAACAGCAACCGACCAACAACAGCAACAATGCCGGCAATTTCTACCCCACGCCCCAGCCACAGTCGCAGCCCCAGGCTCAGTCGGGCTCTTACAATATGTATCATCAAGATACCCTGAGCCAAAGTCCTTTTACCACCCAATCCCCCGTCTCACCTACCTTCAACCTCAAGACCAGCGCCAATGGTCGTAATTCAAGTCTATCCTCCACCGTTAACCAACAACCTACCCCCAACACAGCGATCTCTGGCGAAACTGGGAATCCACAAAATCCCTTTGCGGGGCCCTTCTTCGACCCCAGTGACCCCGCTTTGTTTAATTTTGACCTGTCGAGTATGAATTTCGAGAATCGCTATGGTGCCCTCGAATTCGGCATGCTCGGCCATATGGCGACGGGAGCGGGTGATTCGCCCGACTCAGCGACGCAGCGAGGGTCGATCGGCCGCAGTGGGTCTGCACAGTTCTCCACGCCAGCTCCCGGGTTTGGCGAAAGTCCGGGGAATCAGCCGCCGTTCATGTTTGGTGATCCTATACTGAATGAGTGGTCCTCGAGTCAGGCCTCGGGCCAACCGTCGCATGTGAATGTCGGCGGGGTGTATGGCCAGAATGGCATGTTGCCCGGACACATGAAAGCAGATCCACCACATGGGTTTGCGATCGAGAGCGGTCCTACAAGCTTCACCAGTCCCGGATCAGCGACCAGTCCACATGTGACGGCGACGTCTGGGTTTGCTGGAGAAGATACATCCTTCAATGTGACCAAACAGAATAACAACAATCTTGCACCAAATGGTCAGCGACCGCTGATCACCACGCCAAGCTTGAAGCATCAGGCTTTACATGTTCCGCCTAAGCGACGTCATCGAAATCCATCTTCCATCTACGAAAGCGTCAAAGAGCCCTACGCTTATACCAGTGGCTTCCATAATCTCACAGCGTTTATCCAACGCCGATTCACCCCACAAAAAACCGTCCGCATCGCCAAGGCACTCGCATCAATCCGCCCTTCCTTCATCGCAACCACCAAAACACTCAACCGAGACGACCTCATCTTTATGGAGAAATGCTTCCAGCGCACACTGTGGGAATACGAGGATTTCATCAACGCCTGTGGCACACCCACAATAGTCTGCCGACGTACCGGCGAAATCGCCGCCGTAGGCAAAGAATTCAGCATCCTAACAGGCTGGAAAAAGGACGTGCTCCTGGGCAAAGAAGCCAATCTCAACGTCAACACGGGGGGAACCGGACAACCCACATCTGGCACATCATCCCGGGGCAGTTTCACACCGCGCGGTTCAGTCGAGAACACAGGCGGACGACCGCAACCAGTATTTCTGGCCGAATTACTTGACGACGACAGCGTTGTGGAGTTCTATGAGGACTTTGCTCGGTTAGCGTTTGGAGATTCGCGTGGTAGTGTGATGACAGGGTGCAAGTTGCTCAAATATAAGACCAAGGATGATATGGAGGCTGCGCAGCAGGATGATGGGAAATGGGGTAATGGCCATTTGAGGAAAGGGGGTATTGCGGGCGAGGCGGGGATGAATAAGTTGGGATTTAAGGATGGGAAGGTCGAATGCGCGTACTGCTGGACAGTCAAGCGAGATGTTTTTGATATTCCGATGCTTATCGTTATGAACGTGAGTACCTTCCCGCGCGAGGAGTCTAAGAAAGGAAGTCTTGACTTTTCTTTTCTTTTGCTGACGCTGTTTCTTCTAGTTCCTGCCTTGCATTTGATTACGACCTGTTACAACTATCAGTAATCTGCTGACGCTTGTGCTTCATACCCGCGGCTCGACTCTTGACGTTCGATTTTTTCTTGTTTATTTTTTTTATCTCTTCTATTTGCTTGACTCTTTTCTCTTGGGTTTTCCTTGCCTTGTGGCCGTTCGGTATATATTCCTGTTTGGGACTGTATGATTCCCCCATCCCGTTCTGTTCTGTTCTGTCATGTTCTATTTTGATGTGATCTTGACATTCTCTGTTGTATCCTTGCCTGTGTCTTTTTTGTCTTTGACCGTACATACATTCGGTGTTTGGGGTCTCTGCCACTTGAATTGGCAGGACCCGTTGATATTTCTTCTTCTTGGATACTGTTTCTATCTATTGCCTGTGGTTGACCTTGATGCGGCGCTCAAAAGGACTAAAAATGATATCTCTGGGCTGGGTTTGGTGCTTTGATGAGCTAATGCTACAAATGCTATGGATTGAATTGGGTGCTTCATTAGTTCTAGAAGATAAGTGCAGTAGCTGAGTGCAGTAACTGGTATGGTTTAAGTGTACCTGCATAAAAAACCTTGGAAACGTTACTAGTAGAAGTCAGCAGATACCCATCTCATCCCATTGGAGCGCATTTACGGATCGACAGTGTGCTTGATCAGCTCTATTCTGCCTGAGTGCCGAGGCCACCAACATTCTTTGCTTATCGATCGCCCCGCCATTCCTCCATCCCGCATTCGGCGATGAGCAATCACCAACACTCCCCGAATATCTTCCCCCCGGATACACGCCTTTCCCGCGGCCTTGAGCTTAACCTTCAACTTGAAGTTGCCACCGTCCCACCGAGCTGCAAATAGCATTCCCATCCGGCGTCACTTGAACTGTCTGTGCTCGTGCTCATCCGGAGCTCACCGGCGCGGCACCCTCCTCCCTCCATCCACCACTCACCCGCACGATCGCAACTCGCCTCGCCTTCCCTCAATCTGCGCATTCCAGGGTCCGATCGATTAAACTTACCCCACCCACCTTCACCATCAGAATGAGAACCGATAAACCACGCGACCCGGTCGCAGGTCCTGATGCAGGCCCCGAGGCCCCATTCCCGATTCGTCTGTCTGGACCTGTCATCAAGGGCTTTGGACGGGGGAGTAAGGATGTACGTTCTATCAAAGAATATCCATTTTCGTTCTAGCACCAATTGCAATTACAATCGCAATTGGGTCCCAGACACCTTGCGCTACCGTCTTACCTCGCTTTATGCGGGGAAGAAAGCAACCCTCACAAACGCAAAGCCTTCAACAGCACACGAACTAACCCAACCCGCAAATCTAGCTCGGTATTCCAACCGCAAATATCCCCGCCGACGACCTCGATAACCACCCCGACCTAAAAACAGGCGTTTACTTCGGCGTCGTTGCGCTCGCACCGATACAAAGCGGCGAGAACGGCGAGAACAGCGAAAGCGGAAATGGAAATACATCCGATACAAATGCACATGACACAATCCTCCCCGCCGTCCTGAGCATCGGATACAACCCCTTCTACAAGAATACCGTCCGCTCCGTCGAAATCCACGTCATGCCGCCAACAACGCAGCCGTCACCAACGGCCGCGACACAGTCGCAACCGACCTTCCACCGGCTGCCGGATTTCTATGGCACGAAGCTGAATCTGTTGATTTTGGGGTATATTCGGCCAGAGTTTGATTATGTTTCTATGGAGGCGCTCATTGAAGATATTCGGGTTGATTGTGAGGTTGCGAGGTTGAGTTTGTTGAGGGCGGGATATTTGAGGTATCTTGTTGATGATGGGGAGGGTTTGGAGGGGGTTGATGCTGATCGGGAGTGGTTGGTTAGGTTTTGATTTGAATAGGTACATACTACCTAGGTAGGTAGGTAAAGGAGTGAAAATGGTGGGATGTTTAGATGGATGACGGGGAGTATAGATGAGGTGGATATATCGCGTTGCACATAGATCATGATTATGGATGAGGATGAATGAATATGAATATGATATGAAAATTCAAGTTCAAATGAGAGACTCCCGTGGGATAATTTCCTCTCGTACCTACATATGACCAGAAATTCCTGTGGGCCTTCAATTCAATGTGGACTGATACTACTTTGTACCAGTACTTGTAGACTCGTCGACGTCACACCAAGAAAGGCTAAGCATTGGCACCAAAAGGCAGTCGCATTCACGTCTTGTCCGATGTAATCCAAGAATTTCCCCCAAGAGAATGTTCCTACTATTTGAACTTATTTCAAGCTCAATCGCACCCTTACAAACCCCATTGAATTGAGTCGAGTTCATCTCCCAAACCACAATGGTGAACGTCTTCCGGCGTTTAACCGGACGAGCGCCAAGCTCAAGCTCAAACACAGCCCAAGACCAGCAAACCACAGCAACATTGACAGGATCAAGGCCAAGATCCGGGTCTCTCCCAGTCCGCTCCTCTTCTCACGGTCGCATCCATCGCTCGCAGAGCCTGAGCTCGACTAAACGTCTCCGCCGCGCACCGGCCGAGGAATCCTCGCCCAGACACTTAATTCTGATATCTGATACCCCGGAGATCGACGAGCGCATTCTTCATCGATACCAGGCCGAGGGGTTTAATGTTTCGTATCTGCCTTTCCTATGCAGTGAGGATCCGGAGCGTGATCGGAAACATCTGGATAATGCAGTTCATTTGAGAGAGGACGAACTCGAGGCTGGCGAGAGATATGCTATTGTCGGTATGTTACTACTTCCCTCCAAGATAGATGAGTGTCTTCCAGTTCACCGGGAAAGACTCAAAAGAAATTTAAACAACAGCTAATAAGACTTCTTTCACCAGCATACAACAGACCAGCATACTACCTCCTCGCCTCCCACCACCTCGTCGCAAGCAACACAAACCCCTTCCCCCGCCTCGTCGCTTTAATAGCCTACTACCCATTAACCTCGACGGCAGCTCTCCCGCACCATCCGTACAATACAGAGATCTGCGTTCCCGCTTGCTGCGATACATCGTCTATCTTCGAGCCAGGCCCGACAACAACATATCTCCCCATCCAAATCCATATCCCGGGCCCGAAAACGGACCCTGAGACGTTATGGCCGTGGATTACGATTTCTTCGTCAGAGGGCGATGTCACGTATAAGAAGAGACATCGCTGTTACGTGTATACGTACCCGGACGCTGGGTTTCGGTTTGCGGAGCGTGAGTTTGCGACTGCGAGGAAGAAGGGTGATTCTGGGTCTGGGTCTGGCTCGGGTGCAGGAGCTGTGAGTAAAGGCCATGACGTGACGGAAGAGGATACTGTTTGTGAGAATTTGGCGTGGAGTCGGGCTCTGGCTTGTTTGAGGCGCGCTTTTGGGGTTGGGGGGAACTGGGCTATCGCTGATATCGAGACGGTTTGGGAGAGTTATTGGGCGCTTTTGCTGGAGGAGATTGCGAGAAAGGAGGGGCGTGGACATGGACATGGGCATGATGGCGATGCGCTAAGTGAGGCGATTTTGGAGTTGGTTTCTGCTGGGGATGAGGGTCATGATGGTGAGGTTGGTGTGGAGTGTATTCCTACCAAGGCCGGCGGTATGTCTTATTTCCTCTTGCTTTGTTGCAATCATTTTGGTACTGACTGGTCATACCATAGGATCTGGGGTGGATTCTTTGAGATCCTTCTTCGCGCATATCTTTCTTCCTGCTGGTCCTGTCAGCCAGGATCTTCGTCTGTTGTCACGGACAGTCGGTGCAGATCGCATCGTGGATGAAATCTCTCTTTCTTTCACTCATACAGCAGAAGTACCTTGGTTACTGCCTGGCGTCCAGCCTACGAATCGCGATATCAACGTGAAAGTCGTTGTTGTGGCAAGCTTTTGCGCGGACAAGATTGTTCACCAGAGCTTGTATTGGGACCAGGCGGACGTGCTGGTGCAAGCTGGAATACTAGACCCAACACTAGTACCGCAGAGTAGGTAACAGCCCTGGAGGTTCTCAGTGAATCATTCCATGGGGAAGTTGAAATTTCAGAAATGCATTCTTAAGCGCTATGCTATAGTGGATATCAATCAACTCTTGTCACTCTTTCATCTATTGTTCCAGTCGTGACCGTAGGTCAGCAATATCCTCACTCACACCACCTGCACTAGTCAGTGTTCTCCGACTGGCCTCCTGCGCCACGGGAGAGAATATCTTCAATCCGCGCCGCCGAACCTGCTTTAGCAAGCCCGGAAACCACGACGCCGAGCAGGGTATCTCCAGCCCCATTGACGCTAACTACCTCGTGAGGGGCCAATGTAGCAGCAGGAGGGAATAAGCGCATATAAACACCACCGAACGAAGCCTCGGCAGATGAATCAGATCGAGCCAGAATATAGGGAGCGGACTCGGGATCTGTAAGGCGAGGATCCCCCGGCGGCAAGAGCTGAGTGAGGAGAGCGCCCGCATCACCGAGTTTGGTTATCAAACATGGAATGAATGGAAGAAGCTGAATAGACTGTTGCGGTAGGCCTTCGTCAACGAGAGCAGCAGATGTAGCAGCAACCAAACGTTCCCGCGAACCAGTAGGAGACAAGCCCATTGCATTAATCATACTCCACCACCCGGGCGAGTCGAATAAAAGCGTCTCCCTCGCGGCGGCGTACATGGCTGCCAGCTCGAGACGATTAGGACAAGCGAGACTAACAGTGTGGTTGGGAATTGTATTCGCAGGTCCAATAGCCGCACCAGCACCGCTCGCATCGTGGCCAAATAGACGCCGCGATTTGGCAGTTGATACGGGCTCAAAGGCCACGCGGGCCCCGTGTTTACGGGCAATAGCGCTCCATTTGGCGATCACGTCTGGTCGCCAGTTCGCATCGATGACCACCCAGCTAGGCTTGCTGCGCTCTAGGAGCGGTTCCCAGAAACCCTCGAGATCGAGCTGTTGCTCTGAGAGTTCTACGATGCCCATGTCTGCCATCGCTACCAGAAGATCTTTCTTTGCGTCGTTGATGGCGACGTATTGCGCTGTTCGGGCCCCGACTGTGGCGGGGAGGACTTGAATTCCTGCATTGCTGAGCCCTTCTGTTTCGAGGGTTGCGAGCGCGGCTCGGCCGCTTAGATCGTTGGCTACCACACTGCAGAAGAGGACTTCGCTTCCGATATAGCGGGCTGCGAGGGCGACGTTGTGGCCGACGCCACCGAGGCTTTGGCTGATGACGGCTGGGTTGGAGGTGTGTGGGAGTGGTGTGATTTGGGCGCGTTCGTTGTCGAATGGGGTGTAGTCGCATGAGAGGTCGATTGCGAGGGAGCCTGCGACAAGTACGTCGGTTTGCTTGGTTGGCTCAGAGGTGGTGATAGGCCGAGGACTTTCTTTCGGAGTTAGGGTTTGCTCTGGCGCTGGGTTCAAGAAAACGGGCATGGCATGTCTATACGCAAGAAGAACTCCGAACTTTAGTATGTTGCGTTTCATTCTGTATCTAAGCATCCTACTCACCCCGAAGTTCCACGCTCCATGGCCTCCAGCTTGGCTAACTCCACAGCTACCCGGGTGGCACGTTTGACATTTGATTCAATCAAAGCACGGTTGGCGATTATACTCTTGCCCCCGCTTAGCTCTTTGATTTTGGACAACACGAATGGTGTGTTGTCGCTGCCTCGGTAGCCTTCTACGTCCGCGAGGCGGACTGCCTCTTCGATGACAAGGTCCATCTCCGCTTTGGGAACGGAGTATTCCAGAGGAACGGGATTGGCGAAGTGGATTCCAGATGTGACTGGGAGTCTGGATTGTGCATCTATTATATTGTCAATTGGCTGCTGGGTCAATGTCAAATAACAAAAACTTACAGACAATGGCGGCGGCTTCGGCTTCATTTTGAATGACTCGGGGGGCTTCGCACTCCGCTGTCTCGGGTATAGAAAGCAGGGAAGTCTACTGGGCCATCACGGCCATCAGCAAAAGTACCTACACAGACACCTTCGGTCTCGAGGTACTCCAGCGTTCGGGGGATGTCTAGGAAGCTCTTGCATCCAGAGCTGATGACGGTGACTGGCGTCCGTCCCAGTTCAGTCAGGTCGGCTGAAGAAAGCATTAGCATAAGGATGAGAGGAACACTCTTGGGAATATATGCAATGAGAGAGCTGTCATACCGGAAACATCCATTGTGTTCTCACCACCTCGGTGAACGCCGCCTGGTAACTCCTATTAGCTTGATTTTATGGAAAGGCAGCAAGGTGTAAATACCTAGTCCACCAGTTCCAAAGATCTTGATTCCTGCCAACTCGGAGAGAATCATAGTGCCAGAAATGGTTGTGCCACCATGGATCTTTTTTCCAGCCATGCCCTGGGATATCATTAGCTGTTACGTCCACGCACGCCAAGCTTGAATGCGGGGAACCTACCATGCCACAGATATACCCTAGATCCCGGCGGGAGACCTTCAGGGCGGATTTGTTCTCTGCGGTCGAAGCCAGTTCGATGATCTCTTCAGGACTCATGCCAACCTTGGCAGTACCCCCAAGAATACCGATTGTTGCAGGAACACCGCCATTGCTCCGAACCACCGACTCCAATAGAGTTGCCAGAGCGATGTTCTCGGGGTAAGGAAAACCTGTTTGAGTTAGTTCAGCATTCTAGGATGTAGAGTAGTTTACAACACTAGAATCATTACAGGGAACTGTCAAGATGTGAATCATACCATGTGTATAGATCGTTGTCTCTAACGCAACGACTGGCTTTCCTGTTGCGACAGCATCGCGCACCTCTTCGGATACATTCAAGAACCGACTCTGGGGGTGTTTGTGAAGGCTGTGAAGCTGACGAGCCCTGATTATAGGTGGAGATTTCCTCAAGCAGGAGCGTAGAGCAGCTCTGACCAACATTGTGTAGGATGAAGTGGGCAAAGAAGGTAAGATACCCCAAGGTCCAAGGTAGCAATAGAAAAGAGGAGAAAGCTGTTATCGATAAGCGCGCGGAGGTGCGCTTTGTGGCCGCCGCGCCTGCCGTAGCGATAGTTGATAGTTGATAGACTGGGGACACCTCAGCAGCTTCCATCCACCTTGACTGGTTCAATCAACCCACCCCCTCCAACCCCTCCCTCTTTTCTTTCGCAATTGATTTCGTCTCGGCGTGATTCCCTCAGTCATCATGAGGTTTTCCACTGCCACAGTGCTTGGTCTATTGACGTCCAGCCTGGCCGCCGCAACCAACCTCACATCGCCATCCCGACTTGCTCTCCCGGCCGATTTCAAGCCCCAACAGGTCTTTAAGAACACCAATCTCGTTCGAAACACCAATTTGGAGAAGGGTTACGTGCGCGAGACTATCAATGTTGTCGTGGAGAATATCGACAAGAAGGCCCAGTCCGACTACTACATTCCCTTCTCTTCAGATGTGTTTGAGCGAGTAGGTGGCTTCGAAGTCCGAGATAAGAAGGCGACCGACAAGGGCCGATTTGTGGTCGATGCGACAGAAGTTGTTTCTGCCAGGTACGCTTCAATTGGAACGAAAAAGAAAACCCAATGGCTGCCATACAATCTCTATGTAATTGGAGCTCTGGAACTATCGCTAACTCCACCTTTCATAGTGGTAATCAGTACTTCGTTGTCCATCTTCCCGAGCCTTTGGCCCCGAAATCTCAGATCACTCTGGGAATCTCTTATTCCGTGTTGAACTCGCTGAGCCCTCGCCCCGCGACTATCGGCCAGAGCGACAAGCAATACCTCCACTACGCTTTCTCTGCCTACGTCCCCTCCGCCTACCAAACCATCACCCAAAAGACAAAGGTCAAGTTCCCCAGCACCGATGTCCCCGACTATACCACGACCTCGGATCTCAAGTCTGGCGCCGACCCCGAGCGCAAGGGTACCACCTACACCTACGGTCCTTATGACACGACCAAGGTCGTCCCCGGCACTGAGTACCCCATCGCCGTCCGCTACGAGTTCACCAACCCCGTTGTGACCGTGCATCTGCTGGAGCGTGACCTGGAAGTCTCGCACTGGGGTGGTAACCTGGCCACCGAGGACCGCTACTGGCTGCGAAACAACGGTTCCGAATTGACCAGCCAGTTCTCTCGTGTTGACTGGACGTTCGCCAACTACCAGCGCGCGCCGACCTCTGCTGTCCGTGAGATCACTTATCCTCTAAAGCCCGGTTCCGTCGACCCCTACTTCATTGACGACATTGGCAATGTTTCGACCAGCCGCTACCGCCCCGGTAACGGTAAGACTGCCGGCAACCTGGAGCTCAAGCCCCGCTACCCCATCTTCGGTGGCTGGAACTACAGCTTCAAGGTCGGCTGGAACAACGATCTGGCCGCGTTCCTGCGTGAGACTATCAAGCCCGACTCGTGGGTTCTCAAGGTCCCCTTTATCCAGGGACCCAAGGCATCCGAGGGCGTTCAGTACGAGCGTGTTGTTGTGCGCATTGTGCTTCCCGAGGGGGCGCACAATGTTCGTTTCCAGACTGTCGAGGGCTCTTCCAGCAATGGCCTTCCTGGCGCCAACCAGATCCATGCTAGCCTCTCCTCTTATAAAACCTTTATGGATACTCTTGGCCGAACCACGTTGACCCTGGAGGTTGACGGCTTGACTGACGAGGCACGGGATGCGGGGTTGATTGTAAGTTTCCTACTCACTTCGAAGGCCCTTTTCAATTCTCAAACATAGCTAACAATGACATAGGTCGCATACGATTACACCCTGATGGATGCCCTGCGCAAGCCGCTAACCCTCTTCGGTGGCTTGCTTTCCGTTTTCATTGCTCTATGGGCAATTAGCAATATCGATGTCAGCATCAAGAAGCGCTAAAGAAAGTCTTCCTTTGCCAGGGTGCATGTTTCATATTGTTTTTCTATAGGCCCTGTATCTGTCTCTATATTGAATACAAATCGAGTTATCTCTGCCCATTGGTTATCCGCTAGTAGTATCGTCTTCGAGTTGTCGGACAATTTAGCTATTTTGCAGGCATCCCTCTAGCTCTAACAATGTTCTTGAGTACCTAACAACCCCGGGTACTCTCTTTGATACTGTTTAGAGAAGGAAAAATATTTCTGTTGAAGCGCAGATACTCCATGTTTCCAGACCACCTACCTCTAGGCTTTCTTTCCCTATTTGCCAGCTTGTCATTCAAACGCATCTCATTCGACGCCACCTCATACATAGATGCACCCTGAGGAATGCCAATGCCTTAGTTAGTATACTAATAACACAACATGGAGTAAGTCCAGGGGTAAGTTCCATCGATTTTAGTAGTGATGAAATTGATGACTCGGAAGGGCCCGTCATGGCGCGTAGTACCGCCCAGAAACATAATATTATTGAATTTATGAGCAATGCTTCCAAGGTTCAATGTTATCGTTAAGCATCCGCAGCGCAGCTCTTGGAAAGTGCGTTGCTACCTTCGTGTATAACCTAAACTGTCATGTTTCACCAGTCCTCCGTGACCTCGTAAGCCCACTGTACATCAAGATAGTGGTTGTTCTCGTCCGCGAAAGAAGATGTTACATCATATCTTCCAAAAACCCCCATGCCTGACGGAACCTCTTCGCCACCAACTGATAGAAAAGTCTTAGTATTAATATAATGGTAGCACCAAGGTCCAAGGTGTTGTCAAATAACTCACATGTCACTTCAAAATCAGGCTGGCCCTCTAGAACAGGGGCATATGCACCCTATTGGATCCGTTAGTGGCGTATTATCAAGACGATGACGTTATTACTCACCATGAGAGTTTCACTCTTCTCAATCAGAATGCCCTGGCGTTTCTTTTCCTCGAGGTAATTCAAACCACGAATGACATCCAATCGCACCGTGAAGACAATTTTCAGTTGGTAGGTGGCGCCCTCCTTTATTTTGACGGGGTGTTCGGATAGCTTCTTGCGCGAGTCCGGAGTTGAGATATCAAGAATGATATCTTCACGTCCCTCAATCTCGAGGACAATAGACAAGAAAATGACGTTTCTCCTCTCCACGGCCATTTTGGTGGTTATATAGAAAAAATAAGAAGATAATTGAATTAAAATGGTGGTCAGCCTCCACAGCTGAATATTCTTCAAAGTTCGTTCGGTGCGGCTCTGTTCGTTAGGCGGTGGAGATAATTTTGCACGTTTTGAGCGTGATCTAGACAAGGCGGTGTACTATTTACTAGAACATGTCTAGTTTGGAGTTGCACTTCATTCATCCCCATTTCAACGCTGAAATAACATGCACATACTCGATGACGCTTAATACTAGAGAATATCAACGGGAAATTCAACAAACTTATCCCGAACATAATCCAAGAAACCCTTTCCGAAGCCATCAAGACGGCTCGAGCTGCTCACTCCGCGACCCAGAATTCCATAAACAACAAAATGCACAGCATGTATATGAGGAAACTCAACGCGCTCGATAAAGAAACTGTCATGCCAGTCTGCTCCAATAAGTTGGCGCATACGATCTTTGGTCATGTAACCCTGCAGCCAGGGCCAATGGCGAGGGTTTTTAGGAAAGAACCCCACGTTGAGATTCCCTCCCTTATCCCCCGATCGACCTAAGGCGACATCCCCTAGTCTAATCTGTTTAGTGTCGCAGGTGTATAGCTGTGGATCCTTGGGGTCATAGTTATCGCGCGTGTCAAGTTCTTCGTATCGGGGTGGGTGCCCAGTCCCGAAAGTAGATATCTTGTTTGGTCCGTCGATGAAGTTGATCGTCTCGCTGATATCTGATTGGTTGACTATTGCTGGGTAGTAGGCAAGAAATGGTCGAGGAATCGCTGTTCGCATATCCAACGAAGCATGAAAGCCTTTGACGCGAGCTCATTGTCAGTTTTCTTTCCCCTTTCATTTTCTCAGATTAAAATAAAGTGCAAAGGATCTTGTTCATACCAGAGAAATGTTTGAGAGAAATATTCCCCATTGCCTTTGCTACCGCGATTACAGCGCTCTGGCTTCGAGACGTACTCAAAACTCGAAGGTAAGTCGTGCTGTTTAGCTGAGATTGTGGGTTCTGAGCAGGAACTCCGGCTCTGGCTCCATTTATTAGCTCTATTCTGGAACCCGATGAAGCTATTCTAGAGTTGCTCGGCTGCTTACCGTTGAAACTCTAATGTTTCCAGATCTTTCATGATATCTGCTGGAATAAAGTGACGGAGTTGCTTTTCTAGAAGATCCCACTTCTTGGATGTGCCATATCCAGTCGCATTGAGAAGGAGCTGGGCTTCATATCCGCCTTGGTAAAAAATCGCGCATTTTGTTGTCGGCGGTGGCGGTGATCCTCGAATGCCGGATATTAATACACTGTAATTTATGAATCAGTTCAGTTACACTGACTGCAGGGAAATGAAATCAGATGTTCAAAGAGGCATCCGCTTCAGCGAAAGCGCACATACCGATCTTTCCCAGCCTCCTCAACGTTTACGTTGGCGATATGGGCGCTGACATCGCTGTTAAGGTATGTATTTCCCTGCAGTTCATACAAGAACTGACAGCGAACAGTATCCATGTTGATGAACCCATCTGTCCCGGGATGTTTGGAAATCACGCATGTACCATCCACAGCGATTTCAGCGATTGGAAACCCTGGCTTCACAAGGCTATCCAGGTCATAATTATCAAAGTCAGCGAAATTACCACCAGTCACGTAAGCTGAACATTCAATGAGATGGCCCGCGATCAAGGACCCCGCGAGCTCGTCATAGTCTGTTTCGCACCAGTCGTGCCAGAACCAAGCAGCAGCAATGACGGGGCTGGCATCAGCTACTCGGCCACAGATGACAATATCAGCTCCCCGTCTCAGACCTTCGACTATTCCTCGAGCTCCGAGATATGCGTGTGCGGAAATCATTGGTACTGGGTCCCCACCATTGCTGAGAAACGCATAAGTGAGCTCAGCTGGAATTGTGGAAGTATTTGCAGAGTCTAAGTGACGCAATTCATCTTTTGTGGTTGGCATATTTGGGCCAAGGGTTGGATATAGGTCATCACCTGAGAGATACGCAATGCGAAGATTGAGTTTCTTCTCGGATACCTATCAAATCCAAAGGGTCAGCAAATGAAACTCCGGGCTTTGTAGACAGGTATAAATCCAAGACTATTCACTAACCAAAGCCTCCACCTTCAGTGCAAGCGCTTTAGGATCGAGAGCACCCCCATTGATGACCACTCGGATGCCCTTTTGGGCAATTACATCTATTGTCTGCTGAAGTCCATCCCAGGCGGTTGGTTCATATCCCGGATGCTTTCCGTTTCTCCAAGCTTGTGCGTTATTGGCCAGGTTAACCTCTGGAACCCTCCGTATCAGCCAGCTGCTAGTCCAGTAGGTAACCGATGCAGGATCGGGTGTAAGTACAAACCTGCAAGATAATCGCCAGTGATAAAGTCAACATCGCCTAGGGTGGCCTGTCGATACATTTCGAAAGCCGGGTCCCCTACCCCGCAAGATTCAACAAAGAGCCCGAAGGCATTTAGTGGGGTAAACTATGAAAACATACCATGATAGCCAGAACAGTTGGCTACTTTCACTGGTCGCTTTTTAGTATGAAGTACCATTTCGATGATGGAGGGCCGATTCAAATTTAAGATTAGTATCGAAGTTGGATACTCTAATGAACCTGTTTAAAAGGATCTACGGCAATTCTCAATTTAGACCCAAAGCGCATCTTATATCCGTGTTTCAACATTTCCAGGAAGAAGTTAGGATTGCAAAATTCCGTGGTCCGAGGCCCACGGACTACTTTTTTGGCGCTGTGGGGTAATACAATACTTTGCAATGATTTGACCGAGGTACGTAATGTCCATTGCACTAGTTCCCGGATTTGTCGTATTTGTCGACAAACCTAGAGAGGGGTACTAGAAAGGTAGTCATAGATCAGGTTTTCCCCAAACCCGGTGGACTAACGCGGGACATTGGGTGGGGTTCCCCGTGGCCCACGGAAGGCTTGCTCCACGGCCCGTGGGGGCCGAAAGAAAACAATAAGGGGCTCAATTTTCAGTGGAATACTATTCATTTTTTAATTTTTGATTGCAAGCTTTGCCATTGACCTTTTTGACCCCACATTTCTGTGGCAGATCTCTCTAACTTCATAACTCGATTAGCATTGACGCTCTCCGTCCTACTGTACATCCAGACATACCCATTTCACCCAACATGGCCATTCCCCACGAAACAATCCCTGGCACAGATGTGTACGGCCCGGGCACATTTATCGACAAGACCGTCCTTCCCGTGCCAGAAGATGCCAAGCGGGTGTTTGAGATAATCGCGTCCAGAACACCGGGTTTCACCCAGAACAAGGCCGCATGGGACACCGTTCACTTTGAGGGGCAGCCAAAGCCCATGGTCCCAGGTCCAATCAAATCCGCTGTTACAAGCGCCGTGCTTCATGCTATGGCCGGTCTGGTCGGAAATGAGTTACTGGAGCTTCGTGATGGAAAGCCTGTGACGGAGGGCAGTGTGACGGTTGACACCGACCACGCTGGAATTTGGCTTGGCTCCGTCTTCACCACCCACATCGATGGCATGGACATGTCGGCATGGATGAAGTCGGGGAAAATGGGCTCTTTGTTTCCCAAAGACTATGAGCATGGTGTATTCCAGGGCATCGCGGGCCGAACCACGGCGATTTTTCAGACCAAAGATCCTAAAGTCTGGTATCAGTTGCATGGCTCTTTGGATGCTGCGAAAACACTCGAGTCTATGGGAATTGACGCTAGCGTCAAATTTGACAACCCCAAGGAGTACTACGACTATATTCAAAAACACGTTCTTCAATGGAGCCCAGACGAGCTCGAGATGCACAACGTGCGCCATGGCCTCTGCGGAAGCATTTGCTACTCACCTGACGGCTGGAGAAAGACTGAGATGGGTAAACGACTGAATATGCACCCTTTGGTTAATTATGCGGAACAGAAATATGCTAAATCAACATCTCCCGTGCCGCTCGTCAAGGGATTGCCTGATCGTCGCCCCCTTGCCGGTATCAAGGTTCTGGAGATGGTTCGAATTATTGCTGGTCCTCAGATCGGCGTCACACTAGCATCTTACGGAGCCGATGTCATTCGGGTGAACTGTAGCAGACTGATTGATCTAAATGTAAGTTGCCTTGTACTCTGGATGGTCACGGCACGCGATTCCAAGATTGACAATATACTCTAGGTTTTGCAACTCGTCCTCAACGCGGGAAAACGGACTGTCGACCTTGACATCACCAAGCCGGAAGATATGACTCGTCTTCAAGAACTTCTTGCCGATGTTGACATCTTCATTCAAGGCTTCAGAATGGAATCTTTGAAAAACAGGGGTCTTGGCCTACATGATCTTTTGGAATTAGCCGCCAAGAGAAATAAGGGAATAATTTATGTTGACGAAAATGCCTATGGACCGGATGGTCCTTTCCATGCACGACCAGGCTGGCAGCAGATCGGAGACGCTGCATCCGGAAGCTCATATGTTATGGGCAGATCGCAGGGGCACGAAGAAGGAAAGAGTGTGCTACCACCTCTCCCGGTCTCCGACATGGTTACTGGAATCGTGGGCGCATTAGCAGCCATGATGGCAGTTCGCGACCGTGCGATCAAGGGTGGCTCATACCACGTTACTAGCTCCCTTGTTGCTGCGGATGCCATATCTCTGGACCAGGAAGTCGGCTTGTACCCGATCGACGTTGTTCAAGATACTGCCAAGCGTCTTGCTTTCCCAGACACTACCCCAGACCAGTACGTATCAGAGGTTTTGGTATCGGTTGTGAATGGGTGGCAGAAGGCTCTTCCTGGTTATCTGGACGAAGTCTCGAAGCTGATGACAACCTTCGAAGGGGGATTCTGGAAACGCCAGACTATCTTGAAGCCTGTGGCACGACTCGGAGATGAGGAATCAACACCAAGTTGGACATCAGCTCCCGTGCCTCATTGCCATCATGACCGCTCATCAACTTGGCTTTAGATATGATCATGGTGATCTAACAGGTAGATATCCTTAAGCAGTGACTCATAGCACTGTCAAGTCATTTGTATGAAGAAAGGTCCTTGATTGGTATGCTATGTCATCGAGCCTTTTAATAATGATCAAATCGAAAGTCTTAAACAATGCATTTATCCTCCCTCTGTTCAGTTCGAAGGTGATGGCATGCCGATAAGCATATCCTGCAAATTCCAGAACGGCGGAACTGACCATTGTGCATTAAACAACTCGGAGTTAGTATCTGTAAGAAGGTCAACCTCATTGAAAACACTTTGGTCAGCGTAGGTACTAGGCTGCCGCTGCTGCTCAGACATCGCACTGTCTGCATCGACGGCATCTTCGTTGAGACCGGTTGTTTCTGGATTGACGACATCGTTCTGCGCTTGGTGAAAAGCGCATTTGGCAGAGCGTTCCAAATCAGAGCACACACTCAATATGAAATCGACAAAAGTGCCTGGTTCCTCGCAAGACACACTTGCGAGGAATGTTGTCGCTTCTTTGATCATGCTTAAATCGCTATTGGCATTTCGATGGGTAGGATGAGCGTAAATTTCAGATGATAATGCAACAGCTGCCGTGGCGAAGAAATAAAGCACGTTCCTTATTGATTCAAGATTAGATGGTGTTTGCGAACGTTTGCTATTACTCAACTCACCATCTGTAGTCAGATGCCAGCAAGCGGACATATGGTAGCAAAGAAAGCGCAGATCGCGCAGAATCAATGGATCGTACGCGAAGTGCTGCAACACCTTTGTCAACCTCATATTGGATCTCATTAGATGAATCGTTGGCAGACGACGTAACGAAGGGCGTTTGGCGGAGATTCGCATAGCAACAGTGGTATGCAAGATTCAATCGCAGGATGTGGTCCCTGGAGTTATTTGGTTCGGAATTAAATATCTTTTCTGGTTCAAAGATATGGATAGAAGAGTTTTTCCATTGCAATAAGGCCTCTTCGCAAGCCTCGGCCGATTTGAAAGCTACCTCTTTGGATCGTGGGATAACGGCTACGGTCTGTAGATGCCGGTAGATAAGTCTCTGTACTGTTGCAAATTGGGCCAATTGGCGAAAAAAGTTGATCGAGGTCCCATTAATAGAAATAATACCTCGGCTATCGTGGGGCGACTCTGCTGGCAGTGGCGTGTTATAATCATCCATGTCTTGAGCCGGCGGACGCCCAACCCGGAGGGAGATATCTGCATCCAAAATGAATGATATCCAGAATGTTCTTCGTCTTTCTTCAATCTCCACGGGCGTGAAACCCGAGGTAGTGTTTCGATGTAATCCAATAGAGTGGGCTAGGCGCATCGCCGATGCCGCAAACATGAACAGGGCTTGAGCATTAGGCGTGCCTTGGAAGTAAAGAGCCAGTCCCAGTAGCCCCTGTACAGCCGGGAGGTCGGCATTCCGTAGGAAAAGGTCCACCACCACATTCATTGCGTTTTTGACGTGACCCAGTGATTTTTGCCAATCACTACTGGAATTGGTAGATGTTTGCGCTCGCTCTTTGTAAGAAAAAGCCATCACAATGTTTAGCAGTATCCATGACGAAGGACTATCATCCGGATTCCAAGAAAATTGTCTCTCCGCCAAACGCAGAAGAGATGTTTCATCGACCAGCGGAATAGTGCGATTGAAGTTAGAAAGAAACTCGAACACTAGACTCATTGCGTCCTCTTTTGACGGCAAAGGCTGGACGGCACGATGCTCAAATGTGTCTTGAAGGATCCTTGGCATCCAGTTTGTCAACGGCCACTGGGTAGCGCTGCATCGGGCCGCATGCTCCCAGTCCAGCTTTGGTTGTTTGCCCTTTGGGCTCTTGGAAATTTGATTGCGCTGCACTCCAAATCCAGAAGATGCCCCTGAATTATCAAGTTAAATTCCGAACGCCAAGAGTAATGAGATAGACTCACCGAAGAAGCGCATCTTGCCGTCCTGCGTTCGTAGAACGTAAGATGGTTGATCAGCTGTGTCTAGACCGGCCTGAGAAAGTTCGTTTTCCGGGGACAAATTTTCCATCAATATCGTACTTTCTCCCCTCTTCCGTGTTTCGAAGCGATCAGGCGCTGCATCCTCAGGCCTATTCGTACTGGGCCGAGGGGGTGTGAAGTTATGTCCACTCTGTTGAGGTAATTTCTCACTTTGTCTCAGTCGCTGCAATTCATCGTCCATCCTCTTGACCCGCTGTTCTAGTTCCTCCACGTATTCCCTGAAAAATCACAAGTTGGTTTTGTTCTTCTCATTGAGGCGGCATGTAAAGAAAAGAAACCTAATTCACCTGTTGGAGCGACTCGATTTTGTTCCTGTGTCTTCAAAGCCGCAGGGAAGCTTGAAAATGACACATGACGAGCAAGTTGGTCGTTTCCCATCACACTTGACCTTTTTTCGTCGGCAAGTATTGCATGCCTGAACTGGGTCAGACTCAATGCAGGCGACTGCTATCCCTAGGTTGGGCTCCACGAACCTTGGCCGGGCGGACTTTCTCAACACGAGGTCTTTGCTGCTTTTCCATTCCTGGAAATCTATGGTAAACCCAGCTTCTATTTCAGCTTCTCAGGTGCCGACACAAGAGCGTGACAGAGCCGAGGCTGGCTTCCTCGTCCACGTTCGATTTTGCACAAACTAGCTATCTTTTCACAGGCAGTTTTATAAGAAACGATATTTCTGACAATCACCTATTAAGAATAGGTCAAATGGGACCAAGTCAAGTGACAAAAGCTGTAATGACAATCGGACGAATACAATCAAGCGCGACATCCGACAACATGCGAGATATCACGTGACAAGGGCTCGCGTTGGAATGGGCCAATCAGAAGGAGGAGCTTGCTGTGTACAATTATAATTTCCGGATTATATTTATTTTACATGAGGCTGTACGAGATATATGCATATATGATGTTTTATCCTACCGAGGTACCTGTACTTGTATTGAGGCTGGAATACAGGCAGGGCACAACCAATAGCGTCATTGTAACCTTGGAAGTTCTTGAAGTATGGGTTCTACCGTTGCAGTGCTTAGCAACAAGTTGGAAACTTGAATTCTGAGATTACTAGAGCACTATGGTATTTCTTACAAGCTTGGAAGCATACTAATATTAAATAATTAAGTTGGTGAGTTTGAGCTTGATCAAATAGCATACCCTTTAGTAGAGAATTGGAAATTCATTCAAATAATACCATGAGGCTCTCCACGGACAAAAGAGTGGCCTCGAATTCATTACTAGACACTGTACAAGGTAAAGCGATACCGCGCGAAAGAAAAGATAAGCGCACTGGGCTCTATTTTCAAGACATGCACCTCTCCGTCATCACAAATGGCCCTACGCTCTTTTAAGAGCGGGGAACACCGTCAGCGACCTGGTGGCCAGTAGGATACTTGCCGAAGCAAGCATGTTGGTACTGGGCATTCTTTTTAAGGGTCGGAACACCATGCAAGAACCGATTCACAGGGCAGAATCCATTCTTAGCACCTTCACAGCCAAGAAGGCCCTTAGTCGGCAGCGGGGCACCGTTCAGCACAAAACGAATGTACTCGGTAGTATCGTTCCCTTTGAGAATCGGGTTGGTATAAAGCACAGGATCCAACTCCTCGAACGAAGTATTGGCAGGGCAAGACCAGATCTCCGACATCAGTCTAGCCCCGAAGGGGGTCATATCGCTTAGGGCAAAGGCGCGCTGGGATGGAGCGTGGGGCAGATCGCTGGGCAAACCGTGGGGACCGAATTTGAAGTGCTCGAGGCCGAGGGCGTTGATTACGGACAAGATGATGTCATCGTGGGACATATCCAGGTAGAAGGGCTGATCGAAGGGAAATTGGGCTTCGTTGTTGTCGTATGTGTAGTTAATGCTGGTGTCACTTGTTGTAATCAGCTTGTGTTGCAGGCGAGCAGCCAGTTCGAGGACGTAGCCGATGCCTTGGGCACGGCCGGTCGGTGAGCCGTAGGCGTAGTCACCGTAGTACTGAATGTCGACGTTGTAAGCGAAGTCCTTCCACTCTTGCTCGGTAAATAGCGAGCAGAAGGATGAGCCAGCGAAGCTGGTGTATTCGTATGCGCAGAGGTTTTGCATAGCTAGAACGTCCATCGCGGTCAGGTTAAAATCTTTGGGGAAGTACTGCGAAAGACGGATACGGGCATCTTTGGTGTATCGTGAGATGAATGTCTCGGCGGCATTGTCACTGTAATCTAGTTAATGTCACCTCCTCGCGTGGGACGGACGGGGGTAAAAATGCAGACTCGCTTACCCCTCAGTCATATCTCCGGGGCAAGACTCGTAAGAAGCCAGAGTGTTGTTGAACGGAGATGTCTCAGGGATGATGACCAAATCATACTGATCGTACGAGCTGTTGGCGCCGCTGTTACCAAAGTAGCCACCTATCAATGGGTAAGTTGTTGTTCATGTATAGGTTGGGATGAGGTTTCTGCTCACTGAGCCACCAGCGAGCACTCTCCAAAATGCGGCTTTGGGAAGTGGTTCGGAAAACAGGCTTGGGGCGAGCAGTCCCGTTTGGCCAGACATTCAGAGACTCATTCCAAGCAGCAACATGATCCCGGTCAGGACGATACAGAAGTCGACCGTACTTAATCCAGAAATGAGCACCGGAGGTAGCTTCGGTAGCTGCACCAGTTTCCATCAGAATATCCGAGCCAATAACATAGTCCCAATCATTCAGGAATTTCAATGGACCGGTAGCAATATTTTTGCCGGGGTGGGCTTTGCTATAGTTGGTGAATTTGGCTGCGAAGTCTTGCATGCCTGCGCCGTCAAGAGGGTAGTCTGTGGGGTACCGCTCTGCATGACGATGCAGAACGTGCACCTGCGATAATTCACATCCCTGGGGCACCCCCTTTGGCAAGCCAAAGCTAGTAGCATCTTTGTATGGGCTTAGGTTGGCCCAGCTCTTGGTCATGTCAAACCCAGACGCGTAGTCGCTGCCTGTTGGCGCAGAGGCAGAGGCAGACGAAGTGCCAGTGGCAGTGGCGCCGGCGACAAGAATAGCTGTCGCTCCAATGATTCCCTTCATGGCTGCTCCTGTTCAATTGACGGGCAATTGGATTCGAAATGAGGGGGGTTCTTATCACGGAAAGCTTCCGAAAGGGGATGTTGATGCCGAGAATGCGACACCTGTGCTCTACTTTCTCTTTATCAACCACGGAGGTGAGATTGACGTGACGGCAGTCCTTGCAAGTTTCAATTCTGCAATGGAGAGCAATTGAAGATTAACTTCCAAGGTTCCCTCGCGGAGGTATCTTTGAATCCGCAAATTGTCCCACTTAGTCGGGCTATTGTTGTTCCACAGCCCTGGAGCCCTGAAGAGGCTGGTTGAGCGCCGATCCTTTCCGGAAGGTTTCCTGGGAATGCGACATAGGAGGATGACCCCCGCGTGGACTTCTCCGGTCGGAAATTAAAGTAGGTAGCCCGGAGCTTTAGTCCTGAGGTCGATCATGATGCTGTTTAAACTCTTAAAGTGAGCGCTGGGGATACCTAGTACTAGTAGGTAGAATGGAACTTCAAGTTCAAAAGGCTTGTTGAAGATCCATGGATACTAGTACTACTATTACAATTAGTACCTAGGTAGTAGTAGTTATATATCTCCGAGTCACGATCCGAGGTCATCACCTAGGCAGTTTGAACTTGAACTTCAAGGAGTTTCCTGCAGGCGGGAACTTCCTAGTTCAGGGCTGAATGAACTTCAAGTTCAACCTTCGGGGCTTGGAGGTTCAAGTTCCAGCTAACCTGTGCCAGACCTCGGCGGAAATTCTCCAGGGCTTGAGGCCTGGGTCTAGCAAAATCCTTTTTTTTTTTTAAAAAAAAAAATTTAGTATTCGCATTTTTAGATGTATTGTTTTTCAATGGCATATTTTCTATTTGCTCACCACACACCACCTGCCCGTACAATACCCAAAAAGAAAACGACAAACCACCTGAAGATGACACATGTATAAACGCAATCATAGGAATAAAAATCAAAAAGTAAACTCCGATAGGGGGAATCGAACCCCCCGGCTGCCGTGTGAGAGACGGCGATGTTAGCCACTACACCATATCGGATGTTGATGAAATCTGTGGCAAGACTTGACATTATAACCCAAGGAGACCCTCCGGTGAGAAATCTTGACCCACCCCACCACTCCCAGCCTGCCCAAGGTTCTTATCACAGTTTCAGTACTTTTAGTTTCACGCTGTTGCTTTCTTTTTCCACGCATTTTGACTCCTCTAGTGAGGCATTTTTCCTATTGATTAAGATACACAAATTCCGCCACACCTGGAATCTCTGACGCGACACACCAGCCTATCTCTCTCGTCTTCGCTCTATCGACCCTATTATTCCTTAGCTTCAAACCCCGGGACCCATTCGCTCAACACCTGGGCATACGCAATCTTACACTGAGTTCACTCCAGCGCATGGACCTGTAGCCCTGTCACATCTATGATAATTGGTCGGTTAATTATCAGACCTTGAACATGGATCTAGACGCACTTATCTCGCATTCACCGTGCATATCCGAACTGAGACATAAACTTTCTCGAGAACCTCATTGTCCAAAAAAAAGATGAGATACTCAAGTTTACATGTAGGGTATCCGGAACTACGAAATAGAGCGCAATTGGTCTCTCTGTATATGTTTCTGCCTTTGGATCGGAGTTCCAAGACAAGCCGAGACGGTTGGGGCGAAAGCGAATCGGGCCGGGTGGCTTACCGATTCAAGCTTTTAATCTATGCGAGGTGTGAGGTGGAGGGGCTAGCGGGAGTTCTATAAAAAGCACACTGTTCAACAGCCTCGAAACCAAATATACCATCCTTGCTACTGGCTCACTCGACACGAATTGGGGGGGCTTACAGGATTTTCCTTCTGACGCCTCAGACACGGAGTTATAGCTGTGGGGCGATTGTTGGAGCGATGTTCAAACTCGGTGAAACAGTCTAGCGAAAAAAATCTCAGCCTGATGATCGAAAGATGCTGGCGGAAAGCCGGTTAATAATTTTCCTTTACCAGATATAGAAACTGGGATGAAGGGATCTTTTGCAAGTAAGATTGATTGACCGCTTCAGGTGAATCTTGTCCAGAGAGCTTTGAAAACTTTGAATCGGCAGGGCATTTTCACCGATCAGCCGCGTAGGATCATTCGATGGGATCTGTCCGAGACACTCAGCTAAGACGTGCCCCCACAGCGTGCCCATACAGCGTGGTTGATAGGATCGCAGTTCGTGGGTCTGTCCTTATTGCGGAGCAAACTGACTGCTGCCAGTCCCGCTCGGCCCGATAAGGATCTGACGCGATGTATAGAGTACTCGAAAAGATTTCAACTTGGAACATTTGTCGCAGGTAGACTGATGTAGACATGTACCTTCTCTGTTTCTTCAATCTAATTCTCGTATACATTTCACATTCGCTTTTTCCAGACTTTTTTCCAACCCATTTTTTCCCATTTTGTTTCATTTTCAGCGTATCAAGATAACTTCATTCGTTCCCATCGTGTCACACAGTTGCGAGTGGCAGGATCTCTCACAGGCTCATCAGGCGCCCGATGTGCAACATGCAGCGCTCAGCGTTGCTCATACTTTCGTTCTTGAGCACTCTGGTTTTGTCTTGGCCTTATGACGAGTCACTCTCCGATTATAATGTTAACGAAAACAAATCTGCTACTGCCCCAATCGATTACTGGGGGGAATGGCCAAATCATGAATATCACCCGTCGCCGGATAACTGGCGTTTTCCTGTCTACACGATCTTCCTCGACAGGATATCAAATGGCGACCCAACAAACGACGATATCAACGGGACTACCTTTGAACATGTCGTCAACTCTAATCAAATGCGACACGGCGGAGATTTAGAAGGATTGCTGGATACACTAGACTACATTCAGGGAATGGGATTTAAGGTAAGTTGATGGTTGGGTATCATGCCGATGATCCATTGCTAATCCATTTGTTGACATAGGCTATTTACTTCGCCGGAACCTATTTGATGAACCTCCCCTGGGCCTACGATGGCTATTCACCGACCGACACCACCCTTCTCGATATGCATCATGGTACACTAGACGACTGGAGGCGGACTATTGCAGAGATTCACAAGCGTGACATGTATGTCCTTGTGGACAATACAGTGGCTACGTAAGTTAAGGTCCGATCTCTCGAAATACCTTCGACGTCAAGAAGCTAACCTGGAAATAAAGTCTGAGTAACCTGATAGGATTCAAAGGGCACTTGAATGATTCTGCCGACTTTAATCCTGACGAATACCAAGTCGAATGGGTCACCGAGAGACGGTACGCCGATTTTCAATTCGGCAACGACTATAACGATACCTGCAACTTTCCCAAGTTCTGGAACGAGACCGGCTTTCCGATAACCTCCGGCGGACCTGACGAGTTGAAAGGTTGCTACAACTCAGACTTTGACCAGTTTGGAGAATTGGAGGCATTTGGAAACTTCCCCGACTGGCAGCGCCAGCTCACAAAGTTTGCCTCGGTGCAGGATCGCTTACGCGAATGGCATAAACCAATCCGCGACATCATCACTCAACATTCCTGCGCTCAAATTGCAAGTTTGGATGTCGATGGATTCCGATTTGATAAGGCTGTGCAAGCAACTCTCGAGCCGTTGAGTGAGATCATGGCTGTCTACCGAGAATGCGCGAAGAAGTACGGCAAGGATAACTTCTTTCTTCCTGGAGAGATCACGGCTGGAGATACATTCGGCAGTCTTTACCTTGGGCGCGGGCGTCAACCAGATCAGCGCCCAGACTCAGCAGGTGCTGGTGTCAAATTGACAAATAACTCAGATGGAGCTTTCTTGAGAGATGATGGATTGCAAGCATTGGATGCCTCAGCATTCCATTACACAATCTACCGTTCAATGACCCGATTTCTAGGAATGGATGGTAATCTAGTCGCAGGATTTGATCTGCCGACCGATTTCATTGAAGCTTGGAACGAAATGCTCGTTACGAACGATTTTATCAATGCTTTCACAGGAGAATTGGATCCCAGGCATATGTACGGTGTGTCCAACCAGGACAACTTCCGCTGGCCTTCAATCAAGAACGGCACAGATAAGTATCTCCTGGGTCTTTATATTGTCACACTGGAGCTACCTGGAATTCCTCTCATTCTGTGGGGTGAAGAGCAGGCAATGTACGTGTTTGACGCCACTGCATCGAACTATCTCTTTGGCCGACAGCCCATGACTTACCAGACCGCATGGTGGACAAACGGTTGTTTCAACCTGAACACGTCAAAATTTTTTGATTTCCCGATCGAAAAGGGACGAGATGGTTGTAATGACATAACCGTCACCTATGATCAGCGAAACCCTGCCCATCCACTCCGCAACGTTATGAAGCGGATGTTTGAGATTCGGGCACACTATCCGGTCGCAAATGATGGCTTGTATCTCAGTACCATCTCTCAACTGACAAAGGACATATTTTTGCCGGGCTCATCTACCACTCCCACAGTGACGGGTCTTTGGTCAGTCCTGCGAAGCTACTTCCCAGGTGTCCAAAAAGAATCGCAGACAAATGAGACCCTCTGGCTAGTGTATCAAAACGGAAACTCGACAGAAACTTTTGGCGGTGACTGCAGTAACAAGAGTGCTGCTCTACTATCTCCATTTCAGTCGGGGACCAAGCTGAAAAATCTCTTCTATCCTTACGACGAGATCACTCCTCAAGATGGACCCGATAGCGACTATGGCTGTGTGAAGAGCATGGAACTTCTCCCTTGGGAGTATAGGGCGTATGTCAAGAAAAGCGATTTCGTGGAGCCTGGTCCTACGGTCACCGACTTCTCACCTGGTCACGATTCCCGATTTATCTCTTCACAAGACACGGGCGAAACTTTGCCAATTGAATTGGGTTACTCGACAGAGATGGAGTGTGCCAGCATAACCAAAGCGATCACTCTGAACTCGACAACCGAGAAGGGAATCACTGCCTCTCTTGATAAAGACAGTGTCAGCTGCAAAAAGATATCCGCCCGAACAACTAGCAACAACTTCGTCGGCGAGATTCCTACTGTGTGGACTTGGTCCGCGAACGTGACTAATGTTTACCACGGCATTCACCAGCTTACTGTCGCAAATGTTTCTTCGTCTGGAGTCTATACCAACTCTACTGACAGGTTCCTTTTCCGCGTCGGTCTCGAGAACAATCCACTCATAACCCCACTCTCCAATTACTCCACCAGCTTGCTTCACAGATCCGATGATGGATTTTTCGTCAAGCACAGTGCTGCTGGTGCTGATAAATTCCGATACTCCACCGATTTTGGAAGTACATGGTCCAAGTGGGCATCGTATGAAGGTGGGAATACAACCATTGATGTCTCTGCTTTCACTGGAACAGACCAGCAGAAGTGGAAGGGAACACATGTCCGAGTCCAATATTTTTCACGGCTCACCGGCAGCAGTGACTACATCCAAGAGGGTGACGCTGGATGGGAAAACGATGGTGTCCGGAGATTTCCTCACTTGTGGTTCAATGGCCCCTTCAATCAATACGGCTATGACCAGGGACTGGCGAGTGAAATGAAGTTCGACACTGAGACCTCTCGTTGGAACTACGACTTTGTTTACGAATGGCCATCGATAGGACAGTTGAACGTCTGGGGAATTGACAAGGGTGGCATCCCAGACACAACGGAAGTTTACGGCGACGTCGGAAATTCTTCTAATGTGCAAAAGCTTCCTCCCTCTTACCTGTCATCCAACGTTATCAACATCACAAATTTGCCTCCATTTCCACACCTTGGCTGGAAGATTTCTCTCAACGACGCCAATTTGAGGTATGAGTTGATTCCTATTGGAAGCGGTTGGGCTCAACTTGTGCTCTACGTTCTTCTTTGGGTTGTCCCGATTTTGATGGGATTGGCCGGAATTTTCATTTTCATTCAAACCTTCTACCGTGTCAAGCTCAACAAGGATGGAAATGTGGCCAAGGATGAAAAGCTACCGGTAGCTCTTTATCACAGAGTCAAAAACAGGCTTTCCACACGGAAGGACCTTGCAAGCTCATTGTCCGAAGATGGCGTACCGACAGACATTGCCGTGGCAGGCGCTGGAAATGATCAAAGGCGGACCGTTTTGATTGCTACCATGGAGTATGATATCCAAGACTGGAATATCAAAATCAAGATTGGTGGGCTTGGTGTCATGGCCCAGCTCATGGGTCAGAATCTGAAGCATCAGAACCTCATCTGGGTGGTGCCCTGCGTTGGCGATGTCGATTATCCCACAGACACCCCGGTTGAACCATATGTGGTGACAATCTTGGATAAACCATACCTCATCAACGTTCAGTACCACGTAGTGGATAATATCACATATGTTCTGCTGGATGCTCCAGTTTTCCGGCAACAAACGAAAGCTGAGGTCTACCCACCCAGAATGGACGATTTGCCATCGGCAATCTATTACTCTGCTTGGAACCAGTGTATTGCAGAGACAATCAGACGAGCACCTGATATTGATCTTTATCACATTAACGATTTTCATGGATGCTTAGCTCCGCTGTATCTCCTGCCCACGCGAACCATTCCGGTCTGCTTATCCTTACACAACGCCGAATTCCAGGGGCTTTGGCCACTCCGGACCCAAAAGGAGAAGCAAGAAGTGTGTTCTGTTTTCAACCTTTCGATCGAGACCGCAACCAAATATTGTCAGTTTGGCAACGTCTTCAATCTACTCCACACAGGTGCAAGCTATTTGCGATTCCACCAGCGAGGCTTTGGCGCTGTCGGTGTCTCTAACAAATATGGAAAACGCTCATGGGCCAGATATCCAATTTTCTGGAGTCTGAACAACATTGGCAGCTTGCCGAACCCCGATCCCGCCGATACAAAGGAGGAAGATGTGCAAATTTCGGTCCAGACGGACGAAGAATCGAGCCATGATAAACTCCAGGCACAGAAATGGGCAGGCTTGAACGAGGATGCCGACGCTGATCTCCTAGTGTTTGTGGGACGATGGTCGAAGCAAAAGGGAGTGGACTTGATTGCCGATATTCTGCCCAGTGTCCTTTCTGCTAGACCTCATGTGCAGGTTATCTGTATTGGCCCCGTCATTGATCTTTATGGAAGACTGGCTGCTGTCAAATTGGAGCGTATCATGGAAATGTTCCCCGGTCGCGTGTTCTCGAAGCCCGAGTTTACGGCACTACCTCCTTTCATCTTCTCTGGCGCTGACTTCGCTCTCATTCCGTCCCGAGACGAACCATTCGGCTTGGTGGCTGTTGAATTCGGTCGCAAGGGTGCTCTGGGTATTGGTGCACGCATTGGAGGTCTTGGACAGATGCCAGGCTGGTGGTATACAGTTGAATCTGATTCGGCTCGCCATCTTTTGCATCAATTAAGAACCGCTATTGGGTCTGCCTTGGATTCATCGCCAGAGACCAGACAAGAAATGCGTCTCAATTCAGCCAAACAGCGCTTCCCTGTTCTCGAATGGGTTCGGAAACTCGAAGTGCTGCAGCGAACAGCAATTCACACTCATCACTCCAAGAACAAAGACACTGTCAGAGGCCCATCGCGCGAATCGCATATTTACTGGGAAGTACAAGGCCTCCAATCCTCCTCTGGATCTCGGCCAATGTCGAGTTATTCTACACTCGGGGCTTCAGAAACCCAACCAGCGAGAATCTCTCAGCTTGTCCAACCGTCCCTTCTTGAGCTACAGGCAGCCGAGCTAAGAGACATGCAAGATACCGATAGTAGCGGTAAGAATTCACCCCGCCGACAATTGTCACTTGGTCGACGATCTGGGCCTGGACAAGGAAGAAAACGCTTGGTCAAGAGGTCTCTGAGAGAGAGCCAGATGCTTGAGAGAATGACGGAAGGGGATGCTACGGACGTGGAGGATGATGGCATTGACGCGCCCCAGGAGAATTTCATCTCCCCCGAGGAGGCAGTGGCCGCAGTGAAGCGTGCCCTTGGCTCCCAGGACGTCGATCCATCTTCTGGAGATAGTAGAAGTCACTCTCGTAACGATTCAAATCTGTCAGCTACAGAATCGTCTCGTTTTGTCTCCCGAGACTCCTCACCAGTCCGATCCCCCCGACGCTCCCGCGACACCAGTCCTGGCGAGGATAATTTTCTTACACCTCCTCAGAATGTATCTGTTCTTTCATTGCCCTCTGTGGTTGCAGACCACGAAACACCTGTCTTCCATCTGCAAAAGGTCGACCCGACTTTCACAGACAGTATGGGTCATTTCACGCGGCGCTTTGAGGAAAATCTCGCCAATCTCAATAAGAAGAACTCGGCTACGGACCACTGTATCGAGGTGTACTTGATGAAGAGCGAGCAGAAATTCTTCAACATGTATACCGACGCCCAGTTGAAAAAGCAGCCAAAAATTGAAGAGCGTCCTGTGACTGGAGCAGGTTTGGAAGAAGTTGTGGATGACTCGGAAAGTAACAGCCTACCACAAACCTCTCAGAACCTCGAGTCAAATGGATCTGATGATATTGATCAATGGCTTTCTCGCCTCGGATATAAGAGACCCATTGCCATCCAAAGATTCATGAGATGGCGTGTTGGAAACTGGCCAGTCTACGCCCTATTCCTGGGTCTGGGCCAGATCATTGCGACAAATTCCGCACAAATCACACTTCTGGTGGGCACAGTCGGTGAAACTGCCGTCAAACTTTACATTATCGCGGCTGTTTACTGTCTCTCTTCGATCGTTTGGTGGTTCCTGTTCTACCGGTTTCCATCAGTGATTGTTCTCAGTCTTCCTTGGTTTATCTACTCGATGGCTTTCATCATCATTGGCGTTTCGCCATACGCGCTTTCAAATCTTGGTCAGACATGGGCTCAGAATATCGCCGCAGGTGTTTATTCTGCTGCATCCTCTAGTGGATCTTTGTTCTTTGCCCTCAATTTTGGTGACCAGGGTGCTGTTCCTGTCAAAGACTGGATGTTCCGTGCAAGTCTCATTCAAGGCCTTCAACAGATTTATACTGTCGCTCTGTGGTTCTGGAGCTCCAGGGTCACCGCAGTGGAAGTAGGAGGAATTTCAACGGCTGCCTTGAATAGTTGGAAGCTTACGGCTGTTGTCATGCCCATCGCTGCAGTCTGCTTTATCATTGGAGTGCTGCTTGCTCTGGGTCTGCCCAAGTACTACCGTCAAGCCCCCGGAAAGATCCTTTTCTTCTACACTTCTCTTTTCCGTCGACGAATTGTCCTCTGGTTCTTCTTCATGGTCATTATCCAGAATTGGTTCCTTGCCTCGGCATTTGGTCGCAATTGGTCTTTCCTCTGGTCTTCCAATCACGCCAAAACATGGGAAATTGTCGTGCTGGTTGTATTCTTCTTCATTGTTGTCTGGGTTGCTGCAATGGTTCTTTTCAGGTTCCTATCTAAAGAGCATTCTTGGATCTTGCCTGTCTTCGGCCTGAGTATTGGCGCTCCACGATGGGCACAAGTGTGGTGGGGAACGTCTAACATTGGATATTATCTTCCATGGGCCGGGGGTCTGACTTCTGGTGCCCTCGTTTCCCGATGCCTTTGGCTGTGGCTGGGTGTTCTTGATGAAATCCAGCAGGTCGGCTTGGGAATGATTCTCCTACAAACCTTGACCCGAGTTCATGTTTGCTTTGTTTTGTTAGCTGCCCAGGCTCTTGGATCCATTGCCACGATTTGCGCCCGAGGATTTGCGCCGAATAAGGTCGGCCCTGCTGGTGTCTCTCCGGATGTGGGTTCATCAATCGACAAAGTTGGTAATGCGTGGTTCTGGATTTCTCTTTTCTTCCAGCTTCTAGCAAGGTCAGTTATTTATCCCTCTTGAATCTATTTTTTCACTATTTGCTAACCCATGTCGCAGCTTTGGTTTCCTCCTCTTTTACCGCCGCGAACAGCTGAATCGGCCGTGAGCTTCTCTATCCACCAATTTTCGCATGTATAGACCCCCGCACATAGAGGCCAGTGGTTTCAGAACTACCTATAATTTTCTTTCATGTACCGACGAGAGGATATATCATAATCTTAATTATTGCTACTGGTAGAGGATATAAGAATACGACAGGAGTTACTTAGGTACTGGAAACAGAGCAGCTTAAAAGGCCAAGAGCCTTGGTAGTAGTAAAGAAAACCTCAGAAGTATAAGATCCCGATTTCAATCTTCCTTGTCTTTAGTATGATTGACTTATATCACACACTTCAAAGCACTATACCTGGGCATTGTAAAAAAGGATCTCGTGTCTGCTGTCAATCCAATGGACTGCTGTAGTCGAGATGATTCCCATGATCCAACCATCGAAGTTGAACATGTCCCTTCAAACCACGGCATATACTAACTAGGTACTAGTATCCATGGATCATAGCCCGCCATGAGTGCCCAACCTTGGAAATTTTATGTATTGAGAGAGAGAATTTCGGGATTGTCGTGAATGAAAAGCTCGCAATTCGACCGACCTCGCCAGAAATGAGCTCGTGTCAATCTTCCTCAAAGTTTTGGAGTACTACGAGGTGAGGATCCAGATTCTCCTTCTTCTGTTGGAAATTATATCTAGCAGAGACTGGGATGTCTTGTTTCTGACTAGCAACCGTGCCAAAAAAATATGGATCCTGCATTCGAATCTCGAATCCACGTATCCATTCGCTATCCAGAACTTGACGTGACCTCCCTCAAGCAAATTTGGACGCAATTCATCGGCGATTCGGGCTTGTGTCAAGTCTTTGACAATGAACTCGAGGAGCTGGCGAAGTTGGAGTTGAATGGCCGGCGGACCAAAAATATCCTTCGGACTGCCTACCTACTCAGCCAAGAGGAGGATGGTACCGGCATCAGCTTTGACAATATCAAAGCAGTCCTGGATCTGCAATCCATCTAGCTCCAAACTTAATGGATGCCATGTGCAGGTGGGTTCAAGGCTGCTTGAAGGTTTTCTCATTATTTTTTATAACACAAAAGTGTGTCAAGATTGTTATCCGTAAGTGTCACAATATATGCTTGTTACGAATATCTTTAGTTAACTGGCTTTTCACTTGCTCAGAATCAGTTAGAGAAATTTACTAGCCCTTATACTTGTTTTCGCAATTCGTGGGTCACAACTAGACCATTAAAAATTTGAGAAACTTTGCAGACTGCTCAACCTCACGTTGAGCCGACGGCCCCGGGGTACGGCAGACGATAGAGAGGTTGGGGCCAAAATTCAAATAATGCCGGCAGAAAAGGTCACTAGCCCTAATATGGAAGGTTCATACCCTAGGCTTGTATATTTCTGCCAAAATATGTTAAGCAAGTATTTCTGGAGAAGGGCAAAAAGTGTGCCTCTATTCAGAGGTCATGACAGAGTTAGACCAAGGCCTCTGGAATTCTAGATGCATAAAACTATATCTTTAAAATCCTGCCTTCTCATTTACTATACTATGAGTTAACTAACTCTGATTGTTTGTAGGTGCTCAAAATCGCCCAAATATGCAGTTTCTGAATAGTTTTAACCTGCCCTCATACCCCTAGAGGCCCTACTACGCGTACTTGGTGGTGATATAGCCGGTGATGCTTCTACCCGAGGGCCTCTGGTGCCACTGCGTCTTGCACCACCACGTCGCAGCGTACTTGAAGGATCTCTTAGCTGCGGTGTATCCTGATGTGGCGTAACCTGCCGCTGAGGAGTAGCCCTTAAAGTAGCCTCTCTCCTAGCGTCAGTAGCCGGCTGTTCTGGTGGTGGGAGGGTCGTCCAATTGCTAATGTCGCTGGCCAAGCTCGATTCGCGGCTCATTATAGGCTCAGGTTTGATATGAAGCTGTTCCTCCTCACGTATAATAACAACATAAATCTGACGAGCTCCACCGGCCAAATCAAAACGCTCGCAGAGATTTGTAGTACATCGCATGTAATCTTCTGTAGCGGATAGGATATATGGCTCCCTCTTCCCCTTTTGACCTTTTAGGCCTGTGGCTAACTGATATCGGTCGGTAGGCATTGCTGAATATACCCCGAGATCAGGACTAAGCGCAGGCAGAAGATATCTTGTAATAAAGTCGTTAAAGCCATAAATTGTCTGTGGAGGAACCCACTGGGAAACATCACCTGTATTGAAGTGCCTATTAGCAAATTGGAACATACCTTGATTAAATTAAATAACATCGATATCTAAACTCACTAAGCTCCTCAAACGTCCATGATTTTCTCTCCAGTGATGCGCTTCGCCAGAGACAGAAGTGGATAAGAGTTGGGGCCTGCTGTGGTGGCTCAGGCCTAGTAATGTGTCCTGGTCTAGTCCTCTTTATCTCTCGCTTGCGAACTCTACCTGCCACTCGTTGGTGTATTATACTATAGGGGTCAGGAAGCAGGTTATGGCTTGGTACAAGCTGAGAGGGTCTTGTTGGTGCTGCTCCTTGGCCAGTAGTATAGGTAGAGGAGGAGGATGGTGAATCGTCATACGGCCCTGTCAAATCGACTAGATCAGGCGTGTCGCTGGAATAATAGGCCATTTGGTTGGTAGTGCTTTGTGGAAGATGCTCAATGGGATATGCTAGGATATTAGGAGATTCTTGGACGTCAGATGACACTAGAATATCTTCTACAACCCCTAGAATAATAAAGTTCTGACAGAACTAGTGCTTGATATTTATTAATCTCCACTTTTATCTCTAACATAAGCCAAGCCTGCGAGCCGCTCCCTTAATTTTATGCCCAATCAGAAGACATAGTGGGCTTCTCGCACAGTGATAGGATTGGAATAGCACCTATTTGGGTATGATAGACGGCTCGCTCTCGTAGCCGAAGGTAGATCTCCACATATGGGCGGGTGCCGTCTCGTGCTGGTGGCCTTTCAGGGTCAAACTGCATTTGTAGCAGCTGAGTATGGCACCATTCCATAGTATGCGTGGGGAGATATTCGTTAGCATCCCAGCCATCCACGTCATATCGTATAGCACTAAGCAAAGTAGGGTCAAGCGTGTGCTGGTAATCCTTGATATCCTGTCCATCAGTATCCTGCCCTGGATAGTAGTAGTTCATCCATGGCTTGCCTGGAACACTATAGGGGCGTCCTTTCTGCTTCCTTATACGATGGGAGTTCCATGTCAGTACAAATTCCGCGCATGTGTCCTTAATAGAAGGCATATATACAGCAAGAAGAGCAATCTGGTCAGGGATAGTCGCCTGAAAGTGGCCCTGGTCCTGTAGCCAAATAAAGAGCTCACGCCACACGAAATTCATAGAGCTTGTAAGCTGTCCCCACCAGGACTCGATGCGTTGATTTTGGACACCACGGCCATACCAAAAGCAGTCAGAAAACTGAAGCCTTGGATCGATATCAATGGCTTTCCGTAAGGCATAGTGAGCATCGGCGATCAGCATCGTCTCAGTGCCTAGGTCGGAGCGGATAGTGCGCGGTTGGAAGCCAGTAGCCGATAATGTATCTATATATTGACGGAGAACGCTGAAACTAGTTCGCGTGCTTATACCTAGGGCAGACAGTCAGATACTCAAAGACCTTAGAATGACCCTATAGCGGTGCGCATACCAACATAGAACCAGGTAACATAACGCGAATATCCATCAATCGCAGCATATATCTCGATCCCATAAGGCTCTAGCTTCATATATCCATCAATGTGCCATACAAAGTTTGGCCCAGGGCATTGATAGGCACCACGTGACCTCTGGAGATTGGTCGAACGACGCTCAAGAGCATCAGGGCGCAAAGAACACCAAATATCGAAGATTCGGTCTCTCGCATAGATATGCCCATGATGGCGTAAGTGGGCATAAAGATGACCCCGTTCGTACCCTTTAATAAGCTCAAAGCCTTGTTCCTCCTCCAGTACCTCTAGTATCTCGTCCTTCTGCTGACGCTGCTCGTCCTTATCATCAATGCGAAGGCGTATACCAAGCCGCCTACGGATTTGCTTAAGTGAGTCATTGGAGATAGGAGTGCCATCACGGGCGAGAACTTCGAGTATCTCTTTCGGAGACAGATTACCCTCACAGATGAGTGTCTCGACGCGTATTTGTAAGGGTCTGTTATTGGTGATGCCTGTGGGTGCTCGTCGCTGGATACACCAGGCCTGCGTACGGCGCTTGAATGTTCTGGGAGAGATTTGGAGACCATGATTTTGGTGCAACATGTCTAGTATGACATTAATAGGTGTATTTTGGGTCAGGAGAACAATGACTTGGTCCTTATAGGGCTCCATGTTGACCTGGGGTCGTCCAGCAGGCATGGTAGAAGGCCAGATTTGTCAAAAACGCGTATCTTAGAGATTTGAGCTCTCAAAACTGGCGAAGATTCGTAAAGATTAGTATGGTGAACCAAAATCTGGAAGAATGTTGGAAAATCTGGCATTTTGGAGGTTTCGGTCTAACTGACCAACACCACTCTATCTATAACGTACCCCCACTGCGCTATTGATAGAGCATACGGAGATCTGGTTGGTGGTGTACTTAGCGGTCAAGCCAGGCGGAACTCATCGCGGTGAGGCCAATGATTGGGTCAGGAATTTTGGCCCCTGCCTCACTATCGGCTGCCGTACCCCGGGGACCTCCGGAACGGGAACAGATTGCTGGACATTTGTATCCATCCTAATAGTTTCAACTTGTGACGAAGGGATAGCTTACGCGCCCAAAAATGAGGCGTCTCACGTGGAAGAAAACCCCCCCATACACGGGCGAACTGATCATATCACAGTATAGGGATAATTCTCCAACTAGAGAATAAATTTCTGCGTACTCCAGAGCTCTGTTAGCCTCTCATGTCAACTGCTACTTGGATAGGTGCCTGGGTAAATCGTAGTTCCCTTCCAAGCTTAGAGACGTCCCTTAATCGGTACAGCAGCAGCATCTCTCGGATCAGCTGGTGGAAGCTCAGGAAGGGGAAGTCTCAAATTCTTTGCAACCTCCTTCGCAGCCCAGAAACCTGTCACAAAAGCCAGCGCCAGTCCGCCCGCATATCCCAAATTACTGAAACCACCAGCATCAACGCCTGCAACAAGAAGTCCAGGAATGCGGATATTATCCGCGGTCAGGGCGTGGCCTTCTTTATCGATCTTTATTCCACCGTATGTGAATGTGATCCTGGAGAAGTTGTCAGTATCTATCGCGAGCAAGAGTCAGCGTGGGTGTGTTATCCTTACGATGGCTGGACTTCAATCGCGTAAAATGGACCCTCGCCTTCTACCAGGGGCATGGGAGGTACCGGACCAATCGGGGCATCCAGACCCTGTTCAGCATCATTGCAGCGGACTACCTTGTCGTACTGTGTAATCGTTCGCTTAGCCCCGACGCTGTCGACTCCCCATCCTGCGAGAATTCGAACGAGATCATCCAGTGTTGATGCGGTCCCGACATTACAACCATGCTCACGGGCTTTTTGGAGACGATCGATATCACCTGCATTGGGGAATAGCGCTGATACGCAGTGCTGTAGGCGGGTTTTTTCGCTGTGGAGGAAATATCATGTTAGCATGAAAAGAAACTACAATTCAAATAGAAGAGAAAAGATGAAGAGGAAGAGAGACGAACTTGAAAATCAAGAAACCGCGCCGCTTCTCTTGTTTTGCGAGATATTGGTTGACGATCTCGTCCCCGGTAGTCTCGTCGGCGAAACGACGGCCGGCCTGGTTGAGGAGGAGGCAATATTTACTTTCTGTGGAGTGTCAGGTATATCTTAAGAGATGAAATGCATTAGGTTCGTATGCCCAACTCACGATATTGCGCCAGTGGCAGATAGTCCTTGGGATCGACCTGGTCTGCTCGTAGAGGTGCGGCCATGAGGTGTCCATAATAGGTGTTCATGCCCCTACTTGTTGCTGCGCCAGCCCCGACCGCCAGATTCAGACCATCGCCGACGGAGCCCTTGTTCGAACGAACGAAGATGTTATCCGCACCCTGGCCGAGGTATTGTGCCGTCAAGCTAGATGAGCCCTGGAACCCACCGGTCGCCAGAACGACGGTCTTGGCTGTGATCTGGTAGTTTGAACCCCCGCGAAAAACAATTGCGCCCTTGATGCGAGATCCTTGAACACCGGGGTTCTCCTGAAGGAGTTTGACCACTATAGTGTTTGTCCAGATCTCTGAGCCGGTATTGCTTGACTCGATTCGCTTGCGATGAAGATCGTGTAGGTGGGGGATTTTGATTGGAAAACCAATCCCTGTAAACAGGAATAAATTAGCAAAGCCAGGGAATTGAAACCCACAACAAAATGGAGTATAATAGTCATTTACCGATTGTCATGATCCCGTCAAATCGTGGTGCTGTAGGGACATCCTTCTCGCGCATCCATTGCACAGCAGATAAATAGTCGGCCAACCATGCACGTTGAAGTTCTGGATCTCCATCAGGGACCCAGGATCTTAGTTTCTCGTAAGTCTGAGGACCCCAACTTCAAGTTGTGATGGTGATTAGTCAATCAAATAGGGAGACAGATGAGCGGGGAAAGGGATACATACAACATTCCTGCCGAATAATTTGACGACCCGCCGACATTGTTCTGCTTCTCAACCACGAGAACTCGAGCTCCGGCTTGTGCTGCAAAGGAAGCGCAGGCCATGCCTGACATTCCCCCTCCGCATACAAGCACATCGACGTCTATAGACTGCATGATAAGTATATGTGCAACCGGGTGCCAGTCTTTCTAAAATAGAAATACTCGGCATTTCGATCCATTTATACTGGCTGTGAGTAGCAGCCATAATATAGGACCATCCGGCCTTTAAATTAAACGGCCGGTCCTCCGCCCCACAAAATGATTCCCCGCATTTTTCCAACGGCAAATTGCTTCTTGACACGCCATCTCAACGATCATGCCATGTCGTCCCCCGGGTATGGAGATGAGGGCTCACAGACACGGCTTCGCTTGGCTGCTGCACCGGCCTGCGAAGCCTGTCGTAGGATGAAGGTATTTTCCACTCTTCTACCCCCGCTTTATTAAGCCATCTCTAACGGCTTAGATGAAATGCACCCGAGCAGCAGAAGGACGCGAGAATCCCTTACCTGATCCTCTCTCCGAGCCATGTGACCGATGCAAACGAACTAATCGCCCATGTAAAACCCCCGAGTCGCGACCGCTAGGTAGGAGGCGAGGAGCTTTGGGCCGGTATCGCGGGCTCGAAAAGGCGTACAGGAAGCTACAGGCGGAGGCGAAAAAGGCGAATATTCCCCATGACCTTGATGAGAGATTTGATACCGTTCCTTTACGCACGGCCGAGGAGGAGCTTGGATTTGAATCTTTCCTGGTTGATGAGCCGTCCGATCATTCTCAAATTACTACTGCAGCGACAACGACAAACGTCCCAGCGGTCCCCGGAACGCCTTTTCTGGGACCTGAAGTGAATAGGCCCGAGACGACAATCCACAATGAACACCATGAAAACGTGGAAGACAATGATAATCCGACACACGAACCAATGAGCAATCCGCTTGCCCTACTGGCTTACGCGTCCGATGCCGCCCAAGCAGCCGAGGCAAGGTCAACTTCAGTCAATACATTACCCAGTCCTTCATCCAGGAGACAACCTGGTCCCGGGCATGGAGAGAGCGAGGGACACCGTTTACTCCACCGACCCGGATATGTTTCGCTGGGCCTGCGGTTGGATCGAACGAGTCTCGTGCAGGGCTTGGATGGCTTGCTCGCCTGTCTTGACGCAGGTCACCAGTCTCTCGACTACTTCAAACGAACAAGTGTACGTCAGCACGATGTTGGACCAGACTTGGATCCGGTCGAGCTAGGGCTTGTCACGATGGATGAAGCGAATTATTTGTTCCCAATGTAGGTGTTTGAGATTTATCAAAAACTTCAAGTTACGATAGGGCTAATCACATTCATTGATTACTAGTTATTTCAAGCGGCTGCATCCAATTAACGGAATACTCGACCCAATGCTCCACACCCCAGCATTTGTACGCGCTCGGTCTTCGTTATTGTTTACTTGGATCCTTACTCTGACTGCTCTGTTCGATAATCCTTGTGCTCCAATTGCAGAACGCCTTCGGTTACATGGCGAAAAGCTATCAAGATACGTACATACTTGCGGGCTCAAGTCTGTCGAAATAGTTCAAGGCTACTACATCTCGCTGTTGTCTGCTACTCCGGCAAAGACCCTAGCTGAGGAGCGCTCGTGGCTATACACAATGTATGCAATTGGTGTCGCGACAGATTTAGGCATGGATCAAGAAGCTGAACAGCCTGGTCAATCTGGATTGTCGGAGACGCAGGATGACGAGGACCTTCAATCACCATCCTCAGGACCAGAATTAAGGGGGAAACCCCGGCAATCTTTAACGGGACCTTTACCAGAACGTGCAATTTACGAACAGCGACTCCTTCGAAATCGTGAAAGAACGTGGCTGAGAATCCTCTTATGGGATCGAGCGAACAGCGCTGCATGCGGTCGCATCCGAAGCTTCCCAGAGACAAATTTAACCCGAGCTGTTGAAACGTGGTGGCTCCATCCACTGGCGGATATGACAGACAAATATACCAGTGCATTTATCTGTCTACGGAGGGCACTTGCATCGCTGCAGGCGGATCTAAAACATAGATCGCAGGATCCTCATTCCGATCCGCATTGGCGGCGAGAACTAGTCGACGCTTCTCTCTACCCCTGGTGCAATGAATGGCTGTCAAACCGGGACGATGGTTTCTCTACTCCATCCCCGAGCAAGTCTCAATGATCTTCCTACGCTACGTTTACGAGCATGGACGCCTTTGGACATTATCAGTAGCATTGAGTGACGTGACCTCACGCGCGCAGGACCTCGACGCCATCCGACAAGATTGCTTCGAAATCGCAATTAATTGCTGTGAAACAGCTGTACGAGACTTGGATAGGATTGGAGAGCCATTATATTGCATGTTAGCGCCTACGTGGGCGATGATATCCTACGCGGCGGTTCTAACGCTAAAAATATTTCCCGCATTGTATGGCCCCCGGACAGGCAGTGACTTGGAGCTACTTGCCCTATTGAGTCAAGTAGCACTACAGCTCCAGCGTGCTGGTACCACGCCGCCTCATCGTTTCGGTATCGCGGCTTTGTTGGGACAACATCTTATGATGATTCTTCGGGCCAGAGCTGTTGGTCTTGGTGAGCCGGTCTCATCAGAGATCCAGAACCATGGAATTCGTCATGGTATGTCTGAATGGCAACCTACACAACCGCAAATGGAACATAGAAGCCCCTTGGTCTCGGATTGGGACCCATTTCTGACGCCGGCTATATCTGACCAGAATGATTTCGGACCCGATGGGTTCAATGATTTTTTCCGCGAGATATTTGGGCCTGGGTTTGGGGATCTGGTTTAGATTCAAGACGGTTGTCTTGATAGTAGAAACAGAGCTACACTTTATACTTGGCAATTGCTTATGTCTACCCGTACGTATAGTATCCTAGATAACTAGCAGTTCCGGTGGAAATTCAGCCGGTTGTGTACGACCGGTGCATTAAATTAGAGACCGAGTCGGTGGGACGTGACCACAAAAGTCGCGATCGGGCTAAACAGTTACCCCGGGGGCTACTACGGGAATAAAACACTAGACAATTACTAGTATGGCACTCGAAATATCTCCGCTTTGCAAAAAATTCTCATCCTTGGACTTTGCTACCGCTTTTCTGGATATTAAGAGGATGAATGAAAGAAGTAGATGATATAGCTAGCGAGTCTTTCTAATTATGAAACACGCTGCAAGCATGCCCAAAAAACCAAAGCGATCACCTATCAGGTATATGGCAGCCCTATAGAAGATGTAGGTAAGTCAACCTACAAATTGGCCAACCGCTTCTGCTGCTTCGCAATCATATCCAACAGAATCTCCTCACTCCCACCACTCACGACAAGAACTCTGACATCACGACTAATTTGCTCCACGCGCGATCCCTGCCCACCACGAGAATACCCCAGTCCGCCAAAAACCTGCTGAGTCTCCCTTGAAACCTTCTCAAGATGGTGCGCAGCCTGGACCTTAAGCATAGCCGCCAGCGGCGAAAATTCTAAACTCGGCGTCCGCACAGACCGGAAGACGAGCTGTTCCATATAGGCCTGAGTAGGCTCAAGCCTGTTTGCCATTTTTGAAAACTTTTGCCGGATCACTTGGTTTTCGAAGAGGGGTTTGCCGAACGTCTTTCGTTTCAGCGCGTGTCGGTAGGCGTCTTCGTAGGCGACTCGGGACAGTCGGAGAGCAGTTATTCCTACCCAGAGGCGCTCGTGAGCGAATGCTAACATAGGTACCAATTCTTAGCGGATATTCAGCTGAGGTCGTATATTTTGCGTGGAATCTTACTTGACATGATGATTTCGAAGCCTTGATTTTCTTTTCCGAGCAAGTTCTCCGCTGGAACGACGACGTCGTCTAGCTCCATGAATGTAGAACCTAGAAGCGACATATCGTCAGTCAATCGAGATTTTCAAGTTTCTCAATCGGAGTTTCATCTCACCGCTGGAGCTCACGCCTGAGTTTTCCATCTTGCGCCTCGAAATTCCCTTGCTGTTGAGGGGGACAATGAAAACCGAGATCCCCTTCGCAGTTGATGGCCCCGTGCGAGCTGCGATAAGTCCAACATCTGCCTTCTGGCCTTGGGTAACCCATTTCTTCTCCCCGTTTATCACGTAGGACTTTCCGTCCGCTGACCTTGTTGCGGTCGTGGTGAGGCCAGCCACATCGGACCCGACTGGAACAGTTGGTTAGCATGAGTTGGTAGACACAGGGACAGGCCTACTTTAGAGAACGTACTGGCTGGCTCTGTGACACCTAAACAGTGTCTCTGTTTGCCTCGTAGAAGAGGGGCCAGAAACTTCTTCTTCTGCTCTGGTGTTGCGTAGTAGTGGAGGGGCGGGCCGCCAACGGCTGCACCCCCATTGATACCCCAGACTGTCCCGAGGTATCCACAGCGGGCCATTTCATCGATGATCTGGTTTTCGTAAGTTTTATAATTGCATGAAGGATGAGATTACTAACAATGGCGTCGTGAAACTCATCCCATTCTGTGAATCGGTTAGTCACTAAGTAACTACTAGCGGGCCGTGGCAATAAGTCGACACTCACCATCCATGCTGAGACCAGCTGGCAGATTTACCCCGGAAAGATAATCCTTTGGGAGAGGAAAAGCAGACACTGCGAGGAATCCTAGTGAGGCATGTCTTTTGAATGCCTATCAAATCGTGAGCTCACAGAACTGATGGTGTAGTAGAACCACCTGGCCTGAGCAGCGAATACGGCGTTCATACCTCAACGGGGATTTCTCCAGCTTTCTCCCACTCTTCCACGTTGGGTGCAATATAGTCGTCCACGTATTCGCGAACGAAGCGCTGAAGCCGGTGGTGGCTAGGCTTGTAAAATGGGTGGTCTTCCTGCTTGTGCCATGCTGGATCCGCACCGGGGATTTCGGAGGTGAGAGCGCAAGTCATGTCGAGAGAAAAAATACAAAGTTTGGCCTTGAAAATGATTATATGTCAGAAATATATGATCAAAGAGCTCTTGAGTGCAAAATATAAATAGCAGAAATAGCAAGTGGAAACCGATAGACCTACATCCTGGCCTCGGTCTCGGGGATCGGAAAATTAAGCCAATATCAAAATTCCGAAAAAGACACACAGCCTCGGGAACTGCATCAAAGTATGTAAAAATACAGACTAAATTAGTATAAATTTATAGATCATACAAGAAAACATCTTTCTACATCTCATTCTAGAATCTTGAGTACATACTTTTCATCTTTCATAATGGCTCAGCGCTTGCAGCAAATCCATCAACAGCTGGAACCTAGTGATCCAGCCGCCGGCCCAGACCGCATAGACGGACAAGTGGTCATAATCACTGGTGGTGCTCAAGGTAAGTATTTGTTGCGGTTTTGAATTTTAATATCCCTATTCTAACAGTTTATTTGTGAAGGAATCGGAAAAGCGACCGCTTTGCTATTAGCCCAAAAAGGAGCAAGAGTGGCCATCAATGATTTGGACAAGGAAAAAGCGGACGAGGTGGCAAGGGAGATTCGTAACCTCCAAGGCCAAGCGGAGGTATTCCATGGAAATGTTCTCGACGATGAGTTCCCCCAACTTTTGGTGAACAGCGTGTTGCAGAGATGGGGAAAGATCAACTGCTTGATCAACAATGCTGGTATGCCCTTGATCGCTGGGAGCCTGTGAAAATCATATATTGACTTAATCGAAGGTTTCTGTCACGATAGTGCGATCCATAAAATGGACGATGACAAGTTTGATATCATTATGAAAATTCATAACTACGTTCCGTTCCGCATCGCGAGAGCACTGTCGGGACACTGGATGGACCCGGTGAACAAATTCATGCCAAAGACAATAATCAATGTGTCTTCTACATCCGGTCTGCATGGATCAATGGGACAAATCAACTACGCAACAGCGAAAGCAGGGGTTCTCGGGCTCACAAAAACAATAGCGGCGGAATGGGGCCGGTCAGTGCAGCTATCGATGTCACTTACTACCATTCATAATACTGACTCTCATTCGCTTCAGATATAACGTCCGGGCTAACGCAGTGGCTTATGGCTGGATCGATACACGCATTACGCGCCCGCCGACTGAGTCGGAAGCAATGAGCCTCGGGGGCCAGGCTATCAGACTTGGGATCCCGGAAAATGCGAAGAAATGGCGAGATGTCTCCGATATTCCGCTAGGTCGGCCTGGGTCAGCGGATGAGGCTGCACGGGTTATACTCTTCCTTGCAAGTCCACTATCCTCGTATGTGACTGGCACCTGTATTGAATGCACTGGGGGACGTTTTATGTAAATTATTTCGCATAAAGAACGGAAGATGAATCGACCACAATAGTTAATTCTCGGCCATTAAGATCGCCAAGCTTCTCCACACCGGCGTATTTTCCCCAGCATTTTATTGACCGGTCTCCCCGCAATATGGCACCGGTACACTCAACAGGGACAAAATTGTATCCAGGATTCATCCCGAATCATTTTGTTAATCCTTTATTCTATCATGAAGCAGTCTGTCGACGAAAGCCATATCTCTTACGTTCCAGAGTCAGCCGATTCTCCGGGTAGCCCGATAGACCATGTCGCTTCCCCTTTACGGACAACAAATGGGAAGCGACTAAAATATATCGGAAAAGCATGGTATTTTATTTCATCTCCCGGGGCTATTTGGATAGTATGCTTTGTGGGGGTCAACTTGAGTTAACAGTCCCCTAGTCAGGATTGCCAGCGTCGTAAAGTCAAGGTGCGATCCTCACACTATCCCTCACTTTGAATATAGAATTTCTCACAACGGCCAGTGTTCCGGGGAGGAGACATGCCGCAACTGTCGCGACAGAGGACATGAATGCGTGTACATGCCTCAGACTCGGCGGGGCCGGAAGCAAGGGACGAAAATTAGCCTTTCGAGTGGGAGGTACGCGCCCCTTGCCAATTCCTCGACTTGGTATGTTACTAAAGGATATGTACTAATTGACCAGCAAAGCGACAGGGAAAAACAGGAAATTGAATCAAGTGAGAGACAGACGTCGTTGAACTCTCCCACGAATGACTTTACTTATAACTTTTGGTGTGTTCTATTCATTGGACCCCTGATTGGTGTACATGCGCCTGATTGTCCGTTTGTAACAGCAAACCACCCTTGCCCGGAACGACAACGAGCAACCATCCGTCTGAAGACTGGAATAATGAAGCTGATGCGTACGATATAAACGAGCTTCGCCCAAAAAGTGTTTCGCTGTCCTCTCAGCTACTATGCCTTCGCGAACTCACGCAGACACAAGGCAAGGAACGAAAATGCCCTGCCTCTGGACGAAAAATGCATCAGGTGCCATTGTTCTCGGTAGAGCTTCCCCGCCCGGGGAGGCTACATGAATTGCTAGATGTATACTTCCGTGATCTGGACTCTTTCTTTCCGTTCATCAAACGCGATGGAACCCAGGCCCAGATCGAAAAAATTCTGCAAAGCCTGGGCCATTCTGAAAATCAGCATATTGTCGATGTGAAACTGGGAGACCACTCGATAATCGCACTTCTTTGCAACATGCTGGCTATTGCCGAGTCCTTTTGCGCAGCTCGATCCTGGTCATATGAGATACGCCCTGGGTGGTCCCTGTTTCTCCGAGGCCGCAAATTGATTCAACATTGCTCACCACTGAAGCACATTGATATCCACCTTATTCAATACCATGCCCTCAGTTCCGAGTATCTGATGGAGTCTGAACTACTACACGAAGCATCGAGGGCTATTTCGAACGCAGCTCAGCTTGCCATGCGGACCAGACTCAACGAAGAACGAGTCTGGAACGCGCTCCCCGAATCAGAAATTCAAAATCGCAAGAGACTGTGGTGGACAATATATTTTCTTGATCGCAAGATCTCACAGAGGACAGGAAGCCCATATGTTATCCGTGAAACTGAAATTGCTTTGTCCGAGTTCTCGCAGAACCCAACTACGAGAACTGATCGCTATATGCAGGTGTTGGTAGATCTTGGCAAACTATGGTCTTTGATCTGGGATACATTCTTTGCCGCTGTTGCGTTAAAGCCCCAAGACTGGAAGGAAGTGGAAATCATGGACACTCGCATTTTGATCGTTCAGAGAGAGCTGGCAGGCGAGCTCACCTGGGATACAGATCTCCTAAAACGGGTGTATTTGGCGGAACAAGAGTCAGAGCCTTACATCCGTCGGCGCCTCGCAATTTTCATTGTACGCTGCCCCATACAAAATTTTCATTGAAAGCAGCTAATAAAAGATATAGAGATTAAACCTTTTACGCTTGACGATTCGGCAAAATCCAATCCAGAAGCGTCAGGACACCAGAGGTCACAGTATTTGTGTCTCCCTTGCATCCAAGACCGTGTATGCAATTGCCGCCTTCACTGATAGCTGCCCTAGCGTCATACCATGTGGATTTTTCTTTAGCACTGCTCTACTAGAGTGTATATACCATCTTATTCTGGCTATGCGGGCGAAACTAACGGAAAAGGAACACAACGCCAGCATCAAATCCTTCCAGCTTGCCTATCAATTACTGGATAGGTTCTCGCAGGCCCTGGATACGGCCAAGCGAGCCCTTCGGGCCCTCAACTCTGTCGTCTCTTTGGCTGCAATAACGAACTCACATTCTGTCGAGGAACTCAGCCCAGATCCTGGACGAGAAGAGGGTCGTGCCATAGATCTGAGCTCCTGTGTCCCGGAAACCATAGACTTCTTCGACCCTATGTCGTGGCAGATTGATGACATCCCTTTGGATGTAGTGGCACTAGTTTCTTCAATGGGAGAGATGGGAGACCATGATGTAAATGATGCTGTTGCAGATGAGATGTCTGAGCAGTCTATGGCTCCTGATTTGTGCCTCTGGAATTGCGAATACGGTATCGACCCTAATTCCATCAACCTTTAATCTCGAATATCTTCAAGCTGCTGTTTGGAAAGTTCCATTGATTTTCATTGATTTTTGTTTGTATTCCAGGCGTTTGTCTCTGTTTATAGCAGTGGATAAAATAGCAAGAAAAAAAAAAGCATAGGGCAGCCATACCAGAGCTATCATTTTGGGGAATACTAGGTATGTGTTACTCACAGAAGTTTTACACAGTAGCCCGGAATATGATCATGGAAGTAGAATTACCGAGGCAGAAGTAAATCCCGAATCCGAAATTGACTTTTCAGGTGACGGACGGATTTACATTATAGTTTGAGAGAGAGCACGTAAAAAGTGAAATTGGGTACCCACGTTAGTAATCCGAGCTCAAACGCCGCAGATATGGAACAATATCAGGAAATTAGAGTATCCTTTAAATGCGGGACATATAAAATACTACTAGGCTCAATATTTCTCCAAATGGGGTCAGCTATGATGTCTCAACTTGCAAGTTTTCCACAGATATCCGAAATTCTCGGCGGCCCCGGGGCCTTGATAACACAAATCCCGCCCGGAATTCTCACAATACCGAGCTCACAAGGATTAAATTATAGAACAAATTGATCCTAATGACCAATTTCTAGCAGACTGCCAGAGAAAAACTCAAATTCAGAGTAAGAACTTTCAGAAACATCATTAATGGCATAGAGTTTGACGTGGGCAATCCGGTACACCATACCCCGGGCCGGTAGATAGAATTAAACCCCGTTTTGCCTCTATGGAGCCGTAGCTTTCTGAGAAGCCTATAGGCGTACCGGAATTGATCTGAGGTTTTCGTGACTTCAATTAGAAGAATATTACTGGACTTTTAGCGATACCCCAGAGTATACCCCGCATATCGATACAGCACTAAGTTGTACCTAGGTATAAAAGAGTTAGCAGTCATCTGGAGTAGCTATCTTTCTCTCCAAATTTGCGGTCAACACACGAAATTTCATTGCAACAATGTTTGACGAATACATCCAGAGTAAATTTCTTCGCCGTTTAGCGAGGTTTAGTTGCTCCGTTGTAAGGCCTTAGAGTTTAAATAGTGCCGAGCTTTGAGGCTGATACCATATCCACAGGGCTTTTTGATTGAGGGCTATCAAGCTGGGGTTCTGGGAGGGGTTCAAGAGACCAAGCCATTTTTGGACGCAATTGGAGTAAGTTGGCTTCTGAATCTCACCGGCTGTTACTGGGTATAGACTTACGTCTCCTAGCATCCCGGGGGTACGGAGACAATACCCTTAATTGCATCTTCTAGTACGTTGGCAGCGGCATTTGTGTCATGTCTTGTCATGATAATCGGTATGCCGCTTGGTCGGCGTAATTGTATTATCATCGGTAATATCTTGATCACGATCGGGGGTGTCATACAGGCAGCGTCCTATTCAGTCCCACAAATTATCGTTGCCCGTGTGCTCTGCGTATGTAGCTCATTAGGCTCCTTTCCTTGTCCATATCTTTACAAAAAGACTAATATCCACGTCAGGGTGCCGGAATTGCAGTATGCTGAACCCATCATTGATCTTTACTGATACACTCAATACTAACATTGGCAGTTCATAACATGCAACGTGCCCATGTATATGGTAGGCGATTACTGTTTTCTCCGCACCCTCCCCTGGGATTAAGCTAATATGAGCAGTCTGAAATGAGCATAGAAGCTCGAGAGCGAGGTCCAGAAGTAGCAATTAACTGCTCGGCCCTATTACTAGGAGTGGCCTTGTCATACTGGGTCAGCTTCGGCTTCACACGCATGACAAACCAGATTTCTTGGGTAAGTTCTTTCTTCGTCAACGTGAATGATCGCTATTCTCACATGACCTATACAGAGATTCCCTATTGCAATGCAGTCTATATTCTCCATAATGTCCGGCATCAGCATGTTCTTCCTCCCAGACACCCCTAGGTGGTACTATATGCGTGATCGCATAGAGGAGGGCGATAAAACTTTATCACGACTATACGGTGTATACCGGAAAGGCATGCCGAACTATCATGATGTTCCAGAGATTCAAGATATGAAATCAACCATCATGGTCAGCCTCAGAGTCGAAGAAGAGTCAGAAAACAAGCTCACCTTCTTGAGTATCATATGGGACAACACTCCTCTCCGAGTTGGCCGACGCATCCGGATCTCCTTCATTATCCTGGGGATTCAGCAGTCGATGGGAATCAATATCATGGTTTATTATATGACTCGGATCTTCTCAGAAGTTGGCCTTTCCAGTTTTATGGCCTCTCTTATTGCCGCGCTGGCGTTGACAGTGCAGTGGATGGGCTCATGGGTTTGTATTCCTACAATCGAGCGCATCGGGCGGCGCAGAATTATGATGTTGACGGGGTCGGTTCAGACATTCTGCCTGCTGATTTTCGTGGTGTTGAACATGATTGAGAACAAGACCGACGCTACGCGATGGGCAGCTGCGATGATATTATTCCCCTATTTGTTCTTCTATGGCTGGGGATGGGTCGGGTGCCCCTGGCTTTATGGCCCCGAGGTATGTTCAAGGTATGGATGGTAACGTGAAAGCTTGTTAATATTCGATTATAGATTGCACCTTTGAGATACCGCCACATTGGCTCCGCAGCTGGACTCTTAGGCGTATGGGTATTTACATTTATCACGGTCTTCGCTGGCGGAATTGCGTTGAAGACAGTGGGGGCCCGAATCTGGATTTGGCCATTGATTTTCAACGTCATCGCGGTGATTTTCGTTTACTTCATGTGTCCAGATGTGAGTATTGCGTTGTCTTGACATTTAGTTTCTTTGCTAATATTCAATCCAGCCCACTGGCAAGACACTTGAAGAAATTGACCAGCTTTTTGCTAAAGATGGCGCGCTGCTGGACCGTCTCAATCAATCAGATACTGAGAAGGAATGTGTACATGAGGTGGAGAACAGCGCATGAGATGCACTTGAGACAAACTTGATAGCCAGACCAGTATTTGGTCATCTGTCCCGGAACTCAGAATGCCGTTGTTCGCTTCCATTTGGCGAGCGAGATAAATATTATACCCGAGGACTTTAATCACATTTTCTCTGAAGCTCCAGGGCTTGCGATGCCCTAAGTCTTGAGTGAGCTGCACCGGTTTAGTTAGTCTCAATTCAATTTGTCTCTTGCACATACCCCGACCATTACCCTCATATTGCGATCATGTATTCTTGTCCGTTTCATGAAGTCTTTGGGGGCGCCCTTCAAGTTGAATTATCCGACTTTCCTATGTGAAGCATGCCCAGGTGCAAGGGGGGCTGATGGGTGTAGCACGACGCGACGTGGCGCGTCGTCAATGCGTTTTCAGAAAAGTGAGTGCGGCGGTTCTTTGTGAGGGAGAAGGGAATTCCGGAGTCGACGTACTAAAATCAATACCATTGAAATCTCACGAGAGTCTACACCTGTGGGCACATGTCCATATCATTCATTTAAATTAAATCTTGACAAACATGAAAATTTTCATGTGATACTATTCGATCATAAATGGCTATTTCTTTGCATATTATCCAAGCGAATAACTCCCTAGGAAAAATTAACAAATGCGAAATTGTACAGGGGTAAAGGATATGGGATCCGGGTTGTACTGACCTCCTGGATACAAGTTGCTACAAGGTCACCATTCCTAGTCCACATCCGCTGCTGGACTAGACCGCGACCGTTCCCTGCCCAACTACTCTGAATCTCTGACAATAACCAATCATCCGCTCGGAAGTTTTCCATATTGTGAAAATATATGGTATGATCCAAACTAACCATCATAGACACCCTCGGCTCTTCGTTCTCGGCTTTATCCTCCGGGGTTTCCAGATGCGGTCGTCGAATCTCAGTGTGTTTCTCAGTCGATGTTGAAAGACCTTTGGACGAAGGATGGAACTCGGATATCGGTGGATCCACAAAGTGCCAGATCTCATGGCTATGAGGCACGCCGGCAAGAAAATAGCTGTCCGACATAAAGGCCAGTGCCGCCTGGTGGACTTGAAAATTGGCTGATAGCGACAAAGGGTTGCTGGCCTTGATCCATTGATGGAAACATTTATCCTCCGGTCGACGCTGTCTGTTCTTGTTTAATACGCCCACACTTCTATTAATGAAAGGGGGGGGTTGTCTCATCTCTGAATGTGTGCATATCATTCTCTGGTATTGGGATATTTGGAGGAATTGGGCAGCCGTGCTGAATATTTTCTTCTCCGTTCCCTGGACTCCGCTTTTTCGCAAAACTGACATTGCAAATGAAAATCGGCCTTCCTCTCTGCAAAGCACGTACGGATCTGGTACAAAATCCCTTTCCATCGCGAATCCTTTCTACATGGTAGAAGACGGGGTCCTCCGAGTTTCCTGCGTATACAAATGAGCCATGCAGGGAACTCGCGATGAAATCCCCTGATACGGTTTGTTGGGCAGCACTGAGACTTTGCGCAATCGCGAACCCCCCCAAATATTCCATGTGCCCCTGGTCGCCAAAGGGAGGAGATGTTCGTGAACACACTGGGATTGTCGCTTATGCAAACAACATTCACCTGCTTCTCAATTATTGACGGGGCGTTCTGTGTTGACATGGTTCATGTTCGGATGGAAATGGCGAGCTTGATTGGCCTTTGTAGAGCTAGGGGCCTTTGTAGTTTTACAGAATCAATTGAAAGAAGAAAAAAAGAAAAAATAGACTTAAATATGATAGAGTACATTCCTGAGGTCTCTGGGTGATCTTCGAAGCTGGCGGTCCGGCCGATAAATGTAGTATCCGGCAGTGGTTACCTCGGAGAGCAACCAAACGGAATTTTAAGCTCACCACTATAATTCTTCATTTCTTTTATTTCTCCGTTTTAAAATTGAAGTAACCGAAAATTTCCGAAATTAGATTTCTGGTCATTGTATCTAGTGCTGATAAAGAAACTCGTAGTATTGGGATCCTCGACGTGGTCTACAAAGCCTGGTTGATTGTTGGAGGGCTTTCATGTATTACTTTCACACCTTATCGACATAACATTACCGTTACTCGAATTATTCGCCATGGCCCCCATAGTATCGGATATGAAGGTACATTTCCGCCACGATAGATCCATTACTCAGATGATGTTGGAGAACACTACAAATGTCGATCCTAGCAAGGTCATTAGTGAAGATATCCTAACGGGCAAAGCTACTACTTATGGAAATTTGCGCGAGGAGGCATTCAAGGCTGCTTGGATATTCAGACATCGTCTGGGACTGAAAATCGGAGAGACCGTTACTATCATTGGGAGAAGTTGCGTTAGTTCTGCCTTTGCCCAGGTGAGGGATATCTTTTGTTAGATATTTTCTGACAAGCAACTTGAGATATAGGTGGATTATATTATTGCAACGCATGCTATTTGGGCAGCCGGTGGGATTGTCAGGTCAGCTTTTTTTTCCGTACACCTGTGTTTTCAGAGTCACTAACCATGTCCAGTACAATCAACCACTCTTCATCTGCACAAGAGATCGCCCACGCTGTTAAGCTCATCAAGCCCCAGTTTGTCATTGTCGATGGTATATACCACAAGAAGCTGTGTGAAGCCCTCACTCTGGCCCAAACTGGAGATGTGACGATTTCGACAATGGTGTCTAGATTGGATGGCCACCTTCTGGTAAGATACTTTCACCTCGTCAACTTTAAGAGTTAAATTCTAACCAATATAGTTCCCTAGCGACTTCGTCACCTGGGACGCGAAGCGAGTGGAGCCCGAAGCCTACGTTCTCGATGGGCAAGATGCGCGGACCAGATGTGCGGCACTGGTCTTATCTAGCGGGACCACTGGCCTTCCCAAGGCTGTCATGTTGTCACACTATAACTTGACTGGTATTTGTGAAGCACTGCGTGGTCATAATCCCGAGAACTGGAGAGAGTCGATGAGAGAAGTGTTTTTCCCGGTATGAGCCCTTCGTACTCGATCTTTGACAAACTTGTATAATGCTAACTTGCTCAGCCTTGTAAGTGACGGCTAGAAGGAGATAATAAAATCAGTCTCCGTGCTAATTTAGTAATATCAGTATCACATATCTATGGTCTATATGTGTGCGCATTGATGGGGCCTTGGCTTGGCTACTATGTGTGCATGGTGCCTCAGTTCGAGCTGAATACTTACTGTCGGGTCAGTTACATCTTAAACGTTATCATACTCACTCACTGATATCTTCTGCTAGCTTATGTCTGAAAAGTCTGCAACATTGGCACGACTCGTGCCACCAGTTGCTGTCATGCTCGCAGAGAATCCAATTGTTGACAAGTATCAATATCCCAACCTTGAGTACTTTTCCTGTTCGGCAGCACCATTGAAGGTTTGCTCATATCAATTCGAAATCTCGGCCAAGGATTAACTTCGAGGTAGCCGGCAATTGCGTCAAGACTACGAAATCGATTTCCTTCAGTTAGCTTGTGCCAAAGTAGGTATTTGATACCCAGCTTACGGAATGATTTAACTGACTCTAAATTATAGCGTACGGCTGCACCGAGTTATCATCTTGCATTGCACAGAGTGGCGTGAGAGACAAGGATGCTCCTCTAGTTGCTGCGGGCACTCTACTTGCCAATGTCAAGATTCAATTCCTGGACGAACAAGGCAAAGAGGTACCCACTGGCCAACCAGGAGAGATTGTGGTTTCCACACCCACCATCATGCTGTTAGTATTTCACCGCAAAAACTTCTCATGCTAGTATATTGCTTCTGACTCACCTTTGCTTGAAGAGGGTACAAGGATAATGAGGAGGGAACACGCGAGAGTATGCATGGGCCGGAATGGTACAAAACAGGAGACCTTGGATACCTGGACGACAAAGGCTATTTGATAATTGTGGACCGACTGAAGGATGTCATCAAATACAAAGGGTATTTTATCCAAGCGTCTATCGATAATTTGCAGTGCTAACTATAAATTCAGTTTCCAGATTAGCCCCACCGAGCTAGAGGAGATAATTGGAAGACATCCTATGGTAAAAGACTCCGGTGTCACTTCAATCTGGGACGATGTGGAAGGCACTGAAATTCCTCTTGCGTTCGTTGTTCCGAAAACCCCGATTTTATCGATTAATAGAGAGAGACTGGCGAAGGAAATTCGGAATCTTGTGGCGGGAGAAGTGGCGGGCTACAAGAAATTGAGAGGAGGAGTGTGGTTTATTGATCAATTGCCCCGAAATCCGACTGGGAAAATGCTTAGGCGGGAGCTACGCGAAAAGGCTGCATTGAAGGCACACCTATAGCCTTAGGTAGATCTTCGATATGAGTTCTACTTACTTTCACAAGTTGAATTTATGGACCCTGTCGGGTATTCGGGACAATCTCGGGATTTCCTGTTGAGGTTGGTCGTGGTCCGGAAGATCAGCGCGTCACAGTAGCGATAGTTGTGTCTACTAGAAAAATCAAATAGCACCAAACGCGAGCTCCCGATGTCATTTCATCAATTCGGCTTATTATTCCAAAATTCCGTGACAAATTCCGAGGGTGACTGTAGACATCGGTGCTATTTAACAAGAATGTGGCCCAACATAATAGCCAGCAGCAGCTGTTACCTGGTATTCTGAAAATATCTACCCATACATTAAAATGCCCGCTCTCGACGGAATCCGTGTTCTAGAACTCGCAGGCTTGGCCCCAGGTCCCTTTGCTGGCATGATGCTGGCGGACAACGGGGCAAGCGTGATTCGTGTCGACCGAGTCAACCCACCTCACCAGCCTAGTCCCGACGTGCTTATTCGGAATAAGTCTTCTATTCAAATTGACCTCAAGAGTACTGCTGGGAAAGATATTTTTCTGCGCCTAGTCAAAGAAGCAGATGTCTTAATCGATCCCTTTCGACCCGGAGTTCTCGAAAAGCTCGGCCTTGACCCGACCAACACGTTGCTGAAACTGAACCCTCGCTTGATTGTCGCTCAACTCACGGGATTCCGACGTGATGGGAAATATGCGAAAATGGCTGGCCACGATATCAATTATCTAGCCGTATCTGGTGTCCTTTCCATGCTGGGTCCCTCGCCGCGTATTCCGCCAGACGGTCGCTTGCTTCCTCCGACCCCGCCGGGAAACATTCTTGGTGATTTTGCAGCTGGAGGACACATGTGCGTGACTGGAATCGTGATGGCGCTCTTTGCTCGGTCGCAGTCCGGAAAGGGCCAAGTTGTGCACGCTAATATGGTGGACGGAGCGAATTACCTCGCAACCATGCCAAGAATCTCGACTAAAATCCCTGGTCAATGGGATCAACCTCGTGGCGAGAATCTCTCCGATGGAGGTTGTCCGTACTATAACGTATACGAGTGCAAGGACGATGGCAATTATATGGCCGTTGCTGGGCTCGAACCACAATTCTTTTCGGAGTTGGTGAAGGGCTTGGGATTGAGTAACCGATCCTGGGTGGCTAATAGGGACGATCGGAAGTTCTGGCCTGATATCAAGAATGCATTTCAGAAAAGGTTCCGAGAAAAGTATCGCAAGGAATGGGAGAAAATATTCGATGGTAGCGACGCCTGTGCCACGCCTGTGTTCACCCATGCGGAACTGGAAGCCGCCGGATATGAACAACGCCCTGGAGTGACACTAACAGGAACGCCGGCCGTGGATGGAGGTCTAAGGTCAGGTTGGGACGTTCGGGTTTTGGGACTTGGCGAGGGTGGCGAGAAGGCATTATCGAAGTGGATGGGCTGGAAGCAGGGAAATCATTACGAGTCAGTCAACGGGGGGTTGCAGCTTAAGAATATCTCTAGGCTGTAAATGGCGAGTAGAGATGGCAGAAATAAAGTACTTATTGAAGCCATTTCTACATTTGGAATATGGCAGGCACTGAGAACTCAATTTCTCTGCGATACTTCTCCCGCCTGTCGCTCATTGTTCTTCGCAGTCATCTCTCCCTTTCATTTCATATATTCCAACAGGCCATGCTATCTGTTTCTTTGAACCTAGGGTACTGTGCTGCTTATCGTATTTTTTTGGTGGGATAGGGTTCAGTGGCTCTAAGGATAATGTGAAATAATACAATTGAATATAGTCTAAAAGTGAATGTCGACAGGAATACCATCACCTGCTATTAGTGCAGTGATCACAGCCTCACATACTTTCACAGCGGCCAAACCATCTTCCTCCGAGCATCTAGCCTTTTCGCCTTCTCTGATGACTCTAGCTAGATGTTCCACCTGTTGCTGGAACGGAATTCCATCACCCACATGCAAGACATTCCTGCGGATTGGCACATTCCATCCTATCTCTAGGCCCAATCTTTCGGAATCCGTGGCATCGTACCCCCACAGCACACCATCCGGTTCAGTTAGCGTACCCAGGGTGCCGAAAATGCGATAAGAGTCAACAGCCACAGGAGCGACCGGATACAAGGGATTATCGCCTGTTGCGGCCTCCCACCCGAACGGACTAGGGACATTATCGCTGACGACGAACGTCCCAACCACGCCATTCGCAAATTGCAGCATTATCGACACGCCTTCCTCAACAAGGTCCGCGGGAGGCGCGGTGCTATTCTCTCTGTGTCGAACTGCTGACAGCGCCCATATCCTGCTCACTCTTGACCCTGTCAGATAATGTAGCACGTCAATATCGTGGATGAAATTCGTCCATATCGGGCCTCCGCCAGCTGATCGTAAGGCGCGCCATTGAGCCGACGAATAATAGATGTCAGGTTTCTTCGCAGTCCAGGTCCCGGTGATAGCGGTGATTTTTCCGAGCTTCCCATTGCCAATTGCCTCGCGTGCAGCTACGATGGACGGATGGAAGCGGCGGTGATGGCCAACTAGGATCTGGCAAGACTTTGATTTTGCGAATTCGATCAGCCGTTTACCGGCATTGGAATCCGTGCAGAAAGGTTTCTCGATGAGGATCGCCTTTGGCCGTCCGTGGGTAACCACGTCTGTGGCGACATGTACATGAAGGCTTGAAGGTACACAGATAATATACGCGTCTGGGCTTTGAATTTCTGAGCGGAGGAGGGACTGTACGGAGTTGTAGTATGGAACACCGAGTTTTGTTGCCAGAGTCTTGCCGGGTGGAAAGGGATCTATGACAGCCGATAGCGAGCATGTGGGCGAGGAAAGTAGGTACTCTGCATGCAGAGGGGCAATAGTTCCGCCGCCTACAAGAGCAACCGAGACTTTAGGAAGATGAGTTTGAGGTTCCATGATAGATCGATATAAAAAAGAATTACTTTGCACACTATCCATTGCTCCACCGATGAACAATCGCGGATTTTAATTGAGAGACGTGGATAAGACTCGGGGATTGATCTGACTGCCGGTAGTTGACTATAGCGGGGCAGCCTAAGAAAGGCTCCGGTGGGCTCTTCTTTAATAACAACCTTGGAAGTGCGTCCCTGTTCCCCGCATCCTTTGTACACTCAGCGCCGTGATGGATATTTTGCGACAATCCTACGCATACGGCAAGTCGCCACTCATCCCTACATCGAAATCGGTGCCCCATAATGCGCTCCTCTTCGGGGGAAGTATCTCAAAGTCTCTCTCGCCGCTCCTCCATGGCATCCTCTTCAAATCGAAAAACGCAATATGGCATTATGGCAAGGTACAAACGATTGACCAGGCCGAGTTCAAGGCTCGGTTGACTTCCAATGATACGATCGGGACCTCTATCACCATGCCCAATAAGGTGACATTTGGCAAAGCTCTGGATGACCTCACTGAAGAAGCTCGCGCCATCGGAGCAGTGAATACCTCATTCCTCAGAATGACGCCAGACGGACGTCGCCTTCATATTGGCACGAATACAGACTGCGTCGGGATTCGTGAGGCAATCTTGCACCGGCATCCCTCAGCCATATCAGGAGCCGAGGGTAGAGCGGCCATGGTAGTGGGCGGAGGGGGAGCTGCACGCAGCGCCATCTACGCCTTGTGGAAATGGTTCCGGCCATCGGAGATCTACATCGTCAACAGGCTGGAGTCCGAAGTTAAGGATATGGCCAGCCACTTCACAGTCGCAATTCCGAGCATTAAGCTCCGGCATATTCAAACAATTGATATTGCGCAGAAAATGTCGGCACCATACATAATCGTTGGAACTATCCCTGATTATGCTCCGACACAGCCGGGCGAAATCATCTGTGCGAGAATCTGCGACGTATTTCTACACAAGTCGGACAAAGGATTGCTCGTGGATATGTGCTACATGCCTTCTCCGCAAACAAATCTCATCAAAACTGCACAAGGTCAAGGATGGAATACAATTGTTGGGACTGAGGTGCTGGTCCGGGTATGTGTCGCTCAGCAGATTCTGTGGGTTGAGGAAGAACCAAATGAAATAGGCGTACAACAAGCGTTAGCAGCAATTGAGGAGAAAACAAATACTGAGCTAGCTAAATTGTAACTGTCAATAAATCCAATGAAATGAAATTTCTTTACTGAGAATTATGGTGCCTCATAGGAATATTCGAGCGATGCGGAGTGAAGGGCGGCCGATGCCAACGGGACGCCCGCAGTTAGCAGAGTTAGCGGCAGCAATACTGAATGTTTACAGAGAGTTGTTTCGCCCGGATTCCGAATTTCACGACCGTATCGTTTCCCATTTCCAGCTCGTTGGCTATCATCTTTGCTTTCCATTTCGGGGGTAGATTAAAATTCCGATCTTTTCCTCCATGGGGTTCGGAGTCGCGCCCCTGCGCACTCATCCGCGTTTTCTCGTCTGCGGCTTTGAATACCCGAGGGAGTTCTTCGGTTCCCCGCAAATCGGGCAGTAGATTAATACACCGGGCCAGTGGCAGACATCTATATTCAGGGATTTGAAGTCTTACTTATTGTATCAATAGTAATCCGGAGTGAGATTTTTTTGCTTCGTTCAGCCTTTCAAATATCTCTTTCGCAACAATGGCAGCGCCCATAGCGCCCCTCGCTCAGGTTAGTTTATCGCACGACTTGGAAAAAGCGAATAGTAGTTGACAAAAAGTTCCAGCCCATCACTTTGAAGCTTTCGGGCAAAGTGATCAAAAATCGAATGTATAGGACCCCGCTCAGTGAATATGCCTCTACTTACGACGAAAATAACGTCAAAAACTGCGGGAAGCCTTTACCTCGCTACGCAGAACTGTACCAAGGTATTTACTATCTCTTTGACTGTAATAGATCACAAATGAATTTTGAAAACAGGAACTAATCCTCGATTTGAATATTAGATCTCGCAGATGGTGGTGCAGGCCTCATATGTACAGGAAACATTCCGATCCACCGAGACAACCTGGAGAACTACAACAATGCGGTCCTCGACATTAATAACCCTTGGGATCCCGTGGAGGCATTCGCACCCGCTGTCCAAGCGGCCAAATCCCGAGGTGCCTTATTCCTACCCCAGTTGCAGTTCCCCGGAAGACAGGTCCCCGAATTCCTGAACCCGAATCCGAAGTCGTCGGCTGATCAGCAACTGGAACCGTGCCTTAACAAAAGCTACGGCAAGCCATCGCCACTGACGACAGAAGAGATAAAGGATCTGGTTCAACGATATGTATGGGCGTCGGAAGTGCTTTCCAAAGCTGGGGCCGATGGAATTATTGTATGTTTTGAGGTCTTATGGGGTATTTCATGGCAATGCTAATTGGTATTCTTAGTTGCATGCGAGTCACGGATACATCATGCAGCAATTCCTCTCGCCGTTGATTAACAAGCGCACAGACAAGGTATGAATCTACGACTAGTACATAATATTTCGATTTCTTTCAATATCGGCGTTAACCTTGTCTGTTCTTCAGTACGGAGGAAGCCTAGAAAACCGCGCCCGTTTTATTCTCGAAATCGTCCACGCTATAAAGGCGAGATTGCCGTCTAACAAATTCGTCATTGCAGCTAAGTTGAACTGCCAGGACTGTATGTTTTCTTCAGTCTTCCAAGGCTCATAGAAATAAGGTAGATACTGATGCCTTTTTTTGTAGTCATCGAAGGCGGAACGAGCTTTGCAGAGACGTGCGTCGTCATCAAATGGCTCGAGGACGCCGGTGTTGACTTTTTTGACATCTCAGGGGGCACATATGCTTCTCCCGCGTGGAGAGGAAATATTATGACCCAGTTGGCTGAGCGTCCATCCCAAAAGGAACGTGGGAGGTAAGAAAGCTTCAGAATATCCGGATTCAAGGAAGTTGAAAAATCTAATACTGTACTAGTTATTTTATTGAATGGGCGCAGGAGCTTAAAAAGGTTCTCGTGAGTATTTCCTCTCTGTATAAAAGAGCGCGGCTAATTTATGATGATTTAGTCTCGTGCTGTCATTGGAACTACAGGAGGCTGGCGTGATAGTCATCGCATGTCGGAGGCTGTAGAACACGGCGATATCGACATGATTGGACTTGGAAGGCCATTGCGAGAGGATCCGAACTTCGTTAATCAGGTATTACGAGGAGAGGTGAGACGCAGCAATCTCTAGTCTAAATCATGTTTCTGTAGGGCGCATGGCCCGATGACATTTAGTACCTAGGTACTGTTTCATTTCTGTCTCCATATCTCGTACCTCCAAGAATAAAAATATCGCATTCTATTGTGGATAGCAAGAACAACTCGTGGACTCAAAAACATAGCCAGGCTTGTCTACCCCCCCGTGACGTCGTGTAACGATAGAGATTCACCTTCAATACTTGGCCGAGTAAGCCCCGTTGGTCATAAAGTAGACTAAAAAAGAGAAAGAGAGAGAGAGTTGCATTATACTCGAATTTTAGCAGTCGTGAGGGGCTTTTCCCGAGTCGAAATCGGCCAAGGCCGTGCTATCTTTTAACCAATTCTGATTTTTATACATGATATCCAATTTCCAATCTTGATTTAAAATTCCTATGGTCAGGACTGGCCATTTGGCCGCTCGTACCTGCAATTTTTGTCGGTGAATCTTCGTAGGGGCCCATATGCATCGGGAGCCCCATACTAAACGCCCCAGAGGCCCATGTAAAGTAAAGTAAGATGATCAGGCACAACTGTGAGTTAACGCTCAGAATAAGCCCTGATCACATGATTCTCTCTACTCACGGCATGGTAGTGACTTGAAGATAAAATCATAGAGGAGCCGAGCCAGACTAAGATGTCGCACTGTCTTGTAAAATTTATGTGAGATTTTCGATCTATTTACATCACGACGAGTACTGGACCTCGGGAGCCGACTGACTACTAGTACTAATAGTCCTTAGTAGTTATATTCCACGTCCTCCATCTACCTCCAAGGTGGTCCCGGTCACAAAAGAACTCTGGTCTGTCGCCAGATACCACACAGCATTTGCAATGTCTATTGGCTGAGCAACTCGTTTCATCGGCAGCAGATCCTCGATCTTCTGTAGCCGCTCCTGCGAATCCGCACCACTGCCAATGCTTGCTTGTAGCCTGCACTTGTAAGTATACTATTGAAGGCACTGACATCTGTGAAATTCCTCGTACTTACATCGATGTATTGCCGACTGCCGGTGCAATACAATTGAATCGGATGGTGGGAGCATACTCTAATGCCATTGTTTTGGTTGCGACCTAGGATATTTTATTCAGTTATTTTCACGTCGCGTTCGAGGAGAGGATGGTCTTTCACGTTCACTGCCGCCTTCGAAGCATTGTAAAAGGCGAATCCTGGACGGGGGCGGGTACACCCGGTACTAACAGTTGTTTGTTAGAGATAACACCTAACTACCCTCTTTATCCGTAGGGGCCTACCTTGCAATGTTAACAAAAACACCATTTCCCTGCTCAATCATATATGGAACAATAGCTCGGGCACTGCAGAATATCGGCTATCAGGCGTGACATCAGTAAGTCATAGTATTTCCCACAAATAAAAACCTTGGAAATACCTAGCTAAAAGGCACGTACCCTCACATTCACATTGAATGTACGCTCGTATTCAAGCATGTCTTTCGTATGGACGGGCTAACAAAAGTCAACTAGGCGATCGAATTTCTTTCATATAATGAGAATACATACGCTCTGTGCCCCGGTAATTCCTGCATTATTGACCACAACATCCAGGCGACCGAACTTGTCTCGGGAAAGCGCCAATGCTTGGTCCCATGTTTCTTGTTGAGTCACATCTCCGAATAAGAAGTGTAAATTTGGACCACCGGAGGCTTTCTGCTCCCCTTTCGCTCTATTGATGTCGATAATTATTACTTGGTAGCCCTCATCGTGGAACCGATCTGTTATGGTAGCTCCGAATCCATCTGCACCGCCTGTGACAACAGCTACTTTTGCCTGCATATTGTGGGTGTCAAATCAGGTGGATAATATAAAAAAAATATATGGCTTGATCATTGATTATTTCAGGCGGAATACCATGCTGATGTAGTTATTGAACCCCCGCAACCCGGGCCTTTTATTTAATTGCCGGGCCCCAGCATAACATCATCTAGACCTCCAAATCCTTGCCTCTCCCAGCACTGTCCAACACCAAGAGCGAAATTCCTACCTACCAAGAATACTCAAGATGTCCACCATCAAAGTCGCAATTGCCACAAACTCGCTTGGAAAGTCAGCCGCCGGACATACAATTCATCGCAAATTACAAGCCGCCAAAGCACACGGATTTGACGGTCTCGAAGTGGCCTTTGAGTGTCTTGAGGCTCATGCCGCAACTTATATTTTACATCAATCCCGAAATGACCGTCTTCTTGCAGCTGCTGGAGACATATACAAACTTGCAACATCTTTAGGCCTTGAACTGATCGCTTTAAATCCGTTCGGCGCGTATGATGGCCTCAAGGACCCCCACGATGTTGAGATCCGGCTTCAAGAGGCTGAGCTATGGTGCCAACTTTGCCAAGTTATGCATATTCGTATTTTTCAGGTGAGATAGATATTCAATTGGAAGTCGCTGGTTCTATTGCTGAGACCAGGAATTCCACATAGATATGCACCGCACTTTACGGAATTGACGAAACCAAAATTACTGATGACCCAACAGTCATCGCGAGGAATATGCGCACGTTAGGTCATTTAGCCCAGCATTATAACCTTCGTGTGGCTTACGAAGCCCCCTCTTGGGGTATCCACAACAACACCTGGCAACAGGTCCAAAGAATCCTTGATTTTGTCAACATGCCGAGCGTTGGTCACTGTTTAGACACATTCCATATTGCGTCCAAAGTAGCCGGTGATCCTTTTAACTCCAAATCCCCAATCCGAAATGATGGGCACCGAGACCTCCAAAGTAGTCTCGAGGAGCTGCGACGCACGATAAAACCAGAGAATATTGTATATTTTCAACTGAGCGATGCGACCGTGGCAGATCCAGATCAGGACGGTTATCCCCGGCGAGATATTAAGCAACCATCGTTCATGACACAGTCCCGCAATTGCCGGATTTATCCTTGCGAAGAGCACAAGGGAGGTTGTCTACCCGTTATAGATATAGCTAAAGCTGTATTTGATCTGGGATATTCAGGTTGGGTGTCGATGGAAGTCTTTCATACCGATATGTGGGACCAGCGGAGCTCGTGAGTTCGGTCCATTATTATTCACAAGATAATTAAACGGTCAGTGCTTACATTGCCACGCAGAGTTCCAGACGATTGGGCGAGAAGGGGAATTGAATCTTGGAAGAGGCTAGCTCGCCGTTGTGGATTGAATTATAGTAAACTATAGGAGTTCCTTTCTGCGCATTATTCGACGCGGTCTAATAATCTGGTGGAGCAGAAGCTTTGATTAGGAAGTATTGAAGATTTTTGGACTGATGGAAATATTTTGAAACGCGTTTGAGACACTGTGTATCAAGCCATCTTTTTCTCTTAGAGTGTTGACCTAGGAATTTCAAGATTTCACCAACTGTGGGCACATATTAGTTACTAACTATTACTTGTACGGTACAATGTCAGCAATCATCATTATCATATTCTCTCTGTTGCTCTGCTTATTAGTTTTGACCGCAATACAAATTGTTCCTAAGTTAAGCGCCGATTATTACCCAATTGCAGGTTCTACGTGAATCTAATCTAAGCAATGACTATTTGGTACATACAACCCTAGGTCGAGGAGAACAGGGCTTTCCGTACGCTCAGTCGTACTTAAGCCACATGCTAAACGCGTTCAATTCTCAATGATTCCTCACTACCCCCGTGAAATGAAAACGGTGACACAAATCCCGTTAGCGTGAGTGTGGGTTATATGTGTGAGAAGTTTCGAGGACGGGGTTTACGATGGCAACAAGACGATACCAACTCCGCTCTTGACACCGAGCACTTCCAGAATATCCCGAGTATTCTCAATCTCAACCCGGCTGAAGTAAAGGTCTTTGCAAAAGATGATCGAGCCCCTGGCTGGTCAGTCAACGATAAAGTTCGGTCCAAATTCCGAGCTGCAGCAGACGCGCTGGTAAAGCCCACGCGGGCCTCCATGGCTCGATGACGATCTTCATCGTGACAGGGTTGATATGGGCAGGGCTGTGTGAATCCTTTGATAAAGGGCTATTCTAGGACAGGCTCGCTTCTAAAATGTGGAGTCGAGTAGATCTGATTGTGTAGTTGGGAGAGTACCACATAGAAAGGTTGGTCTGACTTGGCGCCTAAAATCCAAAGTGGGGGCAGAAAGCCTCATGCTGGAACGTGTAACAGATGTCAAGGTAATCCTTTTTTAGCCAACCAGTGGTATTTCTTATCTCAGTCATCTGCAGATCAGGCCACCACTGGCATGATGCATGCTTTGTGTGCTGTTTTTGCTTGGCGCTTGATTTTTGGACTGCATAATGTGGCTTCCAACGGCTATCATGACGACACGGAGCGCTGGACTCAAAATCAGGAGTTCGTGGTCAGTATCTCTTGGCCTGAAAATCTTGCTTTTTCTCTACTTATAGGCGATCATTGTAAAATAGTGGTGGGAATGGTAGGTCAGTCTTAGAGAACAGTGGAATTCAGATAATCATGCTGTATACATCGACGCTAAGTCTAAAATTGAAAGGCCGTAGGTACATCATTATGTTCGTTGAATCATTATACATGGAGATAGATCGTCCTCCTTTGTAACTCGTTTAGCGTTGTCTGCCATTCCAATTTCCAGTGGCCATCTTCTCTCAAGAGTCGAAGATGGGACCAAAGGCTGGTATGCCGCTAGCTCTCAGCTCATAAACAATCTTCTTTGTGAGGTGTGGATTGCTTATAACACAGACAGCCTCGGCATCAAAGTCACGCGCCATTTCCTGGATAGTAGGAACCATATCAATCCGCCCACTATTACCAGTATCAATGAGAAGCGGGTTCGGATCGAGACGGTGGACAAGGCTGAGGACATCGGGTCCGTATGTGCGTTTCGGATTCCGGGTCTGCCAAATCAGTCGCAAGTGGGGGTTTCGTTTCTCACTCAGGAAAGACAAACAAGGCCCAATGCCAGATCCTGTTGCGACCACAACCACCCGACGGAACAGGCGCATGACATGGATGAACCCATACATCAGCACACCGCGCTTCCAAAGATGCGTGGGCTGCTCCGCAATGCATCTTGCCGTCCAATCACCTGCACGCGAAACTATCACAGACCAACTCTTGCTATCTGGATCAGGGAACGTTGCGAAACTGTGCCAGTCTTTGAGAGGATGATTGGAGAGGCCGATGACCTTTCCAAAGTTGGTGGACGTGTGGTCGAAGTGGAGTCGCGTCGCATGGGTTGATAGGGCTTCGGGTTTAACTTGGACCCGGCGGAGGAGAGTCCACGGATGCACGATGGTAAGAACAATCAGAATCACGACCCAGAATGCAGGAAGACGAATGAGGTATTGGCCGTAGGATAAGCCTTGCGCCTTTCTCGCTTGATCGGAAAAGACCAACAGCAGGGTAAGGAAAAGAGCCACGGCCGTCCATGCAGAGAATCGGTGGACCAGCTCGAAGTAATCGTGTCTTTTTGCGCGGAAGGTTGGATGAGCAACTAGAATGATACCAACAAGGACACCGAGTAAAATATAAGCTATCACTATGATAGGCAGAGTGATGGTTCCCGCCGCGTTATCCGCCCAGTATTCTCGAGAAATCAATCCCACGAGCCCAGTGTACCACAAGAAAGAGGCGACACCGCATCCACTGTGTACGCCACCGTAATGATATGCCTCTGCAGCTTTTTTCCGTAGCCAAAAGGGGGCCGAGACAGAGACACGGCACACAGTCAAGAAAATAGCGTTCACTACCATCGGATGACGAGCAAGGCCACATACTAATAAATTGATTGCCGCCGCATTGACAAAGGCCAGTGTTTTCTCACGGCTGCACGCCATGATTATAATGAAGGCAATGGCATTGGCAATGTAAACAAGCGTAAACAACCGTCGATAAATGCTGAAAAGGTGGTATCGCAATGAAGCCAGGATCGGAAGAGACTGCTGAGACTCGAGGTCTTTCGTTGGTGAAAAGCGATTCCAATCCCATGTTTTTGTGTCCACACTTAGAAATGTATCAATGGAGTTGGCAAAACTCGGTTTACTCGTATGAGTTGGGCGAGGCTTCTCAAGAATTGGCAACGACATTCTGTAAACAAGAACAGAAGCTGTATAAATGACCAACTGTCTCCAGGGCTCTCAAAGAATGGATTACACCCCCGAATACATGGAAAAAGATCGATAAAGTTCGTTCGGATCCACGAGACGAGATATTTAAGGAATCAGACCGATCTGAATCGCGCTGATCCAAGGGGGTTGGCCAGGTGTTTGTCCGCTGACCCGGTGAGGTCCGGCCAGGCTAATCATCCCCAGACCTCTTGGCTCTGGTTCTTTTTGGTTCATGCTGGTAACAATGACAGCGCATTAGCTGGACCTGAGGGCGGACCTAGGAACGCATGTTGGTGGGTTACCAGCCGCCTCTCTCTGCGGCTCTATGCTCCTTTGGGTCATAGTATGACAAGGATTACAGCACGTTGTAATATCAGGAAGGGGGCGAATGCATGGCAGCATCTCCAAGGGTGCGGGACCTATTTAGGTATGTTTCAAATTGCAATTTGTGCGTGAAAATGGAAAGTAGAAACGGCGGCCATTGACGAAACACCGTTTTTCATGAGAGATAGAATTTCAAGGCTTTGGAATTAGAATCTGACTCTATCCACAAACATCTGCCCCCAACAGTTCTGTTCAGCATCGGAAGGTTGAAAGCAAGATTTATGGGCCTTTTGTCGCACGAGTCCCGAAAGTTTGTCTGACTTTATTAGCGCGATGACTATCGAGGCCGCAAGCTGATTAGCCCATCAATTGAGGAACAATATGCATTATGTGGATCCTCTCCGTTTTAAGTGGAAGGTTGACGGCCCGCGTGGATCCGCACCCGAACCTTTCAAGACACTCCTGTCAGTCCACGAGGTCAGCTCCCCCAATCGGATTCATGAACACTTCCAAGGTTCTTCCGTTCATTTCAATGAGATAACACATTCGGCTATCATGCAACGCGCCCCACTCACGCTCCCATGCCATTTGCAGAAGGAACCGCGAGTAGCGTACAATGCTGTACACTTGGCTGTATATTTGCCTGGTTTCATGCCGGTCCATTGTCCGTCCTTATCTCCAGGGCTGCAGCTAGATCCCAAAACATCCGTCATACCACCTTGACCATAAATGCACAGGACAGCTGCATGGAAAGTCATATGCCTTCGGCCGTGGCCATTTTCCAGTCTACAGGGCTCTAGACGCCACCACATGGAGATGGGGGCCCCGTTTTTCATTTCTGAGCCGTACGAAATCCTTTGGAACTTTCAAAACGCACGGGGCGCACATTCTGCGCTAAAAATCCGTCTGGTCCATTCCGTGCCTGGCAGTGCCGTGCCTGGTGGGGGAAAAGGCAAATCTTAGCCTAATTGTCTTCCATGGTGCAATTCCTCTTTGCTTGCCCCGTCGGTGGGTCACAAGTGGGAATCAGCATGATTTCTCCGGAAAGCAAAGGGAGAATTCCAGAATCCTTTCTACCCTGGTCGCAACCCTGCAGCTGCTAACTGAGACCAAGCCTCCCTCATTCCTTGTTTTTCTAAGGAAGACGGACTACGGGGTAACTGCGCGATTCAGCTCTAGACCCACCACCGTGCAGACTACTGTGCCATTGACCTTGCGTACGGAAGGCGATAGGGGCCATCCCTGGGGCTCAGGAGTCAAGACCTACCCACCTAATTTTGGATGGTTTTGCGTGTCGCACACCATACCGCAACATGGCTTCCTCCAGCCTGACAGGGGACGACGATGGCGCACCTATCTTTGACTCGCTCGCCAAGTTCTACACCTCGGTCGCTATCGTGTGGACTGTGTTGATTTTGTCTGGCGCGAGCCTTCTGATTGCTAATCGTCATGAGCAATACATTCGCATTCGCAACTTGCCGCTTGTTCTGAGCGCCGTGGGGTGTCTCCACGTCTACTGGATTCTATGCCTGGTCGCATACTCCATGAATGGCCGGTACCCTTGTGTGGCAGAGTACTGGGTAATGAGCATTTATCTTCCGTTGGGAATCGCCCTATTCCAAGCGAATAGCATGCAGCTTCTGAGTGTCTTCGGTATCCAGGAGAAATTGCTTCTAGCGGCCCATCGCCCGTATGTACCCCACTTGACCAGTCGCACATATTCTTCAGGAAGATATTTGGACAAATGGAGGCAACTGAACCTGGTTCAGCGGACTGAGTTCGGCATTGTGGTTGGAATGGCGATTCAAGTTAGTAGCTATGCGCCGATGCGTGCGCGCCCGGCCGGACACGATTTTCTTTTTAACATCTGACACTGGATATTTATCAATAGATAATTCTGTCGCTTTGTATCTTCCTCACCTCTCGAAAATTTCAAACTTTCGGCACCTGGGATATGCGGGTCAGTCCTTCGGAATGTCGACGCGGACCGGAATGGTGAGCCCCCCCAAATGTGCTATACATTGGTTGAATTGCTCTGACGTGGAAGTATCGAAGGATTCCATCTATCCTCTGGCAACTAACATGGTCGTGGCTATTTGCCCCGTACATGTTGTGGAAAATACGCAATATCCACGATGTTCATCATTGGCGGCTCCAGATCACAATCTGCCTGATAGCTAAGTATGTGTCCAAGGAGTCTCGCCCTCAAAAGACCAGGCAATGCAAGGCAGTAATTTCAATGCCATCGAATATCAAACTAACAGTTTCACAGCCTGCCCGGCTCACCTATGTGGTTTGCAGCCCTATACTCTACCACTCCAACGTGGGCGGCTATCAACAAATACTGGGTCCCAGCCCTTTGGTATGAAAAGTGCGACTATAATGCAAATCACAAAAACTGACAAGGATGAACAGGTTTACCCCCGGAATCGTGATGATGGAAGCTGTGACTATTTTCTTCCCAGTTTACGAAGTCCTCATCTCCAGACGACGAAAAGCCCACATGCTCGAGCAAATCCAAGTCTGGAATGAAAAGCGCGCCTCAAAGATTGATGAACCTGACTCCGGAATCTCACGCAGCCAAAGCGAGATCAGCGGTCCGCGCCTCCCTGAAATTTATTCTCGAGACGCACTTGAGCAATGTTTACTCGATGACTCGGGTACACTTCTCAGCTTCGCCGCAGCCAAGGAGTTCAGCGGCGAGAACATCATCTTCCTGACCTACGTGCGCGACTGGAAAGCCGCGTGGGCAAAGATAGGCGAGTCCCAGCCGGAATATGACTGGGTCCAAGATCCGGAGAATCACCGACTGCACATGTTCAAAATCGCAGTTGAGATCCATGCGTCCTGCGTTAATCTCGAGACTGCGGAGTTTCCCATTAATATTGAGTCTCAAATTTACTCCGATCTGATAGAGATATTTGGCGAGGCTTCTGTGGTACTCGTGCGCGATGCGCAAGGTGGTGCTTCGCGATACTACAGGGATATGTCTGATGGCTACCCGATGCCGACTAGGACGCATAGGAAGAAGTTTTCGACCGTCATCGCCGTTGAGGAAGATAAGCATGCCCTGTGCTTTGATGCTTTTCCTTTCGAGAGCCATAGCATCATGCTTGTTGAGTCACGGCTTCCTGACTCTGTGGTCGTTCCTGGGAAGTTCTCTTCTAAGGCGTTCGACCAGGCAGAGAAGTCTATCAAGAACTTGGTGTTTACGAACACATGGCCCAAGTTTGTGGAGTCTTGTTCGAGTACGTCCTCGATTCATTCGAAGTGAAGAGATGAAATCCTGCATTGAATTTGTACATAGTAATAGAGCTCAGGATTTTCCACCATTCCCTCCCATAATAACGCCCTTACGTAATCCACAGTCGATGCGAATCGCTTATCCTCCCTAGGAAGAGAAAACTGAACAAGTGGGCCTACTCCATTGTCCTGTAAATTGCCAACCTCATCGAAACGAAAGATTCCCAATTTTGTCAAAACATGAGCTATCAGAGTAAGCACGTCCTTCTTATGCTCCAGCGGCAGATCCCCCCCCAGAGGTTGTAGAGGTGCTTCCCTGGAAGCCTCTCCATAAGAACAAAAGGGGCACCAATTAGATATCGTGGCACACATCCTGATAGAGAATTTTGGCCACTGAAATCGGCGAGTGGTCCTTGACATATTTCATGGTGGCGAGTTCACTAGTCGCCTTTGCAACACCTGAGCAGGTTCTTCGCAACGGGTTCGCCTTGCGATACCTAGGTACTAGTATGTTTCATTTTAACGTTCGGAGAAATTTAGGGACAAAATAGGAAGCACTACTAGTAGCTATTGGCGGTTTCAAAGAAATTCTTCAACGAGGCGTCTTGGATGCCATCGAGCCAAATCTTGGCCACTTTCCTGTACCCCAGGTCTCCCGGGTGCGTTCCATCGACAAAGTCTTTGGATCGAGGTCCTTTGTCAGTATGCATGTCCACGATCACAAACCTGCCGGCGGCGGCCTTTTCCTCAACTAAGGCCCGAATCTGGTCCTTGACTCGTAGAATACGAGAATTGGTTTGTTGGTCTGTGTTTAGCAGCAAAGTCGATAGTATGACAGTTGAGTCAAGGCACTCCAACCAAAGAAAGTCGAGCAAATTGCCCATACGTTTCCCGAAGGAGTCGATCTCAAGATTCTGGATACAATCATTGGATCCCGGCATTCACTGTAAAGATATTTGGCTTGAAATTCGTGACCGATTGCATAGCTTTCTTTTCAATTTCGTCTAGTTTTATACCGCGCCACCCCTCAAGTTCATTGGCTGCCATAGAACCGGTCTTTCGCGAACCCATAATATGAACATCAGCACCGCAGGACTGGATCATGTCGAAAAATGCTCCCTGTAGCCATTGAGGTCCGAAGATCCTACACCATGTGTGATGGATCTTCCCAGTGACATCAAGGGCATTGAAATAGTGGCTAGTGATGACCGGGAATATCCTGGAGCGTTATGGAGTTAGTTAAATCGTCGCGAAACGCGTTCCCAGCCTCATGGCCCCAGGTAAGGGCGTGAGTTGTGAGTTGGGGGAGGAGAGGGCAGGCAATTGATATGAATTTAATTCACGAAAACTTACCGTGTGATATCAATGATGAATAATGGGGATGCGCCTTGGGGGTCAGGCGACGTGTTTTCATGCATTTTGGCAAGGGAGCCTGGTGGGACGCAAGTGGTAAGCTCGGGGCAGCAGTCCGACGCCAGGCAGGTAAGAAAGTCGATTGGAACATTGTCCCAAGCTCGATGGAAGGTTACACGTTTAGTGGAGAAAAGGAGACGGCAGAAGAAAGAAACCAAAAATTCTGACAAGTAATACAGCTTTCCTACTCTTGTCGACCGGAGAGAGAATGTCCAGCGTGATTCCAGTCAAGTGAAAGCGGACCGAGTTCTCGGATCGGTGTACATTCCATTCCCCCCGAGTAACTAACTACAACCACACCACAATCGGGTATCCGACGCGGTCAACGCCATGCACGTAACTCTTTCACATGAGTGTCTGGGGCAAATATTCCGTTGAATTAGACCAGATGGTCCTTTCAATTCAGTAATACTTCATCTTCTTACTCAAAGGGCTGACCCGGGCTTCTTCGCCAAAGACCACTTTCGCAACCATGTCATTGCTTTCCACAAATCCAAGCCGGATGCGCTCATTGGCAAGAGCTTTGAATCGGTCCTCCGCATCCAAGGGGCTCTGTTGTGAAGCTGAAGTCATATACTTGTTCCCATAGGTCAGGCCCATAACAGGATCGAAGACATTTGGAGCTATCGTGGCAAACCGTAGGAAAAGTCCGATAACTCCCATTAGGAAGAGGAATGTCGCAGAGATGGCGAGAATGGCGACCCAAACATAATAATTAGTAGGTTGGTAGACCTCGGTTTGCCGCGTCACCGTGGCATTGGTGGATGCCGCGACGAAAATTATTGTATCACCCAATCCAGCAAATCCCCCGTTGATGATATCAACGACCGACAAGGAAGATTCATTGAAAATTGTGGCCAGACCATCGGTTGGCGTGTGATCGGGACCATACAAAGCCAAGTTGGTAGAAAAGTTACCCGCAAAGCCAGTGGGGCACATGAAAGCCTGAAGACCCGTGTTCAATAACACAGATGCTCGCGCCGAAAAGAGATCAGCGCTAACGGTGGACAGATTTGTCACTGTATTTCCTATCGAAAAGAAAGTCTGCGCCTGCTGCAGTGGAACAGCGTTGGAATTATTCAGGAACAACTCGGAAGTACTCGCTCCAAACGTGACTTGGCTGCCTCTGGCTTCATCTTGGCTTGTTTGGGAAATCATGTCCAAAACCGCACTGGCCCAGAAGTCGAAGCTAGTAAAGTTTGCCCCTCGATGGTCAGCTTTTGATGGGCGAATCTTGGTAGCAGCGCAATCATCCTTTAAACATTCGATGAATACCTCCACCAGGCGTTGAGTTATGGTGCAGGCTGCTTGTGATGTTCCATTGAACGAATGTCCGCCAATGGTATTTGCAGAACTAAACTGAATTGTTCTCGGCTGGGTGTATGATGCATTCAACTTCTGGGCTGCTGTAAGCTCGGGAAAGGGAGGACCGAGGAAACCTTCTAGTCGCGTATTATAGAGGTCACTGCTGCTGGCTGACCGACCGCAGTCTAAGCATGTGATGTTTATTCCACGAGTTGGCTGTTCATTGGCTATAAATTCCACCTTTGGGCATGAAACGTCCACATATGAAGTCTCGATAGTAAACTCGACTTTTGCAGCATCGAGCCCGGAGAGACCGATGATAGGAATTCCCAAGAGCGATGAGTACTCCTCAGGTCGTATATTCCCTCTGGCCGTTGAAAACCATCCGTCTGAATCCTCGTCCGAGGTGTTTGCATCTGGCAGCCGCGGTATCTTCACATTTCCAAATTGATCCAATGGCCCAGTCTTAGCTTTTACACCCTGCATCAAGCCAGCTAAATAGATATCTCTCGTCGATAGCGCGTAGGAGCCGTCGTTGCTCGTCCATACCCAGTTATATGCGTATAGATTACCTAACGGGCCACTATCCCAATATCGTAGCCCATGGATATCTTTAGTATTGGAATTGGATCGGTGCATAAGCCTCAGGGATCCTTGACCTCCTAGTGGTGATAAAACCCATGTAAGAACTAAACACCATACCAAGAGCCGTGGGGGCCAACAGATAGAACATGGTGATTTTCGTGGCAATTTGGGCACAGTGAAAATATGGGAGAGGGAATCGGAGACCGAGTTCGTGTTCATCAAGGTCCATAGAGGCTAAAATACCCTTAGAATCTCGATCACTGAGGGTAGGGACAAGTATATACCATGAGAAGCGTGCCTTTCTGGGCCATGTATCGACCAATACTCTTCAGAGAACGAGAAAGAAGTGCCGCAAAGATAATTGGATATATTGTGGGGCCCTATTCCTCATCAGTGATCACACAATGTTAATTGCGATTCCAAGGAAGCTGCAAAATTGACCGCCCATACGTACCAATTTCATCACTGACTCTACATTGGACCCGATTTTGCTTCCTGTGGGCTGATCTTTCAACCAAACTGCCAGGCCAGCGAGAGCTTCATGGAAGATTAGCGGCGGCAAATTTGCGGATGTTCAAAACACCTTACCAAGGAAGCAAAGAGCAATGACAGAGAGGAGAATGTCCAGCATGATAGAAAGCTTTTTGCCAGATAGCCGACTTAACCTTTCAGAGTTGTGACCATTATCCCGAGTGTTCTGATAGCCAGGACTAAGAAAGCTCGTTGATGAAGAATTAGCCTGTGCTAGATGATTTATACTAGGCTGAGAGTTGCTGATAAAGGGTTGTAGAAGGGTCGCTCTAGATTCCATCTCAGCCATATTGGCCCTTGTAAAGGAACCAGAAAAAACTGATGTTTGACTCGTGAGAAAATTCCAGATCGCTCGCTCTTAAGGATTACTTTAAGCCACTAGTCCTGTTGAAAGCCCCTCAACTTCTAACGATGTCCGAGCGTAAAGCAGAGGCTGTTCAATCACTTCTTGAATAGTTATTGGGGGCAAAAGACGTTGATTGGAGAGCTACCGCGGCGATCATATCTATTATCAGTACCGTACATGAACGTGTCTCACACCTTCCAATCCACTGCGTCTACAAAAAGCCAACAAGGAGAAATCTCACTGATTTGCGAACCGCCCCCAATCTTTGCTTTTGGGGGTCCGGATAGATCTTAATTTGAACTGACTTAGGCAAAATAGATACCCATTAGCGTCTGCCAAGGTCTGGTTCGTTTTTGACTCATATATCTTTAAGCTCTTTTGAAGAACGCTGATGCAAAAGTGAATGACTCGGTCCTGAAGTAGAAGGGAAACATTTATTCGCCCTCTTATCACAGAAACCAACGGCTGCTACTACTATTTGATTCCAACTTGATGGTCGGTCAGGGTTCCCGTGCCTTTATTATGATGATCATCATCCGGCCAAAGGAATTATCTGCGGGGGGCCTTGCTCGATTGGCGAATGACTCGGGCGCTCCCGTATATACCCTGTCTCCCAGTGGCGATGCATGGTGGCTACGCGATCGTAATACTCGAATCTTTACCGTATTAAACTACTACGGTCTTTCTCAGCTAGTAACAAAAGGCAAGATGATCTGGAGGAATACAGTCGATCATAGCCAAGAGAAACGCAGGGTCACAGAATTATCGCAATCCAGGCTAGTTATTGTGATATGGAAGGTGTAAAGAGATGACGAGACCATGATCATGATCTGGACTGGGCAGCCGACAAGTTTATGGACAGACAGTATACTCCGTACAAGGTAGTTCTTAGTAGTGTATTCAACAAATACCCAGGTGTATGATACCTACTAGGTATGATGGTCCAACCTTAGGAATTATAAAAAGTTCCCCGCTTAGTTTGGGTGGGCCGGTAACTCAGCCTCCTCGAGGGTCACCCGGGCGATACCCACCGGATTATCAGCCGCATTTGAACCGCACACCGGTGAATTCCAAGGTTGTTGGTGAGTTAGACAACCAACGCATATACATGATCCTAGGCTTGAGTTTACAGTCAGTGTAATTTTCTAGCATGTTTTAGTCGCGTAAACATTCGCGAACTGAGCAGTTTGATCATTCAATGAAGCTGATTAAACGGATACCGGGCACCGTCAGTCCCGAATAGAAAATTCCTCCAGGGTTGCTGTTAGTTATATGCCGCGTGTATTTTTCTCCAACCTGAGAACTGAGTTCCAGGGTTCCAAGTTCCTACCTAGTGTAATGGGGATCCTCGCTCTTCAACAATAGAGATCCCGTGACGTGGCACCTCAGCAACAACCTTGGAAGGTGATTCCAGGGTTCTGGAGAGAAAATAGGTAGCGCGCGCAGTTACAATCTTCCAATCTTTCTTATTCATGAACCACCCCTACGATTACTAGTATCTGGCTTTCTGGGATATGAAGTCCACTTAGTTCAGTACTGGGGACAAGCCTATCTTCCTGCACAATACTACGCCTTGCTTAGTTCATGCACCCTACGGGGGGTGTGGTGGTTTTGTTCTCTGCGATCGACCCGTCTGCTTACGCAGACAGCCAGCGTGAGATTCCCATCTTTCACTAGGTACTACTGGTAAGGTTGTGTCACCCCACGGAACGACTCTAGCTGCCTTACATTGCGCCCTAAAGAGAACTTTTCACAAACCGTAGGAATACCTAGTAACCAATTCTGAAAGTTCTCTCCTTGTACGATAACCCAGCAAAGGGTAAAGATCTGATCATCCCCGTCAACTCCAACTGCGATGAAGAGCGCCTGTTTGTATCTACTACTAGTAATACAGTGACAAGCATCAATAGCTCCAGGGCTAGAAAAGGTCTCATTGATTGCCACGCGTTTCTGCAGGCTGCCGGGCAATTAAACAAACAGCTAAATCGGTCGGTCGCTTTTTCAATCACAAGCTCGGTTCGGCTTGAGGGATCTTTAGCTTCCGGGCGGTTATGACTTAGGCTATCCATCTTCGCGAATTCATGTTCCTCCTTGCCATCTAATTCCTGTTGAAGTGTTTGTCTGTATCTATATGGAGCGGGATACGTGATACCATTATCATATAGCTGCTTTTCATTGCACTAAATCTAACAACTCAACATCAGAACTATGTAGCAGCGCATCACCCTCCACCACCCTCCAAATCGCCTCGATCTCCCTGTTGGTCCATTTCCGCACAGATACGAACATAGAGGCCAGTGGGAGTGTACGGTTCGGAATGTGGAAATAGAAAACGTCCCTGATGTGTTCTTGAATGCTGTTTAGCTATGCGTTGCTCAGGGTTTTGCCCTGAATCCTTGATCCAGACGGCCATCCTCGACTCTGAGTGCGGGGTTCCTTAAAAAAATACTCAAGATAGAAAGATACGCCCTCCGCAAAACCTTCTTTCCAAAACCACCGGAAGCCGATCTCTCGGATCTCGACCGGCGCAGCTTCCAACGAGCTGAGATCCCATTCCCCGATATAACCGAGCAAGAGGTACACGATGCCATCCGGAGGGCACCTTCGGATAAAGCACCAGGCGAGGATGGTATCCCTAACCGCGTATAGAAGCTATTGGCAGACCAATGCAGCACATTCGTGCAGGTGGTTGCCCGAATCTTCAATGCGTGTATGCGAAAGGGATACAATCTAATATGCTTTCAACAATCGATCACGGTCACCCTCCGGAAGGGGGGGTCCCGCGATTACCGAAAGCCAAAGTCATATCGTCCAGTAGCCCTGATTAATACATTCGCGAAACTGATGGAGAGGGTCATTGCGACACGCATCTCGCAAGTGGTGGAGGCTCACCAGTTACTTCCAGGAACCTATCTTAGTGGCCGCAAGGGTATCTCGATCGATTATATCATTCAGCTACTACTCGACCGAGTTCAACAGGCGTGGGGAATGAGATGGGTAGTCTCCATAGTGTTACTGGACGTTACAGGAGCATATAACAACGTCTCTCATAAACGTCTGATTTTAAATATCAAAAAGCTAGGTCTAGGACAACTGACACTGTGGATAACCTCCTTCCTGACAAATTGGAGCATGTAAATCAAGCTCCCTGGATACCTTAGCAAGGCCTTTCCGACACCCACGGAAATACCTTAAGGATCCCTAATTTCCCTAATATTGTTTCTCTTATTTAATACTCCGTTGATACAGGTATACTGCTTTGAACGCGGAGACGGCAGGACAGAAGGCTTCGGGTAGGTGGATGATACTACGATTGTAGCAGTATTAAATTCCTACTATACTAATATGTAGTTACTACAGTGTGCCCTAGGTAAGGTAGATCTCTGGGCAAGACAACATACAGTGAAATTTGTACCCGATAAGTTCGAATTGATCTATTTCAGAAACCCGAGAAGCAATAGCAAAGACCAAACAGATATTAATAATGCTACAGAGATCCTATCGGACGTTAACCCATACAATTATAGAGCCAATCATCCCTAAGGATATAATTAAATATCTATAGAGGTCCCTAGAGGCCTACAATTATAACCCTTGGAGTATACTAAATACCTTAGAATCTGGCTCGACAAATCCCTATTATTTAAAAAGCACCGAAAAAACGTTATCACTAAAGTAAGTGGAAGCCTAGAAGCACTCTGTGGAGTAATAGGATCAATATAGGGTATCTTGTTGTATGGTATACACAGGGTTTACTAAGTAGTAGTCATCCTACAGATACTCTATAGGCTATTAGTATAGTACTGCCTAGCTATAGGTATAATACCAGTACTACAGAGAAATAGGATGATTAAGGCCCTAGAGTGTATCCAGTAAAGGACAGTTACTATAATCAGTAGTGTGTTTAGGGGTGTCTCTAGGGAAGTACTTAATATAGAACTCTCTCTGTAGCCTATCTATCTATAAATATAATAATTTATCGAGGAAATCGCTATCCAAATTATAACAGGACTGAAATAGGTCTATTCTGATATATTAATATATCAGAGAACCCTACAGTAGTATAAACTAGAGAGATAGTACCCCCTGGAAGTCCTTTAGTGGAAGAAAAACTAGATATTACATACTCTTACACTAGTATTAGATACTTAGGAGAGCTAGAAGGTATATATACTAGTACCCTAAAAACTGTGAATCAATTATATAATTGAAGAAGTAGAGGTAGCTAAGGTCTCTTATAATAGAATCTAGAATGAGATACTGGATTGGCAGATTGAAAAAGTGATAGAGCTATACTTACGGCTTTGGCTAATTAAGGATTAATATCTAATAATCCCCTTCTTTACCGATAGGAGCGGATATTAAGGTTTAGTAGATATGGTAGTAGCTACTCTAGGAGTAGATATCTACCTATAAATCTATCTGGGAATAATAGAGGATTTGACGGTCTATATGGCCGAACTTAATAGGATTAAGATAGCATTTGTTCGCTTTCTTTAATAGAAGAGCTAAAGTGTAGAGTTAGAACAGAATTCTTGCCAGTTGAGGTAGGGTTCTTATAAAAGTATAGATTTGGAGCTAACTCAAGTCCGGGGGACTTATCCAATCAAGATAGTTATCTTCTCTAATTACTAGGCGGCTATCTAGGTAATTATAAACCTAAAGTGATCTTCCGGCTAATATATGCTTAACTTGATATACTAATACGTATAGGCCCTCTAGTCGCTTATACCTATATCTAGCTTGATTCCCGCTAAGATCTATTAGATCTCTGTATACGTAGGTATGCCTAATAATAAGATAGCTGACGTTAAAGCTAAGTTAGTAGCGGAGAATCTAGGTAGGGTGGATTATTGTAGTGCTGAGATCCGATTGGCCTTATCTATACGGTGCTGGGTGCGGTAGTGAATAAAGGGGAGATGGATGAAGGAATGGGGAGTGAGTAAGAGGGTGGTTTGTTACTATAAACTGATGGAGAGGCCGTATAAGAAGGTTTTAAAATTGTACCAGGGATTGCTGAAACTATATATATCGATCGTTATATAGATGCGGACGGAGTAGATTGGATTAAAGTATTTCTTATATAAATACGTGATGTAAAGATGTAGAGGGAATGAGAATATGGAAGAAGAAGATGAATTCAACTGGGGTTGGTGTTATTGCGAGGAGGGTAGCTAGACTCCCTAGTATATTCTCCTCTAATACCTGTTATACACTGGCCTATGAGCAACACTACTCAGTAAGCTCTGATATAAGACGGAGTTGGGGAACTCAACCGATTACAATATGATTATATCGGACTCACAGACCATCCGCTATGTGGCCAAATTCATGCACTAAACCGGTCTCCTTAGACAGTTCTGTTATATGGACGCGGAGGAGATCGAATACGAACTAAACATAGAGATGCTAGAAGAGGCTAGCAATGGACACTAGGAGGTGAAGACGCTGTGTATAGAGATTAGACGAAGGGCCGCAGCAACGAGAAGCTGCCGTCCGAGGTATCGGAAAGAAGGAACATAAACAGGAGGAACCAGGATGTGACTGAGGTCATAACCAGGTGTCGGGGGAGGGGAGATTGCGGAGATGAAGGTGGCCGTATAGCACTACGCGAGCTGGCAGTAGCCGATTACATTCATTGTGGGGGTTTTGTTACCGTTTTGTGGGGTTGATTACCTGTTTTACTATGGCAATACGCCGTATCTCCTTTGTCTTTTGTTACCATGGTGTGGCGTTAGGATGGTTCTGGTTCCCGATGGAGGGAACGCCTACATAGCTATACGTTCGAAAGTGTGGCTGAATTAGGTTAATAGAATCTTGAATTGAATTGAATTGAATTGAATAGAAAGATACGCGTCCATGACAACTTCAGCATCGCCAGAAGCATATCGCTCGCTTTGCAGCTTGAGAATGATCAAGGGATCCTTGTTAGGATCATCACTCATTTCCAGCACAATGTCATATGGAGTTTTAGCCCGTGAAGTGCGGGACTCAACAATATTCGCTCGACCGATGCTTCCACTTTCCGCTTGGCCCTGCTTATAGTCGAATATGGCTTGGAATAACGGTGCTTGAGACTCTGGATCAGCGTCTGAAGGGTTCGACAGACCTAAATGTTCGAGAATCGCGCCGTACGGTACAGCGCTATGCAAGAGAGCCGCTCGTGTTTCGTCCTTGACAACCCCAAATGAGCCTCGGAGAGGAGTGCTTGCGTTCATGGCATTCTGGGCTCCGCAGAGTCTGTCGCCAATTTTGACGGACGGAACATGGGGTCCAAGAGCAACAACAGTACCAGCATAATCGGTTCCAAGAATGCCGCCGACCGTCACGAAGTCGCCACGCATCTTCGTGTCGCTCGGACTCACTGCTACTGCATCGGTGCGAATGAGGAATTCCCCCGTTTTTAGCTGAGGGAGCTCGATATTTTCCTGTATATGCACTCTTTCATCAGTGCCTATGATTATCGCACGCTGAGACGGCGGATATTTGATAGAATCCATGTTCGTCCCCCGTAAGTATTACCGAAAAGGGCGGGAACCGATCGTTACTCTCCTCTCACTCTACGTAGCTATCATCTATGGCACGCTTTACCTCCTCTTCGGGGCTATGCCAATAGTGTACTCGATCAATCGCGGTTGGAGCATCGGTATTGGTATTCTCTCGTTCCTTGGTTTAGCAGTTGGTATGGTAGCAGCCGTGATGTACACAGTATGGGACAACAGCCATCGATATATCAAGCTCAGCCGCGCCGCTGTCGAGCGTCGAGAAATTGGTGCGGCTCCGGAGGATCGCCTACCACCAGCTATTTTTGGGAGCATTTGTCTTCCAATTGTTCTTTTCTGGTTTTCATGGACAAATGGCGCCAGTACTCACTGGATCGTCAGTATTATCGCCACTGTCCCCTTTGGATTCGGAATGACGCTGGATTTTTAAGCGGTGGCTAAGTATCTGATCGACTCTTATGTGATAAATGCCGCGAGCGTCATGGCTGCCAATAGTATTGTCCGCAGTCTATTCGGCGCAGCTTTTCCCTTATTTACGCCGTACATGTACCAGAGGCTGGGCATCCATTGGGCATCATGGGTGCCAGCATTTCTGGCGCTGGCTTGCATTCCTCTACTACTGTTGTTCTATAGGTATGGCGCTGGAATTCGAGCAAAGTGCGAATATTCGCGAGAGGCCTCTGAGACTCTAGCCAAAATGATGAGGAAGCCAAGCAGGTAATGACCAGCCTAATGCGGTCAACGGGGTACATAATACAAACAGAATAGTTAAAGGAAGCAGTGCTTATACGTAACAAACAAATAAAAACTTTAACGAAGGCTAGGTTGCCAGGTCAACCCTCGACCTTCAGTCTGTGGTTCTGGTCTGGAGTTCTCGGGCATTTCTATTCCTATTGATCACTGATTTTGCCTTTGCAAAACAAATATCAATTCCAAATATCTTCGATTGGAGCAGGGATTCTACAGCAAGCCAGAATACCAAGAAGATAAGTTAGATTACATGTAATTCAATTATGAAAGCCGAGTGAAGTTGTTGGCCCAGTTTGAAGGTCAAGGAAAGTTCCACCGAAGATGCTTCTGTGACACGCAGACAAATGTCTCAGGATCGTCTGGATCTGTGTGTGACTTGAAAAGCCCCCTCCCTAACCCTCCACCAGCTCTAAATGTTGGGTGCAAGCTATGCGAAGCGTAGACTCCGCTGCGAATGCAATCGCTAACGCCCACGCCATCGTAGCTACTTCCTGCAAGAACAAGCCTGCCCTTATACTTGTCCTGCAAAGCGCGGCGAAGGGTCCGCATACGGCTAAGATGGTGCGGCCCATATTGCGGTATGCAATTTCTGCGCATTGTTGCGCATGTTGCCACGGGCTCTGCGGTGATTCCCAGGTGGCGGGACAGCAGGCTTCTAGCTTTCGAGATACCATCCAACGCTGATGGTAGATGCTTTTCAGGCCAATTGTCCCAGTAATGGCCCCCAATCATGACAGTGAGCTTGGTGCCCTGGACTGTATCTTGACCCTGCAAAGCGTCAGAGTCAAAGATAACGCCCAGGCCGCATTCCGGATTTTGGCCGGCCGGTGTGTCTTTGGGAATAAGGTACCCAAATCCTTTGACTGGTAGGAGGTGTAATTCGGCGAACCATAAGTTCACCACCATAACATTGACAGTTCTATTAAGCTGCAATATCTTCTTGATTTCGCGACTTGTTTCATCCATGTCGATGTCGATGTGGTCGGAGCACAGTAGTTCTCCTAAACTTGTGCTTGGAATTGTTGAAATCACATCAGTAAAATGGCGCTCTGTCTCTCCGTTCGCACCAGTTTTCACTAAGAGACCACCACGGCCATGGGTTCCATCCACGTGTATCGAAGATACCGAACAATTTGTTTCGATGCTGACCTGCGGGTCGCTCCGTAGCACTTCCTCCATCTTGTCTGGTAATTGCTGAATACCTTTCTTGAAGCTGTAAATGCTAGAGCGCTTCGCTGCTTGCAAAGCTGCTTTTCTCCCTTCCATGCGATGCCCTTCGATTCTCTGATCTCGCCGAGCCTCCCAGTCGCGGGTTATCTGCTGGGCCGTTAAAACGTCATGCAACGGTAGCACGGCCTCATCATACCAAGCTCTCCTCATGCTGTACAACATTCCTCGCACTATACCACCGTGCTGTTTCATGTAATAGTCAAGCTGAGGAAAAATCGCATTGAAACCCAGCGTCTGAACATTGCCTGCGTAGATGCCATGAAGGACTGCTGAAACTAAATTGACGATATTCGGGTGCAAACGTTCAGAGATAACATCCGCCACCGAAGCATCGCTTCCTTTGACAGCCGATTTATAAGGTTTGATGGCGTCGTTCAGAATTCCGGGAATGATGCCTTTGGCCAAGGGCTCCCAGAGCAAGAATCTGGGAAGCTCCGCAAGGGAGCTCGGTACCCGGATCAAACGGTCGGGGTGATAGACATATCGATTCCTTGCCGCCGCTGAATCCCTGCTGCAAGTCAACAACTCTTCTTCCAAGCCAAGGTGATGGATCATGGCAAGAGTAGTGAGCCCACTTGCTCCTGCGGGCCTGAGGGTGCGGCAGCCTTTTTTCGAAAAGCACTTTTCCACCAGGAACATCGACAAACTCGGAGGTAATCCAACCTCCTAGTCTGGCTTGACTCTCCAGAATGGTGATGCGGCAAGGCTCCCCTTTCGATAGTATATCTGTGGCTGCTGAAAGTCCAGTTATACCACCGCCGAGAATCGCAACGTGGCGTTTCTCCTTTTGCGGCGCGGTCACAAAATCGCGACGCCGTTGAGCCCACGGACGCTGCAGACCGCCAGAGTTCCGGGTCAACAAGCGTCTTCGCGTACGTGAAAAGACATATCTGTAGACCGTTTGCATGAATCAAGAAACTTTGGAGATCAAATTGAGATATTTTCAGGACCAGAATTCGGTCACTATCGTCATCTAGGGTATTGTATGGAAAGTATTGTATGGAAAGGGGTGAAAGTCTGTCTCAAATTACTAGTAGAATACCTCGAAAACAACCTTGGAAATATAAACGAAAATAATCCGATTACTAATAGAGTGCCCAGGTGCCAAGCATTCTAGGCGTTGTAACCACCTGATTCCAAATTGAAGGTTCAAGTTCTCGATAGATATAATAACTAAAGTATTCATTGCACCGTCACCACCCCACACGCCGGTGAGTACGAACAAAATATCGGCGATCTTTCAAGACATGCGTGGTAAGTTAAGTAAACTTCGCCGATCTACAAAGGCTGTGTCGATTGACAGCTGTTTGGCCCTATGCAGTAACGTTACTACAGGATGATTTCTATGTCCGAAAAATCCCGATCGAATTTCAACATGTGTTTCAGGTTGGGGGGCTTAACACTAACGTTTGCAGAAATCACGTAGTGCTAGGAATCTCAGGAACATGGGAAACATGGTAAATAGTCACAACTACATGTATTTTATCGGAGATTGTGTTTTGGGGTGTTCGGCCAAGACTGCCGTCCGTTACGCTGCTGACTGCAACAGAGCTAAACTAAGTTAGTGCCGAATGCCTTAGTTCTGGTAAACAGAATCACCGAATTTCACCGGCATGCAATTCTCTTCAATAGCTTGGAAGCTCTGATGATCTTGACCAGAGTGCTAGAATGCTATCAATGACCTGAAAGCTATGTTGTGAAAGGAAGCTAGTAGAAGGTGGTTTCAACCGGCCACCACAATGTGGGTGTGTAAATTAAGATGGATTTCACCCGATCTTCTCCCAACCTTTTCACGCTTGGAGTCCTTTGATTGACTTACAGACTCACCATGCAGCCAGCCAATGATATATTATCACTTCCTTTCATCTTCTTTATACTGGCTTTGAGCGGTGCCGCGGTGAGTCTCTACGTTACAGAGCAATACTAATAGCCATCTTCTCAACGCTAATTGAGTTGATACTAGTTTTTCATACATTCCTCCTTGACAGGACCACCTGCGCATCTTCCTGGCCCTTTATACACCAATTTCACGGGCGTGGTCCAGTTTATTAGCATTTTCCGCGGCAAGAGACACATTTATCTCACGTCTCTCCACGCTGTATATGGTTCGCGACCTCGATTCACCCACGTAGCATCTTGAGCACTGACCTGATATTGTACAGGTTCAATTGTACGCATCAATCCACGGGAGATCTCGGTTTCAGACTCCGAGTCAGTGAAACAAGTGTTCAGAACCTTTCTCAAGCCTGTTTTCTACGAGAATCTCGCTACGGAGCCGACGCCGAGCGTTTTCACCACTACGGACCCGGTGTACCATGCAAAAGTGCGGGAGCTGCTGGCCGGCGGCATGTCCGAGTCCTCGCTGAAGAGTCTTCAGCCAGTCGTTCAGTCGAAAGTAGGTGACTGTTTAGGTAAAGTCCGCGATTGAATCGCTGTAGCAATGAACCCATCAAGGCTTTGTCCCAAAGATAGAATCGATCCCCTCATCAATTGAAGCTCTCAGATCATATGACAGTGAGACTGAGGATCAAAGGTATTATACTATCGAGGGTTAGGACTCTTTTGATCTTCCCAGACTTGAAACTTTGAAAATCACACAAGGTGCATTACTAGTATGGATACACTTATGTCTTCCCTATCGTTCAGCGGCATGACCTTCAAGAAGTTCGGGAACCAGGTGGGAATCAATATTGGAACGATTCATCTGCCCCCAAGTTAAGTTTTCACAAGGCATGGCCCAGCCCGGCCAAAACTAATACTAATCACCGCCTCTTCCTTGGCCCAGAGTGACCGGAAACCCCACCGTCCCCTCTCTCGGCTGTTCCCTCGGTTACTACCGCTTGCCGTTGGTTGGATATCGTGTTCAAGTTTTGGCACAAGATAGACTCAGGACTATTGCTGAACTTACTACCAGTAGTAGCACGCTAGTGGGCTTACCGCGTGCGGCCCGCCACAGCCAGCTTCCTTTAATTGACCGGCTAACGCAACCTGTGGACCCACCAGAGTATAAAGTGAGCGAGTAGTGGCGTCGCAGTGCCTTCGAGGCGTCCCCCCTCGGGGGTTTCGGGGTGTGGGAGACTTCCGAGTCGGGGCTATTCGTCCATCCTACATCCACCCAATATTTCTAAGAAATATGTATACTACAAAGGCGGTCCAAAAGTCTGAAGACACCGCGCTATTTTTTTAGCGCGATTTTCGCGTCACCCCCCACCCATCTTCTTCAACTACCCCCTACACCACCAATATGCGTCGGTTTGGCACTGAAATAAGTGGCAATCGAAGACCAGGGGGTGAGCTTTCATCTGAGGCCCGCGCAGCTATTATATACGCTCATGAATGTGGTGTATCGCCTACTAAAATGGCTGCTGAGTTCAACGTCGCACGCTCAACAATATACTCTACAATCAAACGATTCCGAGAGCACCAAACGCTCAAATCACTGCCTCGTTCAGGTGCCCCTAAAGTCTATAGGTATTCAACTATCAAATATACCTGTTTACTTGCACGCCGTGAGCCTTGGCTAAGCCTTAGTGAGCTGAGCGCCCGTATACCCAGTCATCCATCTCGATCAACAATCAAGCGATTCCTACGTTCAAAATTCCTCCAGCGCTATCGAGCAAGACGTTGTATCCCAATTTCGAGAGAGAACGCCCGCAAACGAGTCCAATTTTGCCGAAATTGGAGGACCGAACGCTACAATTCCCAACTACAAAGCTTCATATTTTCCGACGAATGCAGCGTTCAACGTATTCCTAATTTAAACGGCCAATATGTTACCCGGCTTAGAGGAGAAGCTTACCGGCAGGGAATGGTGCAAGTTAAGGTTCATGTGAAGGATATTTGTCAAATGGTTTGGGCTGGAATATGGCTTGGAGGGCGTACAAAACTTGTTATTATAGAGCGTGACTTTTCAGAAGGACAGCGAGGTCACGGAGGTGGTTATACAACAAAATCCTACCTAAAAGCACTTAAAGAAGGATTTATTGAGCACTATGAACCTGGAACTATATTTCAGCAAGATAACGCTAAAATCCACCGCTCCTACGTTGCTCAGCGATGGTTTGAATATCATGGTATACATGTTATGGAATGGCCGCCACGCTCACCAGATCTCAACCCTATTGAACCTGTGTGGCGTATGCTCAAACGTAAATTATATGAGCTGTATCCTAATCTACTACATTGTGGTACATCTGAGGCAGATTGGAAGCTATTTAGGGAGTGTATATCGGAGGCCTGAGATGTGCTAGATCAAAATAAAATTGATAGTATAATTAGATCGATGCCTCAGCGTGTAAGTGAGACTCGTAAGGCACGTGGCTACTATACTCGGTTTTAGCAATTGAGATTCTATCATATATTTTGTAATTGATTAATCTATATCGTAACTAATTTTGGTGCAATAATATTGCATATTGTATACAATATATATATTTGAATGTAGAGTGGTCATATGGCAGAATTACCCGATTGGGCGGTGTCTTCAGACTTATGGCCCAAGATGGTATCAGGTCGAAAACCTTCAAGTTCTTTCCCATATCTGCATACACAGAGCTGTGCACTAGATGAGAACATGGGTGTCTGCGAAGCGTCCCTGCAGCCAACTAGTAGGTATCCCATCGCTCCAGGGCTGATGAGGCTCCAGGGCTTTCGGTTTAAAAAAGTGAGATGTGTGCATACCTACCTAGGCAGGCCATAGTGGAACCCCCCCCATTTAGTGTTACACGTGTGCCTTGTCAATTGGGCAAGAGCTCCGAGTCCAAGTCTCTACTACCAATTAGCCCAAGTCAAACTTGAAGTCGAACATCCCAACAATGCAACTTCCTATGGTATCCATGCAACAAGGGCTTGGCGCTTAAAGATGTCAACCCCCACAGTCAAATTATCATCATGGTCCTCTTCATAAAATTTACGACCGCTTCTAAAAGCAGGCACAGAAGAGTTCGAAATTGGCTTCCATGCAAAACACGCATGAATATTTCTCGAACCCTATGGTGAAACTTACTATACTATTTGTAGTTAGTGCAACTACACTGTCTGGCCAGTGTGAATGAGATGCATTAGTGTGTATGGTGGCAGTGCTAGGAATATTCTGATCTGAAAAAAGCTAAATTGTCATCCAAATCCTCCTTCAGTTGTCTTTTCCTCCGATGATTCAATTTGCGGCTGAGCAATGTGGAGGGTGATGTTGCAACTGAAATACGCCACTCTTTCGAAGTGAACAATTACGATGCCTAGGTAGGTACTATTATAAGTGACTGATCTCGAACTCGATAACAAGATTTCCAAGTTTGATAGTAAGTGTACTTTTCTTACACTATATAGTTACTAGTAGTGTAAAATACGTGGGCTTTTCTGGGAATTTACTCTATACTACCTAGGCCGACAAATGCGATCTGAACACTCTCCACAGAGTCTTGATTTTGTGGCAGATCAATTAGTGTTCCAACATCAGCAAAATATGGGTCGCGACGGAACACTAAACCTGCCGCCGATCCAGTCCACCGCGACTCGTGCGGCCTAGAACTGTTGAGGACGGATGCCCAGGTACCCGTGCCTCAGACATCCCAGGACACATGTCTGCCATAAAATATAGAGGAAAAAAAATTATGACAATGAATACTCCCGAGGTCCTTTCTAATATTGTCGACGGGATAGAGAAATTCCAGCGCGATTACGATCAGGTAGAAACCGACGGGGTCTCGGCTCGGCGTACATTCCGTCATGATCCCCGGGGTATCAGCTAACTATGAGATAGTAAACACCGGGTTGGTGCCTTAATAATGAGGGTTCGACAAACATAAGGTTCGACCCCCTGTTTATCAGCAGGAGATACATAATTCAAGGTTGTCAGAACCTAGAACCGTGAATTTTTTTCACGTCCCACAAGGCCGAATAATTGCACTAGCCGACGCAATTGTGCTAATATTTAAATAAAGATATTCAAAATTTCAGTACCAGGATGTTGATGATGACTAGCAGTGCATCGATGACAAGAATATAAGCCGCTTTGGTATGTCGAGATTAGAAATCTACTGAGGATTCATAATTCTCATCAAATTGATCAAGGCCTTGCGAGTAGGTATTCTTGACAGCGTCTTCCAAAAATTGGGTCTCAAGTAGTGGATGGGATAGCAGTAATTGGAGCGAGTGTCCAGTCCACGCATTGATGTCATTTGACATTTCCTGCGGAAACTTCGGTGAATGTTGACATACTACTGCCTCTGAGATAATCGCGGGCCCGAGATCGTTGATTGTCTCTGAAGCTGTAGAAAGTTGGGCATGTGTGGTCAAACTTGCATTAATTGCAGCTAGATGATGACAACATTCATGAGCGAGATAGTTCCCAGCCTCGATGCTTCTTCAAATGAATCGCGGTCAGCCTGGCTACTTTCCACACCCAGAATATCAGAAATGGCAAGAATAGTAAGGGATGAAAATCAATATCTTATAAAAAAACAGTCGAATGTAACGAAAGATGAAGGGAGACTACTTTCGGGTCATTCGGTCCAGTTGATGACTTTTCAATTTGAATCTTGGGTGTTGGCTGATTCATCCAGGCCTGGAGATCTCGAAGAACATCAGATACCCGTTTTGATATTTCCTTGCCTTGCTTGGGCCCGTGGTGGTGAATCATCAAATCGTGAATGAATACCCCTTTCCACTACTCTCTATTACATACGACCATAGGGTGTGGAGAACAGGGCTTCCCGTCCGCTCAGCCGTACTTAAGCCACACGCCGGCAGGTTAGTAGTATGGTGGGTGACCACATGCGAATCCCTGCTGTTGTATGTCCGTGTTCACCCATTTCTTTTTGATTCGTCGGGCAAGTGCCCTTGCCGCTTTACTCTTCAGTCCCTTCAGCCCCGCACCTGAACACCCTGAACGGATGACGTGGCCACTCGGCTAAAACTGCCGTTCTTCCCAATGCCATTTCAAACACCTTCACGTTTTGCCATCTTCTGGGGTCCTACAACCTGGGGCTCCTGCTAACGCTGTACAAACGAGTTATATTCACTATTTGGTCTTCTGTTCTTGGCTACCTTCTCTGGAGGGACGCAGTGAAATTTTTGTCGGCGAAAGAGGCGCAGTAGCGAATATGACAAATTAAGAAGAATAACGGCATTCCTTGAATCAACGCCCTTCAAAACAATGTATGTATGGGCCATACGCAAACATTATACATACACACTATGGGGCCGTGGTGATCTTCTATTGTGGTCCTATCACGTGGATCCACCGCTTATCAGGGCTTAGTAATCGCTCACCTTCAGCACGAAGAGCTTGCCCAAGTACGGAATTACAAAAAAGGACAAAGTTGAATCTTCACTGCATACCATACCGACCGGTACAAGAAGAAGCTGACTGTATAGAACAGTGGGAAATGTCTGGTTATGCATGAAAGCTTTTTGTGATTGAGAGATTTCATTCGCCTAAATTTATGTTTAGAACGCTACCATAATCCCCAACACCAGTTCTCTATTATTATCTTATTTGGTCGTAAATTGAAGATTGTTATAATTACATGTCTTCTTACACTTTTATGGATATAGAAGGAAACATATGCCCCTATATTGACCAAGTTGAGAGCTTGTCTGAGCATTGCATCTTTCATACTTGCTTTCTGAGGCCGGCGTGAAAAGCTTAGATTGCGGTTTTGGAGGTACCGTCATTCTCGAAATCGGCGTGACCAACAAACACTTGATAACTGTTTTCTAGACGTAGAGCTAAGTCCATGACGTAGATCATTCATTGAGGGAGCTGCATTAACTTGAAGGATGTTGTAACATCCAACCCTCAAGGCTGACGACAATGCTGTGATCTCAATCAAGTCAAAAGATAGAGGCGGATTGGGTACATGTCCCGTTCTGCGCGAAGCGGGCTTCGTTTCAAAAGAGACACAGGAAGCTTCTCTCAAACGAAAAATGGATTGTTATTATTCCCCGCCTATCAGACGATCGGAGCGTGACGCTACGAGAGCGAAAGCTTGACCACTAATGGTTCTTCCTTCCTGCAACCATCCCCTACGAAGAACTCGGGCCAAGGAGAACTCGGGCCAAGGAGAAACGGAGCTTGTTTGATGGCAAGTATAGAAGGCACGGTTCTGCTACTAAATTGGTCAGGTGACTGTAGTTATCTTTGCACTTCGGTTCGACTTTCTCTTTATTCTATTGACCGTACACTTAGTATTCTTATGTTTCTTAGACAATTTTCCAGTTTAAGATTAACCACACCATATAACAACTTAGTAAGCACAACACAGGACTCAGCATTATCCAAGCTTATGGTAAGTAGTGTCATAACATCCTATCATTTATAACCTCTTAACTGGCCGCCACTGACCAAACTTATCTTTGAGTCGGCGTTGATTAATATATATACCTGAGGAGCTTTGAAGAGACAACTCACATTTATTGTGGGCAAAGAAACAACATACATCGAAGACAAGTGGCTGATCACTATCTATATCAATGCCTACATTTGTGTACTAAAGGTCTCCGTGTATAAGCGAGGGCTTCACGACGCGACCTTCATTCTCGAGCGGTCTCAGAAGTCTCGGGATAACCATTTGAAAAAGGGCGTCGGAGAGAACATTGAGCTCTTCACTGGGTCCTTTCCTCTGGATCTCCAGGTCAAGTGCCTGTCTCATTGTTTTAGAAAAGAATATCTCCTAGCTATCTTCCCATCCAACAAATTGAGGAAGGTTTCCCGCATATGTTGTTATGTGGAAGCCGAACTGGCCAGTGGGGGATACACTTTTCTGATGCAGCTTTGACAGAAGAGCGCCAAAACATTCAGGATCAGGCATATCGTCAATCATGTCACGGAACTCGCAAAGGAAAAAGTAGGTGTCTAGGATTGTACTGTAGGTCCCACAGGCAATAGGCTTTGGAACAAACTCCGGAATGGTCTCATGCATCGCGCTCAATGAGTGAAATTCACCTCGGGTCATATTCATACCTAGTTCATGCGAGACAACTTTGATGAAGAACACTTAACAATCTTTACAATAGTACAGTAGTAATATCTGTATTTCAATGTGCTCTGTATTGGAGGTCCTGTTCTCCTTGTCTAACGAATAACATGGTTAAAATAATGAAAATTCTGGCCAAATTAAGCATAGTGTGCTAATAACAACCAAAAGTAAATCTTAATAGCCTCAACAAATCGTCTAGATAGTGGCCAGGAGGCCAATCAGGCTTATAATGACGCTGTTCCAGGACGCCATATTCAACTATCAGGGGCGGCAAGCTAGCCATAAGCCTTTCCATCACCACCTCCACTCTATGCAGTACACTTTCCAGGGAATATAATCAGTTCAGGTTGGTACAAAATAATTGTAGATTGTAAAAGGACTTACACTTCCTATATTGTAGTCCCTAGTAATTGTGATACTATTAGCCTCTCGCTAAGGTAAAAGAGAGAAACAGAATAATAAGAAAGCATGATGTGACTTACCAGTGACCTAATCCCCTTTTGTATGTAGTTCCATCACAGGACTATTTATTCAATGCATTAGATAAGAGACGCCATAGTATTTGAGATACCTATACCATCAGGAGAGCCGTCCATCTATCTAGTCCGAACAGTAATACTAAAGCTTTTGGCAGGCGTGGCCATAGCTATAACTGTGTGTTACACGCTTGGCTAACTGGTCGCGGTGAGTGGTTAGATCGGGGTGAACAACTTACCAGTTGTTGTCTGTGTCGTTGGTCGTGCGTGATACCTATCACTCGTGCTCCTTAAGTATCAACTCGCAATCGTACCGTTGCTGTGCTAAGCCTTACACGGACTCGGATCCTGTAGAGTAACTTCAAGGAGGCGCCAGGTAGTGCGCCAAGTAGGTCAGTCCGAAGAGCTCCCCTACTTGTAGTATGTTTGTCACAAGACTAAGACTGAATGAAGAGTAATCCCAAAAGGTATACTGTAGTAACTTAGATTGATTAATCGCGAAGAACTAAATACATGTGCGTAAGGAGTGTCCTATATATATTCAGTTCCTCCTGTCCTTCCGAGAGGACTCCCTTCCGTTCGTGAGGACAGGTCCGCTCTGTCCGAACGGATCTGTTGGTCTGCGCTATTAGCGAGATCCCTTTGTCCCTGCGTCGGGCCCTGTCCTAGGATCCCCCATGGTTCTTCTTGATTAGCCAGGAACCCATGGTCCATCCTACGATAGTCCGGTTCCTGAGACTAATGGCGTCGTAGGGCGCGGCCCACCGTACGGATCGTTCCGTCGTGGGTTGGTAGGATTCACACGGCGTTTCCTGCCCTGGGGCTGCGTCCTTCCCACGTCGCTGGGCTTCCTTTACTAAAGTCCGTGGCTTCCCCTCTGATACCCTAGTTATTGCATATCGGACGGGTACGGTGGAGCTTATTCGGGCCTAGTGTGATACATTCTTGGTTTAGCGTGGTCGGTCGCTTTGCGCTCCTGTGCGTGGTGGTATATAGTTCTCGACCTCCCCCCTCCCAACCAACACTTCCACAAATTCTTTTTTTTCGCCCCTCCACCCTAGTCCTTGCAGCTAAGGCATTTTTGCTATTGATCCAGGTCACAGCACTCCAGGGCTTCGCCATCCCCTTTTCTCTAGCCTTCATCATTATCGGCTTTTCGGCGCTTCTCGTAACATCAATCCACCACACTCTCAGATAGACTTCCTCTATTAGCTTCGACAACAGCACGTAAGAGGAGCTAGACCTTTGTAATATAGAATTTCGGACTCACCGCCAGAAATCTAGGCCAGTCGGCCGGGAGTTAACTATCACAGATACCGATACCTTTTGATCTACAGCCTTTAAAGACTACTACCTACTCCTAATCCGCAGACTACCGAAGTTCATTAAGATCGCTCACTTATAGTTTACATTAAACCTGTTTACTTACTTCCCACACCCAGAGACCGATTCAGTATCTATTATTTCGTTGGCTACAACTACAACCGTTTTTAGACGGCCGTTTCAACTTAGCTTACTTAAGAGCTAAGCAATAGAATCAAACATTAACCAAGTATCTATTCTCCTTTACCACTAGCCGTTTTTATATACTTAATTCTCAGACTACTTAATTACAAGACTACTTAATTCCAAAACTATTTAATTCCAAGACCTCTACTATCCTAATCCTCATTATCACACATACCCTAGGACCAGAACCTATACTGACTACACAATTTATTAGCAGAGAGAGTAAGATAGACTTATAATCATCCCTAAGACCCAATCATATCTAGATATAGGTCATATACTTAGGATTAATTAGTAGATACTAGGTGATAGAGCTATATTATAGTATTTAATATCTAATTTAGGGAGTTAGATCTCTACCTTACTCTTCTAGATAGCTAAATAATTAGAAGCCAGTGTTACTTAAGCTTCTTAGATATATATCGAGACACACTACTATACAGTCAGTTATCTAAAATTTAGAGAAAGCAAAAGCAGATATATATAGAACAGGGATATAAGTAGCTCTAGTCATACAGGCCCCGAGTAAGCCCTAGAACTATTAGTAGAGATATTTTTATTAACAGCAAAAGTATATTATATCTAATATTAGGAACTAAACTCTGTCTACCTTACAAGTAAGCTAAAAATACTTTTACTATAACATTAAATATATAAATTTATATAGACAGCCTATATATTTATAATTTCACAAATCCTATATAGTCTCAATTTTAATTTTCCAATTTATTTATCAATCCTCATTCATCACTTCTCATTACAAATTCTATCAACATCAATCAACAAAATTATATTTTAGTATATCTAAGTATAGTAATTCCTCTAGTATACAAATATATATCATTTATATCCTATACCTTTATTACAGAATCTAACAAGTACTAGATAGTTTTCCCCTTAATTCAGTAACTCTCTAAGTTTACAGTTGTCTACTAAGCAAATATAGCTCAGAAAATAATCCTATATTCATCAACAACTCAGACTCTCTTCACTCACTATTAGATCATATCCTCCTTAACTATAAAGATTTTAAGTACAGCGTTTATAGCCCACCTATATAGGCTCAAGGCACTATTAAGTGTCCTATTAAGCTCAAAATTAATAATAAGACCTAGAGAGAGATATAGAGCTAGGTTAATGTAGATAAAGTCTAGGATATTAAATATTAAGTAGACATCAGGCCTATTAAGAAGATAGATTTAACTTATTCAAATATTTCTGCCTCTACTCCTAAGGGCACTAAAGTATTCAAATCTATCTTAGAAGACATATACTGTCTTAGTACAAGCTCTCTTATCCTCAAGTTTAATAAATCTAAAGACTAGGTCAATACTACTTCTTCAACCCCCAAGATCAATAACAAAACTATCCTAACCAAGTTAGAAGATAAAGAGTAGGCCAGTCTTAGCTTTTCTACTACCAAGGCCGACAGTATTAATATTATCTCAACTAAGCCAGACAATAAGACCAATACTAGCTCTACTACCCCTAAGATCAACAATAATATTATCTCAACCAAGCCTAAAAATAAGGACTAAACCAATACTAGCTCTTCTACCTCCAAAGCCAATAATAATACTATTATCTCAACTAAGCCGAAAGATAGAGATAGGCCTAATACAAGCCCTATTCTACACAAAGCAGATCTCATTTCAAAAGAGACCAAGGAGACTTCTCTCAAACAAAAAATAGAGTTATATTCCTTTATACCTATCAGACAATCAGAGTATATTACTAAGAGAGTAAAAGTTTGACTATCTAGAGTCAGACAGACAATTATATTTAGTACTTTTTAGTAAATAGATTTACCGTTATAGACTTTCTGCTAAATATTACAATTTTAAGATAAAATAATAGATTAGCTATCATTAAGAAGTACTAATAATAGTACTATTAAGAAAAAAAAATAACCCCTAAAGAAACTTTTCCATAAGAGACTTTTATTTAATTTCCCTTAATAACTATAAGTTCCCTATACAACCACAATCTACCAAAAAGCAGTAATTCTCTTTATCTTTTTAACTAAATAAGTACTAGATTAGGAGGCTATAAATCTAGAGTCATCACGTGCTGTTATCTAGTATATAATATCTTATCACCTATCCCACTAATTCACCCTTCTCTTAGTTAGGGATAGACTGCGGCACGGTTTTGGGTTTGGTCTTCAAATGCTAACCAAACCCAAATCGATTTGGTCTGCGGCTTTCATATCTTTACCAAACCCAAATCGATTCGGTTTGCGGTTCTAAGATCTTTACCAAAACCTAACCGCAAATTTTACGGTTAACCAAAACCGCAATGCGGTTACCTTGCGGTTAACCGCACTAGCATAAAAGATGAAGATCTTACCTATCTAAGCCACCCCACCGTTTTTATACACCTGATAACTAAGCTCAAATAATGCATTCTTACATATGGTTTCGTTATTACTACTGTAATCATTTATTTTTCTTACTTTCTGTTGGAAATAATTTGAAATAGAGCGGTATTCTAAAAGATAAAATATTAGTCTACAAAAAATTCAAGTTCGAAGTTGGATTTTGGATATTGTTGGCGAGATTTACTGTGTGTTGTGATTAGTTTTTGTAATCGAGTATAGTTATCGCAGAAATATATATTTGACTTAGAGAGATTATGCTGCATCTTTAGGTCAGTAGAACATGAAAAGCCTAACTTGACTAATTTTTAAGTATTCTGAATTTTGATCATATGTTGTAAAAGAGCTAGTTTTTTTTACCTATCCCTAATAATTTTTAATCTAGTATTACAATATAAAAGTGTTAAAAAAGTGTGTCCTAAAAGTGCAAAGTTGCAGTGATAAATGGTTATCTTGCGGTCGTGCTGCGGTTACCTTGTGGTTATCCTGTGGTTTTTGCGGTTTTCAGGGGTATTTTGCGGTTATCTTGCGGTTATCTTGCGGTTTTTGCGGTTTTCGGTAATCTTAGTGCGGTTATTGTG